CGGCCGCGGAAAGGAATGAAACAAACGGATAATGCGGGAGACGAAACTGACGATTTGAACAAATCTGATATCTTCATCTATTTTGATTGTTTTTTTTAATTGTTTTTATTTTTATTTTTGCCTTCGGTTCCTGAGACCCAATTTTCAGCATCAAGAAAGATGGGAAAAAAAGGCTTAAAAGTGGAGTCCACTAGTGTATACAGGTCATCTTTGTATCGGAAAATTTTCATTATCATATTCCTTTGACAGGCCCAATCTATAACAATGTCTTAGGCGAGAAGAATCCTCTTTTTCGGCCTTCACCGATCTTTCTTAATTTTTTTTTCTTTGATTTTTTTTTCTTCTCCGTTGTTTTCACTATTTTCCCGCGGTAAACCGCGGGCTTTTGCGAAGATGTCCGTTTATTGGTTTTTTTTTTTTTGTCTCCATACTCCCTTTTTCGTCTTTCGGACCCGGAGAGATTGTTTCTCGTTCCACGTGGCTGATCGACAGATCGAAAAATTCAAATTATGACAAGTCAAAGAAATCAGGTCTCCGTATCAGGTGGTCGTCTCATTTCTTAATTTTGTTCATGTTTCATTTTCTCGGAAAATTCACTCTTGCTGCAGCTAGTGGTGTAGACCGACGATCGTGATTTCATCACAATGACTTGCATAGAAAACGCGGTGGATCGTCCATCCATGTGGCTTCTAAACCAATTCCACATGATAAAGCTAAAAAACCCTACCTTAGTATGTGTAATCCGTCGATAGAAACTCCGGTTCTATTTCTTTAGAGTCAAATAAACATCAAATAGCTTTTTTTTGCCTTTTGAAAACAAAACCTTTCTCGTGCTTAATCTCGGTGAGTTTGAGGTTGTTAGAGAATAACAACCCCGTTGTCACTTGGGGATTTATTGGCCCCCTGTACTGGTAATCTGGCAGTGCAGGTCGGAGTTAATGCAAGCTGACTTAATTAAGATTAGTCTGTTGTGACCCTGGGGGCCAAATCCAATTGGCATGACGCAGACCCCTTGACCTTTATGGACTGGAGGCATAGGGTGTCATCGCTTAGGGCAAACATACATGATCCCGGGCAACCCTTGCAAGCCTCTTACATTTTGCATGAAGTTATCAAGGGAAAATTAGCTTTCAACCGGCGCGTCACAGCCAATTGCTCTGCAGATTGGAACATTCTTCTATGCATGTGGTATAGATCCACGAACTTTTGAATGTCGGATTATGTGCTCTTAATCTCTCGGAGCCGGGCGTCCACAGGCTTCTCTGACATACATCAATAATCGTTGCCACCTAATCATCTACTCCATACTCTTGTGTGCTCACTCGCGTCCCACCTTGCACCCTGATCGACTCTGACTCGCCGCGCTTCTACTGCATGGTGGCGGGGAAGACGGGATTGACGGGTTGAATGGCGATCGTCAAATCGAATCAGGTCAGCGGAAGTCATTGTTACTCCGACTTTCCCTAGACCCCTCCTCGTCGATCTCTTAAATATGCACTAAGCATTCAACTGCTTGGTCGTACTTGAATATTTTTTTTTTTCCAGATCTCAGAATGCTCACTTACATACAATACCCCCGCCTCTCAGTTATCCTCCGAAGCCGGTGGCTTTGACTTCATGCAGCGACACCTGGACGATCTCTAGGCATCCCACATTTTACATTGGTTGCACACTGCAGGGCCCTCTTATCAGCGACAATTCTTCTCAAACCTAGTATTGTTCTTGTTTTCCCTTCTGTTTTGAAGGGAAAATCATAATAATAATTAGAATATGTTCACGTGGATGAAACAAAAACGTTGAAGATCAAGAGTAAGCAAGAATGAGAAGAAGCTCCGCAACATTGAAAGCGGGGTTAAACAGCCCAGCAACTAAGACAATCGTAGCTTCCAATATCCCATTAGAACTCACCTCCATTCCGACGTACAGAACCACTACTGCACAATCCAACTCCACATCACTCCTAAAAACACGTTTTTACCAAGCGACTTTTGCATTAGACCACAATTTACTCAACAGCTTGGTCTTCATGCGGGAGACCGCGCACCGCTGATCATCAACATCCGGTTCAAATCCCGATGTTTTGGCGATCCCATCGTTGCACCGGAGTTTTCCCAGAACGCACAACACAACAGAATCAGCACTGGATACTTTTTGTCCGATGTCCTCCCCCGAATGCAATCTCGACCAAATCTCGGAACTCTTCAAATTCCAGTCCAGTCTCTTTCCCAAGAGCTAGACTTGGAAGCTATAACTAAAAGCACGCGGCCTGCCGCGCCCGGACCATGCACGGACAGACCAACATTTTAGCTGCTTTCCACTCTGCTCTAGTTACTCCGTCTCTCCGTAGCTATACAGAATACAGTACAGAAAGATAGAAAAACAAAAGAAATTAAGGGAATAAAAATCCTCGGGAACGAGATTGAATCTGCAAGCAAGCTGCAGGCTAAAAAGGACAAAAAAAAAGGGTTTCCCAGACGAATTTATAACGGCCCCAATCCCTTCCCTTCCTAGCCCCTCTCTGCTACACAACAACATGCAACTCGGGATGAATGCTCTCACCCACTCAATTCCTTGCTTTGAGAGCTTAGTGGATCCCCATGAGGAGCAGCCATGCGATAGTGCAGAATTGTGGAGTCCTGCACCTCGACCAAAACTGCTCTCTGCATGCAATTATGGAGTTCCTTTTCTTCTTTTCCAGAAGATTGGCTTCTGGCAACGTGCCCGGCCGGATCTTTCCAAGCCGGTTCTGTAAGCAGCTGTGCTGCACTGCGCATACGAAGAAGTACGGAGAAAAGTTTGCATAGCTTATGGATCAAGATCCATCCGAACGGCATGTAGTGTCCCTAGCGCACTTGTAACTATGGGGATAGGCTCAACTAGCTTAGGACCTCATGTGCTGTGATCCTGCGTGAACACAGTGGGCGCATGGTGGTTTGTCGGGGAATCAAGTGTGTGTTCCAAGGTTTCCAGGTTGCATGCAGAGTAATATGCCCAGCTGCTCATGGGCGCAAGGATTTCCCGATTGAGATTTGCATTCCCTTTGTTTAGAAAAGTTGCCAGTGTTGCCCACCGGCGCAGGTGGTCCCATAATCGTCAGTGTCCAGTGCGCCGTCACTTTTTCGAGGTGTATTGAATTTGTAGAAAATTATATCCATTATACCTTTTAGCCATACTTCCGTACCCATATTCCACATATTCCACGGATGAAATATACAAAAATTGAAATGATCGTCCTGCCCTAGTCCCCTTGCCGCCACACATCCGCTGGTGGGTAATCAATAGTGCACAGAACCTACGACATGTCACTTTTGACACATGGCGTCCACACTTGCATACCGCGTGCCTCCCAGGGTTCATAATTTGGGTCAATTATGCATCTTTCTTCAAATGTTTCAAGGTTGGTGGCAAAGCTGTGCATGACCGGGATTTCCTAACAGGGGTAATAGCAAGAGAAGGGGCTTTTCTGAGGGATTTCCTCTTCCAGCAGGGGATTTGCAACCTGCACTAGTTTAATAGTTAGTTGTTCCTTGCAATGTAAATCCTTGAATCTTGTCCCGATTCTGCTTCTCTTTTATATGTACATCCGGAGTACTGTCAATATTGGAAAGGAAAACAAAGATTCCCATTCGGGGTCCGGGGTCAACTGGTTCTGCCAGTCAAGATACCAGTTGACCCCAGGTGCCGAACATGCAACATTGGAATGTTCAAATATTCAAATATTCAGTTTGAATGTTTGCTATATCCCTGTCCCATGTGGCTAGACCCCCAAAACAATACATGTGCCTACAAAAAGACCCACCCGGGCACCCTTGAGTGTCTCCAGGTCCTAATCCTCGGAATATCCTGCATGGCTAAGTACTAGGATGTGGCTGGCTACAAAGCACTTACATTCAAACTTGACCTAGGAACCACTAGTTGATATTGGTGTACTAACCTTTCAAATAGTTCACATTCAATTACTAGATAGTTCCCACCTCGTCAACATACCAGTTTCAACATTCAACTTTAGAAACCAGATAGCTCTAATTCGCTCATCGAGTCCCAGTCCTCAGTGCCTTTGACGCTCTGTACTTCGTGGCAAGACGGCAAGATGCAGAGTCAGGCAAGGTTGGTGCTTGATCGATCCACACCCCCCTTCCAAGGTTCTCCTCCTCCCCGGGCAAGTAGTACATGCGTACATACATAGCCACCTGAGCACACGGGGAGGGATTACCATACCCTGTATGGAACTGTACGTACACGCTAGGCAGACATCCATTTAAACCCATCCAAATAGATTATCTACCATGTACCAATTGACAGATATACATGATCCACGAAAGTAAAAGGCCAGGGAAAAAAAGGGGGGGGGGGGGGGGGGAAGAAGAAATGTAATTACAAAAGTTCGGAAATAACCTGACAGAAATGAAGATCATCACCACCAAAGCCTGACCACCCATTTAAGCACAGTAACGTCCTAGCGCGAGAGCCCATAGCTTAGCAAGGGGGTGATGCGCTGAAAAAGTATCCTGCTATTTTGTAATAGGTCCGTTGAATGTGTGATATGACATATAGGTAGTAGTGGAATCTCCGATCAGATCGCCCCGTTGAGTGTGTGAAGAAAATTGGTTGGGATGCGTCTGCGCTAGACGATGTATAGTACGCGGTTTTGCCATATGTTTAGCCTTCTCGAGCGCCGGACTAGGCTCTAGCGTTTATTTGTGACGAATGCTAATTTCGGTGGTGGCGTTGGTCACACGGGCATGTGTACTGTACCTACAGTACAGCCCTGGAGAAGATTAAAGTAATAATTCCATGGATGGTGAATGGTGGGTAACCGATCATGAGTGACGCAGGTGTAGAAATAATATGGAACTTAGTACGGCTAGGCTTGTTTCTAGGGCCCTCACTAGCACTTATGTGGAATAGCACAGGCAAGTCGCCTTAGAACACGTAACATGAATCTCGGCAAGAGTATGATAGTAGTATATTTCTGTAGTAGCGCATACGTGCTGGAAATATCATCCATCTCTCCACCATTGGCCGAGGGAACTGCCCGAACCAGCCATCTCGACCACCTCCTCGAAACTGATTTCCACGCGGAACATTTGGCCATCGGCAGTTCCATTCCCTGAACCAACAGGTGTGACAAGACCCCAGCTAACCAGTCTTTCCCAAGACTCGCGTGCCACGTCGCGACCCCAAACACGACCCGGCGTGGCCGCAGCACCGGACACTGAGGCGGATGTTTTGGCAGATGTGAGCAACCGCACATATTCGCCGTAGGCAGCTGGGAATGACAACGCGAGTGGTGCCACGCTCTGGGACTGGGGGCCGTCAAGCCCTGGGTCAAAGAGTGCTGCCAGGCGGGTTGCTGCGAGGAGCAGTGCCAGTGGCAGCGATGAAGGGCTCGAGGATGAGGCGCCAGATGTTGAGAATGGGAGGGGTGCAGGGTCAGCGCAGGAAAGAGATTGTGAAGCGAAGCTCTTTGGTACAGGAACTTGAATGGCAAGCTTATCAGCTCCTCGTGTGCTGAGATTCAGTTCACTGATCGGAAGAAGCGCGCTCGTCATGAAGTCTTTCACGGACTTGGTCTGGTGGTAGATCCGCTTGAGGTGGAACTGTAAGTCCTTGTCCTCCCACATGTGCTAAGAAGAAAAAGTTAGCCTAAGCAGGTATTTGCTTTTCTTCTTGGTGGCTTTACCTTCAAATATACTTTCCAGCCCTCTAGTAGTGTCTTCCAGCTTGTTGTTTCCAGAACAGCACGCTCAGAGCCAAGTGCATCTGCAATCTGTAGGGCTTCACTCTCATCGATATCCAGACTTGCCATACAGATTTCCGAGAACGTCTCATAAGTTCTAGGGAGTGGAACATATACATATCGATGGCTGAAACGACTCTTGACTCGCTTCTCAAGCATTTCAGTGACATCGACTTTTGTTGTAAGCCCAAGCACTGCGATCGGCGCCTTTCGAGCCTGTGCAATATCGAAAAGGTTGTACAGCAAAGTTTGTCGGGGATGTGTGACGAACAGGTCGAACTCATCGAGAAGAATGATGATAGACTTGGCAGCAGTCACCCCATTTTTGTTAGTAGAAGTCCCGAACAATTCTTCCGGGTGAGAAAGGAGGGCTAGTAGGGTTGCCATCGTATCTGCGTAAGAGTTGATCTTAAGAGTGTCGTCCTCAGTGTTGGTCTCACGACCAAGTTGACGCCACATTTCCCGCAAGGCTAGACGGTCGTCTGTGTGGAGAAAACCATTCAGACGAACTACGTGGAAATCGTCACCATGGTCCTTTGCGAGAGAAGAAATTATAGTTTCAACCATCGCTGTCTTTCCACATCCTCGTGATCCCAGAAGGAGCATTGAATTTCCTTCGCCCACAGTCACTGTTTGCTCGATCAGCTGATTGACCTTGGCGTATTCGCTCTCCAGGCCCCTGAGGGGGATCTGTCGCTTTCCAGCAATTTTCTCCAGGAGGAAGTTTGTAAGGATGCGGACTTCGTTATCAAGTCCCTGTTGGCAGAGATCTCGCAGAGCCTCCACGTACTCAGGAAGGGGCTCTGCCACTTCCGGAATTTCCTCCACCACCGGCTGATTTTGATGCAAGTCTTGCTGAATCTGTAGCGCAACGAGATCATCAAGACCGTCATTATATGTCTCCAGTACGTCCGGTTGGTCCTCATTGACCTCATCATTTATCCCATTTGACTTTGGCTTAGCGGGAGCTCGTCTCGATCTTGTCCTTGCAAGTGGTTTAGGCGATTTCTCGTCAATGTCCATGTCCACATCCTCCGAAGGCTCCGGTGCCTTTTTCTGGACACTTCTTGCCCCACGGGTACTGCGAGGTGTGGCAGCTCCCCTCCGCGTCGAAGTCGGTGTCTGGTCATCTCCTTCGTATCGCACGGGCGCCTTGCGCTGCCGTCCGCTGGCCCGTGTGCTCCGCGGCGTCTCTACAGCAGGCGCATCATCCACACCATCCAATTCGAGTCCTTCTGGTACTTGTGCGCTTTTTCTTCGAGTCGATTGCCGTCGTGATGGTCGTGATCGGGGGCCACGATATTCTTGGTCTTCTTCGGAGTCTGGCTCGGCATCAGGAGATGAGGGCGCGGAGTGAACATCATCGCCTTCACTCCCCATGGCGACATCACCGTCTTCATCTTGGGATGGCTCTTCGGAGACTCTTCTCCGCTTGGTTGCGCGGGGGTCTCTCATGGTTGAAGTTGGGGTTTGATAACGGTATAATCGAGTTGAAAGGTGGATTTGGCGGAACGCGACAGACGTGTCCGCTGGGAAATGGGTGGGTAGTCTCTGCAACGACTATTGATATTATCAATGTTAAATGTATCACTCCACTTAGAGTTGCGTCTCAAGAACCATGTCGTGCGGAGTATGTTATAATTGATGACCCATTGGCCTATCCCCTGATTATGAATAAATTGAGGAAAGGCGAAAGTTTCCAAGGGGTTTATAGGTATGCCCAGGCGCGCTTCCCGAGTTGGGGATTTCAGGTGCAAGGGGAAGAGCTGTTGACGATGTTCGGGCAACAAATCGCAATCTCCGTGTTTTACGCGCCTCAGGCCGCGCGAGATTGGCTTTCCCTTTCCCTTTTGGTGCTTATCCCTTGCCGCTTTTTGTACCATGACATAATCCTCTAAATCGACGAGCATTAGTCACAGTCAAATGGTGAACTTTACGTCTGCCATCAGGTTATACTCAGTCCTGGAGGTAATGCCTACCAGTAGTATTTTCCGTGCTAATTTGAGTTAGGCGCTCAACTTTTCATCAATCGCTAAAATGTTCCCGATTCCGTTTTCCTTGGTCAGAGGCTTCTCTATGTGAATGGATACATTATACATATATCCACATGGCTCCAGTAAGATTGTATGTACATTCAACATTTGAATGTTTACATAGTACCATGCACGTGTAGGGACTTTGAACCTTGGAACATAAGAAATTAAACAGCAGGTTGCCCTCCAAAATATTGAAAATTTGCATAGAACAGAAAATATCTTGACCAGTTTCAGGTGGAAGTCACAGCCCGTCACATCTCAAGAGAAGGGTCCCTTTCCGGAAAGGGACTATAACTTGACCAAAGGGTACTAGATCCTGTGGGCGGCTCCCTTCTTCGCTCTTGTTGCGATCGATTCCAGTCTGTCCCCTTCTTGCTCTCCTTCTTCCTCCCAGATTTCTCTTCTCTTTGTTCAGTGTAGTACAAACCATGTCACTTTGCTTCATCGCATTCAACCCGTACTTGGGGAACAAGTTCTGCTCCCACACTTGACGGATGTCGGCAAGGGCTTTGAGCACAACGTAGCGAGTAATGGCCAGAGCCTTGAGCTGTGTCGGTGTTCTAAATGATTTGAACACCTTGTTGTCCAAGAAAGCGGACATATAGGTCGTTTGAAGATGAGCAGTAATTGGATTGAATCCAGCAGTCGGGTGCAACAAAGCTATGTACTGTGTACCGGGAGTCTGCTTGAAAAATTAGTCTATGACTTGCACACGTGAAAATTCAAGAAATATTTCTCGGAAACAAAAGAAAAGTATATCGAATGATATAGGGTGGAGGGAAACCGTACCGCTAGTTTCTCAAGGTCTGCCATTGCTTTATCTTTGGATAGTTGCAGCACGGCAGCATAGCCAAGTGGCCCAAAAGAGTCAGACACACGAGTCAAACGATTGAAAAACTTCAAATGCTCGTCTATATATGGCACAGGATCTCCATATATCTCGTACGTCTCTATCTCTGTTTTGTTCTCCTTCATGAAGGCTTCGGTACCCACACTAATGGTTCTAACACCACCTGCTAGATAGACGCGAATCTTTTTAAACTTCTTCGCATCGATCGCAAGCAAAGCAGTGAACAGTGCCATGGAAGCGCCCATGCTGTGACCATAGATATGAAGTGTCAAGCCATTGGCAAACTTGCTCAACCCCTGTTGTGTCTGAGACGCGAGAGAGCCAAAATCGGATCTTCGGCGAAGAAAGCTTGAGCAGAGGATTTTCTCACGAATCCACTTGCTCCCGGAAAATAAGTCTCAGCAGGTTCAACAGCAGGTCCACCGACATAGTTGGATAAGCTTCCAATATTGAAAAAGCATTCGTGTGAGGACTTTGGCTCGGTGCCACGCCAGACGACCCAGGCATTTTTGGAGTCGTGTTGGTCCATGAATGCCATGGAATGCACAATTGACATTGCCTTTTACTTGTTAGATATCCCCACGACATAAGTTCTAACTTGATTTGTCTTGGAACGTACATTCTCAACACCCTTAAAGGCGTCTTCAAACTCAAAAATAGTTTCAGCATAGGAAACAAGAGTGGTGCTAGGCCCAGAAGCAAAAGTGGGGTTATCGGCTTTGAATTTCTTCAAAAGAGTGTCGGGAACTTGTCTTCTTTCATGATCGCTCATCGCTGAGGGATGAATGGTTGTTCTTTTCTTTTTGTTCCAATCCGACAACTTCATACGTGGAGATATGAGGTGTTAGCTCTCACAATGCATCAACAGTCAAGGATGACTACTAGTACCCATCAATGTGGGCATGTGCTCAAGTGTGGATCCTTGTTAGGTATTCTTACCAAATTGGCCATTCCACCTCCCGCAAGCAAGTATGTTCTCGAAGTCAGAGACATGTCTGAAGATCTTCCTATACAGAGATAACGTTGTTAGAAGAGCCAAATGGCGCTTAGCGAGTCTGGCAAACCTCGGGGGAACAAGTGTAGTTCTCCAGAAGAATAAACCACGAGAAAAACGCTGGGGAGTTTAGGCTTCATATACATTTTCTGGAAACCTGTAAGTCCAAAAGGTAGCCCTGGTCTTGTCGTTTCGTTTCCCCCTTGTGTCGTGTCAAACCTCAAGTCCGAATTTTGCAGAGTGGCGCCTACAGAGTGGAGAAACATTCCAGGATACATCCCCAAAAACACCTTGGGAGTCAAGTGAGCTAATCATAGTAAAAAGAGCAATCGATTTGGAGTTCGGGGTGTCCGAGTCTGCATATCACGCCGTAGCCCATCACCTTCCGTGTATCCCAATAGTTCCGGCATATCTGTCGGCTGTTGAGTTTTGATCTCGAGCCGTGTGTGTGCTGAGACTGAGAAGGGCTTCTCGGGGTGATATTCCTAGGGATTGCAAACATATTTGGCCAATCAATTTCACGTGTGGCTTTCGTCAAACGTATGAGACCGATGTCTGCCTGGGATTGATATTTCCACACACGTGTAATGCTGTGATCTCCGTGACGCGTGAGCCCAAATATTGGTACTATTTCGCTTAGGAACACCTCTTTGGTGGCTGAAGCGGGACTTTCAAGACTTTGTCCCTATAGCTCAATCATCTAAAGTTGTCGAGGATACGGAGATTTCAAGTTTTCAATGTATGCGTTGATACGCCAATACAACTAGGGGAGTCCGAGCACAATTGGCAGACGTAAAACGGCTTTTAGTGAACAGCTGATCACAGGCTCTGGAAATATTTTAATAAACTTAAAATATACCAGGTTTCTCATTCGAGGTCCAAGCATCAGCACTTGAGTGTATTTTTTAGTTGTATTGGGCTCTTCCAGGAGGCTTTCGAGATCCAGAACAATGTGATCAAGTATGCATGAGCAGTAACTTGAAAAGAATCATGAGAGTGAGTAACCATGTTTTTATTTGAGGGATAATATTGGCAGCTGTGATGGGCTTGGCGGTTTTGACTCGTTGGGAATTGATAGTATGACATCGTGCATTGTTAGCAAGTTCAAGGATAGTCATTGGTAGGGTAGATTTTCCATGGGCAGTATGGTTATTTCGAGGACGATTTTCACATGGTAATTCACAATTCCCTTCCAGATGTCTCTATAATGGATTAGTGTCTTCGAATGTTTGTTTCGAATGAGTGGGAATCCGAGAACTGTATTGTTCATACTACAATAGTACCTATTTATCAGATAAATGCATATCACTCTTTCACCTTGGGGGTTGTTATATGTTTGCAGGAGGAGTATGACCTGTGCAATCCAACTATGAGTGGCGAAATATTCAACGTTGAGAATTGCACTTTAAGCGAACACATACAAGATATCAAATCTGATTTTTCGGTCATTGGGGAAGCTTTGCCACCTTTGCCAAATAAAAATAAATCCCAATTCCAAGTATCAAGTATGTTCTTAATATTTAGTATGTTTATTTCAAGCTTGGATACATCCAGGACTATTAGAGCTTAATTACTAGCCCCAGCGTGAGGCATTCTTCCACGTTCAAATCCATGCGTGTTCACAGAGCATCTTGCTTCTACACTCCTGGAAAGTAAACCAAGTTTCTGCCTCCTACCATCAACCCTGTGATACCTATTTGGAACCGGCGCCAAAGAAGTGCTGATTCACTCGGCTCTTAAAGTGACTCTTAATACTGCTTGCATATTCGATTTAAATTACGAGCACTGTTTGCGTAATGTGAATTTTTTAAGGATTTCTTTGATAGCATGTAGATAGCCAGAGAAGTTCCATTCACAGATGGTTCTGATAAAGGGTTAGATTTGGCGAGGAATACGTATGTGTTCATTCTAGTAGTTTGTAAGCTAACCGCGAAGTGAAGAGCGTGACCCCACTGTCCATGTGTGTGATAGTGATGCAGCAATCACATACATGGATGCAGCCCTCGAGATAAGATTATTTGACATACATAAGTGGAGCAGTTCCTTCAACTCTTTGTCAGTGATACGGCTCGGGCCGACGAACTCGTCTCAGTGTCTCGAGGAACCCCCCCCCAACTCCACAGTGCATTCTGTGCCCCCTGGTGCCTGCGTCCAGGCAGCCACTGCCGCAGTCAGGTGCTAGTTAGCGTGGGTTGACTTCGCTTGCAGATGCCACATCTGCAGGACCTTCAAATGTTGGTTTTATTGCGGGGTCAGAGACTATTTCAGGGCGACTATCGAATCCGGTTGCAACGTTGTGGGGCCCACGTCCTCGGACCTCGACATCGTCAGGGTTCACTATGTGTGCAGCCCGTTCGAACTATGGAAATCTCTTTTACTTTCTCCCTTTATCCAAGATAGGTAGGGCTCGGCTTCCTTGTCCTGTACTGCCAATTTATTTGGAAGTCTTGTGATTTCTTCGCAAAACATACCTTTTCAAAATGTTTGTTTGACCAACACGTCCAGTGTTTCTAGAGAACAATCATAGGGTCAGTGCGAAAGGATTGCGCAGGGTCAATACTACCTTGTCGGTATGTGGCTTCTCTAGACTGAAGTTCATTCCAAATCCCGATTTTGCTTTACCTAGTCTGTTCTATATTGGATGATTCTCAAGGAAGTTAATCACATGCACCTTCAAATTTGGGCTCCACGGTATGATTATTCGTGGTTCTAGAGTCAGAATCCAAACATACTACTTACATACCAGTCTACGAGAGACAAATTTTAAGATTTATTGTACTAGTACCTATCCACATAGGCATTTGCATGCTAGCAACAGATCTTCCAGGAGCTTCTGCTCGTATGGAAATCATCAATTATGAGTTCGTTGTAATTCAAGTCCATTTGCCACACACTTTCTACCTGGATCTATGAATGCATCTCGTAGGATTAAAAAGACTGACCAATTTGGACATGTATTTTACCAAAGAGAATTATTTATCCCAACCTGACCTGAGATAGCAAAAGTCTAGGCACCGGTGGCATCTGGGTTTCGTAATTCTTTGAAGACTGGTGTATCAAAAAGGAGAAAATTTAGTTGATTCTACTTTTCAAAAACCAATGATCTTAGGTCCTCACCCTCCACTTCATTGAACCGTACCCAGCCCAACTCGAAAGCCTTCGGCTTACGCCGACAAAGCCATGCCATGAAGTAGCTATCGTCCAATCGTCCGAATGAGCCGGACTTGCTAAAGAGCAAACGTACTATGAAGAAAAGAAATGCCTCATCTTTGACCGGAAGGTGATTGTGATAGAGCTTGCCCTTGAATTCAAGGAAGGCTTTGTTCAGCGTCAATTCAGTCAGCCAGATTGTTGTGGCGTCGACATTCGTATCACATACTATTCAATGATCTCGTACAGCTCGGTCTTTCTGGCTTTGAAGACACCCGAGAAGTTGAACAGGTGCCCAGGTGAGCCTTTCGATTTCTGAAAAAAAAGCATATAAAGAGGTCCAAATTTCCCCTCTGATCCATGTAGAGAATCACCACATCCTCTACTTCTTGAATACCAGCAGCTTCTAGTCTCTCTGAAATCAATCCTCTCTGATCAGGTCTAACACATTGACTGTCTTGATTCATCTATCTCAATTTATAACTCTTGATTGATCAACTTGTGGACGCTGTCACGGAATTTCAATTATTTGGTCAAGATAAACAGGTATGAGAGCCCGGATCTATGGATGCTATGGAGGTAATTCTAACTAACTCCCTATCTTTCAAGATTAAATCTCGCAAATTTGATCATTTCTGACTGTCAAAATGCCGACAACTATCCCGTACGACCCTAGTCTTATACTAGGCAATGTGGTCAACAAGGCGCACATTGAGCATCTTCAGAAAAAGGCGGACGCCCTAGTCCTCTCTGACGAGGCTCAAGAAAGTCTTAATACGCTTCTGGCCTCCAGACGCAGTCTTGACATGACTAAGAGTGAACTCTTCAATCTCGGGATCGATACCAAGGATGTTGACGACTCGGTGAAGAAGCTCAACGACGAAATTGTTGCCGCGGCCCAAGACTTTGCAAAGGAGAAAATTGCTTGCCAGGAAACGCTGAAGAAGATCAAGTCCACAAAGAGTGTCAACGTTCAAGTAGAGAGTCCTATTGATTATCTCAAATCGCAAATCAAGACGATGCCACTCGCAGTTGACTCCTTGAACATGAATGTGCAGTACTTCTCTGCAGAAACGCAAGGACAAGAGGATAATACCTTGGCAAGAACAGTCTCCGCATTCGTTTCTAGCTCGACCAAGTTTTTGGGCAATGATGCAAAGACGCAATTGGGTGCGGCTGCCGCTAAGCAAGTCAGCCAGCAAGTATCAAAGCATTCGGTCCGTGGTACCCTGGTTCTGGCTGTCTCGTGTACGCACAAGAATGCCTCGATTCTGGCTCCACTTGTGTTCAATGTGGACAAGGCCGTCAGAGTATGGAACCATCTCTACCAGGGTGATCAAATTGACACGAGTGCCAAGGGATTGTCGAATTTGGTTACCAAGAAAGACATTGTCAGCAATAATAAACTCAGTCTTGTCTCTGGAATGACATATGGGTCTACCTTTGTTGGTATGGTACACATCCTTGATACTGCCCGGACTGATGTATCGGAAAGTCTATCATCGGTCGTGGCATCCTTGCAGAAACAGATGGATGCTGGAGCCTGGTTTCAGAAAGCATCAGGTGGATATGGTGTGGATGCTAGCATCAGCGAAAGTGTCAAGAGTCTGCTCAGCACGCATGAAATCAGCTCCCATGTCACAATGCTTTCCATGGGTGTAATTCCCTCATTCGTTGCCAGTGACCTTAAAATGGGAATTGATCGCTTTGCCGAGTTCAGCCCGCAGACCAGCATGCAGGCAATCGCCTCCCTTCAGAATGACACCAGATCCGATCACGAGAGTGTCAAGCAGTCAGCGGATGCGGCGCGGAAGGGTGAACAAATGATCAACCTGAAGGGTGGTCAAATCAAGTCTGCATTGTCGGCCCTTGCCCATATCGACGGAGCTGCCAATAAGGTCCTCGACATCAACTCTATGATGAAAGCGTTCGACGACTATCTGAAGAAGGCCACCGAGGGCAATTCGGGCGTTCCAATTAACTACTACCTGAAAGATCTCACAAAGGAAATGATCGCAGAGATGTGGGTTGCCAAGTACTTTCCAAACCAGTACATGACAATCAGCAATGATGACAGTGCGTCTGCTCCACCTACGGCCACTGCTCCCACCAAGACACCTGAGGCTCAGGAGAAAAAGCCAGAATAATTGGAAAACAGGCCTTTGAGCATGAGTCCGATGGTATCTGATTGACAGCATTTGTTTGAGGTCTGTCATGTTGATTGATCTGGTTGTATGATGTTGTGGTCCTTTTTTTTTGCTCTGTCGTGATTTTCTGGGTGTTTGGACAAAGTTGGCCTGGTTGAGAATTCCCGAAGGTTTTTGAATTTTTTCCTCGCGGGCTCACATTCTATACACGAGGACAGCAGTCTGAGTATAGCTTTGAGACGGAATTGTGATTTTCAACAGCCATACATGCGAGGTACCTATAGGGTCTATACCATTTGTACCATTTGTATCAGTTGTTTTTTATTATGTACTACTACTGTATTGATGTTAAGATGCTTTTTAAATATCTTGTTTCTCTCAATTGATCAATTACTAGTAACTATTCAATTTTCCAAGTTTATCTACTTGACTTAAGTTACTATGACTTGGTAAAGCAGCGACCTGGGGCATCCGAATCGGGAAAATTGGAGTAGAAATCCAGAAGAACCAGTAGAGAGTAAGCGAACTAGCTAATAAACAATTAAAAACAGATTGCCGTACAAATTATAGGCTCTCGATAAACTACAAACCTTTCTTAATGAAGAATCAAATTGATTCAAGCTCGGTACTTGGGGTAGTTCGAATTTCCTTGTTCAACCCCATTCCCGGTGAATAAGCCGCATCCAAATTCCTTCGAATCCGAGCCGAGGTTCAATCGCCGACCGAGCTACATGATACATCCGTGGGGTAACTTTATGTCTTGCAGCGAATCCTTGCCTAATATCACCTCGAACTTACACCGTTCTTTTCCTTTTCTCGTTTCTTCCTCTTCTATATACCCTGAGACTTCGCACACCACATCATGTCCAATCACCAAATACTCCCCCCGGCTCGGGAGATGTCCGACTTCGAGCAACATGTCTACGAATGCACCTACCTCATAGGCAAGAAAGCTGCCGATGTCGTTCGTAACCCTGAGATCCCCCCTCAATCAACCTTGAACACATACTGACAAGCTCAAAAATTAGCGCTGGGATGTCAACGCCAAAGAATGCAACTTGCGCTTCGAATCTGCAACCCGCGGTCCGCCCTCCAAAGCCGCATTTACTTTCACTGTCACTCCCTCTCTCAGCAACACACTTGGAAGCCTGCACGGTGGGTGCGCGGCAACCCTTATCGATATCCTCTCGACTACGATCTTGTTAGGAGTCTCGTCACCCGGGAAGTTCGGATTTGGTGGCGTGAGCCGTAACTTGAGGTTGACTTATCTCCGGCCCGTGCCGATTGAGACGGAGGCAAGGATCGTGGTTGAGATTGTGCATGTTGGGAAACGGCTGGCGTTGCTACGGGCGGAGATTCAAAACGCTGAAACCGGGGCTGTCTGTGTTGTTGGAGAGCATGAAAAGGCGAATACGGACCCGGAAGTTGACCAGAGGATTTAAGATATGGAGTCTGGATCTACTACTGCATTAGAGATCGATGCTTTTCGGGGACTATTTTTTTACATATACCACCAGATACCCACCTACATGGATTGTTTTTGGGTGATTAGAATCTCAGTCAATATAAGAATCAAAATAAAATATGCGGAATGAATGATGAGAGACAGGTATATTTGCGCTTGCTACAACCTCCTGTTTAATCTGAACGGACCTCAGGGATCCTTGGAGGAAAAAGAAGAATTAACGAACGACGAAGCATCAAACATGTCCAAAAAAAAATATAGTCATCCTAGCATCTAAAGCCTTAGATCATCCCATTTGGAGGATATCTAAATCTACTCCTGAGCAAGTTGTTGATCCTCCCGGAGACCCTCAACCACCAGCTCCTCGCCAACAGCACGGCGGTAGATATCCCGAACATCCACTAAAATAAAATAGATCAGTAAAATGAATAATATGTGATGAGAGTAAATAGTAACTCAAGTCCTTACCATTTGTGGTCTCAAAGTGAGATGTGGCATCGTAGCTCTTGGAGATGAAGATGTTATCGTTGGTACCGTCCTCAAGAGGCTCGTAGAGTGGGATTGGAGGCGCCTGGAACTTTTCTTCAATTGCACCAAGGCGCTCAAAGCCTGGCTCGAGCTCCATGTGGGGGTTAGCGTCGTTCTCGGCGATAGTCGAGACGATGGCGATGTAGTAGCCCTTGGGGCAAACGTTGTGTGCGGAGGAGACCATGGCAATGTAGATATCTACAAACATCAGCAAGATATTTTTAGGGGAATAGAATCAATTACTGACCATGCTTGCGTCCAACCTGGGACTGAGGAATGATGAGCTGCAGCGAGTCACTGCTATCGGTCTTGTCGATGGGGTGCTTCAAGATGCAGATCGCCTTGAGTAAGTATCCGGTAACACGGACCTTGCCAGGGAAGTAGGAGGGATCGGCGATAATCTTCTTGGTCTTGGTTTCAAACTTCATAACCTCTGCGTTCTCATCACGATCCTTCATGGTGGCCTTAATACCGGAGACCTTGCCGTTCTCGTACAGCACCTCATCAATGTCGGTGTTCAACATGTAGGTACCTCCATAGATGGCCGACAGGCGAGCAAAGCCCTGGGGAAGCTCACCCAAGCCGTAGAGAGGGTAGATGTATGGGGACTTTCCGTACCGGGCCATGGAGTTGACGTAAAGACGAATGCGGTTGATGGCGTCGACAGCCATACCAGACTGGTTAATGTATTCGTCCGATGGGTACAAGGCCATGGAGTGGCCAACAAAATCACGGGTGTTCTCCTCAAGACTGAACTTATCATAGACATCCTTCATGGTGACGTTTTGGATGTTCAAGCCTATACACCGGTTAGTCACCGCACATGCCCGTGTCAACAATCCCATCACATACCCTGGTGAGTAGCAGGATCCTCCTCCTTAAACTCGCCAACCCACTCAAGGAACTTCTTGGCTCGGCGCTTCTCAAAGAGTCCCATGAGAGAAGAGCGCAGAGCCTCACCAGCATCCGAGGGCACCTTGGCCACGGTAGCCTTGGCACCCTTACCCTGCTGGACATAGCTGCCGGCAATCTGCTTGAACTCGAGATACCGGGTAACGTCGGTAGAAACCAAAATGTTTGTCAACTCGCCGTTAGCCATCAGCAGCTTAGGGACGAGATCAATGTTCCAGTCGTTGACGCGGCCGTATTTCTTCCATGGCTCCTCGCCAGCGCGAACATTGCCGTACTTCTTGAACAACTGCGGAGGCGGTCAGCAGAGACTCCTTCTCAATTTATTGGGGGTATCATACAGTTTCAATGTTGACGGAGGCTGCCTCTCTAAAGCAATTGTTAGCTATCGTTCATCAGTGGCGTCGTACAAAGCTCCGTTTACGTACCCTCCGTAGTGGTCATTGCGATCGATGTGGAGGACCTTGTTGCCCTTGACACTCAGAACACTGAATTGAAAAATCTAAGATTAGCAAAGGTCATGAGTTGGGGTATGGATCAAATAGCTTACCCAGATAGAACACACTCGGTCAGACCTGTGGGAGAACTTGGGTCAACATTTGGGGGAGGTGTGGAAATGGCGGGGTAACAACATACCAGTGCCGAGCACCACGACGTCGTATTCGGGCGCGATCTCATCCATGGTGGATATAACAGGATGATATTGGGGGTAGGATAGTTACAATGGGGAAGAGAGTATGCCGGAGGCGAGAGGGGGAAAGAAATGTTTCTCCTGGTATCTTGTCCCCGCGGATCAACAGAAGCGGTAAGAATGGGACTATTTGACGGGCCCCGCCACTAGTGACTTAGTTTACCTCATTCACGGAGCTGGACCTCTTCATAGAAAGCCCCCTTTCCCCTTTATGGGAAAATATACCTAGGAAGGCATCTAGATCACAGAACATAAGCCCCTGGGTTTATATTTATCTTGATCCATTTTCTAGAATCCTTAAACCCCCTGAGTGGAGTGGGTTGATGACCGCATACCTACTACCTAGTAGGTAGTAGGTACGGATATCTTAAAATTCAAGACCAGACAAGCTTCCAAGTTAGGTATCGCGTTGTTGATATTTTACATGCAGAGAAGAAGAAAAAACCTATATAGAAAACACAAAGATCAACCAGAATATGCTACAAGTTCCAAATGTTTTCCCAACCATTCATTACAATTGTAATTGGAACGACTCTGCCTTACGCCTTGGAGTCTTTGGTCTCATTCACCTCCTCCTCGGGGGCCTCCATGGCGTCTTCTTCATAGGCCGGGCGAGCTCCCTTCTCATACAGACGCTGTGCCTCCTCCCAAGCGTACCAGCGCTCACGCAAAACATGTTTGATGCTCTTCATGGTGACAAGGATCTAGAGCGATTGATTGATAAGCAAACCGACATTCAAGGAAATACGGATGGATCAATAGTTGATGATGATTGAAATAGCAAATGACGGAAGCCAAACAAGGGCTGCCAGAGCATTCGGGGAAACTTGAACTTACGGTTTTGTCACGACTGTCCGATTCGTGGTCTCCATATCCAGCCTTGAGGCGCTCTCTCTCCAGGTTCGATGTAGCGATACGGTTGCGTTCCTTAATGCAGACCCACCAAAGTTTGTGAAGATCATCCCAGCTCTTGTCTCGCAGTTCGGTAACAGCCCAAGGGCGACCTGAATCGGAAGTCAAAATACGTGGTTTCTTGCAAGAAGCGGAGTAGTAGAGAATGAATGCACTTACCAAAGGCCATATCGAAGTCCGGAACGCTCATAGCCTCACGAGACGGAGGGAAGAATCCCCAGAGTCCATGATCGGGGTTTTTGTCACGAGGAGGCAAGAAATCGGCTGACACGGGCTTCGGTAACGGGTACTTGGAAACACCAAGCTTGAATCGTGGGCCAGTGCGATGAATTGCTGATACACCACGCTTTCGGTTCATGTCGCGTCCTCGGCCAGCGGCAACGGGAGAAGTCGTGGAGAAGCTCGAGGATTGGGTGGATCGAGTCATCGAGAAATGGAGGGAAGGCGCCAGGTATGGCGGAGGCAATTCAGCCAGGGCTGAGGCCCCATACTTGGCCAAACGAGTGACAGCTGGCCGATGCATGGTGTTGGAATTGACGTCGACTGCAGGGGAAATGCAAGATGAACGGAGATGCTTTTTTTCGGACTCAACGGGCGGTCACGTGAACAACCATCTAAATAGTAAAGACTAAAGTGATGCTTTCACATCTGTAGTTTCAACACTTCGTGTTATTGTATTTCACTCGCTCGTGTCGTTTCAAATATTTCACATTTGTTTTTTATATATGCTATTACCGTTCAACAATAAACTTCCGCTGCACAACAGCTTAAGGTTGATCGTGCTCCCCATACTTTCTACAATATCCGCGCGCCTAATCACCCAATCGACTCGCTCCACCTCCAAGCGGAGCAGTGCCGCATCAAGTTGAAGAGGCCTTTCATAGTGGACTATCATCCCCCACAATATCTTGGTCGAGTTGATATTCTACCATTTTCAATCCCTGGTCACGTTTCAGAAAGTTTCTGCGACTGTCTCATTCAACTTCCTCCTCGATACGTTCACCATGAATCGACCAGGTGCGTCAGTTTCTTCGTTTAACCTCCGAGCCCTCATCCCCCGGTCTGCCCCCGCTATAAAGAAAATTGCCTTGTCGACCTGATAAGACGTTCTTTGCCAAAATAATGGGAAAGTATTGCGGGGGTTCTCCGTTGAAATCCATCAGAGAGTTTCATACTGCAATGGCAGCTTGTATCCTGATAGTCCCTCCATTTTGCGACCGAGACATTTTGACAGGGATCCTTGGACACATTCCTGGACTGGGCCGGAGCATGAGCACTGCGATATGAGATTATGTAGATCTTGCTAACTCCTTGTTCTCCCGTCCTAGGTCCTGGTCCGCAGCCGCTACTAGGCATGTCCGGATTCCCCGCGCCGCAGCAAGCACAGGCCCGAAACGCAACATTGACCTCCGCACGATTGCCAAACGGAAAACTGGGTACGTCGTCTTGGGTTTCATGATGGATTGGGTTGTGAGATGCCGGAGCTATGGGTGGATGCTAATACGTGGGGTGCTGATCTAGGTGGCGCAGCGAATTGGAACTTCAATCTGCCTGTGAGCGGAACTCCCACACTACAAACCAACCAGCACCGCAACATGGGAACTATGGGTAGCTTTGCGCAAAGCTTGACTGGCTCTCAGCCGGCAACACCGCTAGATCTATCGTGAGTGAATTCCTAGATGATCGCACAAATTACTTCGGCCTCGAGTCGTTGTCAAAATGCATAATTGTCGGGAAATTGACCGTGGGTTGTGTCTTCCAGCGAATTTCCTTCCCTTTCAGGCGCACCCCAACAATCACAATCCCAGAACCCTGGGCAACTTGTTTGGGCCAATGCAAGCCAGCGAGCTGCACAACACACTCCCGTACAGAGACAGCAGCACCTTCCTACCTCGCAGCCCCCCTCTCGAACCTCCCAGACCCAACCACATCCCATACAGCAGCCTTCGCAACCCCCTCACGATGACATTTTCCCATCTGGCGCTCAGTTTGCCAATCGATTGGATGACTTCAGGAATGGTGGGCAAGGCATCAGTAGCCAGCTTGGGGCCGGCACTCAGCCACAGACAGGCAACATTGATGAATTCCCTCCGCTAGGTCGAAATGTCGCTGCTGAGATCGGTCAAGATCGCCGCAGCTCATTGATGCAGAATACGGCGTTCGGGAGCTACAACACTAGTATGTATCGGGGTGCCCTTTTGTTGGTTGGGAGAAATAGTGATGTAAAAAATGAATTGCTGACCACAGTATGCAGGTATTGGAGCATCACGGTCGCCCGTTAACCAAGGATCCAATGGGATTTTGGGGCAGGATAAGGAGGTAGGTAGATCGGCGATCGTCTTTTCCAGGCCCCGCACTCACCGACACTACAGGACTTGACCAACACCCTCATGTCGGCTCGGCGTAACTTCAGCGACCCACAACAATTGCAGCAAAGGCAGCAGCAGGCTAGCGAAGGGCAAGATGTCCCGGTGGCTACAAATGGTCAAAGTGCAGAACAGCCAACTCTCGCACAGATGAGTGAACTTGACCGATTTGGCCTGGCTGGCCTGTTGCGCATGATCCACAGCGAGAACCCCGACGTGGCCGGTCTTGCTGTTGGTCAAGATTTGATGACCCTTGGCCTAGACTTGAACCAGCCTGAGTATGCACGCCTGCCTATTTTTGTACTTCACTTGACGATTAATACTAATGACTCTCGGTTGACTCTTAGACCTCTTCACACATCCTTCGCTTCGCCATTCGTGGCCTCAATGTCTGCCGTACCGCTTGAACAAGACTTCACCCTCCCATCTTGCTACAATGTTGCGAACATTCAAGCTCTCCAGTCCCGAATCCCAGGGTTCAGTGATGAGACCCTCTTCTACATCTTCTACAGTATGCCTCGAGATATCATGCAGGAGCTCGTCGCAGAGGAATTGATGGGCCGCAAATGGCGCTACCATAAGCTCGAGCGTTGCTGGTTGACACGCGATGATTCATATCCTGGCCCAGTTGATGTAGAACGAGGCGTAAGCGAACGTGGCGTGTACCTGCTGTGGGACCCTACCACCTGGAAGAAGATTCGTGTAAGTGCTTTTCACAGGGTTTTAGTGAGATCAGATGTGCTAACATATTCTCGCAGCGTGATTTCATCCTGCGCTATGAGGATCTGGACAACCGGCTGGATTCCAACCGAGTAATCAGTCGTGGCGCAAGCCAGGCGCATCATGCGTCATAAACTGACGTAGATGCGTTTTTGGGCCAGTCCTTTCTCGAATCGGAAAATGGTGTTTGGCTCCTTGTTCTATGTGGTCTTGCTTCAAGGGTGTTCGATCGTACAGTGTCGTTCTGGACATGGGCGCGTTTATTTAACGGGGAAATTAAATGGGCAATGTCATACAGTAATGATCTCACTTTGAATGGCATTTATGACTAACAAAATCTTTTTCATTCGTAACTTTCGTTCGAATTACCTACTACTACTCTGTAGTATGTTTCAATATAGTAGGTCTGAACCCAGTAATATCAATGCCCAGGTTCGATGACTACTACTTAGAAGGTGATGCAATCCTCGATTGTATTGACCATACACTATTTCTCAATCATATTGACATTCTGGTGCACATGTAGCTCTTCAACTACCAATCACCCAATATCTCTAGAGACTTATGACTCTGTCGAGCTAGGCTTCTGAGCTGTTGATAAAATCGCCACCCACTCCGTTGGCACCTCTCCGTTTTCTCCATATAGACCAATCAGGTACTTCTCCAATGCCGGTTTGAACTTGTCCTTGCTCTCCTGTCGCATTTCCTCCGTCCAGAATAAATTGAGTACCACAGGCAGCATGAACATGGTCATATCAACAAACTCGTCAACTGAAAGAGGGTTGTGTCTCGTGACCGGGTTAACCTTGATATCACAGAAGCCTCGGTCTTTGAGTTGGGCTTCGATCCAATTCACAGAACTCCATTGACCATTGCCGATGACGCTCAAAAACTCGTCGGCGGTGGGCCAAGGCAGGTCACTGGATATACTTGCAACTGCCTTTCCTGCAGCCAATAGCCAGCCAGCTGAATGACAATAACCTGGTCAGTGTATATCTCGAAGATATTTTCTTTACCGGCAAAGTTGTGGTAATAGTATGTTGACTTACGCTCTATCCAAGTGCTGAAGGCAATGGTTCCCCCTGGTTGCAAGATCCGGGTCGATTCTATAAACAAACCGGTTAGACCATACATAACTATCGGATGAAAAGAAAGCGAGCAAGCAATTGAACTTACCATCCAAGGCAGCCAAGCCTCGAGGAAGGGCCATAAAAGCTAGGGATCGGAAACACATTAAATCAGTAATTTCTAGGAGTAGGTAGTGCCCTCCAGCCAGAAATCACATACCAAAGGCCGTAAAGGCGTGAGTGAAAAGTTCCGATGGTAGCTTGGTATCTTGCGCGTCAACGGTCTTCACTTCTGCATTGAGCCACTTTTCGCTCTCTAGCCGACGTCGAGTATACTCAAGCATTCCAGGCGAGACGTCGGAGCATGTCAGCTGCCAGTTGGTCTTGACTTCGTGGTCAAGGTCGCGTTGAAGGATGCTAGAAATAACTCCAGTGCCACAAGCGTTGTCAAGGACCAAAAGCGGACAGTCTCGAGACGAGTGAGAGTCGGCTACAATGCCAGTCTGGTCAATCAGAAGTTGAGCGAACTCCCCGGTGACCTTTTCGCCAAGCCTGTAAGATTTGATATACTTGTCGTCATTGAAGAGAATGTTGAAATCTGGGCTTTCCTGGGCCATGATTGAGGATGTTGAGATTGATTGGTTGGCTCGGATGATTCAATTGTATGTGTGTACGATCTTCAATGGACCTCCAAGGTTTGATTCTTGAAGTTTGAGCACTTGAGGAGATGAATCCAGGTTCTGAGAAAACTTACTGACTTGAACTTCTGGGGGCCTTTATATATAGGCAATACAGGCTTCAATGTCCATACTACTATATACAATGGAAAAGGTTGGACATTTACAGAAGTGAAAAATGAAAAGTCTCCGAGAAAGTCTCCGCAAGCTAATCTGAGCTGGAAGCCTTGAACAAACTAGTAGTACTTGTGCTGTACATACTAGTAGGTTGTTGGAATCGAAAGGGAACGCCACCTCATCGCACATTAGGTACAGTACTAGGGTACCTTGGGATAAGGCGGAAGAGCTCATTGGTGAGTTGTTCCAAAGTGGAGAATTGTCTGTAACATAGTGCTTACTTGAGATGAGGTGAGATTGAGATAGTAGTAATACTTGGCGTGCATTTGACGGAGACATTTGGAAGAAAAGTGCCCGGGGCACTAGTTAGTAGTATATGCCAATGATAATTGTATGAGGGCTGCACGTGATGGATGTTGATCCTGCTTATGTCATTACTAGAAGGCGCTAGTGCAAAACGGGCAAACCATAAACACCTGATTTGCGGGCAAAACAACAATCGCGCCCCTCTTCATCTCCCCGACCTTAGATGTACTCCGCATAGCGAGCCGACTCGCTGTCGCAACCATGAGGATCACAGAAATTGTGATTGACGTATGTTACTCAACCTGTGCTGTTTCTGCGCTGAGCTAATTGATGGGCTGTAGGGCTTCAAATCGTACGCTGTGCGTACGGTTATCTCGGGATGGTGCGCAACTGATCCAGCTCCCCGGAATCAAAGTGCGGGAGCATGATCGCAAAGAGGATGGGCTAACCGGAAATCCAGGGATGAATCTTTCAACTCCATTACCGGTCTAAACGGCAGTGGTAAATCCAACATTCTCGATGCCATTTGTTTCGTTCTGGGTATCACCAACATGTCAACCGTCCGAGCGCAAAACCTCCAAGATCTGATCTACAAGCGTGGTCAGGCCGGTGTAACCAAAGCCAGTGTTACTATCGTTTTCGACAATCGCGATACCTCCAAATCTCCGATCGGTTTCGAAGAGTATGCAAACATCTCCGTCACCCGCCAGATCGTGCTGGGCGGCACCAGCAAATACTTGATCAACGGCCACCGCGCGCAACAGCAGACTGTCCAGAACCTTTTCCAGAGTGTCCAGCTGAACATCAACAACCCCAACTTCCTGATTATGCAAGGTCGTATCACAAAGGTGCTGAATATGAAGGCAGTGGAGATCCTGTCGATGATCGAGGAAGCGGCTGGCACACGAATGTTCGAGGATCGACGAGAGAAGGCGATTAAGACAATGGGCAAGAAAGAATTGAAACTGCGCGAGATTGAGGAACTTTTGAAGGAAGAGATTGAACCAAAGCTAGAGAAGCTTCGATCTGAGAAGCGTGCGTTCCTCGACTTCCAACAAACGCAGAATGACCTCGAACGATTGACTCGTCTTGTTGTCGCACATGACTACATACGCGGCGGAGAGCGGCTACGCGTTGCGGGTGAGGAGTGCGACAGAAAGAGGGAGACAGTGCAGACATTGGAAGAGAATGCGATCAGGCTGAAGGGTGAGATCGCACACTTGGAAGAAGATGTTAAGCGGGTCCGGTCCGCACGCGACAAGGAGCTCCGTAAGGGCGGCAAATTCCAAGGCCTCGAAGACGAAGTCAAGAATCACTCGCACGAGCTGGTTCGATTGACAACTGTCTTTGACCTGAAAAACTCAAGCGTAGTTGAGGAGAAAGAAAAGCGCAAGGTCATTCAAAAGTCCGTCAGTGATCTCGAGAAGGCACTGAAGGAAAAGCGAAAGATCTACGAAAAGCTTCAGGCCCAGTATGATGCCGCCAAATCCGAGCTTGATGCGCAGAATGTCGAGGTGGAACAGAAGGAGGAACTTCTTCAAACCTTACAGACAGGTGTTGCTTCCAAGGAGGGACAAGAAAGCGGCTACCAGGGACAACTACAGGATGCACGAAACCGGGCCAGCAATGCCTCCACAGAGCAAGAACAAGCAAAACTGAAGATCGCTCACCTTGAGAAGAGAATCAAGGAGGAGGAACCGCGAGCTAAGAAGGCCAAGGAGCAAAACCAAGGCCTTCTTAAGGACCTAGAGGGCCTGAAGGCCCAAGCTAAGAAGCTGGAGTCAGAGCTTAGTCGTCTAGGCTTTGAGCCTGGCAAAGAGGAGCAAATCTATCAAGAACAGGCTCAGCTTCAGCGTGATATCCGAGACCTCCGCCAACGTGCTGACGGTCTCCGACGAAAGGCGGCGAACATCGATTTCAACTATTCCGATCCTCATCCCAACTTCGATCGTTCGAAGGTTAAAGGCCTGGTTGCTCAACTGTTCACCTTAAACAAGGATCAAGTCCCAGCCGCCACTGCCCTCGAGATCTGTGCTGGTGGTCGTCTATACAACGTTGTGGTAGACTCCGCCGAGACTGGTACCCTGCTGCTTCAGAAAGGAAAGCTGCGAAAGCGTGTGACTATTATTCCTTTGAATAAGATCTCAGCATTCAAAGCCTCCGCGGAGAAGATCGGAGCTGCTCAGCAGCTTGCTCCAGGCAAGGTTGATCTTGCCTTGTCTTTAATCGGATACGATGAGGATGTGCTTGCAGCGATGAACTACGTCTTCGGCAACACCCTTATCTGCAACGATGCGGATACAGCTAAGAAGGTCACATTCGATCCTTCTGTCCGGATGAAGAGTGTGACTCTTGAAGGCGATGTCTACGACCCCTCTGGTACTCTGTCCGGTGGAAGCGCTCCTAACTCTAGTGGAGTGCTTGTAACCCTACAGAAGCTCAACGAGATTACCAAGGAGCTAAGGAGCAAGGAGCGCCAGCTTGCCACCTTGGAAGATAATATGAACAAGGAGCGCAAGAAGCTCGATGCGGTTCGATCAATCAAGCAAGATCTGGATCTCAAAACCCACGAGATTAAGCTCACTGAGGAGCAAATTAACAGCAACTCTTCTTCTTCAATTATTCAAGCAGTCGAAGAGATGAAGTCAAACATTGAGCAGTTGAAGAGTGACATTGCCAACGCCAAGACTCGCCAAGCGGAAGCATCGAAGGATATCAAGCGCATCGAGAAAGATATGAGCGAGTTCAGCAACAACAAAGACAGCAAGTTGGAAGAGCTTCAAACTTCGCTTAATGCTCTCAAGAAGAGCCTCACTAAGAATTCTGCTTCAGTAAAGGAACTTCAAAAGGAGCTTCAGTCGTCTCGGCTGGATTCTGAGCAGGCTGGAAGTGATCTTTCGGCGGCCGAAGAGCAGCTGGCCGAGTCAGAAAGCACATTGCAGGCTCAAGCGGAGGAGATCGAGTCTTTGCAGCGGGAACAAACTCGGCTCAAGGACGCCCATGATATTGCCCAAGCACATCTTGAGGACGAGCGGGCCAAGCTGACTGGATTTGATGATGAGCTTGCTGAGCTTGATGAGGCAATTAAGACCAAGTCATCGCAGATTACTGAAGAGGGCTTGGAGATGCAAAAGCTGGGTCACCAGCTCGAAAAACTCCAAAAAGACCAGCATACCGCCTCTCAAGCTGTCGCTCATATGGAGCAAGAGCACGAGTGGATTGCCGATGAGAAGGAGCAGTTTGGTCGTGCAAATACCCCATACAACTTCCAAAACCAGAATATCGCTGAGTGCAAGTCGACATTGCGCAACTTGACCGAACGTTCCCAGGGCATGAAGAAGAAGATCAACCCCAAGGTCATGAATATGATCGACAGCGTCGAGAAAAAGGAGGCTGCTCTGAAGAACATGATGAGAACCGTCATTCGGGATAAGAGCAAGATCGAGGAAACCATACTCAATCTTAATGAGTATAAGAAGGAAGCCCTTCATAAGACCTGGGTCAAGGTCAATGGTGACTTTGGACAAATCTTCAACGAGCTTTTGCCGGGCAGCTTTGCCAAACTAGATCCGCCCGAAGGCAAGGATATCACAGACGGCCTGGAGGTCAAGGTGTCACTGGGTAAGGTCTGGAAACAGAGCTTGACGGAGTTGAGTGGTGGACAAAGGTATGTCTCTTGGAACCAATTACCCCCTTTCCACATGAATATTTTTACTAATTTTGAAAAAGGTCTCTTATTGCCTTATCCCTGATCATGGCACTCTTGCAATTCAAGCCCGCTCCGATGTACATTCTCGATGAGGTGGACGCCGCGTTGGATCTGTCCCACACACAGAATATCGGACGATTAATCAAGACCCGGTTCAAGGGATCTCAGTTTGTCGTCGTATCTCTCAAGGATGGCATGTTCCAGAACGCCAACCGTATCTTCCGCACCCGGTTCAGCGAGGGTACCAGTGTCGTTCAGGCATTGACCCCTGCTGACATGAAATAAGTATCATGAGAATGTGTTTATTGATCATTGGTTTTGTCTATTCTTCCTTTTTTTTGTTCTTTTTTGTATTGTTCTAGCCTGGTGCGAAGCATTTACTATTTGACAGCTCATTGGACTGTGGCAGCTGGTGTTGTATGGTTTTGAGTGTTTGGTCTGGCTTCTTGGTTGGGAAGGGATATCGGTTCATGATCTATCTATGCATGATGAAGACTTTGTTATTTTTATTTTCTTGCACAAGATTTTTTAGTTGTTCTCCTCAGAGATAAGTCAGGATTCATGTGGATTTTGATTTTCTTATATGAGGGTCGGATTAGATGAACAGTTGATCCAACTTGGGATTCTGTATACATAAACTTGCAAAAACGGTGAACCTTGGAACATTCAATGTTAGGAACAAGCGTTAGCCTTTGTAATCTAGGTCAGCACGTGCGCTAGAATTCGCCCCCGAAACTCCTCCATCAGCAAAGCAACTTGAGAGTTCCCTCTTTATTATAACTACTAGCACTGCTAAGAAACACGCTCTCTCGGCCCGGACTTGATCGTTGATACGGTTCCCGAGGTCGGCATCCCAATCCACATGACCTCCTGCCCAACCCGGAATTACTCCGCCTTCGCCCGCACTCTTTTGACTCAAACCAGACAACCTTCAGAGCGCAAATCGCTCACGGCACAATGCACGAAGATGAGCCCTCACTCAACATCCCATCGCTCCTGACATTAGCAGTTGTATCTTACTTCGTGCTACGATGGTTCTTTAATCGCGACGAGGGTACTAGCGGAGGCCGGCCCCGCGGTCGTGGCAATGTTGTTGATCCAGCCCAAGTAGAACAGATCGCTCAAATGTTCCCTCAGCTGAGCACTCGCGATATCATGTGGGACTTGCAGCGCAACGGTGGCAGTGTTGCGGCGACGACAGAACGAATCCTGGCTGGGCGGGGGCTGGAAACGGTATGTTTTGCGACTCTCCGATGTCATCATTCATAATACTCGTCCACCCCGCTATCTCTCGGATCAGAATTGCCTTCCATTCTGATTGTTTTTGCATACTGATCTCTTGTTCTCTAGCCTCCTCCGTCATTTCAACCCCAGGTTGTAACGCCCCGCGGGCACGGGGCTACCCCGGCTCTGGCTACATCGACGGCTGCGACAGCGTCTAAGGGGAACGGACAAGACTTGATCTCTCGGTACAATCTCAGTGCGAAAATCGTGTCCGAAAGTGAAGAACCCCAGCCGCCCGCTTCCACAAGTGCTTGGTCTCAGAATAAAGAGGAGCGACAGCGTTTGCTTCAAAAACGCCGAGATGAGATGATTCTGGCGGCGCGGAGGAAGATGATGGAGAAAGGCAAGGACCCAGCCCAATGAGTTGAATGTCCATCTTGTTAAATAATTGCACCATCTTGATTTCGGACTCTTTGTTTCCTGACGAAGCTTGGCACAAAATCGCTCATACCTATTATGTTTGCGTTGGGGATTTCTCCCACTCATTCATGGCTTGCGGGATGTTCCTCTCTACTTTCGAAATGTTTTGTACTAGAGCGTTTTGCATGCTTTACGGTGTTGGGTATAAATTGAAATAGCTTCTTGAATTGATGGATTGAATCAATGGTTCAAGATGAGAGCTCGAGACCAACCAGTCCTTCAACCTTGGAAGGTTCAAATGTTCCAAGGTTATCGTAAAACTGAAGATATAAAAGATCAATGCCCAGGCGGGTCTATAGGTAGATATGATTATGAAAATTGCAGCCACGCCACTCCAGGGTTTTTCGCATCTAGGTATGGAAACTTCATTCTATGCAATCGCCAGGTGACCATATGTACCTGGCCGTTATGAGAAGTATGTAAAAAAACCTGGAACTCATGAATAGGCATTGAATCTTCCCAAAATGGAAAAGGAAAGCCGAGATTTGGCAGCCATTATCCTGTACGTATGCACCTTGAAACGCCAAAAAAAACCAATGTAAGACCGCCCAATGGAAAAATCCAGATGCAACGCGTTTAAAACTCCATATAATCCTCTTCCTCATCTTGGGTTCCATTATACCCACTTGCACGTTGCTCAGCCAGCTGTTCCCGTCGAGCTTGCTCCTTTGATGCGCCAATTTTCCTTATCTTTGAGTTAGCTCAAACAAGTCTTGAAAATTCATAATTGAGTATGACTTACCGAAGATTATCGACCACGCCGACCAGGAATCCACGTTCCTCGCCCAACTCCATGGCACCAACACCTGTCAGTGCAACGCCGCCACCACCAGTTGCAGCCGAGTCTAATACATCTACACCAGAGCGCATTTTGGACATTCGTACCTCGCGCAAGTCCTTTAGCAACCGTCGGATTTGATCCGGGTCGACCAAGTCATCGCTCGCTACATCAAGAAGCATGTTCCCAACCTCCACCCAATGAAATGGCAACGATGGGACCTCTGAAGCAGACGCTCTCGCTTGGGCAGTATTTTGCGGTAGAAAAGGTGGCGCAGCCAAATATCTATCACCGTCCGGCGTGTATTGTGGTCGAGCGACGGCCTCTTGTCCTTGTTCGTGGAGACTAGGTTGGCCAGGGAGCGGGGGTGGAGGTGAGAAAGCATCTTTATAATCTGGGTGTCCAGACTCAATTTCGAAAATCAACGTAAGCGGTTCTGGGTGTAGCCATGAAGGGGGTATGATGTTGGCACGGCGTTGACGTTTTAGGAGCATCGCAAGCCAGAGGGGAACGGAGGCGCGACGAGGTGGACCGAGGGGTTCGATGGGGCCCTGAACGAAGTCAATTTGGTGTTCTGGGATATCTGAAGCCTCAAAATTGGGATTGATTTACTTACTCCAAGCAACTCCAAAGCCTCCAGACGCTGTCGAGGCACGATGGTCACCGTCTCCATCTCTGCCAGGAAAGCGATCTCCGAGGGCGCGATGCCCTGTGGGAGAGGGAATGCCATTACTGCGTCACGATAATAAAATGGACGCCTTTGTGGACATAGTATCCCGTCAATTGGACAAATATCTAGGCCTTCACGCCGTCAATGCGGCCTGATGGTCTCGTCGCGGCGGGATCGAACCGCGGCGGGATGCTAAATGCGTTGTTTGGCGTGTTTGCAACTTCGATGGGGTAGCTTCTCGTACACGTAGATTCTTGTCCGCTCCAATCTCAATTCCAAAATTCCTTAGCTATTTGAGCTTGTTAAGTGTTGTTTGGAAGCTTCGGGCTTTGTAACAAGATGAGTTCCGCTCTAGAGTCAAATCTGAGCCGCGCTGCGCGCTACGCCATTCCATTCGCGCTGGTGTTCATCCCGCTCTGGAGGACCAAAGTCCAATCCGAAGTCCCCGAACCATACCTTGACGAGGTATTCCATGTCCCCCAAGCACAGGCTTACTGGGCACACCAGTGGACACATTGGGATCCCAAAATCACGACTCCGCCCGGCTTGTATCTGTGGTCGTATCTGCTCTGCGCCGCATTGCTCACTCTCCGCGGGTCTCCGACAAAGCTCACGACCGAAGCTCTCCGCACCACGAATGTCGCCACTACCGCCATTTTCCTTCCCTGGAGACTCCAGACCCTTTCGGATGCAGTGCATAACGTGAAGAATAACCGGACTCTGGGCGCTTGGCTGAGCCATTCCGTCTTGAACATATGTTTGTTCCCGCCGCTGTTCTTTTTCTCCGGTCTCTACTATACCGACATTCTTGCTCTCTTGGTCGTGATTGAAGCGTATAACTGGGATTTGAAGAGGGCAGCTGGAACTGGCTTTGCGGCTTTCTTTTCCACGCTGGGTTTCCTCGTTTTTGGACTAGCTGCGCTTGCTTGCAGGCAAACGAACATCTTTTGGGTCTCGGTCTTTCTAGGTGGGCTACAAGTTGTTCGCAAGATTCGAAAGTCTTCCGAGGCATGCAAATCGTCTGCTTTCTCGGATATTGTGAAGGGTGGTCTGAATAATGAGATCTACGATCCTTTGGTCTCGGAAGCTTCCTTGACAGGTAGGTTTGACCAGCACTGGTTCATCCCACAAGTATACTAACTGAATGGTCAGATTATTTCAAAACTGCCATCTCATTTGGAACTGCTGGCCTCAGCAATCCGATCTCCACTGTGGTTTCGATCACACCACACATCATTATTCTCGGAGCTTTTGGTGCATTCGTTTTTTGGAATGACGGTGTGGTGCTTGGTAGGTTATCCACATTCTGACTTGATGTTCAAATCGAATACTTTCCAAGCTAACAATGTCCTGTAGGTCATAAGGAGTTCCACACAGCTGGCATCCATTTAGCTCAAATGCTTTACATTTGGCCGTATTTTGTCTTCTTCTCTTGGCCACTGCTTGTCATCCCTGTGGCTAATGTCATTCTCCCAAGTACATTTTTGCCTAAATATTTCAACTATGGTTTCCCGGAGAAGCAGCGACGCCTTCCCAAGCTCATCGCTGTTTTGGTTGTTCTTCCTCTCATGCTTGCCATCGTCCATTTTAACACCATTGTACACCCTTTCACTTTGGCCGATAACCGACACTATGTCTTCTATGTGTTCCGCCTTCTACTGGGTGTCCACCCTGCCGTGAAATATGTGGCTGTTTTGGTTTACTTTGTCTGTGGATGGTCCGTTCTTTCGGCCTTTGGTTTCTCTATTATTCAAGCGCCGCCACGACTGCTGCGAATTCCCCAGGCTCCAGCTCCAGCACCCGCACCTGCCCCGCCTGTTGCAACACCTGCCAGCGATCCAGCTCAAGGGAACAGAAAGACACGCCGAGCCAACGAGAAGACCGCAGCCAAAAAGGAACAGCAACCGAAGAAGTCGAAACCGAAGACTAAACCGAACCAGCCCGATCCTGTGGCGCTCGAAGCATATGCCAGAGTTCAAGAAGGCCTCATCAAACGTCGCAAGGAGCAGCCAGGCGCTCCACGTGTTAGCTTCGTTCTCGTGTGGCTTGCAGCTACTACCCTGTCTCTTGTAACCGCTCCCCTTGTGGAGCCCCGCTACTTTATCATCCCCTGGGTGATGTGGCGCCTGCATCTCCCAGCAATGCCGAGCCTTGCTGCATTCCGGAAGCAGCGTCCGCAAACTGAAAAGGAGAGAGAACTTGTTGATCTGGCTACCAATATTCCCAAATTCGTGGAGACTGTCTGGTTCCTGGTCATCAATGCAGTGACTGGATATTTCTTCCTGTACAAGGGCTTTGAGTGGCCCCAGGAGCCAGGCAAGATCCAACGGTTCATGTGGTAATGTTCCAAGGCTGACCTCGAGAACGTCTGGAAACGATGCCCACATAGAACTGCTTGTATGAGTAGCTGTATAACACTTCAAAATTTTGTAACTAGTAATACATATATACTTTCTTCAATCTTTTATCTCTCAAAGTCCAAATTGATCTCATGCTTTCTACTTATTTAAGCAGGAGTGTAAACAAAAGTGAGATCGTTGTACAGGTAACAGTAGTAGTATATACTACTAGTGCTAAGTAATTATTATATTGATTTCCCAATTGGGACTAGTGCGTGTTCTGCCAGACCGCGCGTAGTAGATAGTGAGTGAGTCGTGATACTTTCGTTTCTCACCTTCCACAACACGAATTACCAGCCTTTTGCTTCTCTGTTGCTCTTGATCCTTCTTCTGCTTCTCCCTGTAGTCAACTGGTAATTTATTACAGGGAGGAGCACTGACACAGAAAAACCCCAGCGACAATTGTCATTTGTGAACAGATTTACGTGCATACTAGTAGTAAGTCCAGAACGTACTCTCAAACCTCATCTCAAAATTACGCGTCACGCAGGCCACAAATTCGAGGCCGCTCGCCCCTCATGGCTTCCTCACGCAAGCGTTTGAGAGTCTCCTTTAGTCTCCCCCCAGAGGAGGATATCCCCTCTCCATCGTTGCCATCTCTACAAAGGACTGTCTCGCCACCTCAAAGCAAACGCTCCAAGAAGCCCATGGCACATGGAGCCGCAAAAAACCAGACCAATGCCCACCATCCGAGTCTGATTTCTTCTCCCTTCGAACTCACCCATATCAAAGATCTCCCAGACAAAGAAGGTCTCAACGATGACACAGTCAAACTACGGGATATTCTTGGGCACCCTTTGATCAAGGAGTGTTGGCAGTTCAATTACTTGTTTGATGTTGATTTCATGATGTCCAACTTCGACCAGGATGTCAGAGGCCTCGCACAAGTCAAAGTTGTTCATGGGACCTGGGAGGAGAAATCATGGAATAAAATGACCATTGACGTTAGTATAACTTGACCCTTTGCTGGGAAAGTTCATTAATATACTGGGTGCAGTTTGTGGCTTACCATAAGTAGGAATCATGCTCTCGCTACCCGAATGTCAAGCCCATTACGGCCATTCTGCCCGAACCCTTTGGAACTCACCACTCCAAAATGATGATTATCTTCCGACATGATGACCTGGCTCAGTAAGTTTCCTTTTCCTTTTGGCTTGGAAGATATATAACATTGTTGCTGATCATTCCAGGGTTGTTATCCACACAGCCAACATGATTCCACAGGACTGGGCAAATATGACACAAGCGGTTTGGCGATCTCCGTTACTACCGCTGCTGGGCCCGGGGAGCACATCCTCTTCACGGGAAGACACAATTTTAGGATCAGGTCTACGGTTCAAAATGGATCTTCTCGAATATCTGCGGGCATATGGTCTCGAAAAAACCGGACCGCTAGTTCAGCATCTAAGTCGGTTTGATTTTAGTGCAGTGCGTGCTGCTCTGATTGCAAGTGTGCCCTCGAGACAAAAGCTGAATGGCTTGGATTCCAACGAAGCAACATTATGGGGCTGGCCAGCTCTGAGAGACCTCACGACCCAGGTGCGCTCTAAGGTAGCCGGACAGAGTCACAAAGACTCTCAAATTGCTATCCAGGTATGAATCTTTAATACGTCTGGGATAAAAAGGGAGATTTCTAACATCTGTCAGGTCTCATCGATAGCTTCTCTTGGTAAAGATGACCAATGGCTCAAGAACTTTTTCAAAGCTCTTGCACCGAGATGCAACCACCCACCAAATTGCTCAATCATATGGCCAACAATGGATGAAGTCGCTGATTCCTTGGACGGTTATGCATCCGGTGGCTCACTCCACATGAAAACTGAGAGTGCAGCCCATCAGAAACAACTTCAATACTTACTCCCGCATTTATGCCAGTGGTCCGGGGATTCAAATGTCATTCACCCATCTGCTGGGGACGACAACCCCAAGCGCAAGGCTGGCCGTGGCCGCGCTGCGCCGCACATTAAAACATACATTCGATTTTCCGATGCGTCGATGAACACCATTGATTGGGCCATGTTGACATCGGCAAATTTATCTAAACAGGCTTGGGGTGCGGTCCAAAATGACAAAGGCCAAGTGAGAATATCCAGCTTTGAGATTGGGGTGGTCGTTTGGCCGAAGCTGTACATTGATTCCTCTTCGCCGTTGCCTACACGCACTAGGAAGCCTCCGAGCGTGCTGATGGTACCTTGCTTCAAGCGGAACCAACCTGAACCTTCCAATCTATCTCCAAAAATTACTACTGTGGTTGGATTGCGTATGCCATATGATCTTCCTCTCACTCCGTATGGCACACATGATGAGCCGTGGTCTGCAATAGCGCTGCATCAGGCAATCGGTCTGATGGGATTTTGATCCATGTTACAAGGAACTTGACTTCTTTATTGTTGCATTGATAGTTTGGTCATTAGTATTGCTTTAATTGCGCCAAGCCAGGGAGGATGACAGTTACTTTATCCGCTTAACTCTTGATATAGATTAGTATGAAATGAAATAATACATACCCATCAATTGATGATCCATCCAGATGTCCTGAGAGAATATTATGTATATCTACTAGGTAGTAGTAGTAAGTAGTAGGCATGCCCAGAAGGCCCTAAGGGTTGAAAATTTCAAGGTAATGCCCAGATGTAATAGTGTTATGTTCCGAGGTTACATAGTCTGGTAGGTTAGTATCAATTGATTTTTTAAACATCAATGCTTGTTTATGTGTATCATCACCTAGGCAGTAAATGTCAAATCTGATAAACTCAAGTACGCCTACCGATGCAAGTCGATACCAACACTGGTGAAAACACTCGCTATGCACCCGAATAGAGAGACAGGAGAGGAAATATATGTACAATCAGGAAACCGCCTTGGATAAGAATAAAGTGAAATGTGCCAGTGCCTTCACCAGTCTACTGCCCACCCGTTGTTGGTCAAAAACTCTTCACAGGCCGCCTTGAGAGCATAGTTCGTTCGCAGGTCCTGGACAGTCATAGCAACTCGAGTAAGGGGATCCACACCAGCTTTCTCCACATACTTGACGATTCCAATGCGATCAAAACTAGTACCAGACGGTGTGATAACAGGATCGTGCATGATCTCGAAAGTGATCCCATCAACCAAGTAGTCAGGCACAACCTAGAAAAAAAAAATCAGCACAGTCCAGCAGATCATGGAACCCGTAGTCAAGAAAAAAAAAGGGGGGGGGGGGGGGGGGGGTCCCAAAAGAAGACTTACACGTTCCTGCACCTCCCCCTTAGACGCAATCCTGAATGCGTCCCGCACATCCTTGACCACCTTCTCCGCATCCTCTCGAAGCGCCTTACAATCCTCCCCGAACCCAATCTCCCCAATCTCCCCAGCCTCAAGCTGAGCTCTAGACTCAGCAATCGAGCGCTCCAAATCCCTCTCCACAAGCCCCTCCACATCCCTCAGCGTCTCGTTCATCTCCCGCAGTCTCGCCGTTTCCCTGGCCGCCCAAATCTGCTGCTTCGCCCGCAGAACAGTACGCGACAAGTTCTCCGTCTGCACACTCTTCTCCGTCAGACTAAAATCGTACGCGCCCACGGCGACATCATACGCCTCCTGCGGGCGCTGGAGACCCAGGAGCGCCTGGGAGAGGTAGAAGGAGCTCTTGAGGGTTGCAGTGTTCTTGGGGCCGTATATGTCGATGGCGGCGCGCGCATCATGCTCGACGCCAGCCCATTTCTCGAGCTTGATGCGTGTGATGGCGCGGTTGGTGAAGAAAGTCGCGTCGCGGGGATCTTTGAGGATACTGTAAGGGCAAGGCGGTGTTAGTTTTGGTATTGATATGCGTCCGTATTTGGTTTGCGCTGCGCTATGCGCATATACCGAGGTAATGTGATTGGGTGGGATAGGTTCATCGCGGGGTTTAGTCGCGGGACTGGTCAGATCGCTCTTACGCTTGAGAGTATAAGTCTTCGGCACCGACGTAGTCGCCTTGTTTGAAGAGCTCGTTGGCCTTTGTCTTTAGTGCTTGCGCCATCGCGGGGGATTTGGTGCTCGGTTTTCTCTCTCCTTTTTTTGCGGTCACCGTGAGGTTGCTAGAAGAGACGTACTTTGAAGAGGACTTTTGGAGTCGCTGATCAATCCGTCACTCCCCAGGTGGGGCGGCCCACCTTTGTACACAGTAGTGGGATTCAAAGATCAGGGGTGAAGGTTTTCTGTGGAGCATGAGATGTAGTACTAATATGCGGCGGGCCTAAAATGCAGATTCGGACAGTTTCACAATGTTTTTCTTTAATATTTAGAAGATAAATCAGATTTGGAGAGGTTGGCAGAGTCATAGTTGCCCGTTGTAGAAGTGTATCGATCCCCGCAGAACCTCAGATGAGTCAGCCCGGTCCATTGTTTTGACAATCTACTAAGTAACTAACTATTACCTACTAGGTGGTCACCTAACCAGTCGACTACCTAGGTGTGTTATGGCAGGGCAGCTGAATGGCATATACCCGTTTCTTTAAACAAGTTGAAATGGTTACTCTGGGTAGAAAATATCAAGACTGCAAGTTTCGCATTGTGGTGTTTAATATATAGAGTTCCTCTATCATCTAACTCCCAACCTGTACAGCAGGAGTCGACATTGGATTCGTGGTATCATGACGCGCTTAGTATATCGACAGAAGAATAATCTGACCAAGTTGCGCCAAGCTTAGCGCAACAAGATGTTGAAAAATAGCAACAAAAGACGGTAGGGGCAGATCGTCTCAGGTTGCAAGAAGAGAAGAGAAGAAACCCCATTTGGTCGAAGGGAAGATTTCACAGTCTAGACCTGACCAGCGAACTGAGTCTCGTAGTCAGAGATGGCCTGAACCTTGGCAGCGGAGCCGCTCTTGGGGTCGAAGCGGTACTGCAGCCAGTCGACGGCAAGCTTCTTGGCCAGCTCGACACCAATGACACGCTGGCCCATGCAAAGGACCTGGGCGTCGTTGCTCAGGATGGCGCGCTCAACGGAGAAGGGGTCGTGAGCAGTAACGGCCCGAATACCGGGCACCTTGTTGGCGGCGATGGCGACACCGAGACCGGTACCGCAGATGAAGAGACCGCGGTCAGCCTTGCCCTCCTTGATGAGCTTGGCACCCTCGACAGCGGGGTGAGGGTAGGCGGTCTTGTCGTCGGAGGTGTTGACACCGACATCGATGATGGAGGCAACGCCGGCGTTCTTCTCCAGGACGGCCTTGAGGGCATCCTTGTAAGGAACACCAGCCTCGTCACAGGCCATAACAATGCGAAGGGGTTGAGCAGACATAATGATGGATATTAATATATCGAGGAAAGCTAAGATGCTTTTGAAAAGAGGATTAGGAAGAATTGATTTGTGATTAGACTGAGAGAGCTGGAGAGAAATGGATGTCACTTTGATGTTGAGGCCTTTTCAGGCCCTCTTTATACCTTTGCGTAGGTCTGTCCATCGTGCAACCCAATACTCCCCAGGGTGGAGCACGGGCTGATGGAACCAATCCCTCTCGCATGAGAATGCATCGGGACGAGGAGCAAGTCCCCACTCCCAATTGCAATGAAGTCAGATTCCCCCTGGGCGACTTGATATGTTACGCCGTGTATTCCCAGGTTGGAAGAGTGGATGCCCATAGCGTCATGGAACGGTATTATGCACTGTGACTGGTCAAAACGCGGGGGGAAATCACCTTTATCGCCGGAACCAGGTTTTCAGGCCCGTACGGTTTCCATACACTGATTGTACCCCGTATTTACTCCTCTTGTCCCGCAAACGGTTTCTTAGTTAAGGAAGTATATAGCTTTTGATCGTTCTTATTTTTAAATGTTAATTTATTTTAGCATCTAGACTAGAGAAATTATCAGCCATCGATGTCACTGGCGCCAGGGTGTGGCTTGTGCACATGTCAATTGCATACAGGGTTTAGCAATAGACTGATAATCCCTGAATTTCCGCATTAGAAACGCCCGTGCGAGGTCCTTTGCAGGGGATTGTACATTAACGAGAGGGGAAAGGAGGGGAGAGGAGGGGTTAGTTTACTATGAGGTCAATAATGATAAAAATATCCCAGAAATTGGCTTCTTCTCCCCCTGAAGCCGAAAAGCAAGAAAAAGGTGAGATTAGAAAACTGGGCAGCCTACATCATTTTTCATATTTTCCCGTGAGAGCCGCACCAGAAATATATTCCATATAAACAATCTTGGAGGAACTGGAGGTCCATAGTCGTTTGCCATGCGTGTCCAAGAGTTGAAAGTTGAAACCCACTACATGTTACATATCTTGCATCTTCCCACGGAATCATGCCTATTCGTATGGGCCAAAGTTTCAAGGTTGTAGAGTCTCTGATAAGTACGCATAGACCTTTGTCGGCTTAGACCATGCAATTGTCCCCACTTCCCCACTGGTTACCACGCCATTAATCCAGAACCTACTCCAGAAACCTACTTAGCTTGAGTCTACTCCGGATTTGCATGATCGGTCGTGTGTACTCCGGGGCATCGAGTATAGAGCCAAGCATTAGTATAGGTCTAGATGCGATAAAATAGAAGTGTCAAAGGTGCCAAAGTACAGTCCAAATACAGTGAGTTAAGAGTCAAGACCGGAAAGTGTCACTCTTCCGCTTTGGGATTTTAGCTCTTGCCGCTTTGTAACGAGATTAAAAGCGGCAAGACCCCCCCAATTTCCAACTATAGACAAACTTACAAGTTACAGGTTATTCTAAGGATCCACCACCAGGTTTTGTCTTTTTGCAATCCCGTCCTGTACCTGATCAAACTGGGTATCGCATACTTGCTTCTTTCCCGTCAGCATCTAGACCTCTGTGCTTTGGTCTACTTCCCGCTTCCCAAAGACTGTGACATCACCGATTAGGTCTGTTTAATCGTCCGTGCTCGATCCCCCGGAGGAACTGGGAACATCCCTGAGATACCAACTGCAGCCATAACACTAATGCACGGGCGGGGTTGGGCTAACACCGCCTAGTAGACACGAAAGAAAAGAAGAAGAAGAAAATACAACTCCAACTTTCTGCCCCTCTACATAATTCTCCCTTGTTTATACACGAGATCTCATCCCACCAAACAGCCTACCCAATTGGCATCGTCCTGCACAAAAAATGGCACCAAACTACCCCATACTCCCAGAGAAGCTTCTCCTCATCTCACTGAAGATGTACTTTACCCCGGGCCGCACCCTCGAATACATGCGCGGGCTCCTCGACCCAGCCAACGAGATCGTCAACCCCGCCAACCGCAACAAGCTCCTCCTAGCCCTGATCCCCGACTTCCTAACCATCTGGCCCTGCGCCGAGATCCTCAAAGAATACGAATCCCAGCTCACAGCATCCGGCTCCCTAACCCCTGACTCCCCACCTCCCTTCCTCCTCGGAGCCCAAGACTGCATGTGGGAAGAAGGCGGCGCATACACAGGCGAGGTCTCCCCCGCCTCCATCCGTGCTCTGGGTTGTTCGATCGTCGAGCTCGGCCACGCAGAACGCCGCGCTCTCTTCGGTGAGACGGACGAGCAGACTGCGCGAAAGGCCGCCGCAACCTGTGCGCAGGGCATGATCCCGCTCGTCTGCGTCGGCGAGATCACCGAGCCTGGCGCGATTGCGTCCCAGGCCGTCGGTCAGGCCGTGGCTGAGTGTGCGGTGCTAGTGCGCGCTGTGCTCGCAGCTATCCCGGCCGAGGCCCCAGTCATCTTCGCGTATGAGCCTGTTTGGGCCATTGGGAAGCCCAAGCCTGCTGGAGTTGATCATGTCGGTGCTGTCGTGGAGGGCATACGTGGGGTGATCGGGGGCCGGCCTGCGCGTGTGCTATATGGAGGCAGTGCTGGACCTGGGCTTTGGGGCGAGGGCGGACTGGGTAAGGCTGTTGATGGAATGTTCCTGGGACGATTCGCGCACGAGCTTGAGGGCGTGCGGAAGGTTGTTCGGGAGGTAGAGGAGAGTCTTGGTGTCGCGGCTTGAACTGATTGGGTTCTATCGATCTGAGCTACGACTACGAGATTTACGCAACAGTCGTGGGAGAATTATAATGGCCATCTACTCTTGATTCAATTGACAAAATTGAATTGCGACAGAGCACTGGTATTGTCGTTTCGCACCTTACACCATACCGTCATTGTTATACAAACAAAATACCAGGTGGACATGCCGGTGGATGCATGGACACATCAAAACAAAAGCAAAGCCCCCCAAAAAACGGTCTAGAAAATTGCATCTCACCCAATCTTCATGCGAACCAGAAAGAAACAGGTACCACTTTTCTCACTTTTAGTGGGTCGTGACGAGTAGGAGAATCCCCGACTTTCTCGGGAAAGCCTATCTGGGGGATCCCGAACGATTGGAGAACCCTTCCACTCCACTAGAAGAGCTTCTATGGGGCTCCAGGGACTCCACGTCTGAGGGGTTGTCACTACGGGGGCAGATCCTTTGACTTGTCACGAGAGCAATCTAAGATCTGCAAGCTCTCCAAATATTACATTCTCTTTTCTTTCAAATTTGCACTTGTTTTCCCACGGGAAGCCTCCAGCATTTATTTGTTAGTGTTGGTGTTCCTCTCATGTTTTTTCTTTCGGTTCAATGACCGCGGAACTGGAACGTGGGGTCCGGCTGTCTTTTAGTCCACTTTATAGTGGATTCCAGAACTGATGCAGTAACCCGAGCTTTTGACCCCTCATTCGCACGGCATTTGTGGACTATTTGTGGGATTGTGGCATTCAGCCCCATACCCTGACCTATACGGCATTGCCTAAGTAGGCAGGATGTGGACATTTACTACCTTCTGGTATATATTGACTCGAGACGAAGCCCTTGTCGGACGAGAAAAGAGACCCGCAAGCGAGGCGAAGAACAAATTCGCATGCTATAGAAGAAACCAAAATTAAATTTAGAGGCTATGATGAATAAAATCAATTGAATGAATGCAAGTGCCTTGTCCTATACCAATGCTATGTACAAAAACAAAAATAAGAAAATCATCTAGTGGCTTTTTTTTCAACTCCCACACCGCTTCATTTCTTCTGCAGCTCGCGCATCTCCTGCTTGACACGGGTGACCGTTCCAATACCGCCATATGTGATACCAGTGTACATCATGGCAACAGAGGCACCGGCGTCAAGGGCCGCACGTGCCTGCTGGCCATTGGTGATACCACCAGAAGCAAAGATCACCTTGCGTGCCTGTTCAGCGGGCGCAGAGGCATCCTGATCAGCAGACTGCTCGGTCGACGGGGGACCCTGGTCCAGCAAGGCGCGGTAACGAGCGACCAGAGGAACGGAGCGGTCAAAGAGCTGCGGGCCGGAGTAACCGCCCGTCTCCTTAAGGGTCTGCTGCTCCTTCTCGGGGAGGGCAAAGCCCTTGGGGACGGCATCGGGCCGACGGTTAGTAGTGTTGCCGACGATCACACCGTCAACACCAGAGTTCCAGACCGCTTCACAGATTCCGGAGATTTGCTCGTCGGAGTCCTCGTCGGGGCTGACCTTGACCATGACAAAGGGCTTGGTCTTGCGCTTGATGTTCTTGGCCGAGCCGACAACGGCCGTCAGGATAGCCGTGAGGGGTGCAGCAGCCTGCAGATCACGCAGACCAGGGGTGTTGGGGCTAGACACATTCACGACGAGGATATCAGCATACGGAGCCACACGATCCACACAGTAGACGTAGTCGCGTGCGATAGCGTCGATGTCACCATCCGGGGTGAGCTTGTTCTTGGCCACCTGCACGGCGAGCAGCTTGCCTGAGACAAGACTGCCAGGAGGAACGTTGGCATCGCCATTCAGGACACGCTGCTCAGACTCGTCGTGATCTCCGAAGCCAGCGGCGTAGGCAAAATCGCGAACACGCTGCTTCAGGACCGCGGCCATGTGGTCGGCGCCCTTGGAGTTGAGGCCGTATCGGTTGATCATGCCATGCTGCGAGGGCAGGCGGAAGACTCGCGGCTTAGGGTTTCCGTCCTGGGGGAGTGGAGTAGTGCCACCGACCTCGACGATAGCGGGACCCAGGTCGAGCAGAGCGTCGGGGATATCAGCGTGCTTGTCCAAACCAGCAGAGATACCGATGGGGTTGGAAAGGGTATAGCCAAAGACCTGGAATGAAAATTCACATTAGCAGCCATACGGGTATCATAGCCTTGAGACTGGAAACAAAAACAAAAGAAAAAGAAAAAAAAGAAACAAGCAGAGGACCAACCTCAGTAGCCAAAGCCCCGTCGCTATCGGGGTTACCACGTTCCCGAGGGTGCATGCCATACTCGTAGAGCGACTTCAGCATCTCCACACCAAAGTGATGCGCTTCCTCCGCATCAGGGTACAGCATGCGGATCAAAGGCACCATAGCATAGCGGTGAATGCTAGCCCGGGTATCAGTTCCATAGATGTATCCCACCAAAAGCGCAAGGGCAAACGATGTGCCATAGATGCCTTTTCGGGATCCACGAGCCGCTCGCTTGGGAAGCTCCTTGACAGTCTCCTTCACGGGTTCAGCAGCTGCAGGAGAAGCCGAGTCTGAAGCGTATCGCGCAGCACCAGGCAAGCGCTCGGTCCGCTTCGGTAGGAATGCCAACGGGCGTTGCGACCATCGGGCTGCAGGGAGCGAACGAGCCCGGAGGCCAGCCCTCCAGGCAATTGTGGCGGAAGCAGACGTCATTGAAGGATGTACAATGTGAAGGGTTGGTTTAATTGGCCTTCCTCGGCGTAAAGGCAGCTAATTAGACCTGTATAATTGGTGAGCTTCTTTTTGTTCGTTGATCGGGTTGATTTGGATGTGTGTCTGGTAAATATGAGACAATTGACTTGGTCTGTGGAAGCAATTGTCTCAAATCCCCACAGATATGATAATGATCGGGTTTGGCAATCTTGGAAGGAAGTTTACTTACTGCAATTGCTTGATCCGAGGTTCTGCTACGCCCTTGCAGATCTAAGTTATCAATCATGATTCATGGGCGAAATCGGGTTCTCGGGGCGGGCGGTGAGTGTGAGAAGGCGGTGAATTGGTTGAAGCTACATACTAAGTCCTACTAGTACAATTCCAGAGTTCTCGCATTAACCAGTATTACTACTGCACTTGAACCATTTGCTCAAAGCCAATGACCACTTCGAGTTACTACCGATCTACAAATAGTGTACAGAGAGAAGGGAAGAAAAGAACAAGAACAAGAAAGCTAGATATACTGGTAATAAACGCTCATACATGATAAGAATATTTTAGTCACCCGCAGCCGACCTACTCGTCGCTCATTTGATCACCCGCCTCATCATCGGGAGAATCTGCCTGCTCGGCTACCTCCTCCTCACCCTCTTCAGCGACAGGGGGCTCGGGGGGCGGACCAAGGGTCTTTGCAAACTCCGGATCGATATTCGCGCGGTGAAGAGCACGCTTGTAGACTTCCGACTCGTCAGGGTCACGGACAGCGACCTGCATCTGGTCGACTTGGTCTTCCTTCACCTGAGAAGCAGTAGGGGCCAACCCCGCTTGGGCAATGGTACGGGCCCGCTCAGGCTTAAGGCGCGTCTTGCCCAAGATGCAATAATAGTAAGCGGCCTGCTGCTTATCCTTGCCCTCAGTTGGCTCAAACATAGTGAGAGCAATATCTCTCTGTTTGTTGTCGGTGTTGATGGTCTGAGCACTTGTAGCGTAAGTCCGGACACGATCGTATCGGTGGAATTTATTGCCCTCGGCCCCCTCGTGACCATAGAGATCATCATTATCGCGGTTCGGGTGCTTTGGATCCATGCTGGTGGCAATTTTCGGCACCGACTCTGACTTTTCGGACAGGAAGAGATCATAGTCCCAGGGGACGGGACCAGGGTCAGGATAGACCTCAGGGTTGGCTTTGTGAAGGGCTGCCTTTTGCGCATGCTCCTCGCAAATTCGTTCTTCTGGAGCCGATGGGTGCAGCAAAGCCACATCCATACGCTTATCCCGCTTACCACCGACAGCCGACACTGGTGCTTTGTCAAACTTGAATTGGACCAAACCTCCGGGATCTGTGAAGCCATCGAGATCTGGAAGAACAGGGAAGAAGCCAACAAACTTCAGCTTCGGATTATCAGGGTGAACAGGGTTGGCCCAGGCATCAAGCTCAGCCTTGGTGGCGGGGAGACCCCGGACTCGGCTCTCTGTATCCTCGCCAGTGTACTTGCTCTCCGGGTAGAAGACATCAAAGCCTTTCTGGACAAGCTTTTTCACGTTCTTTGGATCATCGAGTGAAACCTTTGCTTTTTTGATAGAGCGAGTTTGGTTGGCGACAAGGGTGGTGCCAGAAATTGAGGGAGCGCTGCGCTCGACAGAAATATGTTGAGTTCGGCGAAGAAAGCTGACGTTTGTGTTCTTTGGTGCAGGGTGACGAAGTTGATCGAGGGGCATCAGGAGTGGCAGATCCGCAGGGTCGATCGGCTGCGGATTTTCCGGAGCCATGATCGCTATAGAGAAGTGTCAGGGAGAACGGGATTAAGAATTCAACAAAAAAAAGGAATCCACTTACCACTCTCGTCTCCGAGATGCAGACCTGGAATCCCAACCAGGTCAATAGGCATGCCACCCTCGGCATCGACATCAATGTTCGGCTCTTCACGACGCGCAAGGTTGGAGGCAAACCCCGGGGTAAGGAAGCGGCTCAGGCCTTCGTGTGGTATGTCAAGAAACTTCGGAGGCATATCAGGGGGCGGGAGATCATTGCGGTACCGCATCGAAGCGATATAATCCTGGTGGAAGCTCCCAGAGGGCTGTTCCTCCTTAGACTTAGAAGCCATGTCGGCAATAGTAGGCGACTCAGTTATCACAGATTTAAAGAACTCAGGCGATGGAATATTACCACCGGTGTAATGGGACAAAGAGGGAAGCTCTTGTTGAGATCCGTCTGCGCTATGGTTTTGAGAGCCGAAGTGATCACGACCAGAACTTTGGCTTTCTTCAGAAGAATCAGAGGGACCTTTGGTGTTACTACCGTCAGGGTCGCAGTCGTTGTCGGTGTCGTATTCTTTGGAATAACCAGAGCGACCTTCGCTATCACTGCCGCCAGAGTCACTATCGTGGCTTTCTTGGTCTCCTTCGGGAGAATCAGAGCGACCTTCGCTATTATTACTGTCAGAGTCACGATCGTGGCTGTTTTGATCTTCTTTAGAAGAATCACAGGCACCTTCGGTATCACTGTCGTCACCGTCGTCACTGTCGTCGCCGTTTTTGTCTTCGTCGGAATCACTGTTGTCGTCGATTTGGGATTCTTCCGATTCTTCGGAATCACTATTGTCGTCGGTTTGGGATTCTTTCGATTCTTCGGTATAACCAGAGGGAGTAGTTTCACGTGGCTGAAGAATCCGAACAGTGGGAGTACTGTAATGAGAGTGACTGTTGAAGCCGTTTATGCTGTTATGGGATTCTTCGGGGTATTGAGGGGTGGTCCTATCGTGGGAGTCACCGTTGTCGTCGATTTGGGATCCTTGAGAATAATCAGAGCGACCTTCGGTGTGACTATTGTGGAAGATGCCGTTGACGACGATTTGGGGTTCTTCCGATTCTTCGGAATAACCAGAGGGAGTAGTTTCGCCTGGCTCGAGAAAAAAGACAGAGGGAGAACTGCTGCCAGAGTCACCGTTGACGCTGTTTTGGTTTTCTTGAGAATCACCAGAGCGACCTTCGGTGTGACTGTTGTGGAAGTAACCGTTGACGCCGTTTGGGAGTTCTTGAGAATAACCAGAGGGGGGAGTTTCGCGTGGCTCAAGAATCCGAACAGTGGGAGTACTGTAATGAGAGTGACTGTTGAAGCCGTTTACGCTGTTATGGGATTCTTCGGGGTAATGAGGGCTGGTATTGTCGTGGGAGTCACTGTTGACGCGGTTTTGGTCTGGAGAATAGCTAGAGCGACCTTCGGTGGGACTATTGTGGGAGTCGCCGTTGACGCCGTTTTGGTCTGGAGAATGACCAGAGCGACCTTCGGTGTTACTGTTGTGGGAGTCACCGTTGTCGTAATCCTCGTCTTCTTCGAAAATAGTAGGGAGACCTCTGTAATAGGGGAGACTGGAGTCAAATTCACCGTCGTCGGAATCCTCGTCTTCTTCGAAAACAGTAGGGAGACCTCTGAGACTGTAGTCAAATTCACCGTTGTCGGAATCCTCGTCTTCTTCGAAAATAGTAGGGAGACCTCTGTAATGGGGGAGGCTGTAAGCAAATACAGCGTAGTTGGAACTATCGTCAGATTCACTGTAGTTGGCACCAAATAATTCGTCTAGGGAATTTGGGTGGTAGAACAAGACCGAATTGCGTTCGCTGTCGGCACTGTTGTACTCCAATGGAGAATTGGTGGGCTGTACTGGATCGTTGGTGCTCGAGTCGGAATCTTCACTGTTCTGGGAAGCAACTTCAGGGTCCGCGTTTCCCCCTAACCAGAGGAGATGGTTGTTGGAAGTGTTAAACTGCTCTGGAAAGTTTTCCCTTAGCCAGAGGAGATAGTCGTCGAAATCGTCAAGCTGTTGCTGAAAGGCTTCTATGAGTCGGAGGAGATAGTCGAGGAGATCGTCAAGCTGTTCCTGATGTGCGGATTCGTCTATACATAAGGTTCATAAGTATTGATTCCGAATTAGACTCAATTGTTCCAACTCACCTGGTAGAGCTGCAAGATCGCTGTGAATTGGCGACGGAGATGGAGTGGGGGTGGATGGGAAGGAGGTGGAAACTGAAGTGGTGGGGTTGGGGGGTGGGAGACGCGAATTGACAACTGGGAAGAGAGTTAAGACCCCTAGCAGGAGGAGGAGGAAGCGCTGGCAAGCTGTTCAAATTATCAAAATCGGTCCCTCAGCTTCGGCGAGTATCTGGTACTCACGATTTGGCGCCATATTGCCGGTGGGTACCGCCTTCGAAAAGTAAACCCGCGGACTATCTTTAATCCGAGTGTGGTTGGGAGTGAGTTGTTCCGAGTTTTTCCGAGGTCCAAAGTGAAGGGGAGGAAGGAGTGTTCCGAAAACCCCCGAGGAAATTTTGTGTCGTTCTGATTTTCGGTCTAAGTGTTGCAGAACACAACAATCAAGCTAAACAAGCTAAACATACACAGTAGTTACAGTGTCTGGCCATGAGACTTACAAATCTCTGAAGTACCTCCAAGAAGGCGATCTTGCATAAATACTATATTTGAGTATCTAATACGATTGAAAACGACCCAGTCCCTATATAACCCAAATTATAAATAGCAGATGGTTATTGCGATACGGACTGGTAAATTTACAGCTACTAGCGAAGAGTGACTTTGGAAATTTGTAAGTCTCGTGGCCAGGCACTGTATATAGAAGAAAAGCTCTAGAAGAAAAGATCTTTGTTTACTACTAAAAGATGTTTTAACCTAACTAGTTAGCTAAAAATTAAAAAGGCATTGTTTATCTAAACACGCATAATCATACGCATAACGCATCCTGAATGATTGCAAGTCCTACCTAGACCCCCAACCATTATATTCAAAAACATTTAGTATCCCCACATACACTTGTAGGCCATGAGCCGGTGACCAAGCCGATCATACTCTAGCTGTCCGATCCAGCTATCGTTAGTTCCACTAAGTTTTCCAAAGATGCTAGCGCCTTTCCAAACAACCACTTGAGGATCTAAATCTCTTGGCGGAACCCCAATCATGATCTCTTTGGCAAATCCGGGGCGTAGAGTTTGAAGACGTTCTTCCAGGAACAAGTGGAAGCCGCTGGTCAAAGTACCACCTCCAACAACCATGATTCCTCCAATGAAATCACGCATTTTCTTCTCATCGGAACGAGCAGCGTGAGCAATCGAGGTTAGAATCGCGTTATCCAGAGAATACACGGGCAGCACATCATCGTGATACTCAATGGTAGGACGAGATACTTGGCTGGTTGGAGCGGTGACAGCAGGTGTACTAACACCGGCCTGTGGAGTACCTGTCGTTTCCGGGGCGGGTGAGCCCGGGGCAGAAGAGTGGGGTGTAGCTTCTTGCTCTTGGACTCGACCTAGGGCACTTGGATGCTGAGGCTTGCTCGGGGTTGCTTGCACATCTGTGGGGGTGGGATTTGATTCTCCGTTTGCCTTGGGGCGCGGCGGCGCGAGGGCTGTCAAAATTTCGGATTGAGCGGCAGAGACAGGATCATTGGAATGTCCGTCATAGATATCGACAGAGCGCTCAATCAATCTACGCCGACCAGCAAGCTTTTGTGAGTTGTCAAAGATAGTTGGCTCAAAAAATCCCATCGGGGCTAGATGAACCTCATCGAAGGCTTTGAAAGTGTGCTTCTGGGTGTCCTGTCCAGCCACGCGGAGATGGAAGTCAAAGACTTGTGGGGAAACGCTGGCCTCGTTCATAGTGCAAATAGTCCTTTTAAGCTCTTCTGCTAACAGAAAGTCGTATCTCCGCCATAGGTCGATGTCGGCATAAGGGAAATGGTCGTGAAGCATCATTCTGATGAAAGCTTCCGTGACATCTCGGCCACCCATCTTTAAGTTCACTCGAGAATTTTCCACACACATACCTTCTTCCACACAGCAGATGGAAGTCTTCTGTGCTCCGATATCAACCACACAAGCCGAGGTGAACCCGGCACCAAAGGTTGCGGCGAGACTCTCCTGGATGAAACACACCCGGGCAAATGAGAACTCACGCATTAACATGTCCAGGACTTGGGTGACATATGACTTTTCAAAAAGATCGGGAATGACGAAGACACAAGAGTACTGTGGCCAGTCCTTTTTGCTAGTCAAGCCAAGCTGGGTCTTGATAGCATCCTCAAGGATCAATGAGATATCTAGGAACAGCATCCGCTTGCTGGTATAGTCCCTCTCGTTGCAACACCCATTCTGGAATGGCCAGTAAAGTTTGTAACGAGGGTTCGATGAGTCTGGCACTCTCAATGCAGGCTGCCCGACAATGTACTCCGGCGGGGGGTTTGAAAGCTCGGTCCATTCGATGCGCATAGGGTCATTGTGCTCAGAGATGGTCTCTGGGACTGTCCTTCGATTGAAATTGACCACCATTTCTTTGGAGTTTGGCAACATCCTTCGCTTGTTTTGGCGCATATGAACTTTCAATTCAGCAGACATTTTGCTAAAGTGAGAGGACCACTATTCCGTTGTTAGCTAGTAGTCGCAGTATGTATCGCGTAGGGGGTCCATTGTGAGCTCACTTCTGGTCCAAACAGCTGCTCTGGCTCTTCAAATGTCCCATCATCCCGCTTCTGTCGTTTCGGGTTGGGTTCCTCCTGGTCTTCGCTCTCGCTCGTTTTCGCCTTCCTCGCAATGACCATCGGTATGGTTTTCGGCAGGGCATCACTTGACAGCCCAATGCGTAGATTTTGGCTACCGATGTGAATGACAATGACCTTAGAGCCTACTGTCTCGGCCGGGGTCTCCTCCTCCTCCTCCTCCGCATCTTCCATATTGGCATCGCCATCTGCTTCCGGTTCGGCCTCTGTCAGTTCATTGGTCTTTACCATTGCGAGTGCGCGATCCTTGTCCTTGGCTGATTTGGTCATCTTCGTTCTCGCCTCTTCGTTTTGCAATCGGAATGCCAGGTACTGATCGTCTCGCTTGAGGTAGTCGCTAGGTGGAACAGGCTAATCAATATTGAAATCCATAGAATCTGAACAATCAGACAGGTTGAGGGTCAGATTGGGGGGACAAACGTGTAGTAGTTCTTCTGGTTGATTGCTTGAACCTGCGGCCAGCTGGAGAGATCCATGTTGTTGTCGGTTCGCTCAAGGCCTGGTAATTCGGTATATTAGTCTCCAGTCTACAGCCTGAGCTAGTTTGCATAATGCAAGACCATATGTCTCTGGCCACTCACCTTCATCCCGAAGGGCCTTGCCCGACTTCTTTCCAACCATTGTAGGGTACTAGCGCTTTCTTGCGACTTGGGTTTGTTGAATCGTGGGTTCGGGTTTGAGAATCTAGGGAGCGTGGAACTGGGGGCGGAGCGCGTGCACGGGGGCGGGGGTGCGGAAACGGGGGCGCGGACTTGGTGGGAAGATCTGGTTTTGTTTAAGAGGATGGATTAAAGAGAAGGCAAAGTGACGATGAGTTCGAAAGGTCATAGAGGAGTCTTTTACACGGATTGCGGGAAGTCGGAAGCTTGTTCGGGACAGTCTAGAAGCGCCGTTCAGCTTAACCCCGATTGACCGCCCACACGCACAGGCCGATTGCTCAAGCAAGTCCAAGACGATTGCCACCATTCACACACCACCTTTCCCATTCCTCCAAACAGTTCTTTGTCACTGTTTCACTCCGTTTGAGCCGAAGTAGTCAAAGCTCATTCAGCCCTTTTTTTCAAACTCGAAGTCCCCTTTCCTTCACCCGCCCGCGCCGCAGCTCTACGCCTCCTACTCCGCCCTCGCTGGAATCGCGATCAAAGACACCAAGTGAACCTTCACATTTCTAGTACATATCAACATGGGAGCCCAATTATCTCGTCTGGCAGCTCTTGTCTGGGGAAAGAAGGAGACGAGAATCCTGATCCTTGGTCTCGTACGTGCATTTTACCTGTTGCGGGGAGGGGCGCACCTTGTAATGCGCCTAATCGCTGGAACATGACTGACCAACTTCTCTCAATTTAGGATAACGCTGGAAAGACCACTCTTCTTTACAGACTAAAGGTATGGATATCCAGTCAAAACGCAGCATCGCATCGCGCTACAAACTGCACGTGTTTGTGATTTGCATTTTGCGATTTGAATACTTGATGTTAACAGTTCGCGTCTCTAGATCGGTGAAGTTGTCACTACCATTCCTACCATCGGCTTCAACGTCGAGTCCGTGACATATAAAAACCTACATTTAAATGTCTGGGTATGTGCCTCATGACGCCCTCCCCTCCCCTGATTATTTTGGACCCCACTGACCGCCGTTGACCATAGGATCTTGGTGGTCAAACATCGATCCGTCCATACTGGCGTTGTTACTACGCCAACACAGCGGCAGTCATTTTCGTCATTGACTCTACGGATATTGAACGACTGGGAACCGCGGGAGACGAGCTGGCGGCCATGCTGAATGAAGAGGAACTTCGTGACGCATCTCTGCTGGTATTTGCCAATAAGCAGGATCAACCCGGTGCTAAAGGCGCGGGTGAGATCTCAGAAGCCTTGAAATTAGGAGAGCTACGTGATCGGAACTGGAGTATTGTCGCCTGCTCTGCCATTGATGGCAAGGGTATCGGAGAGGGCATGGACTGGCTTGTGGTTTGTCATCTTTCTTTCTTTGGGTGTTGTCAACGTTTTACTAATGATTCGGTCCTCTTCGCAGCAAACCATTCAAGCCGAAAACCAATGAGATGCTTTTTGATGTCGGACGATAGATTTTGATCTGTGATATACCTTAGACCTCGGCTTGGTCAAGCCACCTGCCGGCCGTTCTGCTGCATTCGGGGGTTGTGATGTTTCTCTTTTTTTTTCTTCTCTTCGGCTCTGCTGATATAAGCGGAGCCCTTGTCTTATAAGGCTCAATGATCTGAGATTATCATCAGCATTTTACGGCTGTTTAAAGATAATAGTTTAATGAAACTGCCGTGGGATCGGTTTTGAACATAATCATTCTCTGAGTAATACACATGGTGAAAGAGGTACGAGGCCTAGCATTCGACATCATTTGAATGAAAGTACAAGAGGAAGCTAGTACATTCATATCGGCTAAGACATCACAGTCGGCTTGATTCGTATCATCCGAGATAAGGTACTAGTATGCTAAACTGGACCCCGCATCTAAGATACGACCCCATCTGTAGCAATCGTCCACCCAGTGGCTATTTAATATGACCATCTGTTCTTGCCATTAACTTGAGAGCTACTCTTTCCATTGCGCATATAACAGCACAAGTGCCTCAGCTATCACTTGCATCACCCAACCCTCGAGAATCAATCAAAAACATGTCTAGCCCAGCTACTCAGATTGCGGCTGTGATCCCCGCATCTGGAGGAAAAGATGTTTCGGATGTGAAAATCAGCTGCACGCATCCTGTCCCAGTTCCAGGAGTCGGAGAAGTCCTCGTCAAGTTGGATTTCTCAGGGGTCTGCCACTCTGATGTGCACAGCATTCGAGGTGACACGCCTATGAAGACAGATGTCGCGGGTCACGAGGGCGTGGGAAAAGTGGTTGCAGGTGAAAAAGTCTCACTTCATCGTCATATCTCATTGCCATGCATTTAAGAGGACATTAATTCTGATTTCTTAGTTGGGAGTGATCTTGATAAGAGTCAATGGATGGGTCAAGCAGTGGGGATAAGGTACGTATGGAATATGCGATTCCGTAACTTGCCTCCGGTTGGCCTCGAATTCCTACTGATGTCACCATTGCCATATTTTAGATGGCTGTATAGCTCTTGCCTCGAATGCGAAATTTGTGAGGTTAACCATACAGCATGCCCTAACCAGAGAAACGCTGGTGCAGTACGTCATTCACCGGGACAATATACATCCATTTAACTATAACAAGGCTGTATACTAATTTGACCAATTATAGAATGTTCCAGGTACTTTCCAACGTAAGTGCATGCACGCCTTCGCTAACTTGAATTCTCGGGAAAAGCTCGATGATCGCTGTTTGACTCGAATACTGACTCGATTTTCGATCATTAAGAATATATCGTTACACCCGCTATTCACGCAACAAAGATTCCATCTGGCCTGTCTCTAGATTCAGCGGCTCCTCTTCTCTGTGGTATGCATATATATCCTATGAATGGAGCCTGTCTTCTTCCCGACTATTAACACAAATTAGCTGGCATTGCGATGTACTCTTCAATCAAGAAAGTTAGGGCCCGGCAGGGGAACTGGCTTGCTATTCTTGGTGCCGGTGGAGGTTTAGGCCATATGTATGTAATTCCAGCATATGTCTGGTATTTTCTGGCGTTTAAACTGATTCTCAAGGACAGGGGCATTCAGATCGCAGCTAAGCAGGGCCTTAGGGTCCTTGCAATCGATACGTGAGCGACCATTATACACTCGAGAGCTCTTAAGAGGCCAAAGACCATGCTGACCAATTCAAGGGGAGACAAAAAGAGAGATCTATGCCTGTCACTTGGGGCCACTGAGTTCCTGGACTTCCGCAAAGTGGATATAGTTGAAGCGGCTAAAATGATTACATCTGGCCTAGGTGTCCATGGAGTGATTTGTACCGCCAATGGAGAAGCAGCATACCAGCAAAGCATGCAAATGCTTCGGCCATTGGGTACTCTAGTGTGTGTCGGGATTCCGCATGTTCCATTCCGGGTCCCAGCGACCCCTTTCGAGATGATAGTCAAAGGTGATTACTGTGGAGAGCATACGAGCTCGCTATACATCCGGATTTGCTAACATATTCTTGGCGAAAATTAGGCCTCACGATAGTTGGGAACTCTGCTGGAACCGCCGAGGAAATGGATGAACTATTGGCGATGGCAGTTAACGGTGATGTAATAGCGCATATCGAGGTTTTTGATCTAGAAGAGATTGTCGATGTGTTGCAACGACTTGAACGCTCTGAGATTGAAGGAAGAGCTGTTTTGAGAATTCCCTAGATAGATAGCACCGAGTGCTTAAAAAACGTGTTATGTATGGCAAGATCAGCATCGATCCTGTCAATTGGATCAATTACTGCTATTGATTGGTGGGTAATTGATTTTTGAATCCATGGATCCAGTTCATGCACATATCTGTCTATATCTGTGTCTCTATATCGGCTTCAGATTTTCCATCCATCGTCTTGTCTCAACTTCATTAAGCGTACCATAACAAAAAATGCCGACCCTGTTACTACCATGATTGCGGTGAAAAGTTGGGCTTTCCAAAACATGGCATCCTCCAAATCCAACAAAGCACCTGCAATAGGATTCCCAATCAACAGACCCGTGCCCGCAAAAGTAAAGCACATTCCCATGCGGGTCCCCACAGTAGCCATGTCGGGGCTTAACCGTGCAATGATAGTGGGCGGCAAGGAGACTATAGCCCCAGAGGCATAGCCATACAGACACGCGAACACAATCGCACCACCTTCATTATGGATTCCGATCCAGGAGAAAGACAAAATCGCTGCGATCAGACTGATGGGGATAAGTGTGTTCAAAGAACCGATACGGTCCGCGATTAAGCCTGGCGTGATCCGCCCGAAGACGGAGGAGGCGTTTAGAACAGCAATTATGTAGAACGATATGTTGGAGCTCGCATGCAGAGAAGACGAGAAGAAGCTCGGTAGATAGAAGAAGGGGAAGTAGAGGCCCACGAAGGAGAAAAATAGACCAAAACTAAAGACGACGAATATCGGCTCTCGGAATGCGCGGAGATCAAGTAGTGACCGGGTCTGTTTGGGAGGTGGTAGACGCTGTTTCATTACAGACCAGGCAAATACCTGCCCTGCCAGCGCGATAAACGCAATAACGCGAGTTGTCCAGCCAAAACCAAGGGGGCCTATAAGTCTGTGAAACATTATTGGAAAAATCACAGCACCTGGATGTGTTAGCAGGACTGTTATAATGGAGCCTGGCATGGATCACTTTACCAATACTACCACCAGAGGCTGTGATTCCTGTTGCAAGTGCACGTCGCGAGGTAAAATAAGTTGTGACAACAGCTATGCTAGGAAGAAAGAGAAATGCACATCCGATTCCAACAGCGACACCATGAGCAAGGAACACTTGATAGTATTCAGTTGACAGCGAGGTCATCATTAGACCGAACACCACGAAGAATGATCCGATGATGACAAGGCTTTTGAGATGCCCTCTATCGAATACGGGACCAACGACCACTCCGACAAGGAAGAGAAGGAAGCCCTGGACAGTGCCAATCCAGGAGATAGAGGAGGCGGAGTAATTGGAAAGCAAGTCATCTTCATAGTAGCTTTGGAACACACCGAAAGTGTTGACGATTCCCCTGGGAGCCAGGAGTGACATCCATGTTAGATCGATTTTGCCAATACTTAGCAACGAAAGTGATCACCACAAACTTACCAGGAATTAAAAAACAAAAAAAAGGCCCCCGCTACCTGGAGCCAAGCTACAGCTCCGCCGTTTGGTGGGAGAGGAGGGCTGTCGCAATTCTTAGAAGCTTGCTTCTCCGTGTCAGAGATATCACTTTCCACCCCTGCCGGATGGCTTATCGATGCTGTGTTGGGTTTTTCTTGACAACTAGACATGATCCACGGGCGGTACAATGTTTTTGAAGGATGATCAATTCAATATTTGGTTTATCTTGAAACAATCTATGAGTCTGTAAGATAGAGATATGCATTTCCTTTTTAAGGTGAGTGGGTGTGTTTCCAAACCCCCTCTGCATGAAAATGTTACATCCTTCACGCCTTTCGGCCTCTCGGCCTTCATATTTAGGCGAGGCAATTATTAAGATAACTCAATTAGTTAATCTGGATGCAGGAAATGGTCTTTTTTTTTGTGTCAGCTGTGGGCCTGTGGCCAGAAACCCCACGGTGGGCCAATTAAGGAAAGCATTGCGGGTCGGTGTTGGACCTTGAGAGACTAGCGGCGGCCGATGATGCACGACCACGAATAGACTAACTCTTTTAGATAACTCGTCGAAATAACGCCTTAGTTGTGATCGTTTGAATTGAGCTAATAGCCACTCATATGAGGGCATATCTTTAGACCGGATAATGTCTGGCACTTTCTTCCAAGGTTGGTTGGTATTTCCGATTTAGTGCTCACCCAGTGGGGCCATAAAGAATCTTGTACATATCACCACAGGATGTGGAGAACATTGGAACGTTGAACATGACTTCTCGTCCAGCCATACTTAGTAGTCTCATTCAAAGAAAATTGCTCAATGCTGAGCCAGAAACTTGGAATTCTAATCGTTCTACTAAGAACACCACACATCCTATCACTATCCCAGTATGCCCCATCTTTCTCTGATTTGATGAACCCAATCGTCAATCTTCACAATCCTTTCACCAACTCTAACATTTCCATCTCCAACGCTTTGGCGTTCGCTTAGATCATATGCTGGAACATGCATCATATCATGGTTTTTATCGCAGACCAAAACGTCCATGTCCCCCCTGCGAAGCTTTTCTAAACAGGGAAGGTCAAAATTGACAGTATCACACACCCTACACACATACATATCATCTGAGAACTCCCAGTGGGTTTCACAGCCTCCATCGCACCAGTTACGCAGAGGCCACTGGGAGTATTTTCTGGGATCTCTCCCACTTCTATGCTTTTCTCCGGTGTGATTAAAGACCATGCTGCCAGGCAATCAGCGTCTTGACCAGCATACATGAGATTTACCGCCAACCCTTCATATCCCTGCCAGTCATTCAATGGATCGTCATCCGAGAGAAGATCAAGGCTGAGCTTAATGTTCCCTCGGAGGGTATCCATTGCACGTTTTTCATCCCCCTGCAACACATAGTATCGTGCAATGAGTTGTGTTGGATACGTCCCGTCACGCATCGAGTACCGGTGGTCGGGAATGCGTGTGAACGTGGCAAGCTGGCTCATTTGGTCCAGATAAAAAGAGGCATTTTCTTTATCACCAAGGGCTTCGTTGAAGTATGCTCTTGTGAGCCCGGAAAGAGCGCATGTCTTGATGTCTCCAAGCATCAAATCGTCAGATGCTTCATCCATCTCTAGCAGATGCAGCCATCGTTCGATGGCGAGTTTTCGTCTTTCTGGATCGTCTTTATCATTCCAATAGCAAAGAAATGCGAGTTGATGGTGGAGAAAGGCTTCGTTTGTCAGATCGAATTCTTCTCCTAGCTTTTGGCACTCCGCAGCCTGAGTCTCGGCTGCAAGAATGGCCGCCTCGTAGCCTTCGAGAATAATATCACGACCGATCCCGGATTGCACCAATGCAAACATTGCGCTATGGAATTTGCTTCGGAAAGAGAAAAACGTCTGTACCAGAAGAGTTTCCCCTGTTACATCATCCGTGGTGTCCTTCAGTGATTGCATGAATTCGAGGATAGTATCATGTCTTCTAGCTTTATGGTATAGAGCAATTAGACCCGAGGCCTGGTCCCTATCGTTTCCTGGATTTCTATGTTGCATGGCCTCGTATATCGCGATTCCTCGGTCAGGATGATCATCCTTTCGTGCATACCATTCGGCCAAGTTCGCATCTATACCATCAAGTTTCTCCGAGCAACCCTCAGGGTCAGAGGATAAAACAGCTTTTCTTGCACTTTCAGAGACTTCGATCGCCAGTTCGTACTCATCTAGCTCAGCATAGCATTCCGATAGACACAATAGCGAGTAAGAACTATGCGGTTCGAGCGATGATGCAAGTTTGAATCGCTCAATGGCCCCCTCATGATTGTCAAAAAATTGCATTGTCTGCGCTATATGAATGTGGTCAATGTATTTCAATTGATCTAGTCCAAGTTGCGACTGAGCCCAAGCAGCCGTAGAAAGGATTTGATCCGTGTCGAAAGCTGCTTGTCCGGGCCAAGCCGTTGATCTTTCGATTTGGGGATTTTTCCTGTTCTCGATCTGAAGCATTGATGATTGTACTCAGTAAATGATGGCGCATGTAATTTCTTTGAGGCATACCTTTGTTTGAATTCCATTAACCGCAATGAAAGGCCGCGCCTGCTCTCTCAGTCCCTGCTGCAGCCATTGGCGTGCCAGTATCTTGGATATATGATCAAGAACGTCTGCGTCGGGCTCATATTTAGAAGTGAGTGAGCTTACCCATTGAGATTGCTGGTCGGATAAGCTCTTGCTGACTGCAGAGTCCCGTAGCCACCTTAACACAGCTTCTGTGTTGTCGTCTTCGAGGATCCAAGCAAGATGTGGAGACGGATCGTAGCACTTCCAAATAGCCTCCCACCATATTGTGATTGCCTGCTCATCTGTAAAAAGCCTGACCAAATCTGGTCCAATTGCTGCTTTGTATTGAGGCTGAACCAACGAAAGGTCAGCTTGCTTAAGATGATAGGCAAGGGAATCAATCGCAAAAGGGAGCAAAGGAGCTAGATTTGGTGTCGTTGGCGGGAGAAAGGTCTTCAAACATGTTGAAACTACCCTCAGATGAGCGCTTTCAATCTCAATCCCAATCTTGCCGGCTTTTCCTATGAGCTTCTGTTGAAAGAAATCATCGAATCCAAATTTGCTGAACAAAGTGGAGTCACAGACGGACTCTAAGAATCTCCGGACGATTCTGACCTCGAATTCATTGACGTTCTCAGTACTGATGCTGCCATGAACATCGGAGGTCATCTCAATCCTTCCATTTGCACGTAAGAAATCATTGATTGAGTCAGAAATTAACACGACCTTGGAGGTTCGTGGAATGATGTGAGATATCGGGTGCGGCTCACCCATTATTCGAAGCATTGAGGAATACCGGTCCATAATCTTCTCCGCGAGTGGGCGGAGAGACGCTTCTCTATTTTTGGCAAATAGAACAGCTTCCAGCTCTGCGAGACTTAGAGGTCTACTTGCAACCACTGTCCAAGTGAGGATTTCGTTGAGGTCAGAGATGTCCTCGTCGCTAAGGGTTTCGTTTAGTAGCTCAATCTTTCGCGCAATAGTATCGGAGCGCTTCCCACCAGATCGAGACAAAATATTCCTAATCTCACTCGGGCGTTGCTTTCCACTGATCTCATGCAGGAGAAGGCTGACATTGACATAGTCACCAGAAGTCTCTGTAGTAAGACATTGTAATATGTCCCGCCGAAGATCAAGAACAGGGTCCGATAAGCCTTTAAGGATACTCATTTTGTCGAGACGGTGGTCAATGAACTTTCCCATATCATCTTTGTTTTGAGAGGCCACGTCTATGACTGAAATCCCGCCTCCAATTTGAATTCGGAGCTTGCTGACGGACTCACATCTTCCAGACAACAAGATACGGAGTTTGAATTTAGACCAAGTCGAAGATATAACCTGCAGTTCTGCTAGAAGCTGAGCAAACCCCTTGAAGTGATTCTGATTCATCAGTTCGATGCTATCCAGCATGAGGATAAAGGTGGAATCGCTCTTATATGACTTTGCAAAGAGAGTGTTCCACATAGTCGCAATTTCGTCGATACCATCTGTCTCCACAGAGCTCAAGTCTTTCCGGTAAACGATATCTGTCTTGACAATCTGCCACGCGAGCACCTTTAAGGCATTTATCAGAGATGATTCTTGATTTTGTGACCCAAAATTGTAGTAGGCAGTTGATGTGCATGTGAGATTTTCTCCAATCTGGGAAGATGTTTGTCGAAGGCGTTCAACGATAGTCGCGAATAAGAACGACTTGCCACGACCTTGCGCCCCCGAGATACCCAAGATTGAAAAGCCTTGTTCAAGACCGTGCGCCCAGGAAGTATAGAGAACATTCTTGTGGAGCCATTCTCCACTTCCTTTAACCCTTTCCCCCAAAATGCGCTTGTGATTCTTTTGGAGGGTTTCTTGAGTAACGCTGGGTGTATCGAGACTGGCATCGATATCATCCAAGACCTTCTTCTCAGCCCTTTCAGCTTCTTTCTTCTCCTGGAGGCTAATCATCTTATCCACCGACGCGCTGATTTTCCTGTTACCCTCGCTAATATCGATAATGCCCCTCATACTGGTTATCTGCAACTCGAATCCGAGAGTCGCCCGCATTTGAGTTTCGCGTTCAACCAACATAGCAAGGCGAGCTAATTGTCCGCTGACTCCCTCGTCGCTATCGAAAGCGAAAACTTTTAGCGCCGTCAAAACTTTGTTCCCACTGAGAACTTTGATGGAAAGGGCGCAGATGTCGACAAAACACAGCAACTCGTCATTGATGATTCTGCGGAGGGATATGTCAATCGTGTTTGGAGGCAAACGCAGATATATTTTGCACCGTTCCAGGACGTCAGATATGCGGCGAAACAGGTTGGCCAAGCTGCTGAAGATTCTCTTATATTTCGCGCCGGTATCTATCAGATAGGAGATTGCGTTGAAGCAAAGGCTGCTCGGAGCGAATACCTAGTAGAGTAATGTTAGTTGGAACCAGTCTGAGCACTGAGTGTAACGGGATCCTGATTTCTTACCATGCTCGCGCCCTGGGCGGCGATACCTCCAAGTACGGTGACAAATTTCAAAGTCTTTTGAATAACATCTTTAGCAGCCCTGTATTTGCTGTTTTGTTCGTCATCCCCACTCTGCTTTGCCCGAATTTGTTCAAGGACTTGGTCAACTGAGTACTTTGGCTTTGTGGTAAGATCAATCTTTGTTGTCTGTGCAAAAGACGCACATACTCTATCCCAGACCTCTTGTAGATTATACTCTTCTTCTGTCATTTCAGATGACATGTCTTCAACTGTTGATCTGCTATCGGTGATCCGGAATATGGAATGAAAATTGGCTGAATGTTTATCTTCTGACACTGCTACACAAAAGAGGTTTCAAAAGAAAAAGACAAAATGTTCGAAGTCGATGAGCCTGCTTCAACATGATCGCGTGGGCTATCGTCTTAAGGTTAGCTGAAAACTTCAACACGAGAGTGGCTGCTGAAATTGACACGCCATGAAGCCAGTGTGAACCAATGAAGGAGGAGATGTCTTTTTAATACGCAGATGGAGACTTGGAGTTACGGTACACGATGGTAATGTTACAGTATATTCGGGTAAGTTTCGACGCGGAAGATTCAAGGCACACACTCTCCACTAAGCCGTTCCAAGGTTGTCCATGTATTCCCTGACAAAGTCTTTCATTACCTAACATGCGTATGGTAAGATGGAAAGTACATTTCAAGTCGGTTCAATCGTCCTAGGTTCTGAAATGCTCACATAATTACTTTCACGCCAATTTGCAAAGGGGCCTAGAAGCGACTGGTAGAACAGCGCTTATTAGAAATATCATACCGATGCCAGTGTTGATTAAATCAGCAATTACTCAGTAGCCTTTTGCACAGTACACTGTATATAAGGATCGAGAAATCTGCGACTACTATAGATAGAAGTTTTCTCCACCTTTCAATATTCCCCACTTTATGGATACCCATTTGCAGATCTTCCCATATCGCGGCGAGAGAGCGCCGGTCGGTCATCAAAAACGGACAATCAGCGCAATATGCGATTTTTTTATTTTATTTTTTGAAAAAAAGGTTCTGAAATATCGGTGAGATATTGGGAAAGTTCACAGCAGCTAGTTACCTCGCAGCCAAGATAGAAGTCCCTTTGACTCAGGCTCTAGACAGAAACCAATACCGATGTCAGATACATCGCTTCGTCAGTACTAATCCCCGATCCGACTCAACTAGTGAATTCCAACTCGTCGGCGACAGAGAAATATTCAAAGTAGGGGATGGACTATAAGCGGTATCGCCACCAGGTTCAAGGTGGTCAAACGATCTGCAAGATAAACCTGATGACGATTCGCAATTCTTCATGATTGTCAGAGGGTGGATGTCCTGACATTCACACGTGTCAAGTGAGTTACGGGCATGATTCGTATAGAAATTTCCATCGCCTCGTGCATTCATTCGGTGAAGTGATAGGATAGAAGGTGCCAGATATCTGGAAGCTTCAAAAAGCCACGGCACATGGCCCACGGGACACGGCTAGATCCTCACCGCGAATGGATGCGGCACCTGAGGCCGCCATACGGCTACCCTACAGTGGAGGAGAAAGGAAACTACTGATTGGGCAGACCGACCAGTTACAAGCCGGGAGGCTACATGTACTGATTACAATGGAATCTCCCCCGAAGCCCCCCTTCCCTTCCCCTGTTATTCCACCTCGGATATGTATTTCAACAGGTCTGGAGTGCTAGTTGCTACTCTCTATGGACGACAAGATAGGAGTAAGACTGGACTTGTAGAGATATAGCTACCGAGAGGACAAGTTAGCGGAAACCAAGGGGGGGGGTGTCTAATGTACCTGCAGCACTCGAGAGTTGAGGGGCGGACGAGCCCAGGAGGAGAGGCTCTCAGAAGAGGCTCAGAAGGTTGGAATAAGAAATGAAAAAGAAATGTGAAACTGGTACAAGATGACTGGCTATATATAGGCCGGTTCAAGCAAAGGACAACTGGCAAAACAGTGGTGCAAGGGCCCCATGCCTTATGAATCCTTGGTACAGAGTACATAGTTTGTCTTGATGCAAATCCAAATTTGGGCTGATAAGGCCCAACCTTGGGAATGGGACACCAATAGGCGAATGACCAACGAGCATTAATCATGAATCATTACGTGCTCTTGAGAAATGATAGCTAATTAAAGATGAAAGCAGCCACTGCGCGGTTTTTTGTTAAGATCCCATTCAAACCCGGGGAAGCCCCAATGTGCCGACGATCGGGCTTCTGATTGGTGAAAGTCTGCGGGCCTATGGGGGCCCAATGATGCCCCCACGGGCCGACGTGAAGGGCTGTGGTATCCCCGGTGGATCCCGAGTCCACGGGCACATGCGGGCACTCTGAGCTCTGACTGGCTCCGAGAGTATCGGAACTACTGCAGGGAGGTTAAAGCCAATTCCTCTTAAAGTTGTATTGCTCTTCTAACTTTGCTCCAATAAATCCAATGTAGAATGAATGTATGCCCACTTAGCTCTGCACACGCTCTACCCCCGCCCTGATAACGGATTAATCCAAATGAATCCAAATGGAATTAAATGGACAAACTCGGGTGTCGATCCGTTTGAGGCGATCCATATTTACTTCAAGCGGATCCTTTTTCAATAGCGGAAACTACTACTCTCCAAGGTACTGGTGACTTCCCCAGAGTATACTCTCTTACGGTCGGAGCTATGTTCCTGGTACTTGCCACTTGCCATCTGTAGCTGCTTTTAGTAAAACCCCGCCAATTTCGGTCTCATGGCCTCCCCCACCCATGTGTTATGCTGATAGGATGTGGTCGATGCGCTTCCCCTCGTGATGGGGCGCGTGCTATCGGCGATTTCGGGCAGACATTGTATATGAATCTTTCCCTCGTGCTCTCCCCGCTGCATTCCTTCACACAACTATTTCGTGTGCTTCATCTGTTCAATATGGATTGGTTACATCTCTACATCGGCGGAGCCGCGCTCCTGGTATTTGCCTTGGTCGCGTTGGTCCTTCTCGTCTCATTCCAGCAGGTCAAGGTCAATATGGATCATGGACCTTTGACCTACGTGAAATTTATCTGGGCGAACTTCTTAAAGCCACACGATAGGTCCGGATCGAGTCAACAGGATGCGCTCGAGAGCTTCTACAGAACACAGGTATGCTTGCAGCTTATCCTTCAAAGTCTAGCAGTAGGAACAGAAACAGCAAGCTCATACCAGACCAGGCTACTGTCTACGATGCGACCCGTCGCCGTCTTCTCCGTGGTCGCGAGGATATGCTAGGTCTTGTGGCAGCACAGTTGAAGCACAAGGTCGAGAGCAAGGAGATTAAGCCTGGAAAGGCAGTCTGGGTGGACGTGAGTTTTAAACCATTGGAAGCTAATGGCCCGAAAGATAAAAGTTAACAATTTTTCATAGATTGGCGGTGGCACTGGGTAGGCACCTTAAAGGATATGTGATTCGAGGACCTGAAACTAACCCAAAGGTGTTGACAGATACAACGTTGAAGCTATGTCGGCTTTCGTTCCCGTGGAGAAGTTCTTCGATCAGGTCTACATTGTGGATCTGTCACCATCGCTGTGTGATATTGCTCGTAAACGATTTGAGCGCCTCGGATGGAAGAATGTCACCGTCCTTTGCCAGGATGCCCGATCCTTCCAGATTCCTGAGCGTCAAGCCGATCCGCGGAAGAACTCAGTCACCAGTGATCGTGCCGACCTGATCACAATGAGCTACAGTCTTTCCATGATTCCAGGTATGTAGAGACGTTCGGAAACTGTGAAGTTCTTTTGCTAATATCCCTCAGACTACTACAGTGTCGTTGACTCCTTGACCTCCCGCCTCACCCTTACTGGTATTCTCGGTGTTTGCGACTTCTACGGTATGGAATTACAATGACGAAAAAATTCAAGTGGGATATGAATTGACAATCAGAACAGTCCAAAGCATTGTGGATATATCCTCCCGCAACTACACCGGTGGTGCCTTCAACCGTCATGTCAACTGGCTCGGTCGTGTCTTCTGGCGAGCATGGTTTGACTTCGATCGTGTGAGTCTGGAGGCTGCTCGTCGGGACTACCTTGAGTACAAGTTCGGAACCGTCATTTCGGCCAGCGGTCGCAATTATCTTCTCGGTGGCATTCCATACTACGTTTTTGTCGGTTGCCCCAAGGAGATCGCTTCAACTCCATCAAGCCAAGCTGCCATCGAAAAGCTCGATGCCTCATTTACCGAGTCGCCTTACCTTTCCCCCGCAAACCACCATGCGGAAATGACCCAGGCTGTGGAGAAGAGCACCACGGAGATTCGCTCAAAGGCCTATGAATCTGCTGTCATTAACCTGAGTGCAAACCTGCCTCTCCCATCCTCATTCTACCAGAATCACCACTATCGAATTCACTACAACGACATGCTCCCCAAGCACACTCAGTTCCAGAACGAATACATCTACGCTTTCACCTGGGAGGATCCCCGTGTCGACCACCGACTGCTGAACATTGGCCCTGATGATGTTATTTTGGCCATCACCAGTGCTGGCGACAACATTCTCGACTATCTCCAAAAGAACCCGCGACGTGTGCATGCCGTTGATTTGAACCCGAACCAGAATCACCTTCTGGAGCTTAAAGTAGCTAGTTTCCTTGCTTTGGGTCACCGCGACACATGGAAGATCTTCGGTGAAGGCAAGCACCCCCAGTTCCGCGATCTGCTCATCTCCAAAATGAGCCCTCACCTGTCTAGCCAGGCCTTCCAGTACTGGCTCGAACACAGCGATGTTTTCACGTCCACATCTGGAAATGGTCTATACGAGACTGGTGGCTCACGTCACGCTATTCGCATGGTCCGCTACCTAGCCAAGATGTTTGGTCTGGATGGAGAGATCCGCAAGATGTGCGAGGCCCAAACTCTGGCCGAACAGCGCGCTATCTGGCCCCGTGTCCGCAAGATTCTCCTGAGCAAGCCATTGAACTGGGCTGTTGTTAGCACTGAGTGGTTCGCCTGGAAGGCTGCTGGTGTGCCCCGTAACCAGCGCAACATGATCGTGGATGACTTCTTCCGTCGCAACGGCTTGACATCTGATATGAAGCAGAGCAAGGACATAAGTGGCCAGTCGATTTGGGAATATGTTGTGGACACCCTCGACCCCGTGGTTAAGGACACCCTTCTCAGTAACGACAATTACTTCTACTACCTCTGTCTCCAGGGCAAATTCTCGCGCAGGTGAGTCAATATACATCATCTTTAACACCCAAGGCTTCGAAACTAACTTCATACAGATGCCACCCAACTTATCTATCACCTCAGGCGCACGTCAAGCTTTCTACGCCAGGTGCCTTCGATGGACTTCGCATCCACACCGATGAGATCAACGAAGTGATCAACCGCATTAAGCCAGGTACTTTGACAATCGCCGTGGTTATGGACTCTATGGATTGGTTCGATCCTGCCGAAGACGCAGCCGCGGCTCAAGCCCGTCGTCTCAACAACGCCCTTAAGATCGGTGGACGTATTCTTCTTCGCTCCGCCAGCATTGATCCCTGGTACATCAAGCACTTCGAGCAGAACGGTTTCACAGCTCGTCGTGTTGGCGCCCGTTTCCCAGGAACATGTATTGACCGGTAAGCCCGCAACTCTTATACTTTTGAATTTTTTTACTCGGAACCCAAATACTGACTGTGCACCTAGTGTGAATATGTATGCATCCACTTGGATCTGCACCAAGCAAGAGGACGTCGTCCGGCCCAAAAATGGCCGGTCGATCTCGGCTCTCTCTCTCAGCGACATCGCCACTGCGACAGCGAAGCGCTCAAGCAGTGTTGAGGACTTGCAGATCTGAGATTGAGGTATGACTTTAATTTTATGACTTGTTTTGTATCTTTTAATGACTACCCCCTTGCGCTCTGATTTTACATTGTTACCGCACATACTACTTGTTGGGGTTTACGGCGTGTGTGGCGCCCAAGGCTGATATGCCAAAATTTGATATCTCATGAATTGTTCTTTCTTTCAATGTTGTACTGTGAATAGAAGCGAGTCTCAAAATGAGAATAGATACTGTTATTAAGTATGAACATTGAATCAATTACTGCCAGTGCTTGAATATCCAATACCTACAGATACACATGCTCTTCAAATGTTGGATTAATTAGTGCTAGCCTTGGAGGTCCCGAGGTCGTGGACACGACCCCATGTACCAGTACTGCCAGTAGTCTGCAAATTGATATCAATTGATCCAAATATTCAGATAGCAATCCAGATGTCTGCATGAAATACTGATAAGCCTGAAGCTTCAAGGACAAAATCTTGAATGAATCTAGCACTGTATATCTACAGTGTTCGGATAATATTGACATCAATTGAACATTCAGTGTTTGAAATTGATGAACATTTGAACACCTACTAGTACCTACTGACTGCACCATACAAATCTGTCTAACATTCAAATTTTTGAAGGTATATTCATACAACCTAATACTAATATATGGATCCAGGTGCCTTTGAATGTTGAACATTCAAATCTTCCCAAATTCGTCCACTGAAATCTTGCACATACATTCGAGTTATGAATAAAATGAAGTTTCAACTTCAATGTTTGAATCGTTATTCTAAAAATCACAAAAATACCAACTCTGAACACAACTAGAACTGGAATCGAACATTATAAGCCAGTATTTACTCGGCCCAAGTCTAATAATCATATTTCACAGATGAAAGCTAAAAAGGACAAAAGGGGGAGTAACACGCAAGGGACACAGAAAATAACATAAAAACAAGAGAGCAAGAAAAGGCACCTCTAATAAAAGAGATATGGGATTACAACGGAGCATTTCATCAAAACGGGCAGGCCATGACTCCCATCCAAACGTCCTTTTTCGCACCCATCGCTCAATCGCTCATAATATCCATTTCATCCGTGGAAGAAAGAACAAAGCTTCTAGGACACATACACACATAACCATTGACAACGCCCCTCCAATGGGTGGCATCCTAGATTTTTTTTTTCTTAAATAAAAAAAAACCAGGTATAACCCACGCGCAGACGGGCGGGTAAAGAGAAAAGGGCCAATTAAGGAGTAAAGCAGAACATAATACCGGTAGAGTCATGCAAGAAGAAAAAGGAGATTGTCGATTTGGTTCGGTTCTGCTTTTCTCTATGACCGTCCGTACCGGGTCTTGCCAAATGAGAAAGGCACGTAGCGGTACTTGATCATGTGCTGGATCTGGCGGCGCATGGTCAAAACGAAGAGAATGAACCAGTACACAACCAGGACGGGCCAGAAGACGGGGATGTCGAACATGGCGAACCAACTGCATACGAAGCCGATGGCGATGGCACGGGTGGCGGAGTGCCAGAACTTGAATTCGGGGAGACGGCGGATAAAGGGACGGAACTCATCATCTGACTTGCTGGGGAGGCTAGGGCCGGCATCTCCATCCTCCAGTCCCTCGTCTTGAGTGAGGGAGGGGTCAAATTTGGGGGTGAGGAAGGCGAGGAAGAGGTTCAGGAGGTAAATGCCGAGGGTGTAGGCAACTATAATCAATTGAGGTCAGTTTTTTTTTGTTCTTTTGTTCCTTCGACATGTATGCTGCATTTATGCATTTTCTCATACTGCCATATTTTCGGCGCAGAGAGCGATCGCTTTCGTTCCTTTCCTTCAATGGCAGCGGAAAGTCGGAGACAAGACGTACCGATATACCATCCTTGCGCGAAGATGATTCGCAGGAAGAAAAGTAGCAAGAGAACAGCGGAACCGACCCAGCGGTAGGTGGCATAAGGAGTAGAGGCATCCAGGTAGGCTTGGTAATGCTGTACTCAAGTTAGTATGATGTGTCTTGTGCTGCGGGATGCTGTGACCTCCGGTATCCGGGGGATCGAGACATTCAAACCCCCTCAAGAGTACTCACCCTGGTCAGTTTAGAGGTGTGGGCAGTAACCGCCGTAAAAGGCGACTGGTCTGGCTCAGGAACATCCATGGTTATGAGGTGAGAGTGTGTAGGGGAGGAAGGGAAAAGTCCGATGGAATTCGCTGATCGCGGTGCTGAATGCGTTGTTTCTGGAAAACAGACGCAAAGTGTCCCCTGGATATCAACCAATCAGCGTTGCGATGACTGGGCGGCAGCCACTGTTACCTCATGTGACTTGTGGCTATGCTGAAAATTGATTATGTAATGAAATTGCATGCGGCTTAGTCATTCTGGCACATGAAGTACACTGTTGACCGCCTTCCGCTTTTGACCTGACAATGCGCCAAGTTCTGAAACATTGTTGACTTGTTCATGTAAAGCTTGTTAGAATATATTATTAGTGTTTTGAAGGTAAAACAAAAAGAATGAACTTGGATCTTGATCATCACAGAAGTTTCATCTTGGTTGGAGTTTCAGCTAAGCTAATAAGCACTGGTCCTTGGTTGTCCACTGGGGCCAATTGCCTCGGGACGGTTAACTTCGGCCCTCCCGGCCCAGCGGGGACATTTACATCATAGGCTGTTCCACACGTAGCTGGCCGTCTTTCCCCATACACTCACTAATATTGCTAACAACCCATACACCACAACATCGTATAACACAGTCGCCATGTTTGCGCGTCAATGTGCCCGTCTAGCTACCTCCCGGACAGCTGTCCCATTGACCTCCTTCTTAGCTCGGGCACGTCCCTACTCCACCGGTTCAAGCTATGAACACATCCTCACCTCGACCCCAAAGCCTGGTGTTGGTATGAGTGAGTAATCCCTTCCACAGCGCAACAAGCGAAGCGAGACACGATAAACTAATAGACATAATTAAGTCACCCTTAACCGACCAAAGGCCCTGAATGCGCTTTGCAGCCCTCTTATGACGGAGCTGAACGATGCATTGAGCAAGTACGACGCTGATAAGGATGTCGGCGCGATTATTATTACTGGCAGCGAGAAGGCTTTTGCAGGTGAGCAATACACAACCATTGGTTCATAATTTTGAAACAATTATCTTTTCTTTTCTCTATTCCACAACAATACAAATCTGTCTTTGAGCTTCCTGTCAAGGAATACATTCTCTAACTATTAATTCGCCGACAGCCGGAGCCGACATCAAAGAAATGGCACCCCTGACCTTCGCCGCGGCATACAACGCTAACTTTATCGCACCCTGGTCCCACCTAGCAACCAGCATCCGCAAACCCGTCATCGCTGCTGTATCAGGTTACGCCCTAGGCGGTGGATGCGAGCTCGCATTGATGTGCGACATCATTTACTGCAGCAGCAACGCCACATTTGGACAGCCAGAGATCAAGCTTGGCGTCATTCCCGGTGCAGGTGGATCACAGCGCCTGACTGCGGCCGTTGGCAAGAGCAAAGCCATGGAGCTGATTCTCACGGGCAAGAATTTCAGCGGAAAGGAGGCTGGCGCATGGGGAGTCGCGGCGGAGGTTGTTGAGGGTGGACACCAGGAATTGCTTGATGTCGCGTTTAAGACCGCCGAGAAGATTGCGGGCAATAGTCGGGTCGCTACCCTTGCGGCGAAGGAAGTCGTTAATAAGAGCCAGGAACTGTCATTGCGGGAGGGTGTTGAGTATGAGAGGAGACTCTTCCATGGGTTGTTTGGTAGCAAGGATCAAAAGATTGGTAAGTTTAGATTGGATTCTTGGATTTCCTAGGGTCAGTGGGAATTTTTTGCTAACATGCTAGTAGGGATGAGTGCTTTCGCCGAGAAGAAGAAGCCTGAGTGGTCGCACGAGTAAATATGTTTAGCGCCATTTAGTCTAAACCTTTTGTTCATATCCTCCAGGTTCCGGATACCGGGACTATTGATTGGACTGCTTAAAATATACACCTGTCCATTCTTGTAATATGCCCCTGAGGTTTACTGCCAGCCACGGCCAGCCGCAGCGTCTCCCCCAAATGTACCATCTTCGAAATTCGCATCCGCAGGCTGAGAATCACCCGCTGGCGTTCCACACTTGTACTGCTCAAGCGACCGGTTGATTCCAATAATACCCCAAGCGAAGACGGCCACCTCGCGGATCGTATCCATAAATTCCATTGCCGCAGGGCCACCGCCGCTCGTCTTGAGTTCTGGTTGCAGAGGAGGCGTCTCAACGCTAGTAGGGGCAGAAGAGCTTGAAGTAAAGTTGGACCCAGAAGAGTGATCTTCCCTGCAAAGTGAGGCCCGCACTTCCGGATAAGCTGGATTTGGAACAATATTCTCCTGAGCACGGGGCGCTTCTCCATAGGAGTAGACCGGCTCTGGAGCCCACGGTGCCGCGAACAAACCATTCGAGTAAACAGGGACCGGCTGAGGTGGAAGGGTGCTGCTGGTGGGTATGGGAGCTCGAGCACGACGGAGAATCACGACTAGACCATCCGATGTGCAGGAAACAACGGCCTCCAGCTCCAGAGGAGGAATTGGGTCTGAAAAAGCGACGAGTCCACGTTGAGCCATTTCGGGATTATCATCTTGCATGGGGTTTCGGAACCAGAAGCGCAGATAGGCAATCGAGTCGTTTGCCTTCGCGCTCTCCAAGCATCTTACTGCATCCCGCAAGCACCGCTCTTGGATACAGTAGAAGAAGCTCTTCGAGATAAGCTGGTTGGGGTTCAGTCCCAGAATCTGGCTCACGCCGGCGGTAGCGTACATAATAGTGGCCGTGCGGGTGAATCTATTAACGAACATGGCAGCGCGAGGCTCATGAAGCGGCTCATCGAGGCGTTGTGAGAATTTGTTGGATAGCAATGTGAGCATGTGATAGCGCGAGTCATTGGGGGAGGAAGTGAAGAGATGGCGGACAATGGGAGCATCAACGGCGCGGTCTAAAAGGAACAAGAGAGAAAGAAGATTAGAAAGAGATGATCGATGGCTAGGGACCAGCCGATATGAGGAAGCTTACTTTGACTGCCCTTCCCCCGGCCATAGACAGTAGTGCTTGCGATCAACACATCGTACACGACCGTAAACACACACTCGCACCCGATCCACGATCCATTCTTGTGTCGAATGGAACAGTAGTTCAGCACGGCAGCTTTATCAAGTCGCACACCGCGACCATGGACACTGCGCGCAAAGGGCAGTTCCTGCGGGTGGAAGTACTCCCAGCACGAGCGATTAAGCACTTCATATGGCTGGTACCCAAGCACTACCTGAATGCTATCGGAGGCATATCGGATCGAGGCGTCACATGATAGATCTGTACGTTGGGTCAGTAATAGTAACCAGCACACCGCTCTCTGAGCATGACATGACTGTCAAGAGACTGCAGGTTGGAAGTGGCTTGCCATGGATCGTGATGAATGTCGTGTCCATCCTGCAGAAGAGTGGAACCCCCCACTAACCCCTCGTGACAGAATCCTGAAGGATCTGAGCGACTCGGTGAATGAACCAAGAATTCTATCAACGTGTACGAAGAGCCAGGTACTCCAAACAACAACGTGAGGAGTAAAAAGCGGGAAACAGGTTACAGCCCTGCGGGAGAAGGCGTGGTCCAACGGCTGTCAAATCCGTGGTCCGTGGATCGATCGATTGCACCGATTGCCACTAGTGGGGACAAATTCAGGAACATTTTTTATTGATATATATATATTTTTTTTTTACAATGGGGGAACTGTGAAAGGAATCAAAATATAATTTTCTGTAGATTTGGTCAGAAACCGGTCATCGTACCATCTATGTTTGGCACATCAATACTTCCTTGGCCATTTGGCTGTACTTGCCAGTTGACCATCATTCCAGTCCATTCCGTTCTAGCCTCGCCGTCGGGGCTCCGGCGACACTCTACTAGACTTAGTACACTGAGACTCTACTCAGAATACAGTCCGGCCCTCACAGCCAATACTTCGCCTTATCAGGTGGATGCGGCTGCACCGGCAATTCCTCCAAGCTTGCTAGCTCCAAATGCCCCAGACTGGGGAAATAAAGAAAACATGCTTGGTAAGATGTCTGACTCTTGACTCTTATCTTACATCCCGATTTCCTTTTCCAGGCACCATCTTTCCATTTTCATAGATATACCATGTCTGCGTGGCTTTTTGCCGCGCGTCGAAAGGGTATCAGTTCGTTTGCTTATTATCGAACAAATTTTGCCAATCTTCTCAACTCGGATTCCCCTTCCGTTTGATCCTGGCTATACGCTACTCCTGCCATGGCATCAATATCAACCACGGGCGCATGCGGCGACAGCCGCTTTGGCCCAATCGTCGCTACAACGGACTGTCGCGGGGGCTTTGACTTTACCGTACTTTTCGAATCCGCCATATTGAACATCGTACCTGCGGCTTGTTTCCTCTTACTGGCACCCCTTCGTATTTTTCATTTATCGAGACAGCCACAAAAAGTGCTCTCTTCCCCAATTCGTGCTGCGACACTGGTGAGTATAACAATTCATTATCCGTTAAGGGTTGGTTAAATGAGAAAGAATCTAAGGATTGTTATCATAAAGCTTGTATCTGTAGCCTTTGCAGCTATCCAAACCGCTCTCCTAGTCCTTGTTGCAAAACACCAATTTGTTGGCGGGTCTGTTGCTCTTGCGAGTGCAAGTCTGGATCTTCTATCGGCGCTGGCCATCGTGATTCTCGTGGATCTGGAACATGTTCGATCTCTTCGGCCATCATTTCTCGCCTCAGCCTACTTGTTCATCACCCTACTTCTGGACATTGCGCGCGTGCGCACAGCTTGGTTGGTATCCGACCATCAGGTTTACTCTGCTTGCCTCTCTGCGTCTTTCGCTCTCAAAGCGCTGCTCTTGGCGCTGAACAGTATTGAGAAGAGAAAATGGTTTCTGTCCAATGAAAAGAAACACTCCACTGAGACTGTGAGCGGGCCTTTTAGTCGAGGCTTATTTACTTGGCTGAACGGTCTGCTATGGAAAGGCCATTCCGGGTTATTGACTGGGGATGGTCTACCTAATGTCAACGAAAGGATTTTGTCTTCAGAAGTAGCTACCCGGTTCACAAACTCGTGGATGGGCAGCCCTCAAAGTGGAAAAAATGCACTGCTGTTCGCGGTGATCAAGTGTTTACGCTTGGAAATTGCGACGATCGCCCTTCCGCGGCTCTGCGTCGTGGGATTTAGTATTGCGCAACCTTTTCTAATTGGGAAATGTGTTACCATTCTACAAGAAACAACCTCGCTGTCAGAGAACATGGGCTACGGCTTGATTGCAGCGACCATACTCCGTGGTGGTCTGATGACTCTTGTTTTCAACCATATGATGGACCTGCCTCTAGGGGGCACCGACGAATCCAGTGCGATGGCCCTCATGGGTTCTGACATAGAGATGCTCGCGGAATATTTCTATTCCTCGATTTGTGAAACCTGGGCCAATGTACTACAATTAGCTCTCGCTACATGGTTGCTACAAACTCAAGTCGGAGCTGTTTGTATCGGTCCGATCTTGGTGGCAATAAGTAAGTCCATTTCCCTCTGATGATTCATTTGCGGTGTCCCTTAACTAACAGTGCTACACTAGTTTTTATAGCAGCATCCTTTGCCATGGGTAATGCTGTTACCACACGACAAAAAGATTGGCTTCGGGCCACTGAAAAGCGTATCAACTTTACGACTTCTATTTTAGGCTCTATTCGAAACGTTAAATATCTTGGACTCACCGAGATAATGAGTGATATGATTGAAACACTGCGAATTGAAGAACTCAAAGTCTCCACAAAATTCCGCCAACTTTCGTCTATTCGTGTTTGCATGAGTCCGTGTTACCTGAGTTTCTTCAAATGTTCCATATTACAGCAAAGAATTCATTTACTGACACTCACCTCCAGTAAACTCCCCTTTGACCTTTGGCCAGCTCGTGACACTTGCTGCCTATGCGATATTAGCGTTGCTGCAGGGCTCTCGCGGTCTTGCTGTCAGCGAAGCCATCACATCTTTGTCGCTCATAAGTCTGATGATAACGCCGCTGAGCTACCTCTTGATGGCTATTCCTGATACTTTTGCATCCATTGGCTGTCTTAATAGGATACAAGAGTTTCTGAAAGCCCCTAGTCGTCTTGGTGCGTACTTTGTTTTCCTTTTCTTCTGGCGCTTCGGTGCGCCTGGCCACTCCTGAGTGCCGAAGAACAAGACATGGCTTGAACAGAAACTGACAGAATACATTATTACAGAGAAGAGACAGCTTCCACGGCCGTTTTCAGCTGACTCTACTTCAACCACTGGAACTTCTGCTATCCAGCTTTCTATGTTTCCAACAAGCCCACCCACGCAGAGAGAAGTGATTATATCCCTACAGAATGTTAAATTTGGCTGGAAGACCTCTCCAAGACAAACACCGGGCATCACACTGAGTCTTGAATCCTCTCCCACTGGCAGTGTCATCATCCTGGTCGGTCCAGTAGGGTGCGGTAAATCTACTTTCCTGAAGGGTCTCGCAGGTGAAACACCCGTGTTGGAAGGTGAACTTTTCATTAAGTACCCAGATCTGGCATTCTGTGACGAAACGCCATGGCTATCTAATTCATCAATACGAAGCAACATTGCTGGAGAAGACCCATCTACTTTTGATTCAGACTGGTATCGCACTGTAATTGGCGCATGTGCACTAGATCTGGATCTGAAAAACATGGCAGCAGGTGACGAGACAGTTGTGGGCAGTAAAGGGTCCAAACTCAGCGGAGGACAGAGACAAAGAATTGTGAGTGGTTGATTTATGTTCTTGGGCTGCTGTTCACTAAAAGATTGACATTTATAGGCTATCGCACGTGCCGTTTATGCTCGGAAACGCATTGCTTGCTTTGACGATGTTCTGAGTGGCCTAGACAATGTCACTGCCAACCATGTGTTTAAGAATATTTTTGGCCCAACTGGACTGCTACGTCGGCTGGGCTGCATGGTATTCTTAGCAACCCACACTGGTATGTCACTCCATCTAGTAGATATAACACTTTGCCGATTAAATCTCCATCTCACACCTAATATTTTCCAGTTCATCACTTGCCTCAGGCCGATCTGATTTTGGTACTCGGAGACGATGGCCAGGTTGCCAAGCAAGGGAGGTTTAGCGAGCTTCAAGAAGAGATTGACGACTTCGTTCACATTGAGGGCATTGAACTTACGCAAACAGAGGAGATTGATGGGCTATCAGAACTTACCAATCAAGCCGCAGAGTCCATCCGCGCCCTCTCCACAGATACCAAGCGCCAGACAACGGATCTTGCCGTATACAAGTACTATTTCTCTTCGCTGGGCTGGTTTCGAATTTCTATTTTGCTTTTTCTCTTCATTGTCAATGCTGGTATGGGTGGACTTGGCTGTGAGTTATCACTACTATATTTCTCTACTTGGGCTGTTTACGAAAATGGCATTTGACTCGTTTTCCCGCAGATATCTGGGTCGACCTCTGGTCTTCCAGCAGTGATAGTGCGACATCTTCGCGCCTGGGCTACTGGCTCGGGCTGTATGGGGCATTCTCCGTTATTCAAGTTCTTACCCTAGCGCTTGCTGTGTTGTAAGTTTCAACACCTTCGGTCAGTTGTGTGTCCTTGGCTAATTATAATTTCTCTCTTACTAGCTGGACTTGGGTTGTTATTGTACCCGCAGCTTCTAAGAACCTTCATTCTGTAATACTAAGTGCATGCATGAGGTGAGTGTACCTGGAATCACACTTTAATGACTGGCTAACAATAACAGCGCTCCAATGTCATTTCTGTCGAATATCGAAACTGGGATCTTGGTAACCCGTTTCAGTCAAGATATCAGACTAGTGGATATGATTTTACCTCGAGGCTTCATATCTACAGGTTTCCGTGAGTTCGGTTATTCAATTGCTAGAATATTGTGCAAATCGTCTAACCATATTTATAATCAGAGTTGTTTGGGTCTATTGCGCAAGGCGCCGTTGCTATCGCTTCACTTCCATATTTAGCGGCAGCTTTGCCCCCTCTGATTGGAGTTCTGGTACTGATTCAGCGCTTCTACCTCAAGACATCACGTCAGCTGCGGCTATTAGAGTAATAATTTGTCTCTGTTTCGTACAAACTTTAAACTAATGCATTTCACCTACAGAATCGAGCTAAAGAGTCCTCTTTACACCCATTTCATCGAATCATTGGCTGGAGTTACCACCATCCGTGCCTTCTCCTGGACACACGCCACCACGAATCGAATGATTTCCAAGCTAGACAACGCTCAGAAGCCCTACTATTTGCTCTTGTGTGTTCAACGCTGGCTGAGTCTTGTCCTGAATTTAATGGTCGCAGCCATAGCAGTGCTTCTCGTCGGTGCCTCGCTCGCTCTCCGCACTCGTGTTGAACCAGGCCTCTTGGGTATTGCCCTTGTCATGATGATGGACTTGGGACTCACTCTTTCGGAACTGATCCAAAATTGGACGTTGCTTGAAACTTCATTGGGGGCTATTGCTCGAATCAAAGATTTTGCCGAAGAAACCCCCAGTGAGGAGATGAACTCAAGCATACAGACTTACAATGAACTCTCAGAATGGCCGACCCAAGGAGAGATCATATTTTCGGATGCGAGCATTGGATGGAATCATGAGGCAAAGCCGTTGATCCACAAAATGAACCTTCACATCCGTGCCGGACAGAAGTTCGGCCTCTGCGGTAGATCCGGAAGGTAATCACAAGCATTGTTATTTCCTGATTAAAAAGCAGAACTAACAAATAATGAACGAAACAGTGGCAAAAGTACATTGGCATTATCGCTTCTCCGGCTCAATGAGACTTTCTCCGGTAAGATTGAAATCGATGGAAAAGATATTTCCCTTTTGTCCAGATCAACAGTCCGGCAACACATCAGCTGCCTTGGCCAAGAACCCTTCCTTTTCCCCGGTACTGTCAAGCAAAATGCCGACCCACTGAATATGGCATCAAGCACGGAAATTATTGATGCATTGAGGTCGGTTGGAGTTTGGGACGCCCTCACGACAAGCCATAATAGCACGGATGAAGTGTTGCTGGATTCGAATTTAGATGAGAGCATTCTATCCCAGGGCCACAAGCAACTATTCTGTCTAGCAAGAGCCCTGCTGAAGAGAAGCAAGATCCTGATTCTAGATGAGCCAACAAGCAGGTATGTTCATCAATTTAATTCTCACGTCATGCTTCACTGGGATTGACCGGTATCTGACCGTCTCTACAGTCTGGATTCTGAAACGGATGCCAAAGTGCAAAAGGTCATACGGGAGTCTTTTGTTGACTGTACCGTGATCATGGTGGCACATAGAATCCACACTCTGCTTGACTTTGATCAGGTTGCTGTCCTGAGCGGTGGTCAGCTTGTTGAAGTTGGACACCCACAGGAATTGATCATCAAGAAGGGTGAATTTGCAACGTTGCTAGAGTTTGAGTCATAAATTGGTTGCGGAGACTTCGATTCCCAAGGTCGTATCCTTACTTAGGTTGGAAAGGTAGAATCTCTTTCGATGTTTCTACATAAGTCACTCCATTTTCCAGCAGGTAAATTCTGTACGTAAGTCCACTGATTCCAACATTTGAAGAAATGGGAGTATATAAATTCAATCATTCTGTCATTCTTATTAGTTTGGATTAAAGCTAGATACAGGGCAATGTATTATGTACATCGTTAAATAAAATCATATCTCCCCAAGTTATGCAAGTAGTGAGTTCTATGCAAATGGTGCAGGCGCGCAGTAAAAGAAAAATCTCAAATCATAAACATGAGACACATCGCATCATTGGAAGCCAGCATTCTTCTCCGTCTGGCTGGGGTCGTTGTGGGCAGTCTTTTGTGCCCGATAATCGTCAATGACACGTCCCTCAATGGTTTCATCGAATACATCAACTTTCGTAGTCGCAAACTTGCGAGCGCTGACCTTGCGTTGGAAAAGCAGGTCGAGTTCAGCGAACGAGCGGCCCTGGGGCTCAGGAATGCGGAAATAGGAGTATATAATGCACAGAAAGCAGGATCCGCCCCAGAAGAAACCGGCATAATTGCTCCAGTCCCAGGCCGACGGGTTCAGCATATAAGGTGTTAGAACACCACAAATTACGGCCACGACGTTGTAAAGACAACGACCGAGAACCACCGTCTTGATCTGGAGACGCCGGGTCGACATTTCCGCAACCAGAGAGTAGCAGACGGTACCGACAGTCAGCTGATAGAAGAGAGCCCACACGAGCATCATTGAGCCGGTGGCCAGAGAGGCTTGGTCCTTGTGTGCCTTTGGGACGAGTCCGAGGAAGCCCATGATCATCAACATTGTGCAAAGACCGCACAATCCGTACAGAATAAGCGTTCGGCGACCAATGCCCACAGCCATTAGGAACCAGGCGCCAAATGTGCCAACCATGTTGATTCCGTACTGACCCATGGCAAAAGAGTAAGAGTTGGATGAGGAGAGTCCAGCCTGCTCTAAGAAATAGGTCGAGTAATTGGAGAAAGAGTTACCGCTGAGGTTCTGCATCGCCCAAGCCATACAGACAATCTCGGTCCGGCGTCGATCGATGCCCTTGAAGCAGTCAAAGTAACTGGCACCCTGGGTGATCTTGGCCTCCAAAGCAGTCGTATGTACCATCATCGAGATGGTCTCATCGGGATCGAAATCGGTTGTACGGTCTTTGCTGGTAAGTCGCTCGAGGGAACGCTTCGCGTCTTCTGTTCGTCCTTTCCTCACCAACCACCAGGGAGACTCGGGCGCCAACCAAATTCCAATAAACAATGGGATCGGCCACATCCATTGCAGTCCGTAGGGGATTCGGTATGCCCATTGGTCCTGACGGTTCAGCATTCCCTTGATGACACCAATTCCAATAAGCTGACCCAAGCCCCAGCAGAAGTTGACGTAGGTGGTCAGGTATCCACGCAGCGCGACGGGGCACACCTCAGAGGCGTAAGTGACGGTCAACGTCTGGAACACACCCCAGGGAATACCGCACAGAATCTCGGCAGCCAATAGTGACTGAATATTGGGGGCGGTGAAAAAGATTGCTGTCCATGCGCTCACAAGGATCAAACATGCCATGATGGTGTACCGGTATCCAAATCGTTCCGAAGCCCATCCGTTAATGAACAAGCCAATGATTTCACCGACATAGGCACCGTTACTAAGTCCCGATTGCCACTAAAAAAAAGAAACACCACAGTTAATTTCTGATATCCTCCGAATCACTTTTCTCTCTTCCAGGTCCAAAAAAAGTACCGATTTGAAAAGTAAAGAGGGGGAACAGATCTTGACTTACCGACGCCGATACTTCATAAGAACCATCCGCCTGCAGCTGTCCGTATTTCTCATTGAATTGCGGGAACGCATAGAAATTGTTCACCAAACTGATATCGTATCCTTCCATAACAATGCAGGTCGAAATCAAGACACTCCAAGCGACGGCCTTGGGATACAATTTAATACCCTGCAACAGAGTCATATTCCGCTCCTTATCCGTAGCCGCCTGGGCATTTCGAATGACCTTGGTCATAGATGAGTCCGAAGCCGTTCCTTCAGTAGAGTGGTAATGCTGCAATGCCTCGTCGACAGGCTCAATGGCGTTATGAGCCTTATATTCCACGTTGCCCGCGCCATCGTAAGGAGGGACGGGACCTCTCACCGAGGTGGCGGCCTCTTGCACTTTGTCGTCGCCCATTCCTACCGCGGCGTGGAGCGCAGAGGGACAGAAGAGGAATGGCGGGTGAAGAAGAAGAGGGGGAGGGGGGGTTTGAGGAGTCGAAAAAAGGGTGGGTGCTTCAAGAATTGGAGCCGCGGAGACCTGCGGAGGTTAAAGAAAAAAACTGCAACGTACCCACTCTTGGGAACATCAAACGACAGCACTCAGGGGTTGGTAACGGAATTCCCCCCGGGTTAACCTAGAACCCATAGAATTGTGGGATCCCCAATTGAGTTTAACAGAGAAAAGGTTGAGACAATTTTTTTTTTTTTTTTTGCGGGGGAACACGGGCTCGACGTCTATAGATTCGAATTTTCGGATTGGACGCTTGGCGGAGGTAAAAGAAGGGAACCATGAATGATTGGATCTTCAAATGTTCTTTTTGCCTCCTCGTTGCCACAATGTTATTACTATAGTGTATGAATTTGTGGTTGTGTACATATGAAGCCTTAATTATGAAGATAAAATCCGAGTTTATAGAAAGCTGCATGGCCATGTGTTGCACACGAGCTGACATTCCCGTGCGACTTTCCGCATTCGGTGGTCTGAGCGTCCGGATGTCCAGATTCGGACAACCCTCTGTCACGTGTTTGCTCGATGTTTGCCTTCAAGTTTGCCTTGTTTGTTACATATTGAAGCCCTTGGAAACCAGGATGACCATGGACCTTGGCTCTTATTGCAGTACTTGAAACAATACTACATAGTAGTATCCAGTATCCAGTATCTAATATCCAAGAGACCCAATCTTGGAAACTTCAATTCGAGAATAGTGGGCGATATTCGCCATTCGCTTTCTCTTTCGGTAAATAAAGTTCTCACTATTTTTATTCCGGAAGAAGTAGTGGATCCTCAATCAACCTTTCCATATCCTCCGTACGGAGATGTATCGACACATCAACCCCGTTATCCGTCCAGCTCGCTCCCGAGCCGTCCACACCATATGGAGGTGGCGCCTCCTTGATAAGAACACATCCATCCAAGTCCGCTATCACTCCTTCGGTGAAACGAATCCTTGGTGACTCATTCAACCCAAAATTCACATCATAAACACCTGCCCGAGCCCAGCTCGTAACAAGGAGGTGACGGGATCCAAGAAAAGCCTGCCAGATCCGCTGTGGCGATGTCTCAAAGGCCAAGCTATGCAAATGCGCAGCAATAGCAGCTGGTCGGATCATCTGGTTAATAGTTTTGCGAATCTTCTGTGAAATTGTCCGGATGAGTTCAGTTGAAGGGAACTTCGATGATGCAACCTCGCTCCCGGTCATCTCGATATCCACCATCATACTCGGTGAGCCGACAAAGCGCTCCCCAAGATGAAGCGCGGGTCTTAAACCAAGAGTGAGATCACAGTGTATAGGATCCGAGTCTTCATGTTGGTTACGCGCCCGAGCGATACAGGACCAAATATGCGCTAGGATGACGTCGTGGCGGCTGATTCGAAGGGCACCAGTCTCGTGTGGACTTCCTTTGATAGCGGCTTTCCATATCGTTTCCACTTGCTTAGAAGTCAAGTGAATCACGTAGTGAGAAACTGGGGATGTCGTGTCCCATTCAGACCAGGGCATTGGGGAGCCGATCGGATGAATCTCTCTTGTTCTGTAAGCCTCGGGAACTACTGCCTCCCAGGGACAATCGGCTGTTGAGATCCACCAGTCGTACCGATGCAGAGGCAGGGTTGCCGCTTGTTTCAGGGTCTTCGGGTCGGGAGCTTCCGCATTGATGTCTGCAGCGGCCATGGAGTCAAGCAGATCCGGCTCGAGGACAGGCTCTAATAACGGGACAGGCGGAGCTGAGCCTGAAAGAATCCATCGACCGATGCTCGCCCAGTCCTTGATGAAATGTACCAAAGAGGAGATGTCGGCCACCGGGTGTGCCATTTTGGCTGACAGCGAGAATCCCCCACAGGCCAATTGAGTGATCTGCACTGCCAACAGAGGCAGAAGCGCGCCATTTACATCGGCAGGCTTTGGTCGGACGGCATTTGCGATCCTAACGGATGGAATCAGGCCATCGACAGAAACCCTTTGTTGGTTATAAATAGGTTGTTCTGTTGGCCTTGAAGCCGGGCATAATGTATCCAAGGTGGCCGTGCTTTTTGCTGTGATAAACTCAACGCCTGGATCTGAAGATGTGCCGTAGTGAGCATACACTCGGCCATACCGGCGAGCATGTTTTTCAAAGTTGGCAGTCTCAGCCGTCGATTCAGAGGAATCAAGAGATGCGATGCTCTTCAGCTGGCCAGTGAAGTGTGGATAAGCATCCAGAGTGTGTCTGAGCGATTGACGAAAGTGGTCGAACAAGTCGAACCCATCTTGTTGTTTGTCAGGTTTTTCACAAAACCAAATGGCAGAGGTTGCCGAAAAGTCCACCGTTGTTGCATCAATCAATGACAATGCTACGGCATCTTCCGTTGGCTTGGCTTTCGGATAGATCCTCTCTGACATGATTCCGTGAATGTGAATAGAGCTCATGTTTCAACGGGACCCCCTGGAACTTTCTTTTGATATCTCTCAAGGGAGAAGGGAGGGAATGCGAATAAATAGGTCAACTCAGGTCGCTTCCTGCAAGCCAATCCCTGAATTCCACCGATGACCTCGAAGGAGGAAAAGTAGATAAGCTTTTCTCTTGGCAACCTATCGGCCATACAAGTTGTTGAGCGTATAGTCTTGTTGCCAACGCTAGTCCTAAATTGGGGATGGGGCGTGCCCAGGTGGGTCAGACGTGAATGATGACTTCTGACTCACTGTGAATAACAATCAGTTACTAATAACCATGGCTACTCCCTTTCTAGGTTTGTTTAGCATCCATAAGAACAAGCGTTAGAACTTTTGTCACTCAAAAATCGACCAACGTATCAAAACTTTTGTGAATAGCGACTCAATCAGATGCTTTCCCAGCTTCCAAGGTTTTGCCTCAAGTTTACTCAAGAATTTTAGACTTTATCGTCCAAATGATTTATCTCAAGTAAAACGTCTTGGGTAACACTGAACAATTTTGGGAAGTATTATTGATGTTATCTCGCGACACAAAATATGGTCTAAATGTATGATGTACTCAGAAGTGCGTCGAAGAATCTAGGATATCTACTTTACTCGGAGGAAGATGGAATTTATCGGGAGACTCTTTACAAAAATTCCAGAATTAACTCTTATAATTTTGGCATCTAGAAGAGAGAATTGGTTTTTCTGGCAATGGGTTGAGTCTCGTGGATCTATAGCCTATAGTTGACTAGACTGGAATGCTGGTTTCTGCAGACATCTACATCCGCACCTGCATTACCAATCTTACTATTCAAAATAAGTGGCACTGGTAGCTCTTGCCCTTCGAAGCGGTCAGGTAGGACAAGTAAAGGCCACTGGACTAGCTTGAGTAGCGTTGATGAGTTAGATTTCTACACGCCACATGTGCATCGGGTATTTGGCTACTAACTACTGATTTTATGCATCATTTTTTAGCCGCTCTCCCATCGTTATTCTTCATATCTTGTTTGCAGTACCCAACTCTACCAGCATTCCGATTAAACAGAAGAACTTTGAAAACAGGGGTTTTTGAAATCTTTTAAATCTTTTCTTCGGTCTTGGACCTTGTTTTTAGTGCATGCTGCATAAGTACACACTTAGTATGTCTGTGCGAGATTCAAGCATGCAGAGGGAAGAAAAAAAGTCCGTGGTCAGCTGAGAGAGAGAATTGCGACTACATGTAAAGACTAAATAATGCAGAGGGACATAAAATCTTTCAACAAGCTACTCAAGCAGGCTCTCCAATCTCAGATCTGAGTTAATCGCTAGGCGCGCCGCATACGAGAATTCTGACCAATGACGCAGCTTCGTCGTTCTTCATTGCCTAATGTGCTTAGCGCAACCTTGGCATCTCCCGCCATCTACTAATACTACCATGTACAGCGCCATGCACGGAGTACTCCGTAGCATGATATAGCGAGATGATGTGGGGCTGGGGGGTTCGTGTTATTTTTCGTATGCCGATTTGGGTCCCTTTTACTGAAACGATTGTGAATTGGAGTTGGGAAGTTGTGAATTCCGTTACCCGTTAACACACCTCAACCCACATACAATGGCAGTCCTTGACACCCAAACCAGCAAGCTATCTCCACTTAATGAGGAGTTCGCAAATTTAGTCCAACGCACACTAAAGAAATGGAACATCCAAGGGGCTGCTGTTGCTGTTGTTGATGGGGATGAGACTTGGTCCGAGGTACGTCGTAAACAGGCTTCTTTTCCTAGTACCACGGTGCACGAGGGCTCACTAGAATCAGGGATATGGAGTTGCTGCCTTTCCTGATACGCCAGTTACCCCCGACACGTTGTTCTACACAGGTAGCACAGCAAAGTCCTTCACTGCCTCCGCAGCTTCACTATTGGTCGATGACAATGAGAAATATCCTCAGATCAAATGGACCACCCCGCTCAGCGAGCTCATCCGTGATGACTTTGTCCTGCAAGATGATTACGCGACAACGCATATCACATTGGAGGACGCGCTCTCCCATCGAACTGGCCTGCCGGGACATATGCTGTCGCTCGGCCGCGAGGGCACAGTTCGTGATGTGGTCCGCAGCTTGCGTCATTTCCCAATGGACAAAGAAATCAGAACGACTTGGCAATATTCCAACGCAATGTTTATTACCGTGGCGCACATGATCGAAGTAGTCACTGGCGAATGGTTGGGTGATTTTCTTCGTAAGAATATTTGGACTCCACTGGAGATGAACTCGACATTTTTCTCACTCGAAGACGCCAGACGCCACGCCACTTTGAAAGGCACCACACTGGCCAAAGCATATGGCTGGAACAAGGATATTTCCGAGCCACTAGAGATCCCATATTGCGAGGGAACTCTGAGTGGAGCAGGGGCCGTGATTTCAACCGTTCGCGACTACGCTATATATATACGCTCGATGATTCGGCAATCCGGTCCGCTGTCCAAGTCAGGGTACGAAGAGCTGTTGAAACCTCGTTCATTTGTGCCTCAATTGCTTCCTCAACTCACGCAACAGTCGTTGTATACACTTGGTTTGATATCGAGCACATATCGAGGGGAATCTATTATCCTGCACCCCGGTGGCTTGGATGGTATGACGGCAACAATGATTTTTTTCCCAAAGAAAGATTGGGGAGTCGCTGTTTTTAGTAACGCGACGGGCCCAGGGCGTGAATTCATCGCGTGGAATTTGATCGATGATCTACTTAATGTGCCAGAGGAAGAACGCATCGACATCTTTGAGCTGTAAGTTCTCTATCATATTCAAAACATCACACAGTGTAAATCATTGCATTGTCAAAATGACTAACAAATGTCCAGGAAGCAGAAGAAACTCATCAAAATCGAAGAAATGCGAGCCACAGCTAAAGAGAGGTTGTATCCCTCGGCACCGTCACCTGGTCAACCGCACACATTGCCCCTGCAACAATATACCGGCAGGTATACCCATCCTGCCTACCCAGACCTTATAATAAACACAAAGGGTGCCGAAAATCCCGGGCTGCACGTTGTCCTGACAGGAAGCTTGAATGTGAGCCTGAGTCTAGAGCATGTATCCGGTGAATATTTCTTGGCCGAAATCTTTGAATACATGTCGGTCCCGGAGCCATCGACTACTGTTAAAGCTGAATTTCACATCAGCGTTGCGGGCCAGGCAGACAAATTTGGATTCATTGCTGATTTCTCTGATATGCCCGATACTATGATCTGGTTTGATCGGGATGATTAGCATGAAATTTGTTTCATAGGTATGCAAAACGTGGAAAGCATAACAGCCCTGGAGGTTTTTAAGAACTTGATGGGGTTCATAAAGCAATGTTCAAATGTTGGTCGAATGTAGTGGAATTCACAGAATCCATTCATATGGCCTAGAGTAAATTTGCTGCCCAAAATTTCGTTTCCAACTGAGTGGAAGCTCGAATCGTTTCTCCCTTACGCCAACCATGTCCCTCCCCTTCAAAAACGACAAGCTCAACCTCCTTGCCAGATTTCTTCATCGCCTCTTCCATCTCTGTCGCCTGCGAAACAGGAACAACCGTATCGATATCACCCTGTAAAAGCAACAAAGGAGCCTTGATTTTCTCCGTATGGTAGAGTGCACTCCGCTTCCTGTATCTCGCCTGACGCGCCTCATCACTCCACTCACCCTTGCCCAGCACAAGGCCCAAAATATAATGACTCTCAAACTTGTGCGTCAGCTCCGCAAATCCTTGCAAAGAACTTATTCCATATAGACTAATCCCTGCAGCCCAGATATCGGGGTAAGTATAGAGCGCTTGCATAACAGAATAACCGCCAGCACTCTCGCCCACAATTCCAACCTTGGTCACATCGATCACCCCCTCCAAAGCGAGATATGACACACAGCTTGCGGCGTCGGCAATTTCGGCTTCTCCCCACGCACCGTCAAGAAGTGCGCGATATGCTCGGCCATATCCCGTGGATCCGACATGATTGACGAGCACGTACGCGTACCCTCGTGAAGTCCAGTATTGGGTTTTAAAGTCGAGTTCTGGAGTGACGTGACCGACGGGACCACCGTGCATCCATACAATCAAGGGCGGCAGTGTTCCAGCCGGTGCTTCGAATTCAGGGTTTTTGGGTGGGACAAATAGGGCATGGCCTTTGTCGGAAGTGTTGCTGTAAGTCCGGGGGAATGTGACGTGGCGTGCCTGGGAAATCAGACTTTCTGAAATGGGTTTCTTAACTGTTGCTCGGATCGCGTTTACAGACACGCCGTCACTCAATTCAACATGGTATAATGCCTGCGGAACTGTCCGAGTGCTTCCGATCACCGCGAAAGATGTGGGCGAGACACACGCCAGAGCATTCCTCAGGATATCGACAAGATCAATAGATAAATCCTTCCATGAATTGGACTCCAGGTCGATTCTGATCAAGTTAGAGGTTGCGTTCTGAATGACGCTCGCAACAATGGTCTTTTCATCCATGAGAATATATGTGCAACTGACACTCGGTCAGTGGAGGTTTCATTTGGTGGTTTTTCTTGTGACTCCAAATGTTTTCAACCTACCTTCCCAACAAAGGCTCCCTGCTTCCAAATTCTCCCAATCCAAGCCCTTCAAGTTGTATATGATGTGAGGCTTTCCCATCGAATCGGTATAGCTGCCAGTAGCCCGTTCTATCACTAACAAAAAACAGGGTTCCATCCAACCTCCATCGCGGCTGGCAGATACTCTCGACGCCTGCCTGACCCGCCACCACAGTCGAGTCCAGAAGCTTTCCCGGCTCCCACGGAGCCAAGTGGAGTACAGAGCCCGTCCATGGCATATCGGGATGATTCCATTCAACCCAAGAAACCTGTTTCCCATCCGGACTAAACTTAGGATGCGAATAAAAGTCCGCGCCCTTAGCAACGAAGTTCACATCACCCGTAGCAGCATGAATGGCCACAACGGTATTTGTCACAATGGGCTCACTAGACTCGTTGGTCTCATGCGTTTCCTGGACAGCAAGAATCCATTCCTGCGTTGGAGGATAGACGTGGAAATCGCTAAATCGATTCGAGGCATCAGGAGATACGATGTTTTCGACCGTTCCAGACTGCGGATCAAGCAAGAAGACACCGTTGGTTGGATAGTTGGTGAAAATTAATTTGCCATTTGGGTACATGGCGAGAGAGCCACCTCCGTATTCATGGATTGTGCCCTTTGCACTGTATTCCGCAGGAAGTATTTCCCTGGTTGTTGAGTCTGATATTTCGACAATCGTGTATCGCCCCCCCTCAGCCGCGCGCGACTCAAGCGCATATATTTTTCCTGTAGATGGCTTATCCATGGACCATTAGTTCTAAGGCTCAATTACCAATCACTATGGCTGGTGGCTTACATTGGCTTGGACTCCTTGCAGACTGAAATTTCCGCCTGAAATACTTTCCGAAGGGACCCATTTCCCATAAGGTGCTTCTTGCCGGGCCATAATCTTTCAAAATTATTTCCTTCAGATGTTTGAAGCTAAATGCTGTTTTGACGATGCAAAGAGATAAAATGTTCAACTTGGAGTATTCAACTTTAGTGGAAGCCTAGTACCCAGGTCAAAGGTTACACTCTTTCTGTTAGGTTAGTCACCCCTTGTCCTATTTACCCCTCAATAATTAGTAACCTTTGGCTTAGGCCTCGCTTTTCATTACCGATTAGAGAATTCTGTAGGTCAATTCGCATGCTTGCAAGTCTTCGAAGCCACTTATCTGCCGTCTTTCCCCTTAAGCCTGCGATGCTTGTTTTTCCCACGCGGCAATCTGCAGGCGATGTCCAACCATACTAGTATTGTCGGATGCCATTCTCTTATCATTGAAAATTGATGAATGCTATGATTTATTTGCGTGTCCAACTTAGATGCAAATAACTACTGTCTTCGACGACTTAAATAACAAAATACCAGAAGGTGATTTAAAAATGCAAAAAAGAAATGCTTGCATCATCCGTGAATCGAACACGGGCCTCGTCGATGGCAACGACGAATTCTACCACTAGACCAATGATGCTAGTTCATGTAGTGGGTCTGACAATATGGAAATATAATCCACCCCAAAAAATAAGCTAGTACTATTCGCGAAAACGTTATAACAGCTGGCACCAAATATGCGGAACAGGTCAACTGGTTTGAATTCAACTAGCTAAGCTCTGCTAACTTCTTCGGTCACAAGTGCGCCGTTATCACGATTGTCCCTATGAACATGAATCTTGCCCTTCAAGGTATCAATCGCACCTGTCTTACCAATAACCATACCCGGGTAATCTCGCGAATCGTCTACCTCCTGAACATTCAGATCCTGAATGAGGAGAGCAAATACCAACGCAAAAACCTCAAGGATGACCGCGATCAACAGCATCAGTCGGAATGTGCTTGTATATGACTGGTTGATAGCATCCCGGGTCGGCGAACCCCAGGCATATTCCATGGCAACCTCAATCGACCCTTCAATCTCAGCAAGCTGACCTAGAGCATCGCTGGGTAGATACTGGGCAAGCTTCTGAGGAAGAATAGCTGAATAAACATTTGATTAGTGTGGATCCAAGGAGCCAATTTAAAGTCACATAACATACCAGTCCACACTCCTCCAGCCACCGCTCCGCCAATGGCACTGCCCACTCCCACAGCAGTAGTGAACAAAGCAGTTACTGCGGCCATGTCTGGGATAATATTAGCAGTGGAATTATAGACTCAAGGTCAAGTCAGGATTAGAGAGTGTATTACCATCCTGGCTCACGGCTGTTTGCATGCCGAGTTGCATGGTGTTGATGATTCCTTCTCCAAAGCCCAATATTAATTGCGAGACAACCAGAGCACCCAAATGGTCGTGCCCATTGATATACTTATATGCCAATCCGAGTCCAAGAAGATTAAGAGCAAACCCGGAAACTGTAATCCACTTGTATCGCTTTGTATATTTCACAAGGAAAGCGGCTCCAAACTGTCCAGGTACAGCAGCGAACGGGATGAGAATTGCGATGTTTGTAGCGGCCGTAACAGATAGTTGTCCGGCGACCAGCTCGTATGTCACAATATAGTCTTGAAGAATGTAAAGTGCCGTATAGTCAATCAATGACGCTGGTCAAGTCAGTATAATCCCTCTATCTGATTAGGCATTGGATCCTACCTGCTAGGCCAAATATAACAGTTCGGCTCTTGAACAACCTCATGGAGAGGATAGGCCAAGGGGCCCATTTGATTTCCCACAAGACAAATGCAACAAGGCTCACGAAACCGATCACCAGCATGGCAATAATGTGAGGGGCTTTCCAAGTATTCGTTGTCCTTGCCGCCAGTGTCATAGGAACAAGTAACAGGGACAGGCCTGCCGCAAACAAGATTAGACCAATGGGGTCTAGGCGTTTGATGTTGGCAATGTGGTTACGGTGCTTGTAAGTCCCCTGAGACTTTTGTTGTCTTTTAGCCTTTCGCTTGCTGTGGAATAGAGATAACACAAGTGGGGTCCCAACTACGGGCACAAGGATTGCGAATATTCCAAACCCCCATCTCCATGAGACTTTGAGGACAGAAGCTGCAAATGGGGCAGTAATCTGGTCAAGTTAGCTTCCATTGAAATTCATGATGTGTAATGTCTTGTGCGAGATTAGCTTACCCAAGCGGTAATGAATGACGGTGCATATGGAATTGCATTCATCACTGCACGATTATGAAGATCACTCGAATCACCAGCAATAATCTGAAGCATCAAAAGGATCCCTATAAAGTTCCGTTAGATTGAAGTTAGGGTAGCAGGGAATAAGCGAGTATTACCTTCGAGACCAATTACCCAGAATACTTGAGCGCCAGCGTAAACACCAACCGTCGCGGAAGAAGAAAGCATAATCTCGCCAATGGTCGTCATCAATATGCAAAATAGAAACATCTCCAAGCGTCTAAGATCTTCATCAGTCTCTCCTCGCACTATGAAAAAGTCAAAATAAGCTCATACCCGTAGAGATCGGCAAATCTGGCCAGTGACTGCAGACAGGCTAAACTATAAAGTTAGTTTATGTCTTATTTTCGACGAACATTGAATCAAGCGACAATCTTGAACCCACCAGATGCAATCACTGCTTGAACAACAGCGATCGTGCCCACGAGTGGGGCCGAGCTGAAGCCACTCGCGGCATAAGGGGCAAATGTCGAAGATGACTGGTTATTCAACGTGACGACAAAACTCATCAGACCAGCAGAGACCCAGATCACGATCAGACTGCGAAGACTCCAGTTGCGCTTGATACCCTCCAGATCCGCCAGACCAGTTCTTTCGGCATTCTGCACGCTAGGGGATACGTCAGTGGCGGTGATGGCGCCCACGTCGGATTTCTCATCCTTCAAATCGCTTTGCGTTCCACTGGTACTCATAATTGGCAGCTTACAACCCCGAAGTGAGTAGTTGGCAACAGAAGAACCAGTAGGTTCGGTGCAGAACCTTATGTACAAACCTTCAGAGGATCTGTGACATTCCGAAATTATGGTCTTGAACCCTTGGTGTGAAGACCTGCAGGCTTAGACAGCTTTAGTGCGAAGGCTAAAGTGGAATTTTCAGGGATGTTGTCAGGGATGAAGTTCTGCACGGGCGCTCGCTCCGGCGTTACCTGTTTCGGCTCGCTCTGTCTTACGGGCTTAGATAGCCTACCCCGCTATGTGAGACAATTCTATTGTTTTTTCCTCTTAGCTTGAAGTTTCTTCTCTTCCTTTATAGTCGGCTTGCATGAAAATCTTTCTATTTAATTTTATTTTATCTGCCGTGTTATTATCTTCGCTGGGATCCCCCCTCGCACCTTCTCTTTTGCCTATCGGCATGCTAGAGACATGTGAGGAAGATCGCAATGTTGCTTAGTAGACCTCTGATAGAGTTCCTACTTAGGTAAAGCGACTACATTGTTATACCTTGTCCCTTGGATGCGATCCTTCCCACAGACCGCCACAAAGAAATCGTTATTGCTTCGATAAAACTCCTCCTTCTCTTTAATATCACTGTCCATTAAGGAAATCCTGAAAGCATCGTGACCGTCGCTTTTCATCAATATTATCAATCGGATAACCCGCAGCACCAATGCCACGGGTACTCCATCCTCAACCGCCATACCGTATTTTCCAAGCTTTCCAATCCAATCGCTTATCCAATCGGCTACCGCAATGTGTGGACAGGAGGACGCGCAGCATGTCAACAAGGAGAGAATTCCAATCTTGAAAGTATGTTTGTATAGGCAGTCTTCCAAGTCAAGACCGCAGGCAATTCGAAGCAACAGACTTTCCCACGGATAGTTCTCTCGCGTGAAGGTGGAGTCACCTTTGATTGAACCGAACTGTGTCATTCGATCGAGCATTTTCTGGGAACTGCTGAACTGAGCCGAGGCATAGTATGCATAATTGATAGCCGCCTCATAGCTCCGGAACCTGAGAGGCTGGACGTGCAGTTTACCATCGATCTCTTGAATAGGGTCAAGTGATGCGGAGGTGAAAGACTCGATGGGAAGCTCTGATACGTCGAGTTGCGTATGCCAATCGTCCAGGTTTTTGCGATTTTGTTCAAATGACCGGATATACGATTCTTCAATATTGGCAGGCTGGCCTGGTGAGTCATTTTGCCTGGACGACATATGTTCGACGAGAGCCCCGAATGCGACTCGGCTTTGTTCCTCTGTGGCTAGACTGACTCCGCGAGAAACGTAGAAGTCCACTATTACAGTTCGGACAGTGGCAAATACTTCACAAAGCAACTGTGCAATGGTGTCGTACGAGGTTGTACCTGGTCCTACCGAATCTTTCGGGTCTCGAGGTTGAATAGCAGCAAGTGGTCTGGATCGACCAGACCCAACTGTGAGCCGCTTGTTTATTGACAACGATCGAGAGCTTTTCCAAGTGCTGAGCAATTTCGGGTTGAGCTTGATCGAACCGTGCTTCACATGCGACTGAGCGGAGCAGTGTAGTTGATTGATCAATTCCATTTGCTCAACGGCACCAGCGATCGAGCCAACGTCGATTTCAATATAATAAAAAAGAAGTGAAGTGGCGACGAGGTGATCGAGGGTATCGTCAGGAAAGCCATTCACATATTCTGCCAGTTCTCGAATGCCCTTTCCATAGTACTGAAGGCTTCGATATCGGTGTGTGCGCTCTGGAATGTACCTTCCATTATCGCCGGAATGAATTGAAGCCCCTGTATGGGCTAGATGAGATGCCGCCACTGCAAGAACGGCATATCTGAATGGCAGGAATGCGGGTATGGTCAAAGTGAGATCGGCGAATACTGGGGGTAGAATCGGGGTGACAGAAGTTGTCCATTGAGAAAAATAGAACTCCTCGAGTGTTAGAGCATCGGAGGTATCGAATGTGAGATCGTCTCCACTTTTCGCAAGATAATTCGGTAGATCTTGTGGTGGTGATCCCAGCATATTCCAACTAGGTGGCTCCACTTGATCATTTTCTGCTTCTTTAAGCGACGAGTCCGGGGTTCGAGAAGACGACGCGCTCTCCTCTTCCTGCACGGATTCGCGATCGGAAATCTCCATATCGTCCATATTGACGCAAGAAATCGCGACGGGCGCCCACTCGACATTGTCGAAGGAAGCAATAGGGCCTTCCTCCAGCACGGTCGGCCTTGTGAATCGGTACCTCACAATATAACCGTAGCCATCGCATGTCAGACCCAGTCGAACGCAGGTCTTGCATGACGGTTTATCTTCATCGCACTGTTATGTTACTGAAATATCAGTTTCTCGATTTCCAGCAGGTAAGGTTCACTTCTGGATTACCTTGACGCGGCGGCGCCGACAGGTATGACATCCCGTTCTGCTACGGGTAATGTTGGTCTTTCTCTCTTTTTTCTCTCCTTTCGCGCGTGCCATAGTTAAGGGTCAACAGCGTCTTTGATGAAAGCTCTAGAATCTAGATTATGGGTAAGAGTGGAGCCGGGGCTCATCCATGTGGAGGGATGTTTAAGCGTAAGTTTGAAGATGTAAGCCATTTTCCCCCTTGAACGCACATTATTCTCAAGGTTCGTCCCCCGCGGCTTATCACATGACTGCATAAGCAGCATAATAGCATTTATTGGTCATCGCAGGCTTCCAAATGCTTAATTTTCTTAATTAATGATAATCTTCATGCTGATGGAAATACGCATAAGCAGTTAATTTTGGCTTGACTTTCCAGGTCATTAATGTTTGTCTCGTTACTCAGGTAACATAGTTTGCGATGGAAAATTAAGGTACTGGTAGTATGTGCCTTGAATTAAACCACGTTTCTGCTAAACAATAAAAACACAAAATAAACTTAAACAATACAACAAGACTACTAGTAAAGTACAAAGTCGGGCAGAGCCGAGAGCTTGTTTTCAGTCCTTTATGCTCGAATTTCAACAAGACACAGACTTGGCGAATTACTATAGATCCTTCTTCCTGGCCCCCGACCAGCGTTGATACGTAGTAGATCCACAATATCTATGGCGAGAAAAATGTATTTTATGCGACATCTGAGTAATCTCTTATGGAGTCATGGGTATCTAGGTGCTTGATCGGGTCAGCTTGTGCTTGCATTCAGAGGGGTACAACCAACGGCTGCGGGTTCTATCTCTTCCCCAATCCATCAATGGCTCTCGTATGTCGTATTCAAAGCCGGTAAACCCCCGGTAGCTGAAGGGGTTGTTCTCAATTTCTAATTGTGAATCTCGATGGCGTGCACCGAGCTAAGTGGCGATGGTGCAACAGTGGATAGTAGTGACGTGAAGCTGATTCTGATCGGAGGTATTTCAAGGCTAAGTGGAATTCCCCCGCAAGCAATACCTACTAATCATTATCGTGCAATCAAATCCTACTATTTTTAATTCTGTCCCTTGCGAGGCAATGGCCTCTAGATAGTGTGCCGTGGGGTGTTTGGGTTTGATTTTAGACTTTATTTTTCACAAAAGTACACTTCGTGATGGCATCATCGTGAGCTTGGATTGTGCTTCTCTCGGAACAAAAAAGTCATACATTCTCAATCGAACGCCACCGGAATGGTTCAAATGAACGGACAGAGGGATCATAAAATTTCCAGATGTCTTGAGGGTCGAAAAATAGAAGTACCCGGAGGGTGGAATATAGATCATTCTATACAATTATTACGGTGGGCAAGGGTCGGGTGCGACAATGTTAGGAGTATGGTAAAGACAACATTGGGATATTGAGAAGATATCTGACTGCCCCCTCATCATGAAGACAAAAATTGCCGAGCTTCCTTTTCAAAACATCCACAATTCAGGTAGTTCTCTTCGTGCTAATGTAACTAAGTATGAGCAACTGTGTCGCCATATCAACTACCAATTAGCACGCCAAATTTGAAAACATGCCATATATAATACCTGTGCGCCATGCCATATCATTGAATTTTCTTGCAGCAGGCTGTGCCCAAATACTTCCTCTGGCTTTTTGAAAAAAAAAAAAAAAAAGAGACAGAAAAGATGGGCTTCTTGCGCAGCAAAGGAGATGTCGAGGAAATTGTCACTTCTGACATCAGTGTCAGTGACATTGACCAGGGAAGTCTGCATTACACAGCAGAGGGAGGAGAAAACTCCAATAGGCTCACTGTCCAGGAAGCCAGTGGTGCTCCCGTTGAGCAACACAGTCCTCTTGGCTACTCAGTGGGATGGGTCACTGTGATTTTTCTTAACATTAGTATGATGATCGGAACCGGAGTGTTCTCGACGCGTATGTTTGTCCAACCTTCTTATCCAAACCCCGCTCGACACTGACCAATGGGCATCCTTCAGCATCTACCATTCTCGCTGGAACTGGATCATTTGGCCTGAGTTTGATTTACTGGGCCATTGGCTTTCTCATCGCATACAGTACCCTGGCGGTTTATCTTGAGTTTGCCGCTTACTTCCCTTCGCGGTCTGGCTCCGAGGTGGTTTACCTGGAGCAATCTTTTCCCCGCCCTCGTTATCTGTTCCCAACAGTGTTTGCGGTCCAGACTGTACTTTTCTCATTCAGTAGTAGCAATGCGATCGGTAGGTCATCTTGAGGAAGCAGATATCCCCACTCAAGATTCAATACTGACCAGTATTGAATAGTTCTCGCCGAGTATTTGTTCGCTCTTGGAGGCTCAACACCTACCGCGTGGCAGGAGAAGGGTGTGGCTGTAGCAGCATACAGTGTGGCCGTCTTAGGTTAGCTCTATCTACCCAAGTCTTGCCGTTCCTTTCAGTGCTCTGACGTTTTTCATTTTAGCTGTCATCTTTCACACCAAGGGCTCACTGATGCTTTCGAATATCATCGGTGGTATTAAGCTCATCACACTTATTTTGTATGTTGACTAAATAAGGAAGCCGAGACACACTGTCTAACGTTAAGTTTCTGGCAGTATCGGAATCACAGGTCTTGTTGTTCTCGGTGGCCATACCTCTGTCAAGAACCCAACTCTTAATTTCAAGAACGCATTCTCCGGCAGCTCAGAGGCTACGGTATATGGAGCAACCAACGCGATGATTGATATTGTGTTCTCTTATGCTGGATATACAAACGCGTTCAACGTCGTCAATGAAGTCAAGGTTAGTCCACCTCGTTGGTTCATCTTTCGTTCAAGCGATGGCTAAACATTAAAATATCAGAATCCCATCAAAACCCTCCGCTGGAGTGCTCCCCTCTCTCTGGCAACCACAGCAGTCCTTTACATTCTGGCCAATCTCGCATATTTCTCGGTAGCTACCAAGGCGGAGATTATTGCATCGGATCAGGTCGTTGCTAGTATCTTCTTTGAGAAGGTGTTTGGAACAGGAGGAGCAGCCTCTGCCCTTAACTTCCTTATCTGTCTCAGTGCATTTGGTAATTTGATGTCTGTCTTGATTGGCCAGTCTCGAATGCTTAGAGAGTGTGGAAGGTGATTATTCTTTGAAAGCCTGCTTCAGTTAGTCATCTTACTTACTGACCTCCTCTGCAGACAAGGAGTTCTTCCATGGACAAACTTCTGGACTTCCACAAAACCATTCGGAACTCCTATTGGACCGTATACATTGAAATGGGCATTGACGATCATCATGATTCTGGCACCACCTGCAGGCGATGCTTTTGACTTTAGTAAGAATTCGAGATCTTTCATTGGGAAGAGGCCATGATGCTAACATATTCCGCGTTTAAAGTTGTGGACCTTAGCATCTATCCGGCAAACCTCTTCGTCTTTATTCTCACGGTCGGCTTGCTTGTTACCCGCCGTCGTCGAAAGCGTCTCAATCTACAGCCTGCAGAATACCGAGCCTGGAACGTGGCGGTGGGATTCTCTCTTCTCTCCAATATTTTTATGCTGGCCATGCCATGGTATCCACCAAGCACTGGCGCAGATGGAGGTGATGTATCATTCTGGTATGCCACATACTGTGTCACTGGTCTGGGAATGTAAGTCCTCAATCCTATAAGTCCTTTGTTGATATTCTGTGAGTTGCGCACTAACCAGACTCATCAGTATTGGTGCTTGTGTTGTATACTACTATGTTTGGGTGTGGCTTCTTCCAAAGTACTATAAGTATGCACTGCGACAGACAGTTCTCCATGGGGAGAATGGTATTACAGCACACCGATTGGTTAAGGTTCCACTTGAAGATCTCGAAACTTGGGATGCTGAACATGATGCAAGTGGGCGGTTAAGGGAGGTCATACAAACAGTGGATGGCGAGGTCGAGCTCAAGCACGATTGATTGAAATATTAGGTGAACTCTGCCAGTATAATATGAGTAAATAACGGAATGACCACTGTTCAACGTAGTATTGAATTTGACACAATCTCCGGGATGCTTGATTATTGATGGTGCTCCTCCATGGATGGATGTGGGCGACCTGTAGTAGCTTAGATACTACTACCTTATCGCCTGGTAGTAGTTTCAGGTTTGAAGGGAAATGCACTATATTAGTATATCCTGCATTATCTATTTATAGGCCAATAAACACCTAGCAGAATGATCGAGATCTGCAAGGCTGCATACAAATTTTCTGTGATGAGTTGGAGGAGGCCTGTAGAGCTAAGTACTATATGCAGCAACTAGAAGGCGCTGATCAGGGATTTTAATGAATCTGTGCACGTGTAAGCATGAGTAAGAAATATAGACACAGGGGGAAAAATCCATTTCAAATCACAGGGGATGCATTCCACTCTCGTTTTTTTTCTCGGGGTTTTTTTTCTTTTCTTTTTTTTTTTTCGATTGGCCGGTCAGTCGGGAGGGCAATTATCCTCGGGGGTTTCCAAACTGGCGGCAAATATGCAAGGAGTTATCAAGGCAAATAGCGCAAAGGTTAAGCCATGAGGAACAAAGGTATGCAAGAGAAAAGTAAGCAGCACAGTGAGTGAAGACCGTAACCCCCCTGAATTGAAAATGATAATCATAAAATAACTTGAAGACAATACAACACAGCACAGCACAATTCTTTTTCTCAGCCCCTATGCTGGTGAGAAAGCCCGGTGACGCAAGATCGACGCACGCGAGCTTTTCGGTAATAGCAAGATTTTCCGAAGCTTCTCAGCCTAAAAAAAAAAGTCAAAACTCCAAAATCTTCGAAAGTCAAAAGGTCAGAAATGCAGAAAATCAGAAATTAGAAAGGAAAGGCGCTTACTTTCCCCCTAACTCCGGGTCGTCGCCCCCCGACGCCTCAACCCTAAAAACGGCCAGGTAGGGCATAGTCTCAACTATCGACTCTCATGAAAGAAGAAAATAAGCCACCGATCCACAAAGAGTTAAGCCGATTGTCGATCCAAATGAAGCGTCCAAACGCTAGTTGCGACTCTTGCGACTGTGGCGTAAGTGGTCCATACAAGGCCCTGCTTTGACCTGTACTCTGTGGTCTGGTAAGAAAATCCGAACCGCTTTGACTGAATGTTTAGCCCTAGTGTTACATTCACTAGTAATTATGATCCTCGGCCTTTCTACACTGGGGAAGTGGGGACTCTTGGAGTCTTGGGCGACGGGGCGTGGAAGTGCGGGATGAGACCCACATGGAGAGAGAGACTTAGCCTCCTACTTACCCAGAGTCCAGACAGTAGGCTAACTACTCTGCAGGCACGATGCCACTCAAACGCACATCTCATGAAACAGTGAAGAGTAGTATTCTCTCACGTTGCTACATTCCAGTCTGCAAAAGTCCCACATGCAAGAGGCTCCATTTTATGAAACAGCGGTAAACGGGCTCACGTAAACTTGGCCCCATAAGACCAATCCCGGGAGCAAAGGCTTGGCGTGAGCCTATCTCTATTCGCGGGGGACACTTGCCCTCACGCCACTAGAATCCTCCAAACATCCTCCAAATCGCTCCAAGCCCCCATGGTTAGATGGGTCTCCCCGCGCGCTTTGACCGTCAAAGTCTTCAGAACAAGGCACTTGCTTTCTCATTCAGGAAAGGTCAAAGCGGATTCAAAGCCAGGATCCAATGTGGCTCTTGAGCTAGGATATCTGTGGTTTAGCGGGTGGCTGTCTTACTTTCTTGCTTGCTGCTCTACAGAATTCACAGAATCCCATGACTCGGCGAAGCCGGCCAGCGTCGGTGGTCTGAGACGCAAAAATGATCAAAACCTTGGAGATCCTTCTTGGCTGGAGAAATATTAAATGTGACGCATCCCGCACCCGAGCTCCTGGAAAGACTCAGACTCATTTGGTAGTACATCTTCAAGGTACCTAGTTGGATCCCTGATTATACTGGGATCATCCGTGGGCACAGGTCCAGCTTTCAATTTCGATTTTTGTGTGTCAACATCTCTCTTTGCCTTCCGAATCTATCGGAATTTCCCTATTGGCCTTCTATTGCGCTACAGCTACTTTGCGTCACCTGAAGGTGTTGGTCCATTGACACCCCAAGATGGAGAAAGCGGCCGAGTTGCAGGCAGAGGGAGTGAAAGGGTATACTCAATTCTCAACCCCGCAGTTTTCTCTCATTGGCTAATTCCATACACTAGTGTCGCCGATGATCACAGTGGTGCGGAGAAGGCGCACGTCGAGAAAGTCAGCCTCCAGAACAATCTTACTGCACGGTATGTTTCCCGTCCAAAGCCCATCGGTCCTTTTTTTTCTCACAACTTTACAGAATCCAAAACCCATTGGCCGAATTAACGAAAGATGAACTCCTCCGTGACGTCGAAGAATTTGCGCGTGAAAATCAGCTGGAATCTATTCTTCCAGAGCTTCGGAAGGGAGCTCTGGTCGCTCGTGACCCGGCGGACTTTGAGGCGGTCCCCGATTTGACCGAAGTTGAACTTGGGGCTATTCGCGACGAGGTTCTTCATAGATGGCGTCAACCGGCTGCTCTATATTTTACAATCATTCTATGTTCCGTTGGTGCAGCTGTGCAGTAAGTTATTTTGTGTATCGAATATTTCACCTACTCCAAGATCAGCTGTGCTGATATGTCCGGATATATAGGGGGTGGGATCAAACCGGATCCAACGGTGCCAACTTATCATTCCCGGATGCATTCGGTATCCCTGAAACAGATTCACCCAATGCTAGTCGGAACGAGTGGCTGGTCGGTGTCATCAATGCGGGCCCATACCTTTCCAGTGCGTTCTTCAGTTGTTGGTTGTCGGACCCCTGCAACCGATACCTCGGCCGTCGCGGCACGATCTTCATGGCCGCAGTCTTCTGTTTCCTCTCCCCAATCGGTTCTGCGGTAACACAAAACTGGCCTCAGCTTTTCGTGACACGTCTTCTCCTCGGAATTGGCATGGGCTTGAAGGCCTCAACAATCCCCATTTTTTGCGCTGAAAATGTGCCGGCTAATATCCGTGGTGGGTTGGTAATGTGCTGGCAACTATGGACTGCATTTGGAATCTTCCTCGGATACAGCGCGAACCTGGCGGTCATGAAGGTTGGATCGATTGCCTGGCGTCTGCAGTTTGGATCAGCATTCATCCCCGCTGTGCCCCTTCTTGTCGGTGTTTACTTCTGCCCGGAGTCTCCTCGATGGTATATTAAGAGGGGCTCGGCCGGGAAAGCCTATCAATCACTCTTACGCTTACGAAACACGCCCCTCCAAGCAGCAAGAGATTTATACTACATTACAGCACAGATCAAGATCGAACAAGAGATTATTGGTCCCAGTAACTATCTCACTCGATTCGGCGAGCTCTTCACAATTCCTCGCGTTCGCCGAGCGACACTAGCTTCTTTCACTGTCATGATTGCCCAGCAGATGTGCGGTATCAATATTGTCTCTTTCTATTCTTCAACAATCTTTTCCAATGCCGGCGCCACCAACCAAGAAGCCCTGTTCGCAGCATGGGGCACGGGACTGGTGAACTTTCTCTTTGCCTTCCCTGCTGTGTGGACTATCGATACATGGGGTCGTAGATCCCTGCTTTTGTTCACATTTCCCCAAATGGCCTGGACCCTGCTAGCAGCGGGATTTTGCTTCAAGATTCCCGAAAGTTCCAATGCCCATCTAGGCCTCATCGCATTTTTCATCTACTTGTTTGAGGCCTTCTATTCCCCTGGCGAAGGACCCGTCCCTTTCACATATTCAGCTGAGGTGTTCCCTCTCTCCCACCGTGGTACGTTAAATATGCTTATACTATTGAATTGCGAAGACTAACGTTGATCTAGAGGTTGGAATGGCCTGGGCTGTTTCCATTTGCTTGGGCTTCGCTGCCGTTCTATCAATTACCTTCCCCCGTATGCTTCACGTAATGGGTGCTACAGGAGCCTTTGGTTTCTATGCGTGAGTATCAAGATCCCAAACCTCGCTGTCCCAACTGCGCTAACAGATATATATTAGGGGACTGAACGTCACCGCACTGGTCATGATATTCTTATGGGTTCCCGAGACGAAGCAACGGACCTTAGAGGAACTGGATTATATCTTCGCTGTGCCTACTCGAGTGCACATGCGCTACCAAGTCTTCAAAGTTCTTCCATGGTGGTTCAGGAAGTATATCTTCCGTCAGAACGTGACGCTGGAGCCTCTATACCACTTTGATCATATTACTACAGATGAAACAGCTGCAGATGTTCGGAAGCGGAGTGTAGTTTCTGCTAACTTGAAGTCTGAGACTGGATAATTCTGGTCCATCTTTCCGTCTTTGGAATTTCTGGGAGGCCGGCAAACACTGGAAACCTACTATGGTATGAATAATCGGCAGATGAGACATGACCTTGGTTTTACGATACTTGGAACGTGACATAATTCCCCATTTGATCGGATGCTAGCAGAATATTGGACAATTTTATTATTGATAATTGAAGATCTGTTATCTATACTTGAAAATATCTTTTAGCAAAACCTAAATTTTAGAAAATTTATAAGTGGACACCAGTCCATAACCTTGGAAACCACTACGCGGGGCTTGATTCAAATCATGGAAATCCGAGCGGGAAAGTCGGATCGGCTTTCTAACCGATGGCTTTGGTTCTGTCCAGTCCGGCAAATTGTATGGGGTTTGTATTCCGTGTTTGATTGTTTGCATTACCTACAATGTCTCACGGTTTCGCCAGCTTCTTGTGCATTCTACTTTGAGATATTCTCTGCTTTCCACCTTTATTTTTGCACAGCCACTGGGTCAATACATGGGGTCAGGCGACATAACCCCAAAATCATTATGCACAATGCACACAATGCCGAATGACTTGATTTGATCGCCATCCGGGGCAACACTTTAAATGGGCGGTAAGGGTTCTGCCATCTTCTTTCTCTCCCGGATTAACCTATTATTCCGCTCCGAGTGCGGATAAACAAATTGGAGAAAGAACGCTTAGCCGGTCAGGTGCTCATTTCCAAGCAAGATTACACGCTTCTATGGGCAAAAGACAGAACCCAGAGCAACGGAATAAGGGCGGGGATAATGTTTTGTCGCCCCCTCTCTTTGCACTGAAAAAAAAAAATATTATAATAGTAATAATAACCCGGGGAGGGCTCCTCCACACTTCTGACAACTTACCGATTCTTTCCCTAATCACAGAATCCATTCAAAAACAAGCTTTGCCCCTGCAGCGTTGAAGATAACCGCCAGGGAACAAGTAAAATCTCCCCCAACTCAACCAACACCCACAACACTCTATATACCCACCGCAACAATGGTCTTCAACCGCCCCGGTATCGCGTCCATGTCCCTGGGCCGACCATGGATCCACGACCTTCCAGGAAAGCTGATGCAGGCCGCCGCACACGGATTCGAGGGAATCGAGCTCTTCTTCGACGACCTGGACTGCTACGCGCAACGAACATTCAACGGCGACCACCTCGAAGCCTCCCACCAAGTCCGCCGGCTCTGCGAGCGCCTCGGCATGAGCATCATCTGCCTGCAGCCATTCTCCATGTACGAGGGTCTGATCGACCGCGCCGAAACCGAGAAGCACGTCACCGAGAAGCTCCCCAAGTGGTTCGTCCTAGCGCGGGCGCTAGGCACGGACATGATCCAAGTGCCATCCAACTTCCTCGGACCCGACCCGGCCACCGGTGCTCCCCGCACAACGGGCGACCGCTCCGTCATCGTGAAGGACCTGCAGCGTATCGCCGACATCGGTGCCGCCGAGGGCTTCCGCTTCGTCTACGAGGCCCTGTGCTGGGGTGACCACATCGACACCTGGGAGGCGTCGTGGGAGGTTGTGCGCGATGTCGACCGCGCCAACTTCGGACTGTGCCTGGACTCCTTCAATATTGCCGGTCGTGTGTACGCTGACCCGGCTGCGCCTTCGGGCCGTACACCCAATGCGGCGGCGGATCTTGCTGCTTCGCTGGATCGTCTGCGCAATGCTAAGATCGACCCTGCTAAGATCTTTTATGTCCAGCTTGTGGATGGTGAGCGTCTTGATGCGCCTTTGGATGAGAAGCATCCTTTCCACGTGGATGGACAGCCTATCCGTATGTCGTGGTCTCGCAACTCTCGTCTTTTCCCCTTCGAGGAGTCCCGTGGTGGTTACCTGCCCATTCTGGATGTGGCTAAGGTCTTCTTTGAGGATCTTGGTTTCCGTGGCTGGGTTTCTTTGGAGCTGTTCAGCCGTACCCTTGCCAACCCCGATCCGTTTACCCCCGCTGACCACGCGTGTCGTGGTATCGACTCTTATTACAAGATGAGCCGTGTCTTGAACTGGGAGGGCCAAGAAGAGAAGGCTGTCAAGTCAATTGCGCCCTCTTCTCCTGTGCAGCACCGCCTGTGAAATGAATATTTGGATGGGAGATGAGAAGATATCTAGGAGGGAATCTTCTCTGTTCATATTTTATTTGTATATATTGCATACTCCACGACTATAGATGATCAAAAATTACGATTCTACACACTCAATCAGTCTACGCATGTATCTGTAAACCTTGCACATATGCCTTCCAAGTCTCAACATCTCGCTGCACCCAAGGTTATAGGCAACAATTCATTGATGGATATAACATCCTCTCTTTGAAACCACCCACTCACGTGTAAATTTTCAAGAATCTAAAATACCTCATCTATCCATGTATTCAACTTTGTTCTACTCGCTGCTATCAGTTTTTGTATTCTTTGCTTCAGCCTCCCTTCTCCATCCTCCAGCATACCTCCATTGGATAAAAGGGCCAATTAGCGAAAGTAACTGCACAGCAGCACATATAGTGAACGTGGCTCCGACCCCAACGCCGTTAATCATAGGCATCACAAAGCTTGTGCCACCAGCAGCAAACAGGCATCGAGCAAGGTTAATGCTAGCGCTAGCAGCCGCACTTCTCTCGTGAAAAATGTCCACAAGGTAAGTCATGATAACGGACTGAATGGAGCTAACAGTCCACCCAGTGATGAAAGTCGTGATTATTGGAACTGCAATATGGACTCTGTATTGGATAGTCCAGCCAAACAGAACCAGTGAAAGACATTGCAAGATTGCAAAAATAGGAAGAAGTCGAAGGCGCGCCTTTTCGAGGGGGAAATCATTTTCCGCTGGGGAAACATCCCGACCTTCGGCATCAGATAGCGATTCAACTTTGGCTTTCACTTTACGGTAGTCTGCATCCAAGATCTGACCCGAGATCAAGGTTCCAGCCATAGAGCCAACGCCATTGGCAATGAAACTCAGCCCGTTTTGGATCTCCGAGAGACCATACTCATCAGTGAAGAGGGAGGACATTGCGGTGATGCTCATCTGCCACACAGCATAGTATATGGCGAGAAACACAATAATAGGCGTGGAGTGTTTGCTAAACAGAATGCGGAACGGCCCCAAGACGTCGATGCGTTTTCTAGCAGCTGGTGCAATTGCCACACTCGAATCCCATTCAATACGAGTCAACTTCTGATAGATTACCAGAGGATATTTCACCCAGAAGTTTTTGGCCGGTGGCACCTGGCTTCCGTTCGCCACCAGCGACCGAAGCGTCTCGGGCAAGAAGATGAGTATAACCATTAAGAATACGCCGCTGTAGATCGTCATCAGCCAGAAGATAGACCTCCAGCCTAGTGTACCAGCCATGGCACCACCAATGATCGGGCCCACAGCTATAGGCACGAGAAGACCTCCTTGGAAGATGCCCATAATCCCGCCGCGTTCTTCACGCTTAGTGATATCGCCAATGACACCCGCGCCAATGGCAATGGTGCTTGCACTGCCTGTGCTTTGAAGGCATCGGAGAATGATGAGTGTTGCATAGTTTTTTGTCTCGGCTAGACCGATGCATGCGCCAAAAAGTACTAGCAAAGTGAAGGTGTATGCGACTCGACGTCCTTTCACATCGGATATAGGGCCCCAGAGACTGGGCGCAAGTCCCTGAAAGACAAGATATGAGGTTACGGTCAAATCGATAAGCTCTAATGAGACATTTAACTCCTTAGCGATTGTAGGCAAGGCTGGGAAGTAAATGTTGGACGCAAGACCAGAGACTAATGAGAATTAGGCAAAGAAGAAAAGATTTTTTCTCAAGGCGGGAAACATGAACATGGACATCCATGCCCAGGTTTCATTTGGGGCAATGGCTTACATGTCGCCGCGGTAGTAACAATAGCCACAATAATGAATTTTTGTCGTTTATCAAAGATACTGAAAGGTGGTTCTGAGGAAACGACAGAGGGTTTCCCCCCTTTGGTAGACGGGGGAGGCACTTGCATCACGGTGTTTTTCCATATATTCCAAATAGGGAGAATTAAGGTGTCTCAAATATTTTTCAATTGAGCAGAGGTGGGATTATAAGGAATATGAGGTTGATCTGTAATGCATAAAAAAACTCACCAGAGCAACCGGGATTGAGACCGGAGTTGAGTCAAGGGCTGAGCTCCGACTACGGAGATCAACGATCCCGGGATACTTGTAAGTGGAGTTTCTGGACAACCAAAACTATGAACTACTGCGGAAATTCATATCGGAGTTGAGTCAAGTTTGAAAATTATTTACCTTTTTTATTGAAATTCGTTTGCACCACAAAAGATGTTGTTTTCTCTCACGAAGCCATGGTCTCCCCCAATGGCAAAGTGGACTTCGGCCAGAACTATGCAGTCCTCAACCTCGATTGGATGCCTCTTCTTCTAAATCCCATTGAAGAGTCACCGGAGGGCCAATCGCTCATTGCCAATTACTCTCAGTGGAATAATGTCGTTCACAAAATGAGTGATCGACCCCTTACTATTTTCACGACTTTGCAGTTCAATCGTGGACAATCAGACGTCAAACCCAACACGCCCTTTTCTAAGCTCATTGAACCATTCGGCACCCTTGAGACTGGTTCCCCCGGAGTCGGGATTGATCCTCGCTTCACAGTCGATGAGGAAGATGTCGTGCTTTCCAAAACAAGATGGTCTGCTACTACTGGGAATAATTTGGAGCAACTGCTGAAAGCCCAGGATATTGATACGGTTGTTATCGTAAGTATGCAATTCAAAATGATATTTACTGTGTCTTTTTTTGACTGACCTCTTCAGTCCGGGCTGAGTCTAACTGGAGTCGTAATGTCTACAATTTACCGATTGTTTGATTTGGATTACAACATCTTCGTTATTGCAGATAGTGTTCTGGAACTTCCGCCAAGTCAGCACAACGAGATCTCTAGGGTCATACTAGGGACTCTTTTGCCCAAGATGAATATTGAAGTCATTACCCTAGGCCAGGCCCTTCAGGCTCTATTAGGCACATCTTTAATAAATTGACGGCGTTGCAAGATAGGAACAATTTAAGTCCACATGTGCATGGATGATAATAATATACCTGTAGATAGATGCGTCAGTCCGATGTAATCTGTGAGCTCTAGTTGCTGGTTAGATAACATTCAAATGTTACATATTCGGAGTTGAGTTTTGTGTTGGAACTCCGAATCGCCGGGAACACCGGAAAATCAATCAGTTAATTATTATTTGGATTTCACTGGAGTCCACCTGCACACATGCATGTGGGCACGGGTATCCCCTGGAGATCCCTTCTTTAAAATCTGCTGCATACCTACTTGACCAGTCATCAATTACATTGATATACCGTGCGGAGGCTGATGGATTCTGCCACAAAACTACTATGCAACTCACATCTCTGCCATCCAACTTGACCCTCTCCAGATGTCCCCAGGGCCGTTCTATATATAACACACAGCGCCGGCAATGCGAACCACAAGGTACGCCACCTCACGGCAGAAGGCATGCCAACAATGCTCGGCCGCCAAGGCCAAATGCGATCGCAGAGACAAATGCTGTACAAGATGCGCACAACGCGGCGTTCTCTGCACGTATCTTCACGAACCCCGCCCAGAGGCATCCACACCACCTCGGAGTCGGAACCTCGCCAACAACGAGGCCATGCTCCGCAGCCCAGTCAGCTCAACCAATAATCTAGGATCGCACCCCACATGCAGTGAAGGCAGCGTAGACTGCTGGAATCCAGCCATCCCATATCCTACCGGAGAAGGGTCTATTCAACCAAGCTCGCCCTTTCAAGGGAGTTCTCTAAGTGAGATCCGCACACCAGCGAATAATGAACGACATCCAGCAAGCACGCCCGAAAGACTGAATTTCTCAGACCTCCACCTCTTCTGTCCGATCGATACCAATGAAATCAACTCCCGATGGATGAACCATTACATCCCTGACCCGGAAAAGAAAATCAAAAACTACCCGACCAGCGTCGTAGCCTTCATATCCCGAATCCTGGAGTCATACGCAGCCATGGCAACGCGGGGCCAAGAACCAGCGTTCGTGCACGCGCTGCAAAAGACAGATGTGCGATCTAATACAATAATGGCAACATGTCTGAGTTTAGTCCGTATCTGCCAAGACCCGCTACCAGGAAGCGAGGGCGTTGCCGTCGCGGTTCTACAGCGCGAGATGAAGAGTATCACGGCTGTGCAATTGAATGCTCCCGATAACGATTTGTCGCCGCTGGCAGCCTTCCAGGCTTATCTGATATATGCGCTTGTTCTGTACTTCAGGCTGGGCCAGGGCCTTGATTCGCTCCGGCAGACTATCATGCCCTTGCAGGCAATTGCGCACCGTGCTTGCGGCCGGGGCATTGTGTGTGTTTCTGATCAAACGTGTTCACGCCCGAAATGGGAGGAATGGATCGTGGCCGAAGCCAAGAGAAGGACATTGTATGTGATGTATCTTTTTGATGGCCTACTCTGTGCTCAAGAGGGGCTTCCTGTTTTCTTTGGGAGTGAGTTGCAAGGGCTCCCTGCGCCGGGGAGCAAGTGCCATTGGCAGGCTAAGGATCGGGTGAGCTGGGATAGAGCTTTCAATGTTCATCTCGCAGAGTGGGTCGAAGGGTATCTTACTATTGACGAGCTTTGGCCTATTCCGGTCGGGTTCAACGAGCATGATGTTTCAAGGTGCCAGAAGAGAGTGAACCGATGGGTTGAAGATGTCGATGAGTTCGGGACTATGCTTTATGCGGTCACGGCATGTACACATGGTACCTGATTTTTCTGAAATCCACGAGACATGATTCATCCCGGGGTCCCTTTGCAGCGTTGACGAAAGCTTTTTCCTCGCAAGGGTTATCTTAGACCTGAGTCTAACCCCAGGTTTCAGTCCTGATCTCTCTAGTTTAAGCGAAGAGGTCCAACCACTCGCATGTAGTACGTACCCCGGGCCGTTATGGAAATGCGGGGTATAGGGGATAGTCTCTTAGGGCCAAGTATTTAAAAGGCCAAGGTGGCTGCTCGTGTATCCCATAATAGAACATTATGCATCAATGCCTACCATCCAGCCCCGAAGATACTACGAAAACAAGTTTTGATGAGTCCTTCTCTCAAGCTCAAACCATCGTTACTACTAACATTCCTACTTCACGCTTGTTTCGATTTGTCCGAAGGCAAAATGCAATTGAAAAATGTCTTATATAGGGGCGATCTAGAATCTATATGATTGATCACAAGAGTTTGGATATCAAATGAAGAACAGAAAAAGAAAAAGAAATTATGTCGACCTTGCAACAAAAATCCCCGAAATGTCACGCTGTATCATCAAACTTGATGAGACCCATTTACTCAGAGGTCTTGAAGACAAAGCGATCCTCGGGCTTGCTCTCGAAAGGAACACCCAGCTCAAGAAGCTTGACAAACACGTCAGAGAACTCCTTGAAGAAGACATCGCTGTCCTTGGCATAGCGCACAACATGCTGCTTGAAAGCCTTGTCGTTGACCAAAGCAAGATCAGTGGGCAGCATCATCAGAGTGGAGGTACCCTTGTCAGTGAACTGAGCGGGGCCGTTCCACTTGCGCTTGTTCCACTTCTCCTCAACGAGAAGACGGTAGAACTCGTTAGTGAACACGGTAGGGCTGAAGTCCCAGGGACCATCGAAACCAGAGCGGTCGGTGTGGGCACGACCCAGGGAGTGAGCACCAGACAGGGCAACCATCTCGCGGTCATCGAAGCCCATGCGGCCGAAGATCTCACGGATGTGACTGTGGCCCTTGGAGGCATCGGGGAGACGGCCGTCAGGTGTGCAGGCAGCGACATCACGGTCAGCACGGCCGGGTCTCCAGGGGATGGTAGGACCACCCAACTCCTGAATGGCGGCGGAACCAGCCAGGGTCCACAAGTCGGAGTATGTGATCCAGGGGAACTGGGTCTTGATGGGCTCGAGGAAATCGCGAGCGTGCTTGAGACCAGCGTTGGCGCCGTGGTCAGACTCCGGGGCGAATCTCATGGTGGCACCGTTGCTGCCACCAGTACCGGTAGCCTTATCATAGGTGCCGCTGGCGTGCCAGGCGAGACGAACCAGGACCTGAAGAAAGTTAAGAAACGATTGTCAGCGATGATGTCCTGATCTGACGATAACTAGCTCACTCACCTCACCCAGAATGCCACCTGGGAAAGACGGGTGGGGGTAAGAGAGGGGCTGTTGTGAAGAAGCTTACCGGGCCATAGCTGCCATCATCATAGTCGGTCTCGTTGGCGAGGCGAAGAGCAATGGCATCGTACACCTTCTGGTAGTCGGCCTGGGTGGGGACGAAAGGCCCCTTGGGGATGGCTTCTCCTCCGTTCAGGTAGAAGTAGGCACCGGCACCAGCGGCGACGGAGAGACCGATTCCCCAGACACCGAAGGATGAGGACTTGCCAGAACCAGCCTCAGAGGCATATCCGCGGCGAGTGGAGGCGCGGACCTGGGCGGGGAGAGCGAAACGAGCTGAGCGCGCGGCAGGGCGGACCGAAGAGGTGGCCGGGGTCGAGCGCAGGAAAGCGCGGGACGTAGATCGAGCAGCCGAAGCCATTGTGAGTGGGTATATGAGGGAGAAAATTGGAAGAAAGAAAGGATTAAAGGAAAGAAAGGTAGGTGAAGTAAGAGAGTGAATAGACGGGAAAAAGCAGACGGGAAGGAGAAGAAGGGGTGAGAGGGAGAAGTCGGAAAGAAGCAGCTGGAATCTCTGGGCCTCGGTGTTTTCCGTATGTTGGTTCCTCTCTCTCCGCATTATCCAATTATTCAATACTCCTCGTTTACTTCCTCCACAAGTTGGGTACTTGATCATCTTTCTTCCAGCATTATCATCTCCTACTTCTTCTCCTCCTCTTTCCATTCGGGATCAATTCAAAACTCATCAACACTTCGGCTTCGTCTTCGATTGACCCCCTGTTATGGTGTCTTTTCCATGCATGATTCCTCATCATGCTTGACTTGCCCCATTCTCCGTTCCACCGTTCGGCTCCACATCTATCGCTGCGGGTCCGTAATTATTAACAGAAAGAATCTGCTTGGCTGCGACCGACCGAGAATTCTCCACTTCATGCGCAGAGCCGAAACGCTTACCTCATCGAAACGGTCTGGACAACAAAGATTAGTGATTAGGAATCTAGGATAAGGCCTGGGCAGTGGGGAGATGACAGAAGTTTTAGATAATGAAGGTCCAGAGAACAGATTTTACTTGAGTCAGTTTTGGCCATGACATAAGCGGTGCGACTCCATGGTTCAGGGATCTGGAATTTGGGTGGTACCTGGTATGTAGTACTTGAGTACTATAAGCACTAGTTACAGGTACCCAGTATGACTACTAGTAGTTAATCCTACGTGATATGGATTAGACACATCATTTCAATGTTCGGAATTTTGCAAGGCACCGTAGCAAGTATACGGCCTTGCATCTTGAATATCAATAGTACAAGAAAGAACATTGATCACATAAATGGTCATCTCAACCCCGGGCATCAAACCAAAACTCCAACAAGCAAAAGAGGGTATCTCAAGAATTTTAAATCGCCGGTAAACTCGCAAAAAAATCCTCATCCCATAATTCTGGGTCAGCAGGGTCCAGTCCCGCCACCCAAGATCCTAGATCCATTGGCTGTGTCGTATGGTTAGCATATATTCCGTGTCAAACCTAGGGAAAGGATTCTGAAAGTTCTTACCCCGAAGTCAGCGAAATCGGTAGGTATCTGAGAGTTAGGATCCATTTCCATGGATGATGCCGATACGGGCGTTGGACCACCCGTTGTCATTTGAGTCTGAGTAATCTGCGAAGAAGGATTAGTAAGAGTGAGATAGTCCAGTCCAAAGTCAACAAGGCGTACCATTGCAGATGGCTGTTGAGCGTTGATTAACGCATCGGAATAGGCCAGGCCATTCAACACGCCGCGGCACACGCGAACGCTCTTCTTAGATGACTCTTCCACATTGACCATGGGGTCCTGGCCCTTGATTCGTGACTGGACAGAAGCCAAGATGATAGTCAAGAAGAAGTAAGGCTTGCATCCATTGCCACCAGGCCCAACGCGACGGCCAAAGTCATCCAGTGTACGTTCGACTGCCTGAATCATGACACTCTGCTGAGATTCTACCATACTCATCAACACACTCGAATTCGTACCGTCCATTATCGGACCGGCTGAATTGCCCATTTCCTGGGATTGAAGAGACAGTTCCACGCAGACTGTGACCGCAGCATGGAACGTCTCGTCTCGGAAAATACCGCTTCCGAGCTGGGTGATATTGGGATAAAGAACAGAGTCCGTTGCAGCTGGGAGTTCCATTTGAGAAAGTACCCCCAATGAGGCCTCTAGACAAACTTTGCGCGAATACGAGCATTTGGGCAATCGCACCACGCTGAGAGAGAAGGGCCGGTGGAGCGCAAGTAAGAATTTGCGCATGATAAAGAGATTCAGCGACTGAGCAAAACGATGTTTGGCGAGGTCAGAATTGTTGACACTGGAAGCATTGTCCTCGAACAAGGTCGACGTTTGTTGGATGGCTCGGACGAGTTCCTCGCCCATTCGCAACGCCTCGTCATAGGATAGGTCGAATCTAAGGGTGTTGATCTTCTTTGCAATACGGTAACGTAGTGGCAACGTCCTAGAGAGCAGGCTTTGATAGAATCCCTGAGTGTACGTTGCCATACTAGAAGGTGTCGGGTCGGTCTCCATCTTTTCGGATAAATCAGTATCATCCCAGTTGCCGGGCGCATCACAATCGCATTCGTCCAAATCCACAGAGGGGGGAACTCCGCGATCCAACGAGATTTTGAGATCCAATTCCACAATCGTTGTCCAAAGCCGGCGGCGTTGCTCGCACCAAAAAGGCCGGGCCTTCTTCCGGAATCGTGTCGGATCCCGGTGCAATCCCATAGTCATGGCAGATCGAATTAGCGAACCTGAAGATGCCCACGCCACATCCCCATCGTTGGCGATTCCGAGACGAGCGATCAAAAGAAGAACCTGCGTCTGGACCATCTTGAAGTTAATATCCGGACTGACAAAGGTGCACGAAATGTATGACTGAACCGCCATGATCCACTTCATAGCGGGATTTTGACACAACTCGCTCCGGTCTCCATCAGTATCCAGTGATGGAAGATAGAAGCAGCTCCCGGCCGCCATAATAGCCAACAATTGGGCCAAAAATGACATATCTGGCTCTTGTTGACGGTTCCAGTACGCTGTGTATTGCTCGAGAAATGTTGGGATGTGCAAGACTCGATAGGTAGTTTCGAAGGTGTCGAGATAGTATTGAACCAACTTATCTGACAAACTGCGCGATGGGACCATTTCTTCGAGTCTGAAGGCTTCTTCTCGAAACGCACGTTGATGGTTGGTGCTCTCACGAGACCAAAGCTCGCACTTGAAACGTTTCATGTCGGAGTATTCTTTGTCCTTCGTAACATCTCGACCTCCTCGTCGGAGGTAGGACCCAATATCTTGGAACTAAAGACTATGTATTAGCGGGATATCTTTCAAGCATAATTGTAAAAAAAAAAAGAATATCACTCACAAAGGATACGGTGGTGGTGTAGTGACTGCGACCGAAATACCTCGTCTTCCCTTTCTTCCCGCGGAAGCTGGAGTCGGGAAGAAAGCGAACACGATCATCCACTCCTGCAGAATCCATGGTAGATATTCCTGCATCTGAGAAGACATCACCAATTGAAGTTTCGGGAGTTTGGAGGACATGAGGTTTATTCAGCGCATTTTCCAACACACGAAGTCGATTTCGAAGCTCATGCAGCTCATCCGGGCGACTGCGCTTGGAAACCCGATTTGAATCGGATCGGGGACCGATTTTTGAATCAAAGACAAACATGCTGCCTGTGCCTGTAGCGGGGTCTTCAGATCCACTGGGAATTCGACGCGATACTGGTGGCGACATCCGATTCAAGGATGTCTCTGAGGTCGGCCCTGGCTGAGGACCAACAAAGACGCAGGAGTCGGCAGTTTTTGAGCGTACGCATTGCCCACAGGGTAGCGAGCGATCACACTTCAATTTGCGGCGTCGACATTCTGTACAAGAGAGCGGGGGCCGTCTCCGTCTCTGTACCACTCTTGAGTTCTCTGGATCCTCACCCTGGGAGAACGATTCTTGATCGTCGGTCATGGTGAATTGATTTTGATGCGATTCAGATCAATCTTGTTTACTTCTGTTTTCCCCACTTCAATATGAGCCTTTCAAAGAGAACGATAAGTCAGTGAGGATGGGGGGAGGAAATTCTGAACACCTGCAGCAACAAGAACAGGTCACACAATACTAGTGGAGGTAGATGTTTTCATTGAAGAGCCCCACAGTTGACTGAGATCTGGTAAAAGAAAAAGCTTGAGATAGTTGTCAGAAGAGAGATGAATCTTCACTGCATTGAAATTGAACAGGCGTGAATACATAGCGACGCACCATGGAGTTAAAAACTGTTCTCCGGGCTCGGAGTTACCGCTTTCGGAGATAATGCCAAGCTCCGAGATCAACGCTAATGCCTGTGACTCTGATTGATAATGAATTTCTATTGATCTTCCCCATTTCCTCATGTATTTCAAGTCAATTCAAAAGTGACTCAGAGTTGTATTTCTTGCAATATGCCAATAGACCTTTCTAGAAGCCTGAGTTTTGCTGAATTCTGTTAAGTCTTTGCATTTGAAGGCTCGGAAAGTCAACTGGCCTAAGTACACACTAGTGAGTTCGATTTCGCGTTGCCTTGCTGTTCCAGGATTTAAACATTAAATCATGGGCTTTATATGACTTATTGACCTTGAAAGCTTAGTGGATAATACTACTAGTGCATACTTACTGTGTAGTACAGAATGAACTTATCCGTTTCAAAAGCTTGAAATGCCAAGAAGCTCCACCAGGCAACTGCGGGGGTTACACTGTGCCATCGATAAGGCCACAGCCAAATAATTCCAGAATCCAAGGTTAGTACCTCGTCCAGTCATTGTAGATGAGAAGAAAAAAAAAACAAATCAGGTATAATCATATCATTTGATGGTTTCAATCTACCAACTTTGGAATTTCCTTATCGCTAGGGAAAGCCGAGTTTAAGAATAATACAGCAGCCTTCTGTGTCTGTCTGCACCTAATAAAGGTAAGAATCAAGATGGCGCGGTCGCCGGTCGGGTGAGCTGTAGCTCAAGTGAAAGCGCGGCAACATCGGCTAAACTAATGTATACTAGCACTAGTAGTATACAAGTAAGTTAGAATTTAGGATATTTGAATCAATTGATCTTGAGATATAAGAATAGACTAATTTCGTCATCTTGGATCGTATTCATATAATCCCAAGATTTTGAACCCATACTACAATTTGAACTACACCAAGCCTTGGGGCGTACCATGTGCCACAAACCCCACGTTGAGATCGACCTCCAATATTGACTGAGACCGTGGTTTGCCGCCGTTAGAATGCAATAGATCCGCATGACGACAAAATAAGTCCGAGCGATTGGCCTCACGCACCACCCGTATTGGTGTTTTAACCTTTCGAGGGCGTTTCTTCCCCCACGACAAGCTGCACGATGACGGCGCTACGCTAGGCAAAATAAGAGTCAGCTGAGATATTGGTGCCCAGAAGGTAATCCGGGTACAAAGACCCAACTTGAAAAGCCAAATAAGTGACCTGTATTTGAACACGACCTGCAACCTCTTTGACGCATGAATATAGCGGTCAAGGCTGCATATCAGAAGAATCGGTGTTTCCTAAGAATAACTGGTGTATGGGGTATATACAAAATAATGCCAGATACTTGGCATACATCTGCATGGCGTTTGCCTTGCATTCCCTCGTGTACGGCGTAATTTGATTTTGCTGCCCACTTCCCCCCTTGTGTCCACCTTATCTTGAATGATCGTCGTGTGGATCCGATCAGAAATTCCGGGACCAGTCAACATGCCAGTTGACACCACGGTCGGACCCGAAAACGTGCAGGTTTGGATCCTGACATGTACTCTTGCATCAAACTTGATGGTCGCTTCGATGTTCTGAATGCGTGAACAACACATTGGAGGTCATTGCTTGTGCACTGTCCCTTTTTTTTTTTTTTTTTTTTTTTTTTTTTGGTTTCCCTTCTTTGCCTTCTTTTGCTCCGAGTGAGAAAGAGTTAGTGAGTGAGATTGGATTTCCAATTTGAGTTTAGTTCCATATCAAGGCCAAACTCACCGCCTGATTGGGCCCCGCAATCCCATTTGATCATCAGCCACATGGGAAAAAGACCGATTTTCGCGATTCGTGATTCGTGATTCTTTCCCCGTGATTATCTCTTAGCTTCTAGCTATATCTTGGATCAAGTCCCTCAAATATCCTTCATTCTTGCGCCTGTTTCCTTGTTCATTTTCTTCTTAACCCCGCGCTATGGGTTGCGCAGCTCAGAAGCCGCTGCCTCGACTTTATCGCAAGCGTTGATCATTTCCTCAGCATACCGGTCCGAAGTTCAAGTTATTGGCCTGATCAACTCGCTCTGTTTATCGTCTTGAACCTCTTGAGCTTCAGAGACTCTCATTTTCTTCATTTTTATTCTTACATTCAAACACCACATTCTTTGGCGCTTGTGACTTCACCCCCCGGGTCCTTATAAGCGACGCAGAACCCCCAGAGCAAAAATGTCATCTACAGACGATTCCCCTGCCTCGACGGGTGATACCGAAAAGGTCCGACCGAACACCATGCCGCGATGGAAGCGGATCTTTGGTGACAAACCCAATCGTGACCGAGATTCAGCCGATATGTCAAATTATCGTCCAACCTCTACCCTGGGTATTCTTAGTGATAAGGAGACGGATGAAGTACCTGGTAAGTGCTCAGATATCTGCTCGGGACCTGACATGACTCTTTTTTCTAACCATCGATTTGTCCATATGGTATAGGAACGGTCCTTCTTCTCGCATCAGATCGAAATGAACCTCTGGGAATGCGCCACCAGCCGCAACGGATGTCGGCCTCTTCACTTCCCACGAGTATCCAACCAACCTCGCGCTCATCATCTCGAAATGCCGCCCCACAGATAAAGCGAACCGCGGATGGGCAGATTGTTTTAGAGCCTCAACCCGATGACTCCGTCAACGACCCCCTCAACTGGCCTGTGTGGCAACGAGATACCGCGCTGATTTCCTTGGGCTTTTATTGCTTGATTGGAGGCGGTATGACTACCATTTTGGCTGCTGGGTTCAGTGACGTTGCAGCCACCTACAAAGTGACGGAGCAACAAGTGGCTTTTACCACCGGTCTTTACATGATGGGCTTGGGCATTGGGTCGGTGATTATGTCGCCGACAGCAATCTTGTTTGGAAAACGCCCTGTTTATCTCCTCGGTGCAGTTCTTTTCATACTCTCGGGTATTTGGTGTGCTCTTTCTCCGAATTATCCGAGCTTGGTGATTGCTCGGATCTTCCAGGGTATCGCGGTGAGCCCGGTTGAATGCCTCCCATCGGCTACTATCGCTGAGATCTATTTCTTACACGAGCGGGCCTATCGGGTTGGTATCTACACCCTATTGCTGCTTGGTGGAAAGAATTTGGTTCCCCTCGCCAGTGCTGCAGTGATTGGTAGTCTTGGTTGGCGTTGGGTATTTTGGATTGTGTCGATTATCGTCGGCGGCTTTGTGGTTCTCTTGTTTTTCTTTGTCCCAGAGACCTTCTGGGATAGGACTCCACGCCCTCGGCGCTCTCACAAGCGACCACATGCGCACCGAACTGTTTCCGACTTGATGTCCCACGGGTTCCGAGGGCGTCGTCCTCATGTGCAGCTTCAAGACGAATCAATCGCACCAAATGATGAAGAGGTACCCACACCAACGGAGAGGAAAAACAAAAATGCTCACGTTGGATTTGCAAATGATGTGCCGGCAAATGAGAAACCGGCGATGGAAGGCGAGGGAAATCATGTCTTTCCCCACATTGAAAGCCATACCGCTCAGGATCAGATCCTGGCGGACCCAGTCAGCCTAAATCTTGACCAAAGTAGTGGTCTGCAGCATCTTCAACCTGCTCATATCGATGCCTCCCATCTCACCCCAGCTGATTTGGAAGCGGCACGATCCGGAGCCTTTTCACCTTCATCAAACGGGTCCCGTGAACCCAGTGCCCATCTCTCCTCCACCCTCCAATACACAAACCGACTACGTGACCGCCCAAGGGTTACATATGTTCAGCGACTCAAGATTTGGAATGGGCGCATTACCCACGACAAGTGGCTGAAAATCGCTGCCCGCCCATTCATCTTATATGCCTATCCGTCTGTTCTTTGGTCGGCTGTAGTCTATGCCCTATCTGTTGGATGGCTTATTGTTATCTCTGAGTCCGTCTCCAAGATCTTCGAAAGCTCAGAGAGTTATGGATTTACTGCCCTACAGACTGGGTTGGTCTACATCTCCCCCTTTATTGGTGGCCTACTCGGTACCGCAGTAGCAGGCAAAGTTTCGGACATGGTTGTACGATTCCTCACCCGACGCAACGGAGGAATCTACGAGCCCGAGTTCCGCCTAGTCATGGCGATCCCCATCGCACTGTCCACCACGATCGGGTTGATGGGATTCGGCTGGAGTGCACAAATCAAGGATTCTTGGATTGTACCTACCATCTTTTTTGGTTTAATTTCTTTTGGCTGCTGCTTGGGCAGCACGACTGCCATCACATTCTGTGTGGACAGTTACCGCCAGTATGCGGGAGAAGCTCTGGTGACTTTGAACTTTACCAAAAGTATGTATTTTCTCTTCCTTTCCTCTACGATAGCCAACTAACCCCTTTACTCCCTTATCTAGACGTTGTTCACGGACTTGTTTTCTCACTCTTCATCGTAGACTGGCTTGAGGCCGATGGCTTCCGCACTGTCTATCTTGCCATTGGTGGGATACAACTGTTCTTCTTACTCATGTCTATCCCAATGTACATGTACGGAAAGCGGGCCCGTATGTGGACCGTTCGCAAGCGCCTGATGGAACGCTTCTGATTTATTGCTCTCCATTTGCCCCATGTTTGATGATTCATGATTGATTTCTTTGGATTCTGATAGAGCTTTTCGATTGCCTCGCGGCCACTTGTCACCTTTTCTTGCATTTACCCGGAAGATAATGAATGGATTGAACGAGATTGCTCCCAAGTGCTATTTCATCATACCTACCCAAAGAGGTATACACATGCATGTACCTAGTTGCTATCAATATGTAAAAGGTTGAATTTGAATGAGTACATGCCTTTTCCAATTGATGTATTTACTTTTGCAATGTTGGAAGTAGACAGGTCACCTTGATATTTCTTCCGATATCTTTTTGGGAGTCAACTTCTTCCAAGGTTGCGACGCAGAAAGTATGCTACATGAAAAATGACCAGCTCTCGAGTCTCCACATGGAGGTCAAAAGACCGAACATTGAACATTGAACATGACAGGGCTGTAGAAGTATGTAGATAGCGCACTACGTAGTAGACAAATTTATCCATGGATGCGGCTGGCCAGGTGGGGTTCTGGTGTGTTCCTTAGTATCACGCGAACTTTGGAAACAACAGGGGTTGAACTAGCCCCCTCGAGGCTAGTCCGTGTTAGATAGATGGGTTAGGTATGGGTCCATCGACTCCATCCGAACAAACTACTAGACTTGCCTTATTATCTGCCTGGAACAGAATTCAAGAGCATCACGCGAGCAATTTTTTAAAATTCATGTCGAATTTACCAGGACCATAATTTCCTAGATTGAGTCTCCAAACAGCGCGTATAGTTAGTGGATATGTATGGTCAACTGGTGGTAAAATTTGGCAGAGACTGAACAAAGTAAATACTGGAGGTCATGTATGGTCTGTAATATAGTGGAAGTGATAGGGTAAACCATTCCACTGGAAGCATCGAGGGTTGACTAGGTATGCAGGTCCAAGCCTAGGTGTTTTCAATCAAGCCTCATAGTTAGTGATAGATAAGAGTGCAGATGATGAAACCAACCTAGTATATACCTGCAACACTAGTATTTCCGATCTGGGACTTGTTCCGACGTCATTCAGATCTGTTATTTTTTTTTTCTGAAAAACATTGGTTTTCCCCTGACATCCAACTCATCCACCAAACATCCCTGGATCTCCAGCCGGAGAATGGGATTGGTGCAGGGATTGAAGCAAGGACCAACTCTCAAACCGCCAGCCGCCCGCCAAGCCTTCGATTCTTCCCCCCCGACAAGGATCGGCGCTAGCATTGGTGGACCAGGTACACTGACTTTCCAACCTTAGCGGTTTCATCACCACTCATTCGACTTCGCGCTGACTTGCACCCGCCACATTCTCCTGCCAAGTCTTGCTTGGACCTGTCGCATGTCGCCAGATTCTTCCCAGATGTGGAATCACCTGGGGTTGTTCCTGTCAGTCTGGTGGATCGTGCTCTGTTGACGGGATTGACATAAGGGATTTTACTTGTCGCATGTCGGTAATGAAGGTTTACCCTGGCGCCAACAGGAGCTTTTTTTTCAGGGCCATGTCCGACGATCGATAATATCATGTGGTTCCCAGGGGACTGATATGCCTGTTAATCTTTTTTTTTTTTTTTCTTTCTTAGTTCGCTTGCAAAGTTGAACCCTCTGAAGACGGCTGGCCTGGCTTGTTTTTCTAAAGCAATTAATTTGCTTGGTGCTAGTGTGGACTTGGCTTGTCTCATCTATCTCCACACGTCTGGCAAGGCACAAAGTGGACCATTGTGTCTGTGTCTGTCTCTTTCTTGTAACAATATCTACCCTTTCTTAATTTTTTTTGTCTTGGTGTTTCTTTCTTTCTTTGTTCCCATTCTTTTCTCTGACAATCGTTATTCAACCCTGGTGGACTGGTTCCATCATTTTTTTTATACTTCATTTCTCTGGGTCTGATCGTGTCGCCAGCATTCCTTGCGTTGCCTACGGGACGGCCTCTACAAAAATTTGACACCGTCATCATCCCTGGGTAGATCTGAGGGGAAAATCATTGAGACCATAGGTTTCTGTTCTTTCTTCTCATCTTCTGCCGCTACATTCGCTCTAGGCAGGCCCTGCTTATTGAAGCCGACCATTCGCTCTATATCGGCATCGACACAAACACGATCGTTCTCCCCTATCACTCATTCCTTTCATCTTACACGGTAGCCTGGTGCTCCTTTGGCGATTGTCCAACTACTTCGTCTCTCAAACAAGAAACCAACCCGACAACTTCTCTTCGGGTCAATCTTAGACAACAAAAGCCGGTCTTGTGAGAAGGCATCCCCCGAGAAGCAGCCTTGGCCCAGTCGAAAATAAAGTTTCTTGACATTTCACCACACATAAAAACTTCGCCAATAGATAAAATCGACGCAATGGAGTTCACAAAGCGAGAAGGCTACAGCGCCATGGATCTTTTCTACGAAGCCCTCACTGATGACCTCGCCCGATACAGCCTGCTCGCTCTCGGCTGTGCCGCCGCTGCATACTACATTTGGAAACTGGCCAACCGATTCTCCGAACACTTGCGACGACTATCAAGTTTCGGAGATGACAGTCAGCGATATTTCGTCCCAGCCCATGAGAAGTTTTCTTGGATTAAGAATCACTTGATATATGCCCCTCTGTTTCGGAACCGTCACAATCGCGAGATGCAACTTTCGCAGGCCATTAACATGGGTACACTTCCCAGTCGCTTTCACGGGCTCCTGGTTATAGGTGTTGTTGCGATGAATGTTATTCTTTGCGTGGTCACTATTCCATATGCGTCAAGTGAAAGTACCACCGCTGGTATTGTTCGTAATCGCACTGGTACTATGGCTACTGTGAACCTTATTCCCCTCGTCTTGATGGCGGGGAGAAACAATCCCTTGATCGCTATGCTTCATGTGCCGTTCGATACGTGGAACCTTCTTCATCGGTGGTTGGGACGTATTGTGGTTCTAGAAGCTCTTGCGCATACGTTTGCTTGGGCGATTCCCAAGGCTCAGGCTGGTGAGAAGGATCCCTTCTCTAATATTAACATTTATGCTAATCAAATTTACAGGAAGCTGGAGTGCTGTGGGTTCTTATATTGCTGGAAGTAGCTTTCTACTCTCAGGCCTGGTTGTAAGTTTTGGATTCCTGTCGCTGATAATATCCTTGGCAAGATTCATTTATTGATCTCGAGATATAGACCACTTGCACTTGTATTGGACTTTTGCTGCACTCACCGTCACCCATTCGCCATGCCTTCTACGAGACATTCATTCACTTGCACTTTGCCCTCGCAGCTGTTACCATGGGCTTCCTTTGGGTCCACTTGAATGGAATGGCCGCTCAAAACTATTTGCTGGCCGCTATAATTCTATGGGCGCTGGAGGTAGGTTCCATGATTCAAATTGCTATCCACAAGTACAATAATAACTGACTCAACAGCGCGCAACTCGTCTGTTTATCATCATGTACCGAAACCTCGGTCGCGCATCCACCACTGCCACTATCGAGGCAATGCCTGGCGACGCAATGCGTATCACTTTACGACTTGCCCGACCATGGAAGTTCCGCCCCGGTCAACACATCTATCTTTACATCCCAGCCGTTGGATGGTGGACATCTCATCCATTCTCCGTAGGCTGGAGTGAAGATGAAGACACGATGTCGGACGAGAAGTCCCTGCCGATGGCCCAGCAAGACCTAATTGGTGCGCCTCAGAAGACAACCATCTCGCTTCTAGTCCGCCGCCGAACAGGTATGACCGACAAGCTCTTCCAGCGTGCCTCCAACGCCATGGGCTCCCGCATCACCCTCCGTGCCTTCGCGGAAGGTCCCTATGGCAATATCCACTCCATGGACTCCTACGGCACAGTTATGCTTTTTGCTGGTGGTGTCGGCATCACCCACCACGTGCCATTCGTCCGTCATCTCGTGGCTGGCTTTGCAGATGGTACGGTCGCTACACGCCGGGTCACTCTTGTTTGGATCATCCAGTCTCCAGAGCACTTGGAATGGATTCGTCCCTGGATGACAAGTATCCTGGCCATGGACCGCCGGCGAGAAGTCCTTCGCATCATGCTGTTCGTGACGCGTCCCCGCAACACCAAGGAGATTCAGAGCCCATCCGCTACAGTGCAGATGTTCCCTGGCCGACCGAATATTGACACTCTTGTCGGTATGGAAGTTGAAAACCAGATCGGAGCGATGGGTGTCCTTGTTTGCGGCAACGGAAGCTTGAGCGATGATGTTCGTCGCGTTTGCCGGAAGAGACAGTCCAAGTCCAACCTGGATTATGTGGAGGAAAGCTTTACTTGGTAGTCTTGTGACTAGTATTTCCTTGAATATGTACACGATGTCGTGCGTCTTGCATTCGATTGAAGTCGGAATTTTTTACCCTTTTGGCTTGCACCGAATACTCTCTCCCAGTTCGCATGCGCACGAAATTTGTTGTTTGACTCAGGTTTAGACATTTTTATCCTTTCTGTTCCAGGCTCTTGAACTTTTAGTTATTTTTCAGGCCCTCATGTGATGCATATAGTTGATCAACATACCGACCTTGGGAGTTTACCTAGGTTTTTTTTTTCGTTTCATACCTGTCCTAAAAGCTACCAGGAGTAGGCGTATCATTAAAGACATTGGCCAGTGGCGACCCAGGTGGGCCTGTGGAAAAGTCCCTTACAGAGAACTCCTGCAAGCCTATGCTGTGTTGCAGAAACCCGGTGAAAGGCTTAAAGCCATTACTAGCACCTACTTGGACATCCTCGGCCAAAGATGGCAAGAACGTATGATAATTCGGCCTACTTAGTGACTGTCTGATTGCACATGTATCTTTCATTGGTTGTAGAAAACAGGAACGCCGATACTCGGATGCTGGTGCCCGATATGGCGCTGACATTGTGGAGCACTTGACGCGTTTTTACCTAAAGAAAAGCAATTAACGCAAGCTGATTTGCCTCTTTTTTGCGCATTTTGCCTCTCCTTACTCTGTACTATCAGCACTGCGGGTAATTCCGATGCTTAGAAACTTGTCGGTATTTCATAGTCTCCGTGACATCCCACATCTTATCAGATTAAGAAGATCTGCCTTTCCGTCTCCATTTCTCCCCATTTTCCTCCCCTGCCAAGTCCCTTCTCTCCACCCTGGTAATCCCAGGACCCTTCAAACCTACAACCTCACGTCTGATGTGGTCGTCTCGTTAGAATGGCGACCGTGGGAAAATCCTCGGAGCAACATGACAGCAGCATATACACAGAAAATGCTTTAAACAGGGCCGACTCGTCACGCAGCCGCCATGATTCAAATCCCAATCCGGGAGAGGTTCAGCCGCTCCTCGGTCCTTCGACGCTGGCCGTCAAGTCACCTGGAGTCGCCCGCATCGAAATCATCAACGCTTCCCTAACACGAAATGACCGACTGATGATGTTTCTGGGCGTGTTCCTGGTCGGATACGCTTACGGCCTGGACAGCCAAGTCCGCTCTACTTACCAATCATACGCCACCTCCAGCTTTGGCGAGCATTCGCTCCTAGCAACCGTCAACGTGGTCCGCAGTGTGATCGCCGCCGCCGCCCAACCAGCCGCCGCCCGCATCGCCGATGTATTTGGACGATTCGAGCTCGTGGCTGTGTCGATGGTTTTCTATCTGATCGGTACAACGGTGGAAAGCTGTGCGACCTCCATCGAGATGTTCTCCGCAGGCACGGTGCTATATCAGCTGGGTTACACCGGGATCGTGCTGCTGGTGGAGATTATCATCGCGGATATTACGTCGATGCGATCGAGGGTGTTTTTCAGCTATCTACCTGCCACGCCGTTTATTATAAACACTTGGATCAGTGGGTATATTACCTCCGCCGTTGTAAACAACAAGGATGGCTGGCGGTGGGGAATCGGCATGTGGTGTATTATATACAGTGTTTGTTCGTTGCCTCTTCTCTGGACCCTGTTCTACACTAGCCGCCGTGCAGAGAAGGCCGGTGCTTTGGAACATCATCCGAGTCCATTACGAGCATTTGGAATGCGTCGTTTGGCTGTAAATATGTTCCACCAGCTTGACGTTGTTGGAATTTTCCTGATGATCGCTATCTTTGGCTTCATCCTTGCGCCACTTACGATCGCCGGTGGCACGGAATCCCAATGGCGATCCCCGTTCATAATCACACCTCTCCTCATCGGTGTTTTGTGTATCCCGATATTCATCTTGTGGGAAACAAAAGGTGCAAGACACCCGCTCGCCCCTTTCAACCTTCTCAAGGACCGCGGCATCTGGAGCGCACTTGCCATTCGATGTCTCCTCAATTTTTCATGGTACCTCCAAGCCGACTATCTCTATACAGTCCTGATCGTTGCATTTGATTTCTCTGTCGCCACCGCGACACGCATCCAATCCTTCTACTCATTCTTCGGTCTTATCAGCGGGCTGGTAACCGGCATCATCATCTACCGAACCCGCAGATTGAAGTTTCTGATTATCTGCGGCACATGTCTATTCATGATGGCATACGCTCTAGTCCTCTATTTCCGAGGCGGCGCAGACGGAGGCTCCAAGGCCGGTGTGATTACTGCGCAAATTCTCCTCGGCCTTGCGGGCGGGTTTTTTGCATACCCTACTCAGGCATCGGTTCAAGCCGCCACGACACACGAGCACATGGCCGTTCTCACGGGCATATATCTCGGTTCGTTCAACATCGGAAGCGCTCTCGGCACATGTGTCTCAGGGGCAATCTGGACTCAAACTTTGTACAAATCGTTGGTGGCCAATCTGGATTTCCAGTCTAATTCGACTTTGGCCCATGCTGTCTACGATTCGCCTTTTGAGGTCATCCCGTCGTACCCGATCGGCACACCCGAGAGAACTGCTATCATTTTGAGCTACCGACATGTGCAGAGGCTTCTCTGTGTTACCGGAATATGTCTTGCCGCGCCGATGATTGGCTTGGCTTTCATTTTGCGGAATCCCAAGCTTTCCAAGGAACAGAGTCAGCCTGAGGCTGAGAGAGAGGAGTAGGACAGTCCCCATATCATCTTGGCGACTTTTATGATTTGAATGAAACATTTGAAGCGAACATCATTAGATTTGACAGAAATCCTTCAGCGGATTCTATTTTTCGGACGCAGATGGAACAAGTCCTGAACGACAATACCCCTACACTTGTTTTCAATTTCAATTTCTTTTTTACGGTTTCAATTATCAACTATCAATACATCAAAATACATATATCTCGGATGTTTAACCCTTGCAAGATACACATGCGTACTACCTACATGGAAGTCAACGGGGATAATAACTTTAACTAAACATGGGCAATTTCTTAGATTATGCACAGTGAGCCGAAACACGACTCGGAAATCCGGAGAAAGATATCACACCTCAAGTTGAGAGGTCTTCTAGCCAGCCCTCCACCATAACTTCAAACTGCGGGCTATAAAGCCAACCCAAATCAAATGGCTTGCTATCCAACTGCGAAGGCACAGAATCCCCATCCTTCGGCATTCGCCTCGCATCGATCTGCCGATTGAGCTCCAGAACTCGATCAACCCTATCCTGCCTTTCAGCCTGCCATTTCTTCAAGCCACCCGCAAGACTTGTCCCCTGGCACTCAGCCAAAACAAGCGCATAGGTATAAACATCCTCAAACGCCTGGTTAATGCCCTGCCCGGCCGTAGGCGGAATAGCATGCGCCGCATCACCCAGAATAACAACCCTCGACCGCGCCGAAGCCCACGCCTCAAGTTTCGGCACCACATAAAACGGCCACAGGTTAATCTTGTCCAGCGGGATCTCCGAAACAGCCGAGCGGACAATCTGCGGGAAGTCCTCTGCGCCCTCGCGCAGGAAATCCACACACCACTGCTTATTAGACAGCAACTCGTTCCACCCCTGCCGGTCCAGCTCTGCAGCGCGCTTCTGCTTCCCGATCAGAACCTCCGACCCATCGCGCAGCTGGGGCGCAATCACAAACGCGCCGTGCTTGCCGTTCATAAGCGTAAGCGGGATTTCGTACCCATGCTCTGCGCCCAGCTGGGCCGTAGGCACGGCGGCTGTCACGCCGACGGCATTGGTAAAGCGCGGCTCCAGGTCCGGGTAGAGGTACTTGCGGACGCGCGAATGGATGCCGTCGGCGCCGACGAGGCAGGATGCGTTGCCGGTCGTGCCGTCTTCGAAGGACCAGATCACGCCTGTGTCGGTCTCGGAGGTAACGGCCGTGAACTTCTTGCCGTATTCGATGGCGATGCCGCGGTCCTTGACGGCTGTGACGAGGGCGTCGATCAGTTCGTGCCTGTAGATGCGGAGGGCATCGTAGCCGTATTTTTGGCTGTTGCCGAACTCATAGGAGTCCAGTGGGGCTTTGTCGTTATAGAAGTGGAGGTTGGTGAATTCGTAGCCGCGGGGCTTGATGGTTTTGTAGATATCTATGGCGTCGAGGATGCGGAGGGCGTTTGGGGAGAGCATTATTGCGCCGCCGATGTCGAGGGAGGCGGGGCGGGATTCGTAGATTGTGCATGGGATTGATTGTTTGTTCAGGGCGAGAGCTAGTGCGAGGCCTGAGAGGCCGGCGCCGATGATTGCGACGTGGTTGGAGGCCATTGTTCTTGTATTGTGGTTTGTACAATGATTGTTCGATAGATGGTTGGAGGAGTTGCTGTAGTAGATGCTTGTGATCTGTGTGGGAAACAGAAAATAAAGGCTGACCAAGAGCATTTATATACATCAAATAAGGTTAACATTCAAGATCTCTCCGTAACTCACTATCGTGTTGACGTGGGTTATCTCCGATGATCCGAACCGTCCAGCCATGATTCGGATCCGAAGATGACATCCGGATCCGACAAACTCGGACGTACAAGTAACGTGAAGTAAAATGTACGAACAAGTTCATGGACTTCCGGACATAGCCAAGAGTGAACAAATCACTCATCTCGGACCCAATGACCGCTTTTTCCACCTTGCTTCTCTATCAACCGCACACCCCCGATAATCATCCCTTTATCCACAGCTTTCAGCATATCATACACTGTCAATGCAGCCCCCATGGTAGCTGTCATGGCCTCCATCTCAACTCCAGTGCGACCAAAACAGCTAACCGTAGCAACAATCTGCATAGCGCCATGATCTTGTGGCTTATGTGCGTCAGGTTCGACAAGCTCCACACTAACTTCCACACCCGTGATGCCAATTCCAGGATGACACAACGGAACAATGTCCGGGGTTCGTTTAGCGGCCATGATCCCGGCAATGCGAGCAACACTATATACGTCGCCTTTATGAGTGCCTTCGCCGCGCCGTAAAATTTCCCATGGTTTTCCATTTGAGAATGAGACCATACAGGCAGCGGTGGCGAGTCGTTTTGTTTCTGGTTTCTCGGTGATCTGTGTCATGTGTACGGTTTGGGAGGGAGTGAGATGGGGGAGTTCGGAGTCTGAGGTGGTAGGTAGAGATCGGGGTTTGGGATTCTGCGTCTTCTGTGGTGTGGGTTCCTGGGCCTGAGAATCTGATCGTCCGCTGTGGTAAAGGCGTGCCTGATGTAATCCAGGTGAAGATGAGAGGAGATGCGAGGGAATTAATGTAGAGGTTGCCCGTGACGTGGGAAATGGCCATGGTTGATGATTTTTATTATCTACTTCAACTATCAGCATCGGATTGCAAAATTAAATCATTAAGCTCCCAACATGATTTCATAAGTACATGAGTTAAACCTTTTCAAGGCCTTGTCTGCCTCAAGCTCCATGACAAATATGCAAGTCGTAAATCATTTCAATAATTCATGAAGGACACTAACCACCAATGAGAATCATGGGCCTATTCTTCATATTCTCGAGTTGGCCTATGCCAGCGTGCTTGGCCTTCTTACGCTTCACAGCCATGCCGATGATATCCAAGATTTCGCGTTCCCGCTCAGGGATCAAGCCGCCTTCGTCGCTTAGACGAGCCGCATCTTGGATTGTCTCGAGGAGGCGGAGATCTTTCAACGCCTCCTCGTCGATAGGCTGTCCATCATTCTCCTTGCGAATTATATCCCGGAGGGAGACCTCGGAATTTCCGAACAGGCAGACCTTCAAATTGCCATCACCAGTTATGCGCAATCGATTGCAGGTCCCGCAGAAGTTATGTGTCATGCTAGTGATAAACCCGACGCGGCCCTCAAAGCCAGGGACCATATAGGTCTTGCTGGTATCATTTTTGTGGTCGACAACCTTCTCCAATGACGGATACTTCTCTCGAATCACCGACAACATCTCTTGGTAGGGAAACATTTTCCCCTTGTTCCACTTATTTCCATCAAAAGGCATATACTCGATGAACCGCACTTCGATGGGTTTCTCGCGACCGAGCTCGACAAACGGCAGAATCTCACGGTCATTCATACCGCGCATGACCACGCAATTGATTTTCAACTTGATGCCAGCACCGAGTTTGTTCATCTCCAAGATCCGATCGATGCTTTTCATCACAGCCTCGAATCCCTTGCGCCGTGTCATGATTTGGAACTGAAATGGGTCCAGTGTATCGAGACTCAGATTCACGCCCGTAAGTCCAGCTTCCACCATTGGGTCTAGCTTGCGGTATAAGGAAATGCCGTTGGTGGTCAGACACAATTCCCGGAGCCCGTTCTGTCGCAGCTGGCCAATCCTTTGCATCAAAGGAACGATATCCTTCCGTACCGTAGGCTCACCACCAGTCAAACGGATCTTCGTGACGCCCTGGGAGATAAACAATGAGGAAAGGTAGACGATTTCCGGCGAGGTCAACAATCTTGCTGGTGGCGATAGCTCCACGCCCTCTTCAGGCATACAGTAGAGGCACCGAAGGTTACACCGTTCGGTGACACTGATTCGAAGATAGTCGTGTTGGCGATTGAAGGTATCGGTGAGGAAATCGGAGAATGGCTTTGCGGCCTTCAGGGCTGTGAGTCTGGGGGTAACGTGCGGAGGGATCTCGGTGGTGGTTGAGGGAACGGAGCTTGTGCTTTGCCACCGCGCCCGGGCGAAAAGCCCACGAGGGGTATAACATAAAGCTCTCCTGTACAGTATACCCGCCATGTTTAGTTTCAACGGACAATGAGAGGCATATTGAGGGGAAAGAGGAGATAATATAATCTCTTTTCGAGAGTGGCACGAGGGGGAGTTTCTGGAGTTGGCTTATCGCATGGACATGCCTGTTATCGGGTGGAGCAGTTGCCTTAGTAATCCGCGTGTTTCGGTGGACTCCGCGGGCCCTGAGTCATGGATTCTACACATCCACGGACGGTGACGGACCACAAGAGTGGGATTCTTGGGTTTAGATTGTAACACGTTACACATTCCCATTTGAAGTTGATTTGCTGCTTAAAAATACCAAGTATCAAGCCCTGGGAAGGGCACCTAGCCTAAATGTATAGTATGACTGCCCGATGATGCATTTGTCTTCGTTCCATACCTCATAACCCTCAAGGTCGTGTCCAGCTCCCAGTGTCATATATAAAGGTAAGACGTGTTCAGCGGTCGGGTGAGCATCAATCCAATCAGATCGACTCTGGAAATCCAAGAACCTGGCAGTCCGTTCTCGAGGCGTCGGCGCATCCAGGGCATTCTTAGCAGCGGCTTCCAAAGCGAGGGCAATACTGGTATCACTGGTGCCCTGTCGGGTGGCCGGGAGGTTGTGACATAACATTCCAGAGCCTATCAGCAAAATACGATCTCCACTAAACTTATATCAGCAATTGGTCTGCATGTGCGAAGGGTCTCTGAGTCCATACAGAGTTGAGAGAGCTTTTCCCAGTTCAACATGAGCGTTGAGATCGTCACCCGCATATGTTGAAATCTGTAAGATTGGAACGTCCAGTTCGTCTTCTCCTTCTGGGAACATAAGTTTGAAGGGAACCCATCTATGTGGCAGAGTCAGTACGTGATTGGGCCCGCTCAGGAAGATGATGGCACACTCACACGCCGTGGTCCAGATCTCTCTCGGTACTCTCTACCTTCACGCCTTGGCTTTGGAGGTGGTTGAATACCTTCTCGGCCAATGCGCGGGAGGATTTATGAGCGTACTGGTATTCAAATACATGGGGAAATGTCTTCCTCCACGAAGGGCCAAGATCATGCCACACCTTGGTTGGCTCTTTGAAATTTACTAGAAAAATCTATTAGCCCAGATCTACTTTTAATGAGATGCATGGCTTCTGTTTACCTTGAATAGCATCACTTTCACCTTCGAACTCGCCACAAGTCAGAACAATTGCTTCTGGTTTCAGGGCTTTGATTTCTTTTCCAAGTTCACGCAAGCCTTGTCTGACGGCTTCGTGCTCGGGCTTAAACATAATACTGACACCACCTGACATGAAACAGAAAAATTCAGTTTTCTTCTACAGGGAAAATCTTGCTACCAGGGGCAATCTTGAGGTCTCACCATGACCGATGAAATAAGTTGGCAGACGCGTGGTTGAGGAGTTGCTCATGATGGCGGCTTCGATGTGGTTTTTAAGAAGGCACTTTCCAAGTTTGAGACTTATTATTTGGTTAAACTCAAGCGCGGTGCACGTAGACGCGCGGGGTCAGTATAAGGTGCTGCTGTACTTATAATTGGTGCCGCTTAAAAGCAACTCCGGCCCGCACGGAGTCCGGGGTGAAAATATTCGAATATTTGGTACAGCGCTTTCTATGTATTTTCCGGCCTCAAGAATTCAAATTATGGCAAAGGCTGGACAAATTCATGTCCAGATGTCTAGACACAACTAATACACGTACGAATCAATCCGGCAACTTCAATGTTCGAGAACTTGTGCCAAATCATGTTAGGCACATAGTAGTACTCATGATCATGATTCATGACTGGATATTGCCTCAATTCATGCTATCAAATGTTGAACCTGACATCTGGATATTGCAGGGCAGGTTTCGCGAATAGAGGTCTCCATTTCCGGTCGAGCCCATTCATGTCGTGGAACGTGAAAGCGTAGGAAGAGAGGACTCCACCAAACTCAGCATGCCATAAATCAATAGGTGTTTGGCGAACTCTATCAAATGATGGGCAGATTGATAGTAATGGCGAATCAGATACTGTCATACCTCGCTCACTAAACCATTTTGTCTTCGCTCTACCAGTAAGAGACTGGCCAAGTAAGCGATCAAGCATATATTGATGATGATAGCGACCATTCTTGATCACATCATAATTTGATGAGCCTCGCTCTTCACCTGAAACATGGCATTTCCGGCAACTCAAATAGGCTGAAGGTCCTAGAAATCCTGCATTAAGTTGTTGTTGTGGTATATCACCAATAAATGCAAGACAAGGGACAGAAATCCGAATAGTACCCTCCAGATGTCTTGTCCCCATGGTACTTGAATACTCTCTTCAAGTTGACGTACATGTGCACTAATGCTGATAGGCTCCAATGGTGGACATTTGCCATTTTATGATACCTTTTTGATACTGTTTCTTAAAATGTTTAATAAGGATACTGTATCCTAAAGGTATCATACAAGAAACTGTATCATAAAGTAAAATTGGTATCATCCCTAAAAGTGTATCATCAAGAAGTTAGTATCATCCTCTAATCTGTATCAGATAAGGTCTTTTGTATCTTAACTTTTTTAAAGTATCAAATGGTATCAGATAGTATCAAATATTTAGAGCAACCAAATCAATCCAAGATATATATTTGACCCTGAGGATTCTAAGTGCTGTTTATTAACAACTGGTTGAAATTTAAAATTTTTGAGATCTTGAAAATAAAATTTAATAAAATCATAATTAAATACCCTTATTAATAAGCTCTCTAAAAATAATTTTCTTTTATTTTTATCTATTTTATTTAACTAATAAAGTAGAGATTAGAAAAATTGAATATGTTAGGTTATGTTTTGAAATTACTGTAATGTAAGTAATAATGTAGTAGTAATGTAATGGTAATTCACCCTGTAAGAAAAAGTAAGGTTGTAAGTTCGATCCCTGGTAGTAGTAAAGTAAAAAAATAAAAAAAGTAAAAAATAAAAATAAAAATAATTAATTAAATAGAAAAAGTAAATAAACAAAAAAAGTAAATAAACAAAAAAAGTAAATAAATAAAAAAAGTAAATAAATAAAAAAAAAAATATTAGATTTTTTATACTTAAGATACTATTAGGATACCATAGGATACCATATAATACGTTTTTAGATTTAACGATACCTATAGTTACTGTATCATATATGATACGGTATCATAAAAAGTTTGACTTAACTACTATATCTAAAGTTATTACCGTATCCTACAAGATACTTGAAGGATACTGTATCTAAGAAGTATCATAAAATGGTAAATGTCCACCATTGTCTCAATAACATCACGAAAATTTGTTCCATGAGGACCAAGTGTTAATGTGACATCTGGAAGATGTTTGTACTCCGTCGACGCTCTTCTGCTGAAAGACATGCTGGAATAAAGTATACTCCCATAAGGCTATGGAATGTATGCTGATGGAGACCAAACCCATCAATAAAGACCTCTGATGGTAGAGATATACATTTCTGCAATGTATGGTACCATTCAATCAGTTTTTCACGTGTGTATACGCCAATCTCAAGTTCCCCTCGTGGTGGTGGTACTTGATTGATTGCAACTTTGACCCCAGGTGCCCCGAGAGTTCCAAGGTTGAGGGGGAGATAAGCGCCGACATGGCATCTGGACACTCCACATGTGCAGATATCGGGATGGTATATATAATGTGCACAACCTTCCAAGCTGGCCTGTTGGAATTCAGGGCTTTAGCAAACATTGAAATCCATCTCCAGAGGTAATGTTTCCCACATCAATTGATGCAGGGTCCCCAGTAGGTGATACATATATGTATGCATGTATATGTACTTCGAACATGTTGTATTTGAATATACTCGATGGGGGTATAATTATATATAGTAGGTATCTGGTACCTACTACATACATGGCAATCTAGGTCATTAGCAGCCAACTTAGACGAAGCCCCCGGTGAGAGGTCCTGATGTCCATTACCGCACCTGATGGTATTTGGCTTGAATCTTGCACACATGTGCAGCTTGTTGATTCAAGTATTTCAACATTGCTGCCTTGAGATTGTCAGGAAGAAATGGCTTTGTAACTATCACTTTTGTTGACGTGGCTTACTCAGCCCGCTTGGATGTTATGAAGGTGGGCACTATTGATGCCTATAAATAGATGTGGAGATGAAGTTAAGTGAAATGAGATTCAAATTCACTTCAAGTCGTTTGATGGATGCCTCCTGATGATATACGAAATTTCATGTTTATTCGTACTCGTTCCGGGAGATAGGAGTCAGGGGAAGGATTCTCATACCAGTGGATTTGAAGCCCCTGAACAAACATTTGAAGAAAACAAACATGCATTCCAAGATTTAATGTAGCACAACCACGATTGTTAGGATTTAAACTTACATGCATCATGTATAACCGTCTTTATTATAGCTCTTCGATGCTGTATAATATTGTAGAATTTTGATGCATTTTCATTTCAACATTCGAAGGTCGCGATTTGGCTCATTCCAGTCGACTCGTCAGACCCACATTTACCAAGGAAAACTCTTCCCCTGAGTTGACCACGCGTTGCCCGATCCAGTATACTAAGGGGGTTCCAGGGTTGACATTTACCCGTCTATTTTCATCTCCTCTACTAGTAAGCTTCAAAAACAACACATACACGATTGGCCGTATATCTCAGGGTCACTAGGCAGAAGAGTTTAAATTGATCTATTTCGATAATCTGTGAGTACAAATATTTGAACCCGCCGCGCTCCGGCAATGAACATGTTGCTAAAGCCACAACACAGCTGTCTAGCATGGATCCTACAACCTACACAGATCCGCAGTTAACCCTGCAGGATCGACTGGTGATCGATGCCCTGGTCAATGAACCAGCTTCAAGTAGTGAGTTGGTTCACCGCCCGTAATAAACCGTTGCTTGTCTTGCTCACAATCTGCCCTTCGCATCAAAAAAGGCGAAGCAAGATCAGAGCAGCTGAAATTATCACAAAAGCTCTATGACATGAACGATGCTTCCCATTCAACATTTGACCCAACTGTCTTTCAACTGTGGGATAACACATTATTACGGGATAGGCTCCCAGCCCCAATCCATCGCTATGTACTGCAGCCTTATCAGAAATGGGCCCAGGGCGTTGTGCGTTTCCCGACAGATGTCGTGATGCTTACGCATCTAATTCTGTACTTCACCACACTGGTCCCTAGCGCCATCTATCTTTATTACAATTTCTCCTGGTGGCGCGGTGTCCTGCACTGGGCCATGCAGTTGTTCTACTGCGGAGCCTTCACCCTAATGAAACACCAGCATATCCATATGGGCGGCGTCCTCATGCCTCAATATTGGCTTTTCGACACGCTGTTCCCGTATCTCCTGGATCCCTTGCACGGGCATACGTGGAACTCTTATTTCTACCACCACATCAAACATCACCACGTCGAAGGCAACGGCGCTCTGGATCTCAGTACCACCATGTTCTATGACAGAGACAGTGCGGCCGACTTTGCCTGCTACCTGGGTCGCTTTTTCTTCTTGATCTGGGCTGAGCTTCCCCGCTACTTTTGGTCCAAGGGACAGAAGAAGTATGCTTGCAAAGTTGCATTCTGGGAGCTGGGCAACTACCTTGCCATCTACCTGCTGTATAACTACGTCAACGCCCGCGCGACTGTTTTCGTGCTGATTCTCCCGCTGACGGTCATGCGCATTGGTCTGATGGTTGGCAACTGGGGACAGCATGCCTTTGTGGACCCGAGTGATCCCGATTCCGATTGGCTCTCGAGTATCACGCTTATTGACGTCCCGGTGAGTTTGACGCCGTTTGACGCCGTTTGACGCCTTTTTCAATTCAAATTGTGAGGGTAGTTGAAGATAACCAAAACTAACAAATGAGACAGAGCAATCGATTCTCTTTCAATGATGGCTACCACACCTCGCATCACCTCAACCCTCGCCGCCATTGGAGAGATCATCCGGCATCATTCATCAAGCAGAAGGACCGCTATGCCGAGGAGCGGGCTCTTGTGTTCCGCAATGTGGACTACATTTTCATCACTGTGAATCTGCTGCGGAAGAATTACATCCACTTGGCGAAATGCCTGATTCCGATTGGAGATCAGGTCAACATGACCCTCGAGGAACGGGCAGAGATGTTACGGACTCGGACCCGCCGTTTCCGTCACGCAGACCCCAAGAAGAATTCCTGAGCGTCCCATGAACGTTGAAGAAGGTTGAGACGGCGTCAATAGAATTGGGATTGAATTGCCTTGATTCAAATGTTGTTTACCTGGGCGGAAACCCTTGGGAACATTTGAACGGATTTCTTATTATTTAAATGGCTTCGGGCCCCTGTTTTGCTTAGCGTTGCATTCAAACAATTCATGGCAGACATTCACATAGAGGATTGGAAAGTTGCTCAGCACTTGAGAGTAGTTACAATGTATTTTATTTTCTTGCACTTGGATTGGGGTTCAATCTGATTTTGTAGGGTATAAATGTAGTAAATATTACCTGTTAATCAAACGACGGGAGATGGCTATGTTCAACATGGAATGTATGTCGCGTACGTACTAAGATCGGGTACAATGCAAGAGGGCATGAAATAGGAACCTTGGGTGGGAGCAACAAGAACGGGAGGGAAGAGATCTAGGATATCTTCGCTAACAAGACGCTGTGTTAGTTGGTCGGCCCTGCCTCTGGAACCTCAGACACCGGTTCCTCTTCCTGGTATGGTGGGGGAGCAAGCTCTGCATCATCGGCCGTCCAGACCTTGCACAGCTCTTTGTCAATTTCTTCGCGACGCTGTTTCCACTCATCGACCTTGTCAAGCCGTTTACGCAGCTCCTGCAGCTCCTTCTCAACGCCGAGCTTCTCTTTCTCAGTGCCAATTCTCTCAAACTCCCAGCGATCACCTCCCTCCCCTAGACCAAGACTGAGGTTAAAGGTGTGGTATTTCTTCAAGGATGCACGGGTAGAGATGGTTATGAGAGTGATGCCGCGCTCCTTTGCACGTTCATACAACAGTCCCTCTACATCTGAAGAGACTGCTGATGTGCCTTCGTCAAGGAAAGCATATCGTGGCTCGTGATAGAAAAGCCGGGCCATACCCATACGTTGCTTCTCTCCGCCACTCAGCACATCTTTCCATTCCTTTCGAGCATCCCACCCTCCCTCCCGAGCTGGTAGATAGCCTAGATGCGCAGCATCCAGGATCTTCTGCAAGTTTGCATCGGTCTCGCCGGCCTCCCGCATGTCGATCTCGGTGTGAGGGTAAAGAACTTGATCTCGTAGAGTGCCAACACTCAAATAAGGTCGTTGTGGGAGGAACATGATGCCATCTAGGCCGAATCCGCGTGGGCGACTGACTAATCCACGGTATACAGGCCAAAGACCCGCTACTATGCGAGGGATTGCAGACTTGCCCACGCCATTGGATCCCGAAATGAGGAGATGGTCACCAGAATGCACGATAAATGACAGGGAATCAATGAGCTCATCACCGCCCATGGGGTAAAGAGATGGTGCCACAATAGGAACATGTTCCAAACGAACTCCATCGAAGCCATTGTGTGTAGTGCCTTGTGCATCGGCAAGGGAATAGAGCTCGGAATACGATCCTCGGGGTGGATAGTAGGCGCTGGCGTGAACGCGGTGGAGAGTAGAGATGAGGGTATAAACACGCGATGTGTAGCCCGCAAGCTCAGAAATATCTTTGATACTGTACATCATGCGGCCGCCCGCATCGGCCAAAGAGAGCATCAGACGCTTGTTAGTGATGAACTCCTTCATGCGACTCCGTTCACGGCCCATCCCCTCGGGTGAGTCGATCATCTCCATAGCACCACCCGAGCCACCCCATGCAGGGAGGAAGATAGGCAAAGATGTGATCAAATATCCGAAAGCCGACCAGGAGTATTTCAAAATAATGTCTTCCAACATGTTATACCGAATTTTTAGGCTGTAGATGCCTTCCATCCAGCGCTGTAGATCCTTGAAACTCTTCACCAAGAAGACTCGCTCAATGTCAGCCCCACCGTAGAAAGAGATCTCTTCTGCATTAGCCAAGAGCCGCGAGTGCAGACCACGGAAGTCGCCCTCTTTCTTGCCCTCAACGGCCTTGAGCTTGCCAAATGGCGGAGACAACTTGCGAAGTACTACAGCTGTACTGAAGTAGCCAGCAAGGATCCCACTCAAAGCAAGTGGACCAAGTGATCGATATAGTTGATAATTGAACACGAAGAGATCCACCATGGGCTTGCCCATAGAAGAGTATAATGAAGCAGCAGCCGAACAGAAAAGGGTGAGATCTTGCGTAATGAACTGGTCGGGGCCTTGCCCGATACCTCCATCAAGGTTCATCAGTTTGTAATAGTTGTCATTATCGGTCAGGTAGAGGTCATGAATGTATCTCGTAAGACGGGTCCGGAAGGCGATCGACACCTTGGACTGTAGGAATTTGATCATTGCATTGGTGTAAGAGGCGAGGGTGCCGATACCACACCATTTGACGATACCCCACATAAAGGGTCGCCCTTTGCCAGCGACCAAGTCTCTAACAAGTTCGCCGTCCAAACGTGCAATCAAGAGGGAGAGGTATGTTCTTAGCAGAAGGAAAAGGCCATGACCCATCAGCAGCCCTGTTTCCTTGCTTCCCCATCGAGGGACCATGATACTCCCCAGGCTAAGGAACTGATGCAGGAATGCCAAGTTCAAGCCTGGTTTTGTTGTAGGAGGAGGGATTTGGCTTGCCGAGCCTTCCTCAATACTCCGTGCTGATGCCGGAGGATTCAAAAAGAGTCGCCGATGGGCGTCAAATGTGGTCAGCTTGGTGGGATGGATTATGACCTTGGATGTACGCGAGCCCTTATAGGGCACATAGATGGTACGAGAGCCATCCTTGCCACGTATTCCCGAGTTACGACGCAGCAGCCGGTGGCCTTGGGCGCGGTCCCTTGCGCGACCTCGCAGCCACTTGTATCCTCCATATCCTGAGCTGATTATAGACAAAAGTAGAGCGACCGTAGCGATCAGGCGAGTGGTTCGCGTGGTCCGACGGAAACGAGAGCGAATCAAATCCGAGTAGTGTAGGTAAAGGGTACGGAGGGGGTCCTCCGGGCGACGGAGAGTTGACTGAGCGGCCATTGCGAAGCCCGATCGGCTTATAGTGCAGGGTGATTGTAGGCCATGAGTCAAAAATAGAACGCCCGGTCCAAATAGGTATTTGAAGATGCTGTGTGTAGATGAGGATAGAGAGAAGGAGGAGATTCAAGGGACAATCAAGGGACAATCAAGATGCAAGTTGACAGTTGCATCATTTGCATGTGAACCTCGGGCGGAGAGATGGGGGCACCGTGCACGTGCCTGGGGAAGCTCCTGTGGGGTGGTCCAGTGGAGATACTTGTGGGGTACTTTGATTTGGCAGGCGATTGCACACAAACCCAAGTACTGCTGGGGTACATCATGCCAAAGTATCATTACCCCGTATAATTACCCCGGACAGCATTTTATTCCAAGCAATTTGAACCTGCCTGCTTTTTTGTTTTTGTTTTCTTCTTCCTGTCTTTGATCCTGTCTTTGATCCTTTTATTGATCTCATGAAAAATTCTTTGTACTGCTTCGACGGCCACCATTCGCAAGGATGTGGAACAACTTTTGAAATGAATTTAAAGCATGCCGTTTACTGGACCAAGCTAATTGTTCCGCTCTTTGCGTCAAATTTTTGGCAAGTATTGTTCCTTCAACCTGACCTCCAGGGCTGCAATGACTCCAAGGTCTGTTCAACGGCTAAATGGCTCTCATTAGACCCTGGATGCCAATGATCCATTCCCACAGGCCAAGCCTCATATAGGCTAGCGAGAGCCGAAGCGACATCCGCTATGAGAACTAGCTACGGTTACCAAGCCGATATCCGTCATTGAAAGGACTCCGAAAAACCATGTATATATTCCGACAGAAGGGTCTCAAACAGAGCAAAAGGACTTTAGCGCACTCGCCTCCCAAAATGCCTCATCGGAACATTCTGTTAATGGTCGCCGATGACCTCGGCAAGCAATTGGGCTGTTATGGAAACAAAAAGATTCAGACGCCTAATCTCGACCAGCTAGCCGCAGAGGGGTCTCGTTTTGACCAAGCTTTCACTAGCACAGCATCCTGCAGTGCGAGTCGATCGGTAATCTACACTGGTCTCCACACTCACCAAAATGGGCAATATGGACTTCATAATGGGCGCCATCATTTCACCACCCACGACCATGTCGAGACTGCCCCTGTACTGCTCTCGAAACATGGATATACCACTGGTCTGATTGGAAAGGTACATGTTGGTCCTTCTTCCGTTTACCCGTGGGATATGCGAGCCGAGAGTGACAGTCGTGATGTTGCCTCGGTCGCCGACCAGGCCACTGCATTCTTCGAGAACTCCAAGTCAGACGACAAGCCATTCTTCTTGACTATCGGTTTCATTGATCCGCATCGCGATTGGACCCGCTCTGGATTCGGTAACGATGGTCAGTATGACCCACGTGTGAAGACTATCGATTATACTACCGAGGATGTGGAGATACCACCTTTCGTCAACGATCTGCCTAAGGTGCGGTACGAATTTGCAGAGTATTATAAGGCCATCTCTCGTCTCGACCAAGGCGTTGGTATGGTACTGCAAGGATTGAAGGAGAGCGGCTTGAGTGAAGATACACTTGTTCTCTTCTTAAGCGACAATGGGCCTCCATTCATCAATTCCAAGACAACTCTATATGATGCAGGAGTCTGTCTACCCATGATCATGAAGTGCCCAGGATCCATGGCCGGGGTGGTGAATCCAAATATGATTTCGTATGTCGACATCCTGCCAACACTGCTTGACTGGGCTCATCATCCGGATCCTAAGAACCCAGCCCGTCTTGGGCGCTCATTTCTTCCGATTCTTGCCGAGAAGTCCCAGCTTGATGAATGGAGCGAAGTTTTCGGCTCACACACATTTCATGAGATAACGAACTATTGGCCTACCCGCTTCATGCGTAATCGTCGCTTCAAATATCATCGCAATATCGCCTGGAGACTTGATTTCCCTTTCGCTGCTGATATCTATGGCTCGTTGACCTGGGAGGAGATCCGGAACTCGGAGAACAGCCCCAAAATGATTGGCCCTCGTCCGCTCAAGGATTACTTTTTCCGTCCCGCAGAGGAGCTGTACGATATTCAGGCTGATGCGGACGAAGTGCACAATCTTGCCAAGGATCCGGAATATGCACAAGTACTGGAGGACATGCGGAATGCCATGGAGAAGTGGCAAGGCCGGAGTGAGGATGCATGGCTGTATCGCGATGGAGTCTCAATGCTCCTGGTTCAACATCACATCGACGCTGGCTTAGAAATTCCAGATCGCTGGGACTTTGATGCTGATGTGCCACAAAGCAAAGATCAGCCCAAATTCGCAGCCAATTTTGCCTGGGGAGCCTAGTTCATAAGATGATTGACAGAAAGCCTGCCATATAAGTGGGTCCATCCTGGTCTAAATGTTCAAATGATGAAATCAAGAGATATGAGGAAACTTGACTTGTAGCTTGAATTGAGTAGGGCCATTGTCAGCCTTGAAAATTTGAAAGAAGTGCGCATGATCTATGTACATAGTATAGGTGATGCCTTTATTTACACTGTATTGTCTATCTCACCGATGCCTCATTGTTTATTGCTGCCGTAGGGTTTGCTTTGGTCTTCGGTCCTTTGGAACTCCCCCTGAAAGGCGGCGTCAAACACCTGTTCAAGGCGCGCAATGGCCTCATCCGACACCTCTGTGACAAGTTAGAATGATAGAATGACATCTTATGAAAACGAGCACCACTTACGGTAATGAACGACCACCCGTCCTCCCAATAGCTTTAAACCTTTCTCCTTGCCAATTGCAGCGAGATCATTGGGTCCCAGGCCAGAGGCCTCGAGATCAAGCCATACCATGTTTGTGTGTACAGGAGACTGCAGCTTGCCCCCGCGGCTAGTCCAGAGGTCTGCAATACGCTTTGCCTTGCCGTGAGTGGCTAGAAGCTGACCAGTCTTGCCATGAGGGTCCGTTCCGAACGTCTCGTCCAGCGCGATTCTGGCAGCAGCCGAGAAAACACCTGTCTGACGAGCACCGCCACCAATAGACTTGCGGAACCATCGCGCCTTCTTGATGAAAGCCGAGGAGCCGACAATAATGCTTCCAATTGGCGCGCCCAGGCCCTTGGAAAAGCACAAGCTAACACTGTCGAACAGACTGGTGTAGTCCGATAAACTGCCAGCCCCCGATACAACCGCCTCCCACAATCTCGCGCCGTCCAGGTGTACTTTGATGTCATTGGCATGGGCCCACTCGACGATACGGCGAGCCTCGGCCAAAGGCATAATCAACCCGTCAAGCGTATTCTCCAAACTGATCAGCTTGGTGGGGCAGTGGTGGATGTCATCATCAAGCACCGCATACTTCTGGACATCCTCCAAAGTGAGGTGAATGCCGTTTTTGGGTACAACGGTCTGTACTGTGGCCCCAGTCCAAGCGCTGACACCTCCAGCCTCGTAGCAGATTATGTGAGCTCGGTGGTCGCAGAGGACAGAATGTGGTGGTTGAGCTAGATGCGAGCGGATCGCGACCTGGTTTCCCATTGTGCCTGAAAGCACCAGCAGAGCATCCTCGTGTTTCGTCCTCTCGGCAACGTAGCGGTGGAGCTCGTTCGTGGTCGGGTCCTCGCCAAAGACGTCGTCCAGGAGGGTCGTTTGGCTGATCGCGTTGAGCATTGATGGCGTGGGTTTTGTCATTGTATCGCCTGGAAGGGAATGTGTCAGCGTCAAGCTCCTCCTGTAATTCACATAAACATGTTCGGATTGAGGGTTGAAGTACTCCTGAGGTCAAATTCCGCGGCCCCTGCACCGTGCCAGCTACTTGGAGCACCGGATGACGTAGATAGTTGAGCCATGGCGACTTTGTGTCCGAGTGGGGGCAATTGAATTGGCAGGGATGGTTTATAACTCAGACAAGGGCGAATGAAGGTGCGGATGCGACTCATTTCATTATTTGCTGCGCGCAAAAGGTGTCTTGATTTCTAAATGCGGGGAAATGTTTTTGCTCACGTAATTCGGCATAATTTAGCCTAAGCCAATAGGATGATTCTCACCGGTGTATACTTCGAGTCTCGGCTGTAACCCACTGTCGGCAATTAGAATGAATTACAGGAGTGGAATCTACCCCGAGAACTTGAGTTTCGAATAGAAGTTGCTAGCACTTGGTATGCATAAAATAAGGCAAACTTTGGAGCCTTGGAATCTTGTAAGAAAAAAATTGCTGTCAACTGGTATATGAGAACATTGAACTGTCTCTAAAGAACTTCTTCTTTCTTTAGGCATCAAAAGTATGAATATGTATGGGCAAACTAGGATATCTCGACGCTGCATCGGTCGAACTAATTATATTGATAGGGCTCCCGAGAACCGACAGAAAAGAGAACATCTGAAGTCTCTTTGAAGATATACAGAAGCACAAGGTGACATTGAATGATTGAATTCTCAAACAAAACTTTTAACCCATCTATATCCATCTATAGTATGTATAAAACAAATCTATGTAAAATTAAAAGGCTTTGTATATAGTACAGCATTTGACCGCTCATGAGCGTACTGCGATTCTCGCCATAACGCCCAAACCACCCAGAAAGGCAGAAACCCCAGTGAAAACGATCAACGGCCCATATCCAGTGCCATAGGCCTTCCCAGCAACACCAGTCCAGGAATTCTGATCAAGCAAAGCTCCACTGAGGGGCCCACTGACAATATTTCCAATACCGCGCCCAGTCGAGAGAAGTCCAAAAATAAGACTGGGATCGGTGTAAATACTCCGCTTTGTCACCTCATTAACAACGGCCGGCCAGGTAGAGGTAAAAGACCCAGCGAACAGTCCGTAAAAGATACAGAAAATGTACAAGGGTGCCAAGGTATCGGCCAACCCCCAGATCAGAAAGACTGCAACGGTACTGCCAACCGTCGAAGCCAAGATGCAAGTCGTGGCATGGTAGCGGTCAACCAACGAGCCCATAATAACACATCCAAAAACGGAGGCAAGGTTGAACACCATGACGGTAAGAGTGGACTCAATACCGCTCGCTCCAAGGCTCTTAGCGTAAGTGGGTAGATAAATAGTTGGGAGGAAATAGCCCATGGCTTCCATGATATTTCCAGATTCGTAGATGAGGAATGTAGCATCCCACAGGAAGCGGAAATCCAGTTTCCGGGGCTGCGATGCACGCGAGATTGGAAGACGAGGTCGAAGGTAAGTCAGAAGTGGAGCTCCAAGAACAAGTAGGACGATAGACCAAGCGCGCAGCGCTGTTTTGTGGCCGAATGTATCCAGCATCCACTGCAAGACAACGGGGAGAATGACGCCCGATAAACCGGTACCAGCCTTTTTATCGTGAATTAGCTCTTTTCGTCTTTTTGAATGAATACATATGATGAATAGGAATGTGGAAATTTACTCACCCACATAATTCCAAACGCCAATCCCTTGCGACGGACGAACCATTCGTCCATGAAGATGATTGTCGGGGCGTATGCAAGACTTGCACCGACACCGTACGCAACACCCTGAGACACGATGAGATCTGTGGTGTTTCTCGCAAAGGAGCTTAATGATAAAGCTAGACACATGATGATAAAGCCAACTGGGGCAGCCCAAAGCTTGAGACGGGGCATTGTTTGCAGTAGAATGAAAGCGACTGGGAGTAACATGTATGAAATACCCTGGTTTCATAGATTAGCCTAGATGTTCCGCGCGATCAATTGCTATCGAATAAATTGGCTAACCATCGCACATGTGCCAACAATGGCAATATCACCCGAGCTCTTAAATGGCTCGTGGGTGCTGTAGTAATCCTGAAAAATTCCAAAGGAAAAAGTGAAACCTATCAAAATTGTATATTAGTATATGTTGTTTAATTTTATATATCAATTGATGCATTGCGCTTTAGATCATACCCCAAATCAAGGCTTCAATGACGAAGCATGCAGCCAGGAAGAGCCATGCTCGCTTTCCTCCATCGACTGGTGGCAAGTTCGCCTCATGGTGTTCTGACAGAGCTTCCTGGGAGGAGGTTTCGAAAGTCTCCATTGTCAAGCCTTATGACCTTTCAATGATCAATTGATCAAAAGAATGTCAACAAAAGTACAATTGATCTGACAATCGGCGAAAAAAAAACTTAAACGCATGAAAAAAAATCCATATCCACATGTTCACGCGCCCTGCATTGACACCAGTGGGGCTCAGCGGATCCCGGTTGCGGCGGGATTTAGCGCACGAAGCAAAACCCAATCTTGGACCGGCAGAAGAAAAGTGTGATGTATCGGTATTGTCATCAACTTTAATTTTACGCGGGAAGAACCAGGCATTCTGGAAACAATTACATGTTCTGAACCAGTATCTTACCAGGCGGTGTAAATAACGGTGAAGCGTCTCGGGTGTATGTGGGTTTTGTATAGGCGGCTAGATGCGGGAAGATGATCGACCAACCACAGCGATTCATTACCTGATGATAATGAAATTTCACCTGGGCAGCGTCTTAGTATGTAGTAGTACGTAGCTAAAAGTCCAGACATGTTTCTGAGTACTACTAGGCACCTACTAATAGTAGCGGGGTACCCAACCTTGAATTTTATACACTACGTGCTCCATACTAACTACTTGAAATAGGTATAGTATGTATAGTGTATAGTACCTACTCACTACTCAAGACAGGGTATGGGGAATGCTCTGATATACACTTATTCCAAAGGGGGTATCTGGTCTTTTCTATATACATGATCCTCATTACTCCGTTCGATATGCAATATGTCCTGCCAATCCATGAATGATTCAATCACTTTTCAGTCTCATCAAGTGCCACTGCCACGGCATCCAGCTCCCCAGTCAATCCATCAAGACCATTAAATCCTTCTTCAATAGCCCACTTCTGCTCATTCGGGCTGTGCAAGACATGGCAGCTAGCACCAACTACCAATAAACCAGGTGGCCGTGAGCCGGCTGCCTCAAATGCTTGACAGATGTTTTCCAAAGTGGAGCGAACAACACGCTGATCGGGGCACGAGGCTCGCTCAACAATAGCACAAGGAGTCTCCTTGGGCCAGAGCACTCGTGACTGTGTGGTGTCATCCGCAGGATGTGTCGTGAGAGACTCAATGAGGGCAGAAAGTCTGTGAAGAGACATCAAGAAAACGACTGTCTGGGTAGGGACATAGGCCGGTGGTTGCGGAGCAGCACCCTTTCGGCCAGTGCCAGTGCAGATCAAGACTTGGTCCGACACACCGCGGTGAGTTGCCGGAATATCCGCGAACAAGGCAGCGCTCATGGCGCTAGTGATGCCAGGAAGCACAACGGGGATATATCCCTCAGCCCGGAAGAATTCGAACTCTTCGGCGCCACGACCATATAAGTACGGATCTCCTTGCTTGAGCCGGAGGACGTTCTTCCCCTTTCGGAGTGAGGCGATGCCCATCTGCAAGAACTCTTCCTGAGCCTGGTCGGCGTTTCCGGGGAATTTGCGCGCAATGTGAACCTCCGTTCGGCGTGGGATCAAGTCCAGTACAGGAGCCGGAACGAGCTTGTCGGCAAGGATAATGTCGGCGTTTTGAATAGCGTTATATGTGGCACGGGTGAGCAGATCTGGGTGGCCTGGACCTGAGCCGGCAAGGATGATCTTGCCCTTTCTAGAGATCGCATTGGACTCGAGCGTCTCTTGTGTGGCCGTGTTACCAGATGAATAGGCCTGTAGAATTTGGTTGATGTCGCTGTCAGTGATAGAGACAAGCTTGCGAAGAGGCCAGTACTCGCAAATCTGCGATAGCCAGCGTGTTCGCCGTGTCTTTGCTGCGGCGACGTCATCGTCCGTGACTAATGTGTTGAAAGTGTGCTTCTGGCCTGTAGTATCGTCGTCATCACCCTCGAAGGCGGTATCAGTTAGCCCAGCGGCATGGTCTTCTTCCCATAGACGGCACCTCATGGCACCGAGCCGATCAATTGCGGATCCGAGATCTGTTGGAAGGAAAGCGGCGATTTCTCTCCGTAAGCGAGACGCAAGCTTGCATCCACGACCGGATGTTGTAATGCCAATGTGAAGTGGTCCATCTGAGTAAGTGGACAGTAAAGTGAACGAGCACAAAGCAGGAGCATCGGACACATTGACAGGGATTCGCAGCCGCCGGCATAGCTTTGAAATGTGAAGACCTAGGAAAAGATATCAGTGGACGTTTCTTTTCTCGTTTTGATGCTTCATGACTCACTCAGTTCATGATTGCCACCCAGGGTGACGAAGACCGCGTCTACCACCCGGTCAACTTCCTCTCTGCCCAGGGTAGTCAAATCATTATCTTGGAAATCACGACGCAGTAGCTGCACCGAGCCATTGGCGATGTGCTCAGCTAGGGTGAAATGGATGTCTGCACTCTCGGGTACAATAACGACTGGCTTGGCGCCAGCCTCGAGACTCTTGGTACACCGAGCAGCAGCCAAAGGGCTGGCTCCAATGATGAGATGAATCTGAGACTCAACGTTCCATGCGGTCATGAAAGGTGCCGCAACACCAGAATCATTGCTAACGTTCTTCATGATGTCGTGGGCTGGTATAATGTGGGTTGCTCCTCCACTCTCTGCGGAATTGAATCAGAGACCCGCAGGATCTTAATTTTGTTGCACAGCCAGAGGTAACAATATGTCGCCGTGGAACCTTATCAGAGACTTGCAGGATGACCTGTTATATCGTGCGTTGGCCTGCAGGGTCTCCGCGGAGATTCACAAAAGGCGTATTCCGCAATGAGTAAAAGGGCTCACACGATTGGTGATAAGCTCTGATAAGATAGTAATTGCGGGGATTGAAGCCAACGCCACCTATCAATGCACAATGGACTTTGAGATAATGAGCGAAAGTCCAAAGGGCAGATTGGGGAATTTATCTGTTTGAGCTATGGATAGCAAAATGACACATTCCAATGAAGTAGTAGACTTTGGGTGGGAAAACAATATTCCCATCTTTTTTTGCATACTTCTTTTTCGCCCAATGCAGTTTAACGCGGGATTGCGTGATTGACCTGCATGTTGGATGACTCAGCAGGGGTAATTTGCCAGCAGACTCCAAATCAAGCAGGCGGAGTGAAGATCTGGAGGGGTACTGGAGCAGTATACTACTACTACTAACTACTAGTATGTAAGGTTGATTTTTTTAAACTGTTTCTATTGGCTCGCGCTCTATTGTTGAGTTTGATATCTCTATATAGTAATAGCAATAACGTCTCTCTCTTGAAAACGCTTTCAATCGGCAATCAAGGCCCTGTACATAAATCTGTTGTATGGTTAGCTGAGGAAAACACCTCGATAAATGCATAAAAAGCCGCATTTCAAGGCAGCCTCTGGCAGTAAGAAAGTGAAGCGTATCCTAGAGACCTGAAGATTGACCTCGTAGACTTCAGAAATTTAGGAAGGCCAAAGTCATGCCTCACATGCACCCATTTTAATCATCTTCTGCATCATCGAAGTCTTCATCAACATCCTCCCATTCTGCATCGACCTGGTCTCTGGCTAGTGCAGCTGCCAGTGCAGGATCCGGCTCGTCATCATCATCCTCGAACTCATCCCGTAGCATATGGATCAATTCTAACAGGCCAGCTTGGGAGCGCCAAAGGTCATCAGGATGCGGATGTGTGTCTGTTTCATTGCCAATACCTGTTGGTCGTTCAGGCGAGGTGTTTGACGGAGAGGTAGGATTGCTGGAGATGTTGGGGCTTAGGCTGACAATCCGGATAGCTTTGGTTGGGAAGATGCGAGCGGGGTTTTCATGTTGTTGCTGGGTAGCCTGACCAGGGATGTCGGAGATGGTCTGACGCCAGCCAAGGGTCTATAAATCTTAATATCAGCCATATCGTTTCTAATTGATAATATCCACGCTTGAAGGAATGAAAACAAACCGTGTAAGTGGTCATGATAGCATCATCGCACAGTGTCATAAAGCTGACAGGTACAGCAAGCTGAGGCGCGGAGCTGGTGAGTAAGGCGTACGAGGCGCGTGAAGGCGGGTTTTCCGTGGGAATCTTGTTGCGATCGTCAAGTGCCACAACGTATACCCGGTCCTGGATTTCGAACATGACACGGTGATTGCGCACGGATAACCAGCCACCTAAATCAAAGCTAGAACCGTCTGATTCACATTCAATAGTGGAGGTGTTCTCGATGAATGAATCTTCATCCTGGATTGCCTTTCGCCAGTCAGAGCAAATAAATACGCGACCAGCTCGAGAAAAGCCAACAAAGAGATCGCCGTCCAGCATGCCCGCTCCCCACTCATCTGGTCCATGCCAAACGTGGTCCGGGTCACTCGGTGGCGGGGAAAGATGCCCCTTTTTGATCTCGAGTGGCGTCAGACAATCTTTGCGAGGTGGTCCGGAAGGCAAGATACGGTGGGTTGGACCGTGTCGGGCAGCTCCCGCCAATGCCGCACTTGCGGAACGGGAACTCGCGGGAGGTGAGCGAATATGATATCTGTTTGGACCGTGCGATGGATGCAAGGCACCCAAATATTTACCAGACGCCTTCTCGTAGATATGATAGCCCTGTTCTCCCACGGAGTAGATGACCACATCTTCACTTTGATCTAAGTGACCAATGGCGTTACGTTCGATCTTCATGTGCGTGGTCAACTGAGGAGGTCGCTGCTTCATGTCATAGACAAAGCCTTGCCCTTCATTTGAGACGACGCAGAGCGTATCATATGATAACTGGAAGCCTCTAGTCTGGCAGTCATGATTCAAGATCGCGATGCGTCGGAACTCCCCACGTGGTGCCCCATCGATATCAGCCTGCCAGACCTCAACAGCATCGCCCTCTCGATCGAAAACGGCCATTCCATCCTGGTACTCAAGATGAGCGTACGGGCGGACGGATTTCTCGTGCTGGGTTTCTGAAGAGGGCAGGCGCCATAAGATACAACCGCTATCCATATCCGTGACATTCAAACCACCAGCATGGGAGGTGGAGACGAAAAACCGACGTTTGAAATCGGGACGAAAGCGCCAAATCGGATCATTGCCGACCTGCAGCACAGACTCTTGGGTGATGGGAGAGGAATCGGCCCAGTTGCAGGCGAGAAGCGTCTGGCGCTTGCATAAATCCTTCCATGATGTGGTTCCCTCGAATGATTTAGAAAAGCTTCCCGCGGATGACAAGAATGAAAGATCACGCGTTGTGCCGGGTGGATGGAGGGTCTTGGATTCGGAGCTATAAATGGCTTCTTGATGGGTTACATCAATAAATTCGTGCCAGGCGGAGGAACAAGCTGTGAGGGACGCGAGTGCCGAGACCGGGGCGAAGTCCAGAATGCGCAGAACGATCTCGGGGGGTAGAAGGGCGAGAGGGTCTTCCACTACTGAGCTGATGGTCATTTTGATCTTGAAAACACAAGAGGGGTACAACGTTGTGAAAGGAAATTTGAATCGTTGCAGATCACACCGTGAGTGACGACATTGGGGGGATGGAAGCCTCACCGCCTTGATATTCCCTTATCTTATCGATAAGAAGCAAACAGCAGAACAATAGCAGGTGACAGTAGTACATAGTGGAAGTATATTATTGTCCTCTATTTATGTGTCAACGCCCAGACATGGAAAATTCATTCATTAGAAATTTGATGAGATCAGTGCTGGGTCCTTGAAATTTTTGAAAGTATGTGCATCCATTTACCCAGGTGATTAAGCTAAGATGTGTTTGACGCGGTCATAGCGAATATGTATAAAATCAAGGACCTTGAAGGTTCGAAATCTCAAGCAGTGGTTAATTTTCAAATTAATAAATATTGCTTAGCTTTCGGACATTCATTGCCCAAGTAAGCACTGCTAACCATATATAAATACTTATAGGTTGCTTCATCATTATTAAAAATGGTGTCAAATTACATGGAAAAGCTTAAGAGGAACAGGATTCTGCACGTGGAAAGATCGCCACTGATTTCATATTGTTCTCATTACGAGGTTTCTACTAGTCATCAATAAAAATGACCACATGTGCACCAATTAGCTGATTTACTGGGATAATCAAATATATGACACTCGGCCCACTCTGACTAGTTTTAAACAGGATTGTCCAGCCGCGGAGGTTGTACGACCAACAATCGTGCGGGGCTGATCGGAGTCCACCGAGATCTTGATAAACTCCGCAGCACCCCAAGCTTTTGGTCTCTTGAACTTCCTTGCATCTTCAACCTTACCTTCCCATCTCGCAAATTTCCCCACCATGACGGCGCAGACGCTGCGGGAAATCTCGGCCCACAATTTACGCAGCTTCAAGCGTAACTATGTCTCCGAAATCTCGGGGTCCCTGGGAGATCTGGGAACCTTTCTACCTATCGCTATCGCGCTAGCTGTCAACGGCTCCGTCTCCCTAACAGCCACCCTCATTTTTTCCGGTGTATATAACATCCTGACCGGTCTATATTTCGGTATTCCCCTCCCGGTTCAACCTATGAAAGCGATCGCTGCCGTGGCTATTGCTCGTAACTTCTCCAACGGCTCGATCGCCGCCGCCGGGATCTTCGTTGGGGCATGCATTCTCGTGTTCAGTGTTACAGGTCTGCTACGCTGGTTCTCCAACGTGATCCCCATCCCGGTTATCAAAGGAATTCAGGTCGGAGCGGGGCTGTCGTTGGTCATCTCCGCTTGTGGCAGTATGTTGGCACCCTTGCGATGGATCGGCCCGTCTTGGGCAGATAATCGGATCTGGGCGCTTGCTGCATTTGTGGCTCTTCTCACCACGCACATATATCGAGGTGTTCCATATGCTTTGGTTATTTTTGCGCTTGGACTGCTATTTGCGATCATTAGAACGGCTCTGGCTGCTGATCTACCTGGATTTGAATTTTGGCACCCCTATGTCGTGGTGCCGATGCCCTCTGAATGGCGAGTCGGTGCCATTGACGCTGGTATTGGTCAAATACCACTGACCACTCTCAACTCCATCGTTGCTGTTGTTCATCTCGCACACGACTTACTGCCGTCCGTCCGCACCCCTTCATTCACGCATATTGGTTTAAGTGTTGCTGGAATGAATCTACTGGGCTGCTGGTTTGGCGCAATGCCGGTATGCCATGGATCCGGTGGCCTGGCTGCTCAGTATCGATTTGGTGCACGGTCGGGTGCCAGTATCATCTTCCTTGGTGCCCTGAAACTCATCATTGGGCTTCTTTTCGGAGAAACGCTAGTGGATCTATTGAAACGTTTCCCGGCAGCTTTCCTGGGGGTCATGGTTATTGCGGCTGGGCTGGAACTCGTGAGCGTTGGCGAGAGCCTCAACACATCTGCTGCCCGGGATATAGGACAAGCGGGCAGCGGAATGCTAGGGATTGGCGAGCAACACATTGGCCCTATGCTCACTGACGAAGAGCGCAAACGACGATGGACAGTGATGATGGTGACGGTAGGCTTGTTGGTTGGATTCAAGAACGACGCGATTGGCTTTATTGCCGGTATGCTCTGTCATTCAGCATATGAGCTTCCACAATGGTGGGAGAAAGCCCGCACCCGGTGGTCAGAGGGGCGTCTTCGTCTTCGCTAATCCTTCCGCACCAAAACTGACGATTTAACCACGACTACCTAAATTGATATATTTCCTAGGAACAAGAGTGAACGAATGTAATACCCGCAAACGATCGCTCTCTTCCCTGGGATGAATTTGAGCTCGCTTGATAGTTGCAAGAAGCACGAGCAAAGTACATCATGAAATTACGATCCATGGATCGAATTGTCAAGTTGTTAGACAATTAAGTATGGAGAGTTAGAAATTGAATGATTGGAATATTTTGAAGATTTGAAATGTTCTCATGCCTTGCTGGGGATTCATAAGTCTGCATTCAAGGTTTTCAAATACGTTATAGTAAACCCGCCATAACGCGTGTCAAGGCCTCATCCTCGGCCTGGAATGCATCTAAAGCATTTGGCGATCGACCATTCTCACAGTTTGGCATCCCAGGTATGTTCACTTCGGTCGTGAAGTCTGCGCCAGCCCGAGGATCAAAATAAAGTCCACCTGCAATCTCAAAGAAACTACTGAGATCCTCACACTGGTTTGAATCTGCCTCTGGAGCCGTGCCAGGCGAAAGGGGCCAAAATGTGGCCGACGATTTTTGCGGGGTCGACATCCCAGGTGTTTGATAGAGGCTCGGTGGATTTTGAAGCGACGGAGAGTCAATGCTAGACGATCCTGGAGTAGAATCCCACAAAGTGCGAGATTCTACTTGTCTTGGCAGAGAGGGAGCACCTGTGTTTGGATCGACACTCATGGAAGGGCCCGAGCCCGAGCTTGCATGGGGAGCTCGAGCGTGGCGATCTGAGGCTTGGCGACCGGGGGTTTTCTGCCAGTGTATATTGAGCTGAATGCGTTTCAAACTGCGAATGATCTTTCGAAGACGTCGAGACGTACGAGCCCGCGTGGCTGAGCGGCGCACCATGTCAATAGCCGTGTAGAATTCAGGTCGGCACGTTTGACTAAAGCGAGCCGGGGCATGCAGAACAGCCAGGAAAAGGGCTGCAAGGGCTGAGATCAAAAAGTAGTTGAAAGGCTCTGGCCACTGGAAATAGACGTTGGACACACCACTGAAGTAGTCCAGCATGTGAACAGTACTTTTCGCAGTTTCCACTGCCGTGGAGGCTCCGGCCAAGTCCTCTGCAATTCGTTCGCTACTCAGGAGGTTCTGGCGATAAACGAGAATCCGGAGCTGGTTCGCTTGAAGTGCGAGAAGAACCTGAAGCATCATGGCTCTATCTGTATGCTCTGGTCCTGCAGATGAGCGCCAGGTTGGATCAAATCGTAGCTCCCGTGGGATAGAATGCACCCATTGCTGAACCTGTGCGTCTAAAAATGCGCACTTTTCAACTGTCGCTTCCCGTGATCTGTTCCTCCACCCGACAACTAAGCCCCAGACCTTTGTACTAAGCCTAGAGTAAGAAATCATACAAGCTAGGTAGGGTGTCGAGTGCCCTGGCTCTGGGAGGTTGGTGTCCATGTCTGATTCTTGAATGGCAAATGGAAGGCCAGTTCCAAAACACCATTTCCGGTCAAGCACGTAGATGCACCAGAATAACCGGCTTGCCCACATCCACTCTAGCGCACCAGGGAATACACCTCCCGTCTTGTGCCATGTATCCTGGCAGTGTAGGCCAAGCTCCATGCTACCCCGGGCAGCCATTCCAGTCAGCCGCCAGGCAATGACTTCGTCGTCGCGATATGAATGAAATATAGACTGTACTTGTTAGAAAGAAGCTCAAGATATAGAGATAAGAGACCCACCAGCAGTGTCAAAATGAGAATTTCCTTCATGTCAACTTCGGCTACCTTTAGTCGACTGGCAAAGTGATCTTCAACGCTATCTGCCAACTGCGCTGCGCGCTCACTCCGGCCATGCGACTCGACAAGCAAGGCAGTGGCCAATAGAATCTTCAGCACCTGGACATCCCGGGCGTGAAACCAGTCTTGGTCAGAAGCCTTCTGCGCCGGACCCGCCACGCGGTCAATGGCTGGATCATATTGGTGATGATATTCGACGACATAAGTACGAAGGCTAGCAAGGTCAACACAGGGGTACATTATACCAACAGTGTCTTCGTAGACCTGAATCAAGCGTAATATTTCCTCAAGGCCCAACGCTTTGATTGGATCCCCGGAAACTTCATTTAATTGTTCATCCGATGGAGCAGGGCTGGGAGCAGTTGTCGAAAGGTCAAAGTCTTCTTCCTCAGCATCATTGAAGTCGCCGTTGCGGCTACTGTACGTGGAAGCAATGCGATCTTGGCGACCGAGGCCAAATTCAGCACTTGTGGGACCGACATATGTAGGTGACTTAGGTGCATTAAGGATGCGGTGCAACCCGACTGCGGCCGCAGTTCCGCGGGCCGACAATTTGGGCGAGTCGATCGGATTGTTCGCAGATTCGAGCTCACGAAGTCGAGTGGAAATAGTTCGCATCTCCCGCTGCAAGGTCTCGAGTTGCTGATTCACAGCCTCAAATCTAGTATTTACTCTGTGCAGAATTAGTCCACTGGGTTGAGGGGGACGGTCCAACGGCAGGCCGACGATAAAGAACTTGACGAGTCATGATAGGGGCCATACCGGTCATCCTTGATTTCATTCTCTGGGGTAGCCGCGACAGGCCGGTGCGTCGCATAAACGCACGGAATACCGTCTCGAGTACATCGAGTGCATGTATTTCCCCCACTGCATTTCAACTTGCGTCTTTTGCATTCGTTGCTGAGGCGGTTAGTATCTCGGCAACTCGGAACTGGAGCGCCACACATACCATGCGATTTGAGTGTACTTGGCCCTCTTCCTTGGCCTTTGATCGGTTGAATCATCTTCGGGTTTTCTTGATTCGGGAGTCATGGTGTTTTTCAGCATGATGTTAGATCTTTCTCTATTAATAATTTAGCCAAGTGGGTGAGATAGAGAAGAGTGTGTGACCGGAAAAGCGGAATTAGTGAGGCTTATGCCGCTTATCGCACTGATAACGGTTGCCTTGCTTGAAAAAAGTGGAGCCTCAGTGACAAGCGCTTCTACGAGTACTAACAGTGATAAAAATGAACTATAATACACAAAAGATTTGAAGCTCATGTTGATCAAATGTTTGAATTGCCTTGTCTATGGGAGTTCCACTCCACTATATTATGTAATCGTCTGTTCAATTTCAGATGGCCAATTTCTTCTCATACGTTCGCCGAAACATCTCGTCCACATGAACAAGGTAGTATGTATTGGACGCAAGGCTAGCAATGCTTCCTACGGGGGTATAGCTCCTTTGCTGATAAGCTTTTTCCCGGATGTCGCACATCTAAAATCGTTAGCGATTGACCGTCTGGGGGCCTAGAAGTGGGTATTAGGTGCCAATGAACAGGCTTACCTCGTTGTAGAATTGCGGTGAAACAGCAGCTCGGGATTCCAAGCGCTCAATCAACCGAATCCGCTTTGAAATGTTGGAAGTGTCTCCTTTCACGCGGATGCTGAAGAGAGTACTGGCTAAACCACCGCCGTAGCTGAAGATGCCAATGCACTTGTTCTGCAGTTCTTCAGTAGAAACATTGTTTAGAAGGCTTATCAATGCCGAGTAAACACTAGCAGTGTACATATTCCCGCAGTTGGTTGGGGCAGTAATGGAGGGCTCAACACGTTCCAAGAACCTTTCTCTTGTCAATGCGATGCAGGTCTTTTCAATTCCTTTATCCACTAGAGATGCAGAATGGTCCGCACTGCTAATGGTCTCTGGAATCTCAAAAAAATGGGCAGGCTCCGTCCGCATATCATGGAATAAGAGCCGGCCGTAGGCCTTCGAAACAAGCTTGCAGTAAGGAGCGTGGAAGACAAAATAGTCAAAGGTGTCTAGAAAGCTACCGGCGTCGGGGTTTGTGGCTCCGTTCGTGAGACTGCGACTGTGAGCCAGATGCTTTGCCCGGTAGCGCTCATAGCAGTTGTCTAATGCCTCGAGGTAACATTGATTAGAGTACTGCCCATCAACGATTGGGTACTCGCACTTGAAATTTCCCTTGTAGAAATCGTACGAGTGTTTCATGTAGGATCCGCGGAATGGCTGCAACACCAAAGGCGCATCAGCTCCAATAAGCATAGCCACGCAGCCGGCACCGCCTGTCGGGCGAGCAGCAGGCGTATCATACAGAGCTATATCAACCGCTACCACAATGGCATCACGGCCATCCCATGTGGACGACTCAACCCAATTGACTGCGTTCAGCAATGCGTTTGTGCCACCATAGCAAGCGTTGTATGTATCGGCCCCCTCAATATCCGTGTTTTCTCCGAAGAGCTGCATGAGGACTGACTTGCATGACTTCGATTTGTCGAGGAGTGTTTCAGTTCCCACCTCTAAACGACCGATTGTCTTTGGGTCAATCTGGTACTTTTCCAGAAGAGAAGAGACGGCGGTGAGTGCCATGGAATATGTATCTATGGAATTAGTAACATTTTGTCAGCATAGAACGTGGAACTAAGTTGGCCGGGTATAAGTGTGATGAGTTAACTACCTTCACGATCATCACAGAAGCTCATCTTCTGTTGGCCAAGTCCGATAGTCAATTTTCCGGTGCTGACGCCCAGGTAGGTTTCCAAATCCTCTTGAGGCACATACTGTAAGGAAATCTGTTAGTTATCCAGATGGTTCAGGTGTAATGTCAACCAAGAGGTATACGGACGCGACTCGGGAAATAAATTTCCATGGCCTTGATTCCCACATCTTTGCCAGTAGAGAACATGGTTTTGATCGTTGTAGTGGCGGATAAATAAGAGAATAGAAAAAAGAAGAAATGATAACTACTGGTATGTATTTTGGAGATGGAATCCAATGAACAAAGTGAAATGTTGAAGATAAAAGACAGATAAAGAAGCACTGATATACCAGCACTGGAACTTTGGATGATGTGGTTTTGTAACAAGAAAATGTAAGATGAAACGTGAGATTGTTGTTGGATAGCATCTCTAACCTGTAGGCACAATTTATACGAAAACACGTTGAAGCTCAGCCACATTTGCTACTAGTCAGCTCCACTGCTGTGATCATTTATACGGCGTAATATTAACCATCAGCGTCTATTATGTTCGGGCCAAAGGATGCACGACCGATGCACGATTTGAAAGTACACTTAGTACGTAGGCTGTGACAGCTACTACACTGTACATTCAAGACCCATTCCGACTTATTTTAGCCCAACATTCGAAGGGAAGCGCAGCCGCTCAATTCATGAGGCCTGTTCTATCAAACAGTCAGGGGCTTTATTTCTGCACATGTGAACATTGAACCACAATGTATGCATTAGGATATTAATTGCACATGTGTGGATGAGTAATGCTCTCGTGCTAGCACTTGAGTTTTGCATGTGTCTTCATCTGTCATTATATTTACATATGTATATTTATGATGCGTAATATTGCTAATTCAGGGAAAGAAGAGCTATGTAGAAATATATCGATGTCTTAGGGTGCCGGAGTAGCTCGATTGTGTGCCATATGCGCCTTCACGAGGTGACCAGCAGCCAAAGCAGCACACAAGGAGAGTTCCCCAGCCAAAACAACGGCCCCAACAATACGCGCAAGCTGGCGTGCATTTTCACCGGGTGTGGTTGGGTGCGATCCACGGACACCAAGCATCGCAAGCATTGCTCCCTGTGGCTCCAAAATGGTGCCACCTCCTAATGTTCCAACCTCAATGGACGGCATAGAGACAGATATTTGGAGCGAGCCACGAAGACTAGATAGACAGAATCAGTAATGAAGTCTCGATCAAATATGGAGTTAGACGTACTTATTCATAAGGGTTATGCAATTTGCACCCTCCACAACTTGTGCGGGATCTTGACCAGTGGCAATGAAAACTGCTGCCACTAGGTTTGCAGCTTGGGCATTGAAACCACCAGTGGAGCCTGCCATTGCGGATCCAATGAGGTTTTTCGAGATATTCAGTTGGACCATGCTATCCACGTCACTTTTCAAAACGTCTCTCACGACATTCGCGGGGATGATGGCTTCCGCTACAATCCCCTTTCCGCGTCCGTCGATCCAATTTAGAGCTGACGGCTTCTTATCGGTACAATAATTCCCTGACAAAGTCACAATTTTCATATCGTCAAAGCCTGCATCGGTCGCCATCACATTCAGAGCATGCTCAACACCCTTGGAGATCATGTTCATCCCCATAGCATCGCCAGTAGTAGTCTTGAATCGGACGTACAAGTGGGTACCAGCAATAGTAGTCCGCATACTCTGCAAGCGCGCGAATCTGCTCGTTGAATCAAATGCATCCTTCATCAAGGTCTGACCGGCTTCCGAGTCAAGCCAATTCTTCGCAGCACCTGCTCGTTCGAGAACTTCGAAGCTTATACATGGGCCTCGCGTCATGCCGTCGCCGGTGAGAACAGTGACGGCTCCGCCACCTAGGTTGATTGCCTTGCTTCCCCGACTAGCGCTTGCAACTAGTACACCCTCTGTTGTAGCCATAGGGATGAAATAGCTTTTTCCATCAATGACAATAGGACCGGCTACCCCAACAGGGACGGGCATGTACCCAATCACGTTTTCACAGCAAGCCCCGAGAACACGTTCCCAATCATAGTGCTCATATGGTAGCTTTGAGTTTTCAAGCGTGTTGGTAATATCCTCGGTACACGGTGTCCTGGAAATGATGGATCGACGAACTTTCACGGCTCGAGTGCAGTCTTTGAGTTTCTTTTCTAATGCATATCCCGGGATTCTCCCTTGCAAAGACAGAGCAACGACAGTCTCATCAGAGAGCTCATAAATAGGTGTCAGGTTGGACAAATGATCAACTTCGGGTTTGAAGGCAGGAATTGAGGTTTTCTTCTCAAGTGCTCGATCTCTTGTGGTGAGACTTCCTATTGTTTCTATTGTCGGTTGTGAATCCTTGTTGTGACCGACACCTCCAGAAGTTGTGCCATTTTTCTGAGGAACTTGCGGACTTAAGATAAGTTCCGAGGTCAGAACCTGGGCAGCGTTGAACGTTTCTGCACGAGTAAGTTCATTAGAATCAATTGGAAGACCCGGATGATTGGGATCTTTGATTCCCAGTCTGGCCGCCTTGAACAAATAGTCGTTCAAAGCGACACTCAAAACAAGTGTCACGAATATCCATTTAGAAAGAACAGGATCTTCGAGACTAGTCAACAGTCCATCCACAACTCCATCACCAAGTCCATTATCGCACAACTTTGCATATAAACCCGAAAGCTCACGTGTTGATTTTTGTTGTTGGTCACTGGTCCTCGCGTTAAACGGGGTAACATAATGAGTTGAAGGATATATCAGCTCATAATTGATTGGACTGAGAACGGTAATCACGGTTGATTGATCTCGTGCCCTGGCCTGGAAAAGCAACTCATCAAGCCCATTTCCAGCCACTTTGAAGGGGTCAAGAGGTGGTGTCATAGAAATGCCACTGAGACCTCTGGTCCATGAAGATATATTTGAAAGCGTCGTGCCGGAGGAGGAATATTGAGAGGGTATGCAGCAGATATTGGCAAGGTTCACGGCAAAGAAACCCACCACCATCCAGAATTTGAACTTGGGAATGCTGTTGGTCTTTCCATCCTTGCCAAGCAGGGATCGGCTCACGTCTTTCTCGAAATCATTGTCTTTGGCCACGCTTTCAGCAAGTTTTTGGCTGAGACCTTCATCCTGTAGGGCGTATCGCGTATCGAAATGACGTTTGATGCGATTAACCTCAAGTTTGATGGACATGATAGCGACGTAGAAGGTAAACAGAAGCAGGAAGTCGAAAAAAAGAATCAAAGCAGCCAGAACACAGAAGTGTCGTAACCCACCTTGCACATTTGCTGCAGCTCCAAGGACAAGCAGCAAAATTTCAACGAAGTAGTGACAAGAAATGCTATATCCCTTGTCGTTAATTGCGCTCCGGATCGCATACTGGATGGTACTTTCCATCCGAGTGTCTCTGATATCTTGGGAATGCTTCTTGTATCGATTTCGATGCTCCACTGAGTGGGATAGAACAGCACTTGTCAAAGTGATGTTTTTTTCAAAGCCAATGATCACAACCAAAAAAGGGAGTCCTTCGGATAGTAGTTTCATGTTTACTGGAACTCCAAGTTTGATTGACACGTGAAGCGCCAGCAGGAAGGCAAATGTTGACGATAACAAGACGCTCGTAGCTAGCCAAACTCTTGACCCCAGCTTTTTCATGCTCATAAATAGAGAGATAAAAGTCAAGTGCATCGACAAGTAGCCCAGAACCATAATAGGAATATCGAGTGGTTGTGCATTCTTGAGAAGATCAAGAAACTCTGCGCATGTACTTTGGGCCCACAGAGAAAGGCTGCCTGGTTTACCTATCCTTCTGCTTTTCATGATCCACGTTTTGTGCTCAATCTCGACCGGATTTGCGTCAAAGGATTCCCAGCTGGAAGAATCACTGGGGATGTCCCGAATTGCAGCAAGCGCTTCGACCAGATTGCTGTATTCGACCAAAAACGGGAATGTATTGTGTTGTGAATAGGTAGTGAAGGAATTGGACGTCGATGGAAGGTGAACCAAAGGCAGGTTTGAAGGAATGTGAGCGAAGGCAGATGATATCTTTTGGGGCATTTCGGCATCGGATCCCGGGAAAACCAATGTCATCAAAACCTGGTGGACTGTGGTCTCAGGGATATCTGCTTCTGCATCGAAGGTCTGCCATTTCCAGCCAGTTTGCGGGCCAGTGATCAATGACTGGCTGCCTGTCACCGAAGAGTCCCATTCTGTTGTTCCGGTATTTCCAGATGCGTGGAAAACACTGTTTTTGAGTGCTCGGATATATGTCGTACTGACGAGTATGGCTATGGTGCACAGGGTATGAATCGGGTGTTTGCACGCGGTCTTGGACAAATATTGGAGAATCGAGTTGATTGCCTTGTTACCCAGATAAAAGGGACGGCGTTGATACATCGATTGGTCATTGCGCAGGCGTAAGGGGAGTAGCGAGGAAGCAATCATGTTCCAAGGTTGGAAGTCTTCTGAGAGTTGCGTCAGCTACCGCTACCAAGTAAATAGTTGGCATTGACGACGTGACACGCACTTTAAGTACTAGCACCTACTACCCAATTATCTAAAAAGGAAGGACCCCTGAAACAGCGGCAATCAATCAGGCATCCATGATTCAAACCCAAAGCTCAAGTCGAAATTCGCCAAAGAATTCGATAATTGATTGAGATCGCCATACTTATACTGTTGCCTACGCCAAGTTGAAAGTACCAAATGGCTGTCTTCAAGCACGTCAGAAGACGTGTTCGACTTGTCACTTGCATAGGGTCATTTGTAAGTGCCTCCATATTTTTTGGCAATTCTACGGCTGAAAATGCGCTGGTAGTAGTTAGTAGTCTTGAGAGTGTCGATAGCAAGTCTTACTGGTGTAGGATGAACTTTTGAGGTTCTGAGATGTTTGTTTTGATCTGGAGCCCCGGACTGGAGAAATACAACCCTTGCAGACTTGCACAGCCTCGCCCCCACTATGCCAAGGTACGATAGGTCCACAACTCGGGGAATTCTCAGCCACTGGGCCTAGCCACTCAGCCGATGACGGACGAGTTCATCAAGATTCAACATGGAATCATAGATTCATCTTGTATGTAAAAACCAGAAAGGCAAGAAAAATCAAGAGGCGAAAAAGACGCGCGTCTCATGGTAACTGGACCAGCTCTCCTCATTTCCATTTTCGAACCAGCTACCACGCTTTGAACGGGGAGAGATATTTCTTCATGTCCTTGGACTGCAGCGCATGGTATTTCAGACCGGGATGATAATTATTCCACCACACACACGTTGTCCCGTCGTCATCAATGCATGTATTGTTCGGATATCCATATTTGTGCGGATCGTCTAAGATGCCTGTCATGAATTCCCAAGAATTGTAAATCACAGTTTGAATCTGGAAGTCATTTGATGTCAGCGAGGCCCACGCATTCCACAGCCCCTGGCCGATGATCTTCACTCCGAAGTCCCAACCCACCTCTGGATGCTCATCTTGAAATCCCAAAACCATCAACTTCAGGTACTCGTTATAAACAGCCAGCCATGCAGCATGTGCTCGTGATGCCGCTATCCCCTGGTCCAGGATATATGGACTTCGACTGGTTGGCGGGACATTCAAGAACAAAAATTTCCGTCCTCCCTTGGCGTATATCTGCTCTGCGAGTGACTTGTACACGGCCATGAGTTCCGGAACGAGCGTTGTCGCGTTTTCAATGGCATATGACCAGCCAACGCTGTAGATGAATTGTTAGTAATTCATCGGTGGTAGCAAAGTTAACTGCAATGCAAGGGTGGACGGATACTCATTAATTCCAATCCAAAAGCCGAAGACTGTATTATCAGAGCTCCATGGCGCTATCCCCGGCTTATCTCCATATATCGAAAGGAACGTGGCTACTTGCGTAGCCATATCTTCGACTCCAGCATTTATGATATTATTGTCGATCGTTGCTCCCCCGACTGCGAGGTTATAACTCAAAACGAGCGAGTCATTATCTGCTGTTGTAAGATCACCTATCCAATTGATGCCTCCTCCTGTTGTTCCAGTTCCTAAACGGATGTCAGATCTCAAATCCACATTTCCGGTTTAGATTTTTAGTCTGGAATATAGATTCACCCAGTGGTGGATTTCCCATCGGATCTTGGGGTGTTGCTTGTTCACCGTAGACATTGAAGCTAGTCATGCTGTATGAATCTCCACTGCGTGTTTTGATTTAGAATATTTCTGGCAGAACGATAGGGCTGGTAGGGCTGTTTTCTTACAACGTAAAGAAATAGGTAGGCAACGAAGCCTTGCCAAAAGGCGCCGCTGCTGCCATGGTAAGACTAGTAGCCCACCAAAGTAATCGCCCTTTCATCTTGAGTTAGCAGCTTTGATTTTTTTTTCTTGATCTGCCGGCAAAAGAAAGAGCCTTCTGCAGTACAGAAGGAACCTCAGGAGAATTTAGCCTGGGCATCAACCTTATCTACTCACCAAAAGAGCATGGCCTGACGGTCAAATTTCGTGTCACCCACACTATTTCCAGATTGTTAGAATTTCGCCACGGATCATGTTCCGTCAATAATTCGCCTTCTCCTTGTTTGTCCGAGATTCCTGCAATGTTGAACGGCGAAGCCTCCGTTCACTGCGGGGTCGGTCCCTCAATTTTATGTCGCCCACATTTCTTATCCACGAATTGGTGCCGATCCACAGGTGTCAATGCAACCCCGACATGGTCCTTGCATGTGTGAATTTTCCCCTCTTGGTCTAAACTGTTTTTGAAACGGATCTGGGTATCCATTAGGCCTGCCAGTTACAAATATTCCACGTTGTGCACCTGAGCAAAGCGCCCCATTAAGAGCAGGGAGAATTCGAAAATGTTCGATGCATATTTTCATTCATATGTACATTACTGCTTAACTTTGCAAACTTCCAATGTTAAAGTCGTGCAGCTTCATCAGCATTTTTGATCTTCAAGAGCTCAACGCCAACGCCACCTACGAGCAGCGTGGTATCAGTATGATCGTCTGGGTTAACCCCACCTCGGACAAGACACATTGACGAGATATCAGCCACGGGGCTGTATTTGTCCTGAAGGAAGTGAACTTCGACACTTCCCGAAGACGATCCAGAGACAGAGGCCGAGATCGACCACATCTTGACTCGGTGGTCATTTCCGGATGAGGCTACAATTATATTCACAGTATCAGTGCCGGTGCCGGTATTTTTCACCTGAGAGCTTGTTTGGCTCAGCACTTTGATGGTTGTGACTGAGGCTGCATGCGCATCCGGAATTGAGATCGTCGAAATGGTCGTATCTGTGTCAGTTGTTGGCTGCGGGGAAGATCTTAGAAGTGATATTGCCAACGAGTTGTCGTCACCACCAGACAAAACCATCGTTGTTGTCTCAGACAACGGAATTAATTCCATGGCTTTGATGCTGTTAGAATGGACTTGATGCCGATCCTCACAAGTGATTTCGCCAGGAGAAATTGTAGAAGATTCGAGTCGTCCCTTGGCCTTTAGGGAGGATGATTTAATGGTGTAAAATGGTTGAAGGGTATCGGTCAGATCCCAAAGAGTGAAGTATCCGTCTGTAGCGGCTGTCATGAGTTTCACGGAAGAGTCTTGGACAACAAATCGACACTGCGTTAAACAGTTCGTCATGTATTTCCCTCGGGCTAAAAGTGTGAAAGAGTGGTTTTGGTGTGGTGAGTAGTGGAAGATCTGCAGGCCATTAGTTTCTTTTCGAGTGTAGGGTAAGGTAAGAAAGCGACACTGACCTTGATTGACGAGTTGGAGAGCGTGAGACAAAGAAGGAATCCAGATTCTTCTCCTTCATCTGCTATATCCACCACGTCAAAGCTTGTAATCCGCAGCTCGGAGTCTGGGTCATCCTTTGGACAAACTGCCGCCAGAATTGTAGCGACTCCAAATGAAGGAACCCAGCGTACCCCCCAAACAAAGAATTCTTCACAAGCAGCACTTGAAAAAAGGTATTTGCCACAGTTTGACCACGAAACTTCTTGGACGCCAGATCCGTGGGTGCTCAAGACACGAAGAGTTTGCACAGATCCCCATGGGCCTGCATTGGCCGAGTCCAAAATTGTGGAAATCCGGATCGCGGTATCTTCTGCGCCACTGGCAAAAAGAGGTGGCATGTCATTGGCGCCTTGCAGGCCGTCCATCGCCTTGATCTCCCTTCCATGACCTCCAGCACGAACCAAGGAATTCAAATCATGTCTAATCCTTTGACTAGCAAGAGAAGCACCTTCTCTCCAAACAAGAAGATCGCCATCTGCACCGTTGATACGCGATTGAAAGTCCCAGGGCCTGCGGGAGCCTCCTGATCCGATCGATGTAATATCTGTTTGTCTTGTCTCGTTTCGCAGCACAAAGTCTTGGGATCTGAAGCCATACATCATCAAATCACCTGTCAGATGATCAAAGTATGCTCCCTCAATGTTTCCACCAAGCGCCGATTCAGTCCGGTGCACGGTGGTCAGGGTGATCGCATCACCTCTTTCCTTGCCAATCTTAACTTCATGGACACAGTATTTTCCATCACGCCCACATGACAAGACATACTCCAAATCCGAGCCGTCCGAAGCCTTCGCTGAAGAAATCGTTTGGATATGGTTGGTACCTTGATGACCATGCACACGCCAGTCAACAAAAAGAGAATGAGTGGAAATCTCGGCGCCTGCGACCCGGTGTACTGATAAGCCACCCAGTCTAGACCCTAGCAACAAATATTCTCCGTTACTTAGAAGGGACGCGGAGGCAACATCATAAGGTAACTTGGGTAAAGTAACTGAAATGGCCTCTACCCGAGGGCGATCACTGGTCCACTCGGAGATAGTCACCAATGTTGTGAACTCCTTCTTAGCGTAAGAAGCAACAAAGGAAAACGTTGAGCGTGAACCTTCAGTTTCACCATTGCATCGAATAATCAAAATTTCCATGGGCCGCCCGGGCAATTCAATTAGATCGGAGACCGATTTGAGATTGTGGTTGTACAGCCGTACTTTGCCGCGAGGATCACTTATCAATGCCAGACCTTTCTCGGGAATTCCACTTATCAGAGAAATCGGGCCAATGTCTTCAATGTTGTCCAAAGCTTCCCATGCAATCTCAGCATCAAGCCCCGGGCTCACGTGTCCAATCTGGAGCTTGCTTGCCTTGTCGCACATAATGAGGCAATCCTCACCCAAGAAGGCGAAATATTGGACGCAACTAGTCTTGGCACTCTTTAACCTTTCCAGAGGCATTGCAATTGTCGGAGAACGTCGGATTTCATCAATTTTGAAGCTCCTCAATGCACCATCAGCACCACCGGTATAAACCACGGTATCGTCGCCGCGGCGGCAAACGTCCATCGACCATATATGTTTCCCGAGATGTGCGTGCGAAGAGAAATCCTTGTGTAATTTGTAACTTGTGACACCCGGAGACGGCGAATCCCACATCAAATCCCAGGCAATGCACATAGCATCCTCACTACGGGTCACCATTCCAATCTTTTTTGAATCTGGCGAGATATTTGATCGAAATCTGATACTCCAGATGCGTGCAGAGTGTCCAAATTCTTGGGCTATGCAAGACTCGGAGCCGGTTCCAGAATCGGTTCCATAAGTGGCACCAAGGCCTGTGCTTCGAAGATCGAAGCCGTCTGTGGAGTACGCTGATGGATCAAGGGGAGACTTATGCTCACAGTCAGAGATATCCCAGATTCGCACAGTTCGATCGTCACTGCAACTGGCCATAACCCGGCCCGGCTTTCCATCTTTCATAGATGGGATAACAGGCGAGATTTGCACACCGAAAACAGTTCCGTCGTGTCCAGTAAAGAAGTGGTGGATCGATGCAAATCCCTTAGTGTGTGCGGCATCGGTTCCATCAATAAAGCAAGACCAAACAATAATCTCTCCAAAGATGGTTCCAGAGGCAATAAGCACGTGAGTAGGCGAAAGCGCAACGAGGTGAGCTGAACACAGAATTGACTTGACGCTTGTTGCAAGTTGGTAGATATCTACCACGGTCTGACCCGGAGATTTGATACTCTGAGTCAACTTCAAGCTCAATAGTGAATTGTTGGCGGTGATCAAGTATGCAGTGTCATTCTTCAAAGCCGCACAGCCGCTCATGATCCAATCTGGGGCGAGAAATTCCGCAGAAGAGACAGACAAAACAATTCCATCATTCAAAGTTGATCTCAAATCAACAACCCGTACTGACTCACCACCCCAAGCTATGAAACGGACATGGTCTTGGGCAGTCTGATCTTGCTCTTCGGAAAGCGAGATGAATCCATGTAAATGGTTGCGCTTGAAGACCTTTACTCGCGTCACCACATCTCCAGATTCATCTTCGATGAGGTGTATAAAAGGACCTTGGCCCTGGAGAATGAAGTTCCGTCCACCCCATGACAGTGCTTTCAATGCTGATGTTGGCACACAAGCATCGATATGCTGCCACTTTGGGTTAGTTCCATTGCGGCTAAAGGTTTTTTTTTTTTTTTTCACAGGTAAGCACAAACCTCAAGAGCTAGAGACATTTTCCCTGTTGTCTCTCAGATCAACGATGCCGCAGCACGTTTCAATTTCTCCGCTTTTTCTTATTATCTTGCTCTCTTTCAAAATCCCACTTTCCTCATTTCTTGCCCGCACTAATCCAGATATGGAATCTTATCGCACGTGACTCTCGATACGCCACTTTTTTGGTGATTGCCTTACTGCCTCGGTGCCTCATTTCCATGGCGTCTACGCTTTTCGGGCGTTCGTCGATTCTCAGTCATCCAAGTGCATCCATGGATACTCCAAGTATACCATGTTTCAATTTCCCTTTCATTGTTTATTTTTGTTTATCCTTTCTTATTTGAAACCATCACATTAATCTCCTTTGTTTGCTAGTTGTCTTCCCCCAGGTGACGTCTCGTTTTTTCACCCCATCGCCTAGTCTTTTTCATAATGTCCACGGTGCCTGTCAATACCACGAAGCAGGTCGCCAAGAACCCTGAAGAACTGCTCCATTATCATTATCTCGTCATATACACCGTGTTACCCCCATATTTTTCTTTCCCACAAACACGCCAACGTATATCCCGCAAGTCTGTGAGGGGTTGACTTCGGATGATAATCAGGTACCCGCCGTGGTGACTCGTCAGCATGCAAGCGCCCAGGGGTCCCGTGCCACGAAGGTCCTGTACTCGGTACTATGGATGCCAACTCCAGATTGACAGCAAATATTTTTACACGATGATACCCCCTCATCATGACCTCTTAGGAAGAGCCACATGTGCATTCGTTGGCCATTTTGGGCAACAATACACCCTACAAAACAAGAATCTGCCGACCATGGTGAATTCTGCCTGAGCAGTGAGAGATGTACTACACCCTACGGGTACCTGAGTCGTACCTGAGTCAACACTCGATGGATCAAGCGGATTTGTCTTGGAACTCGACACGTTAGCAGGGAGAGATGGCGCTAATATGAAACACCGGAATCGCTCGGGTGTCGGGCTAGAACTTCCCAGAACTTCCCATGTTTGCGATTTTTGATGTGGCTGAATATTTGATCCACTTTCCATTAGGGCAAATTTGACATTCCAACGTGGCCTGGCCCGACGTTTTATTAGGGGGCATGTGCATGGTACAACCATGGATTAATCGATTTAGCTTCTTCATTTCGTTCCTGCCGATCGGTGGCTCTATTCTCTTTAATGATGATCCATAACATGTCCATAGCGCATTATAATATTTGAATCTTGGTGTCATTTGGCAGTGATCGGTGGCCAAGCTTTTTACCAACTATTTAAATGTCTACGTAAGCCGTCTATCGCCCCACTCCTCTCAGCCCATGTCTGTGGCTTTGTATGAGGGGAAAAGAAAAAAAAAATTGAGGTGAAAAAGAACGGGGGGCAAAAATACTCCATACAAAGAAAAGCTATGTAGCCCTGGGACAGCCATGGGTAACAGTGGGCAGTAATTTTATACCGATGGATCTGTACCAGCAGTTCGCGATGGTAAGCTAAAGGGTCCCAAGGTACAAGCCCATCAGAAGTTTCTATGTCTCGATTTCGATGCACCAGAAACACAATTTTCAGCCCTAAAATCCAGTTAAAAAACCCAATAAGTTGATTTCAACACCGCTCTTTCAAAAGGCTAGTCTCAGGAGAGAATAAGCGACCATAACCTAAGCTGCCCACTAATTGGCCCCTCCAACGCTCGAGCCCGATATACGTACGCCTTGTTTTTCACGTTTCGTGGCGGCGCCCAATAGGCGATTGGCAGTGGCTTGCTGCCTTTCCACTTCAATTTGACTACAGACGATCCGCCAATCATCCGTTCGGTTTGTTCTCCGGGAAAATTCCACATTTTCTATCTCTCGATTGGCAAACCCACTTTGTCGTGGAGCCAAAGAGGAATGGTCGGCCGGAAACTTTTCGCATGGAGTATAGTCTAATGGGCAATGGCGTACGCAATAACGCCTTAGCCCAAATTTGCCCTATGTACTGAGGCTATCCCCTTGTTTCATATTTTCTTCGTTGAATCTTTGTTTCGATAACCTTTCCTTCTTTCGCAACTCTTCCGTGCTGTGCGCAGAAGTCTACATTCCTTTTCGACAGGAGCCCTTCGGCAACTAGTCATTCCTTTTCTACATTCGAGTAGACCTCATCGCTCATTTCGAGTCATTCATTTTGAAATATTCTTATCAAACAGATAAATCAACGTTTTCAACCACCTCGAGCCTGGACAATGGCATCGATTCTTAAGTTTGTGACCGCGGGTCTGTTGGCTGCCACCGCCGCTGCCCACCCTCTGCATGGCCATGGCCACTCTGGACATCAGGTTCGCCCTTCGACCCTGCAGAAGCGTTCCGGAACCTCGACCAAGCGCGGTGCCGCTTACAACGAGGCGACTCTCGTTTCCGCTTTGACTTCCAGCTCCAGCGTTGTCTCCTGGGCCTACAACTGGGGTAGTACTATCGACGGCGACCTTCCTTCCGGTGTCGAGTATGTGCCCATGCTGTGGGGTATCGACGACGTCGATACCTGGGCTGCGGCTGTTAGCACTGCCCTCGCAGACGGCAGCACCCATCTGATGGGTTTCAATGAGCCCGACTCCTCCTCCCAAGCCGACATCAGTTACAGCGACGCTGCCACATACTATAAGGAGTACCTCACCGCGTACTCGTCGGATTTCACATTGGTTAGCCCGGCTGTTACTTCGTCAACTACCACTGGTGAAGGTCTGTCTTGGCTCGCCTCTTTCTTGGAGGAATGTACCTCGTGCGACATTTCCGCCATTGCCGTTCACTGGTATGGTGGTGACATTTCCGAGTTCAAGACCTTCGTTACCGAGGCCATCTCGACCGCCAGCACTTACTCCATCTCTGAAGTCTGGGTCACTGAATTCGGTCTGGATACTGATGAGTCCGCTATCACCGACTTGGCCACTGCTGCCACTTTCGTCACTGAGGCTAGCACATGGCTCGAGGAGCAGTCCGAGGTTGCGCGTTACTCGTTCTTCTACTGCGCTAACGACTTCATGCTTACCGACAGCGTTGCCAACACTGTCGGTGATGCTTATCTCGCTGTCTCTGGTTCCTCGACGACCTCTTCTTCCACCACTACCTCGTCGGAGTCGGCCTCGACTACCACATATGTTGCCTCTTCTGCGTCGACCTATGTCTCTGTTTCAACCGAGACTATCTCTTCCTCTGAGACCGAAGTCTCTTCGTCCGTCTCTGTGTCCATCGAGATCGGCGCTGACTCTGAATCCGAAGCTACCACTTCCACATCCGTGTCTACTTTCACTACGTCTGCGTCTACTTCGACTGTCGTTCCCACTTCGACTCCTGAGCCCACCACCACTTACACATCCACCACCACCATCGTTGCGACTGCCACTGCTGTGGCCACTACCTCCGTGACCACTTCATCTGCTGTTACTTCCTCCCCAGTCGCCTCGTCCACTCCCACTCCCACCTCCACTCCAGTGGTGACTCCATCTGCGACTCCTTCAACCTCTAGCTCATCCGTCGCCACCGCTGAAGCCACTGTCGCAGCCGTTTCTGAGGAGGCTACCACTCCATTCGACTACGGTGCGTGCGGTGCTCCTCGCCCGGCTTCGAGCTAGATATAGCCCGTCCTAGAGGCAGCCATGGTGCCAGGCAGTCCAGCTGGATCTACTCAACAATTACAGCGAATTCTCTTCGCTTCTTATATGTTCTTGAACATATCTCTTCCATTCGTTTACATACCTTTTGCTCTTCCTAGACTACATTCTATCCTGTCGTTCTCTCCCCTTTTTTTCCTAGCTATATTTTGCAAATTGTTGACCAAGTCTATGCTGGTTGTCAAACCTCTCCGGGGCTTCATTTCTGCTTTATTTATTTGCGTTCTTGATTATACCTATATTCCCATACATGGTTATGCCATTGCCTTTGATTAACCGCGACCTCAATCTTCCTACCTAGATCTTGTTCCAAGCGTAGATTTCCAACATTTGAAGGCTCGTAAAATTAGATTTAAATATGTACTCCAGGGCTAATTTCGAACAGGAGATGGAAATATCAACTCCACTCCTCAAGTGCTCAAGGGCTTCCGACCTCCTATCCATAACACGCGTGGTGAGTGGGCCTGGATGCCGTACATCATGTACTACTGGTACTAGCCTACATGATATACCCACCTGTCCAGGTTATAGGTACAATTTTCAACCTTAATGCTTCCAACCTTGCTTAAAATGGTCCAGGCCTCAATCCGCCAAGCCTTGGGAGTGGACATTTCAATATGGAGATGGCCGAAGGTCCACGCGTTCAACCTCGAAAATGCCTCAAAGCTCAATGCACACTACATGCAGTGGAAGGCTCGATGTGTACTTGAATCTTGAAAGAATTTGGGGACCGCAGGAGGATTAGAAAAAGCAAATTAGAATTAATTTGTAGTACCAGGCTGACATGAACAAAATTCATACATTCATGATGGAGAATATTCGACGGGGGGTGTTTAACTTGAGTAAAGAAGGACCTCATTCATGAACATCTCCCACCGCAGGCTGCCTATGAAAGGTATCATTCAAGGTAAGTTATTGATTTTTCTCTAAATCGGTCTCTCTCATTTTTGCCTAGAAATCCAAAGTAGGGAGATATGGAACGCAACTGATGACGTCGATTTGAATTGCCAAGAAAGAGCTTTCGTTCAAGTTGGATGCAGGTGGTTTGAATGGACGGATTTGATATCCCAAGTCGATTACATGATAACGACTGTTGGTGGTAATAATGACGGCACAACGCCATTCATGTACCCGATTCTCCCGATGTTAACAAACAGCCAAAGAGCAACATTGAACAACCCATTACTTTGCATGCCCCAAATACCACTCATCAATCGATACAGCCTGAATCGCAGAGTACTAAAATCACATACCTAAATTTATTTCTATTCAGTATGGCAGACGCAGTAGTTCAACTCCGATGTGGCGTCAAGGCACGTATGCACTTCCTATATATTCGAACGAGTATTGCTAACAAATGACGGTATTGGTAGAATGATTCATGGGGAAAGAAAGGCAAAGACTCGGTCGTGGCTCAATTGTGGTCCAAAACACCTGGAAGCGCGCCGATAGATGATAACCAAACATACTCGGAGGTATACGCACTTTACAAAACGCCATTCCTCTTTACCGTTGAACTGATGTATTGAGGTATCAGATGTGGCTGGGAACATATCCATCAAACCATTCGCTCCTTCTTTCCACCGGCGAACCACTCGGGGAGTACCTGAAAAAGAACCCACAGCTAGTGGGGAAGTCAGTTCTGGACAGATGGGGACCAGAAATCCCATTCTTGCCCAAGGTATGACGGCCGAATATATGACAGTCGTTTCATAGTGTCGAACTAATGAGAAAAGATCTTGTCGTTCTCCAAAGCCCTGCCACTTCAGATCCATCCAGACCTGGCACTGGCCAAAAAGCTACACAAAGCGGACCCGAAGAAGTTCGGCGACATCATGCACAAGCCAGAGATAGCCATTGCGCTGTCCAAGTTCGAGCTCTTTGCGGGCTAGAAGCCATTGGATGAAATCCAAACACTGTGCAAGCTGGAGCCATTGGCACAGTTCGTACCGCCATCCAAAAGCTTCGACGACGAGACGCTGCGACAGGTGTGTATAGCGATGTTGAAGGCCCCACCGGAGACGGTAGCCTCTACTATCAAAGCGCTGCAGAACGTTCCAGACTCTCAATTTGGTCGCGACTCATATATCCCGGGTCTACTGGCTAGACTGAGCAAGCAGTACACGTAAAGTGACAATGGTAATCTGGTTGCCGCGGTTTTGATGAACTATATAATTCTGGGACCGGGTGACTCGGTGTTCGTTCCTGCGGATAGTATCCATGCATACTTGGAAGGTGATATTGTGGAGTGTATGGCGCGTTCGGACAATGTTATCAATACGGGCTTTTGTCCGGCAGCAGAACGTGACAGCGTGGACTTGTTTGGTCAAGCGTTGACGTTCGTGCCACATAATGCGAGGGACGCCCGGTTGCCACGCCAAAAGAGCGATAAGGGGACGAATGGCAAGACGGATGTCTATGCGCCGCCAATCAGCGAGTTTAGCATGTTGTGTACTTGCCTCGGCGCGGGTGAGAAGGAGACGCACAAGTCTATTCTTGGTCCCAGTCTGATGATCGTGACAAAGGGTTGTGGATCCATGAAGATCCCGGGTAAACAAGCGATTGAAATGAAAGAGGGATATGTCTATTTTGTTGGACAGGGTGTTGCACTGGACTTCGAAACCGAGAAGGGCATTGCCTTCTACCGCGCATATGCAGAGTGAGAAGGCAATTGGCAATCGGTCAACCTTCAAACCTGCCCAGCAAGATGTGGACACGGGTGAAAGTAACAGAAAAGGAGGAGAATTAGAGGACTAGATGTGACAGATGGGAGAGATTCGCCAATTGAATTAAGCCAAAATATGAAGACAAGAATGGTCCTAATAATACATATACTGTTCCACACTCTTAGATGACGCGCTGCACCAAAGTTCCGACAGGTCGCTCAACAACAGTCATGAGTCCGTCAACAATGCTAGCCCTCGCGCCCTCGCTGGAGACCTTCTTTCCAGCTAGATAGTTGAGCCATACGAATCGGCTGATTCGTTCATCAGAGACACGACCCATCCAGTGGGTCGCCTTGGGGTCGGGTTGGAACAGCGCATCAAGGGCACCATGGGCATTGCGGAGAAGAACAACCGCCTGGCCCTTGGGAATATTCTTGGCCTGACCACCACCGACAATGGCTTTAAATTCGTTGATTGCAGATCCAAAGGCCGGGTCTTGGGATTCAGTACCAGCCTTGTTCAGCTGGGCGCGGGCAGTGATACCACGAACCCAAGCATCACGCAAGTGCAAGAAATCAGTGTTGCGCGTAGGCACAACTCGGAATGCGGTCCGGATGCCATCGTCCTTGATCAAAGCCGTCCAGGCGGCATCACCATGCTCGGGATCCATAAGCAGATCCTTCAACTGTTGGCGCTCCGGAGGAACTAAAGATGTGGCAGAGTCCGCGCCAACGCCAGAGATAGCAGCCATTTCATCCGACGATGCGACAGGGGGGTGAACAGCGGTGCGCACGAGACGTTGCTGTAGCTCCGTGATATCCGACTTGGCAACGTAGAGTCCAACAACATACACCTGGATCGATAGGAACGAGACAGTGCGAATTCCTAGACCCAACAGCTGGTATTCATCTCCATCGGAGGTGGAGACCTGGTCTCCGGGCTTCTTGTTGTCGGTCCCGGTAATTGAGGGCAATCGAATAGTGGTGGGGAAATAAGGAACTGAACTGTTGCCGGTCGCGATTTGCGAGATGTTATCCTGGCCTTGAATTGGGATCACAGAAGGACCACCATCACTAGGGAATCCAGGGGGACCATCCATTTTCATGGCGCGACTCTCTGAAGTTACAACTGTAGCTTCATGCGGTTTGGAGACAGCCTTGCCGTTCTTGCCGGCTTCAAGCTCATCCAAGCCGAACAGATCCAGCTTAATCACTCCGTACATTGCCGCTGCACTGGCAACAATGCCAGCTGCAGACCAGATAACGGATCTGCGGTATTTGGCGTCTTTCAGGTCCCCGCTGGGGTTCTCAGCGGACCGAGAACGGAGAGGGTTTGTGGCACCATTCTTGGTTGATCGAAGGCAGTTCGTGGTGGAGAGGTAGCGGGTACGGGGAGGAGCGCGGAGAGTTTGGCGGGATAGGCATTGGGTGGTGCGCCAGGGCGCTGCGCGAAACGGAGACGTCATGTTTGGGACAGTTCGTAGAGATGAAAGCTGGAGATGTGTCGCTCAACCTGATTTGGAGATGGACCTCGGGTGTGGGGATGCACGTGACCGGTCTCGATCTATACGTATCCACCTATGAGAATCGACAGTATGGTAATCATCATTTATCGTTCCAAAATTATTATTCTGAGCTCAGTTTACAGGTAGAGAGATGGACGTTGGCCACACTAGAGATTTTTTCTCATTCATTCGTATCAAATATTAGTTTGTAGGAAGATCACTTCACCACAATCTTGTGAGAACCACCTGCTACCACAAAGGTCGCTGTGCTGTCTGCATATACCACATTTTTCTTCACAGTGGCACCATCAAGTGTGATGGTAGGCTTCTTAGACGAAGTGATATATGGAAGGGTGACATTTCCAGTTGTGCCCTTTGGAACTGTGAAATCCAAAGTATACTCACTAGACGTCTTTGTCCAACCAGCTTGGAACTTGCCAAGCGACGTCACAAAACCAGCCTCGGCATACTTGAGGTCTCCAAACTGGGGTGAAATATCCCAAGTAAGTCCCAGCTGCGATGTGACTGAAAGGCCAACAACATAATTGGTCAAAGCTGACGTGGGGCCAGAGGACCACCCATGAGAGTGGGAGACATATGAGGTATCGTAATAGTATCCACGGCTACCACGGTATCCGAAAGTTCCGTTAACAAGATATCCCTCGATCACGGTCGACTCAGTTCCATTGGCATTGTTAATGTACCAACCCCAGCTGCGACGAATGAGGTCCAATGCCCTATCTGGTCTTCCAACGAGGAAGTGGCTCTGGATCTCAAAAGATGTGATGAACGGAACAACGTTGTCAGGTAGCTCGGGAGAGTTAGGTCCAATGGGTGTCCAGTTTTTGACCAAGTTGTTCGAGATACTTTGGGCACGTTCGGAATCGACTACGCCGAATAGGACAGCCATGCTGTTGGCATCTTGCGGGTGTAAGTCGGTGTCAGTTGCGTTGTCTTTGAATGCTCCATAAGAATCGTCCCAGCAGTAGGTATTAATGGCCACCTTAAGTGCTTCTGCACGAGTCTCATAGGTAGCAGACAGGCCTGTTGTATCTCCGACCCATTGGGCGAGAGATGCACCGGTTTTCAATGTGTGGTATAGACTGTGGCCCAGTTAGTCAACGTAGATCTGAGTTTAAGGTTGAAGAGATGGGGATAGCGATCGAGACATATATCTCAGGATTACGTACATCATCTGCGCTTCTGAGTTGTTATACCCTTGCTGCCAGCGAGCCCAATCACGAATTCCAGTCACATCAAGGAGACCACTGGCATAGGTGACCTTTCCATAAATGTAATCCATGGCGAGGAGATATCCATCCCAGTTCTCGATGAGGAAATCGGTGTTGTTTGTGTACAGAACGTAGTTGTAGGTACCAATCATAGTCCACATATGATAAGTATCGGATCCTGTTTGACTGAGTGGTGGTCCCGACTCATCAAATGCGCCTGTTGTCTTGTCCTATCGAAAATGTGAGAATGGTTTCAGTCTTGACGAAAGGGTCACTTACCTGAGTAGTATACATGATTTGTAACGCGTTCATCACACTGTCCAGGTCTCCGAGACTGACCAATGCCGATGGAACAGCAATACCCATGTCACCTGGCCAGACAGCACGATCACGCTTGGCTCCATCAACAATAATCGTGTCTCCCGGTCCCAAAGTGCCATTGTTCAACCATCCTTTCGTAACACCAGAGGTAATACGTCCAGTATCCACGGGAACCTGATTTGTCTGTAGAGTGTAGGCACCACTATACCAGATGCGATTCAGAAGCTCATCACTGGAGTGAAAGTAGCCCTGGTAGGCGCGAAGATTCGACCACGTCGGGTGGAATCCCAATTCAAGGTACATATCGTCAATCTTGACAGTTGCCGCATCGTCAGTGATCAGGAAGAGCGTCAAATAACGGAATCCACCCCGTAGCTTAGGAAGAGGCATCTCGTAGGAATTGCTACCAGATGATGTGGTGAAATTGTCGTACAAAGCACCATCCTGCCAAAGAGCATTGGAATCATCAGACCACTCTCCAATCCAGTTTTTAGCTTCCGAAAACGCAATTCCCAAAGCTCCGTTGCCAGTGGAGGTGTAATCAATGTGCATGATGCCACCAACTTCTTGGCCAAAGTCGAATACGACAAGAGAGCCATTTCCATGGAGTGTCGCAGTCGCGGGCTGGCGGGAGTTGGTAGTAGCATCTTTTTTCAGATCAGACAGCGTTGATACAGGCTGAACTGTTCGAGATGATGGCGCGTAGATATTGTCGTCCCAAACTCCACTGAAAGCCGCTGTAGTGGGACCAGTGCAGGTTGTATTGCGCCAACATGTCTCTGCTTGGGCTTGGGGAATAATGGAGCAAGCCCCCAGGAGGAGGTTGACCCAGAACGCGCGCCGCATATCGGATTTTATCAATGACTATCACGGTGGATCCTTGGCTTTCTGTAAAGCATGCAGAGAAAGGATCTGCTTCCACGCCCACGCACCTATATATGGGTTTCCATCGGAATAGAATCAGACAGGGCGCAAAACCTTGTGGAATGTCTCGGCACTGTCTAGCACGAATTCTTATTCTCCGCATTGTTTTGATCGCTAGCAAGGTTGATTAAATCATCACCGTTGTGGCCTATTGGTGGGAAATTGTTTGTATAAAACAATGTAGGATCGGCGCGTCAAGCACTCCGGTGGCTTCAGGAGCCCCGCGATTTTTCGCGAGCGATCTTAGACCCCTGAAATAGATGTAGTCATTTCCCCGCAAATATACCTCTCCGCAAATTCCTCCGTCACTGCTCGGCGCAAAAACTGCCGAGACAGCTATTGATCGTTGTAATTCACCCGAATCCATGGGTCTCTCCATATCGAATCAGATGTATGTAAGGGGTATGCGATGCGGGGTGTGAAGGGCGGATAATATGTGCCTGGCTGAAAGGCTGAGTTCATTGCACTAGTAATTGAGGAACCCGGAATCCCCGTCGGCCTCTAATCATGAATCATGAATGGGCACGGGGAGCTTTGGATGGATGTCAGTAGTGAAGTGATGGAACAAAAGTTTGACATCCCGGGGCTAAGCCCATGTTAGTGTGTACCCACTGCCCCGTAATGGACCGCGGGGGGCAATTGGATGCCCCAGGAATCGGCTTCCCTTGTCTATAAGAGTGAGCCGCGAGGGATTTGGGTCAGAAAGGCCCAGCAGTCACGAAATACGCCAGGGTTTTTTTTTCTTTTTAATAACAAAAGTTCGATCTTTCTCTGTTTATCCAGTCTTAAATGTTAATTCTTTGTGACAATTCTACCTCTTCTCCCGTCTGCCCGGATCTAGAGTGTTTCTCCTGTTCAAGCCGCCATCCACACCACCTCGCACCATCGCATCCCCCTTCTTTCCTAATACAACTTCGATAGCTTGAGTCAGAGCATTGGAGTCATATTGCATCCCAAGAACAGCCTCTTGATCTTTATGCTTTGTTGTGATCTTGCGACCGTATAAACGCAATGTCTCGATTCCCATCTGGGCAAGCCTCTCCCTGTCAACCTGAGGTGTTCCAGGTCCATCGAGGTGAAGAATATGAGTCACATAGGAGGTGTATGGAATGACAGTATGTGGTCGGATAGTAGCAGGAGATGAAGCCAAATCATGGAAGCCTTGCTGCGGTGGAAATCTATTAGGGTGTCTTCCACGACTTTCTTCACCAGCCCGGGCAATCGCCTCGACAAAGTCGGATGCTAAGAATGCTTGAGATGGAGGACCTGTCTCTCGGTCTAATGAACCATTGAGAATAAGAATCTTGTGACGCGCTGGACTGGTCACGATACTTTTTCCGACGCCGCGAAGAATGATTGCGGGAATGATGGATGTATAAAGAGAGCCGATGCTATAGATTATAGCCTGTGCGTCGTTCAGCGCCTCCAAAACGCGAGGGTTGGCTGGTGGTCGGATTTCTTGGCCGTAGGGATTGATGTACCAAATACGACTGATACGACATGGTAAGTCCTCATTTTTCGCTTTGCTGAACGCGATGTTCTTATTTCGCAGAGTAGCAAGGGAGCCAGGTAGATGATCCTCTTCGTATGAAACCGTATCAGACGTATCAGATAGATCCGTGTCCTCATATTCATCTCCATCAGCCAGAAGTAGGCTGGGGCGTCTAATGATTGGTTCATTCCCGAGTGCCGTCGTCTCACTCGGATGCGAAATACTGTTCTGCCCGACAATGACTGTCCCATCAGTGAGGGTCGCTGAGATGTGGTGAGAAAAATTCGAGTTTATCGCTGGAATAACCCGCACAATATCCGACTGAACACCACATATGCTCCCCAGGAGATAAATGGCACTTTCGAAGCTTCCGCTAAAAATGCGCGCTCCAGTCAGAAACAAGTTTCCCACGCTGGCTGAGGTAAAATCAAAAGTCGAGGATGGTGGTCGGGCTCTTTTCAGTATTTCCAAGTTCAACATGTTGAAGAAAGAGCGAATCAGCTCCTTTTTTGCCGGGGTGATCGAGATCCACAAGGACGACGTGCCGTCCACTATGGAGAGCCATTCAAGGGATGCCGCAGCTGTTTCAGCGGGCAAGCGATAATTGAAAAGGGTTTTTACAGCCATTCTCTCTGGATTGACAGGTAAATCCGGGATCAAGCGTACCAATCTACCTAAATATGAATATCAGCAAAAGCTTGGTCGATCGGGTGTCGCGTGCCAAGTGCTTACTTCGAACATCGCCAATACCCGGTCCTCCGAATATTCGAATCAGCTCGGAAGAGGAACCTCCATTATCGCTGATGGGAATGATATAGCTTAGTGGGCAGTTTTTGCTCTGACGGATTGCATCGAACACGTCGACCAGGTTGTTCGCCGCGCTTCCCCCGGAGATCACCGCGATGCCCCGGTTGAGTGTTGCAGCCATAACGTCTTGGGTCTTATACCAGTCTTGGTTTGTATTGGATCCGTTCTCTGATCTTCAAGCGACGGGCGCATATGGTGGCTTTGGCCTGCTTTTATGCTGATGTTGTTGTTCCAGAATGTTTTGGTCGCTCGGCGTGTCGGACCCGAAAAGAATGACACCGAAGGTCTGGCACCGCCGCACCGCCACCAAGGCCGCTCGTCGCTTTCCTGGCACATGCCATTATTCAACCTTTCACTTGCATACTTGAAGCACCTTTGAAGTTGATTTAAGTCACTTTATTGTATATTATGACAATTTCAGAAATTTCCGATACAGATTTCGGCTTTTTTTTTCAATCTACCGATCAGACAATGTTAAAATGTTGCATTGTATATCCTAGAAATGTGGACCTGGTCTCTCCACTGAGCTTCATTTTCAAAGGCAACTACTGCCTCTGTACTTTAAAGCTACCACTCGTACATCTCCATTGATCGTTGGAAATATTCGAAATGTTGAACATGTGCATGTAGTGAACATTTGAATACTGAAAAATATTGAAATACTTTAAATTCATTAATAAACAACATTGAATCTAGCCGCCAGTAATACTATTACATTAATGTTACGGACTTACAGAAAAGAAAGCTAAGACCTCCAATATGAGTAAAAGTCATATCATCATTCTTGGCAATCTTGTCTGTATCCATAATAAACCCTGCCATCCATTCAACATTCAATCTTGTCAAGAGTGACACCTTTGCTTGCGAAAAAAAAAAACGAATGAAAAAAACGCAAGCAAATGAAAATGCACATAAGACATAACAATATCCAAAGGTCCACGTATCCAACCATCCATCTATCCCCAACATTACCTACTAGTATGTGTATCCATCATTCTCTAGATGTTTCTGCCAATATTTATCATGGTCATCATGCATGTGTATGGATGCAGATTATTGATAACACCGTGTCTCACATTGATGCAGGAAGGCCTTGGATCCTCATCTGTAGGCCCAGTATCCGCGTCTGACTTTGAATTGTTTTCCCCCATTGTTCAATACGGGCTTCACATTCCAAAAGTCGACTGCGAACTTCCTCCTCGCTCATTTGCTCAATGCGAATTTTCTTTTCCCAGATATTAGCTTCTAGCGCATCTGTTCGTGGCCGCTTCGCGGGTACGGTCTGTATGGAGCGAGTGTATGGCTCATTCATTTGGCCACTCCTCAATTTATCACTTGTTGACACTTGTAGCAGCGCATGATTGGATTTGAAAGTGAATTGTGATTGGCGGGGACTTTGTCTCCTGTCGCGGAGAGACGCTTTCTGTGGGAGCAAAGGCTCCTGACAGGTGCAGTTCACAGTGCTACCCGGACTTCCGTAGGTGGAAGTCTCATTAGATAGGCTTCGATGCAGTGAGTTTGTTTCCTCTTCAAACTCATTTTCCGAAATATCTGCCTCTGCATCATCGTATTGAGCCGTTTGTTCATTATATCCTCTAGTACCTCGTCAGAAACAATCAGATTACTTGGAATTTGAAATTTTATATGCAAAATCTTTGAGTTTTTATATGATAGAAGGAAACTCACTCGGCATAACTTTCGTCCTCATCGTCGATATTAGCCCAATTGCGGCCATGATCTAGGTCCAGTCTTCGCCGGCTGGAAGGAGCGGTTGCAGGACGGGATGATGGTTCATGCACCACCCGGTCTTGTCCAACCAGTTCATCCCCCGAGAAAGTTTGACTTCGTTGAGGACCGGAGAAAGGCTGCATAAAACAGTCATTAAAACCGCTGCGAGTTTTCAAGTCGTGATCACTGCCTGGGTGAGCCTCAAATCCACTAGAAAGCTTGGCCTTCTCAGGACGGGGTCCGAAGTGGACACCCAAGTCCACTAGATCTCCCATTGGGGTTCTAAAATGTGTCTTCGTCGCCACAGGCCGCTTCATCAGAATGATACTCATGGAGACGACTTCATAGTCCTCAGGATGAGCATTGCGAGCCTTGCAAGCCCTTTTGCGCTCTTTAGCATAAACACAACTCCATTCAACCTGTAGATCAAGGGGTCTGTTTTCGGCAATCAACTGATTTACATGCACCTGACGAATTTCAGAAAGGAATTGATACTGCTGAGCGGCTGAGATTTTGTTCGCGCGCTTCTGAACCTTTTTACAGAATTCCATCTGCGTCAGATGTATCTTGGTACGCTCAACCTTTGTCCATGATGGCTCTTGGCCTGGAATGGGGTCTGCCTTGAAAAACTTATAACCTTCATATGCGACGGTAGCTAATTCAGAAGCGGGGACAGGACCTGCAGTTTTATGTGAACCGGAGTTTCATTAAGTATGAAGATAGACTTACTTTGAGGTGCGATGTGGATATAGTGGTTTGGAAAAGGTGGTGATTCCTGTCCAATCTCCGTCGCATTGGAAACTGATGCATGATGGCAAACCATGGTCCAGGAACAAAAATACAGAAGTAATTTGATAGTCGAGTGGTTGCTGGAGCTGAGTTTATATGTTGCAGCGATTCGAATGAGTTAGATCAATTGATGGACAGATGCTCCAAATTGTTGACTGAAAGCGAAGGTCTGGTGTTTGGTGTAGCCTGGAGACCGATTGAACAAAATAAACATTGAATCATCTAGACGCTTTATACAGATTTACGAAGATCAACTGAATGATAGCGCGTGAACAAACCCGCCCGGGTGACATTCCTGAATCCAGGTTGTACCTTGGGGTCCATCATGTCCATCCCGCTTCTAAGCATTCCAGGGATGCTGTTGCCCAATCGGTTGATAATAGTCCGTTACCTATTCATTTCAAAGTTGAGAGCCTCGTCTGATTTACTATATGCATAGATGGGGTTTGAAGCACCCGGGCTCAATTCAAGGCGCTAGTGCAGTACCGGATTAGAACAGACACGAGGGGTGATGTGGGGTCCGACTTCAATAAGAGCGTTCATTGCTCAAATTCTAGGCAAATTGCCAATTGCACTCCAAACTCAGGAGTTTGGCTTTTAGTGCAGGTCTAGGCCCCCAGCACAGGTGGCACAGCTTTCAAGGCTACTGCGCAACAACTAACGGGGTCCGAGCACAAAGGATAATCAGCCCCTCCGTCATTACTCGCGCCACGGTGAGCGTCTACTGAAGTTGCCTGTCCATACGCGACTAAGTAGCGCCAATTACCGAGGAGGCTGAGGAGCTGTGAGGCTCTGAAAACATGGAAATCCTTGTCAGACATTAAACCTAATGTTCATTTCGAGATCCTGGCATGTCAAGCCTAACCCGTAGGTCCTAGACATCAACCACGACAAAAGAACTAGCAAGAATAAAAATAAAAGTACTGTTAAGGCAAGGCGATTTCGATTTCACTAAATAAGCCGTCATAACTGTCGTGTTCTGGATGACTTGGATCCATAAATCTCTTTCACGTGTCTTTGGCCCCCAATTTAGTGGTCATGAGGCTCATGCATGCGGCTCTGCGGCTGATGATCGGCTTTATTATCCATCCCCGCATGTAAGCGTGTTGGGTTCAAACTCACCACATGCACAACATCGCAAGTTGGAACCCTGGGGATAATACAGCGGAAAGAAAGAAAAGAAAGAAAAAAGTGAAAAATTGTGGAAATGAATGAAAGAAAATGGAAGCAAATGCGCCTGCTCTCACTATTTTCGATAGATCCATGCTGTTCTGAGTCCCAACTCACAAATCCACCAGAAATCCTTCAGGATACTTGAAATCCTCCAAGTCCACTTCCGTCATCTGCCAAGGCTCAGGCGCCTCTCGCCATTGATTATGGAAAGTCTTTTCACCAGCAACAAGGCGATGAACATTTCGCCGAGCACTATACACCATATTCCACGACCTCTCCTCGTGGATATTACTCGCATCATAGGTCTCAATATCCGAGTCTCGAGACGAAGGCCCAGCTCTCTTGTACGTGCCAATCAACCCCGGAGACGGAGAATAACAATCAATCCTTGGTCGACCATTGATTCCACCACACATATTACCCAAGGCGTTGTCTACCGAAATCTCTAGGTGGTCGATAGAGAGGGAAGCTAAGATCTTCCTTGCCCCGCGACTGGTGACAGCATAGCCATATGTACAGCAACCAGTCTCAGCCTGATAAATATACCGCGTCGAGTCTTCGGGAAAGTCCTCCTGCCATCTATCGGGAATACCAATCGCGCCGCCTCGTTGCTTCACGCTTGCGACAGTGGGGTCGTTTGGTATGGCGTAAAAATGAGTCTCGTTTGACACGGGCCCGGTGAGGCACGTACCAATCCAGAGTACGTCCCAATCGGTTCCATAGGGCGCCTCGCGTGTCACTTTTGTGCTTCCTTGTACCGTGTGTAGGCCGCGTGCGAACTCGATGAGCTGGCTTTTGATATTCACGTCCCAGTCTGCGTCGTCCTCCAGGATCAACGCAGTTGCATCTGAGCTCTCGACTACCCTGTGGTTTTTTTTGGTCATTAGTGTGACACGTAGAGAGTGTGAGATAGATAGATGCTCACTTTATCAATGCGTTCATATGAGCGCGCCAAGATGCAATGATTGTCAGTGTGGTTGTTTCCATGTTGAGTCCCTTGAACGAATTAGTAGGATCCACAAATTTAATTCCGAAGAGCGTACATTGGGCATAGCCTTCTGACTCAAACTGTCTGGGTGCACCCCATCAATCCAGTCAATCTTGAAACCAGATAAAGCAGACGATAAGCTGAGGAAATCATGCTTGTCAGTGCGCTCTCGCAAACCTATGGCGTAGATGTGTTGAAACTAAAATCCACGTCAGTACGTCGACACGAAGTGACGAGGAAAATTTAATTCCTTACCCCAAGAGTTTCATTTTTAATGTGGTCAAAGGTGCGAGAGTTGAAGACACCACGAGAAAGAGAAGGCAACTGTTTGGGCCATGATACCTGCACCGAGCTGCCAATAAATGCATGGAGGAAGAAAAATGCAGCTGCCCCTGCAAGTATTACTTGAAGCGCTCTGTAGCTTTTTGAAATCATATTCAGATTGTGTGACCAGGAGGTCAAAACTAGGGTTTCAATTCATCAACCCCGCGTCCAAGTGTATGTAGTGATTTAAAAGCTTTCATAGTCACCGCCGAGCACTGTGATGCCACATTCCTCGGGTGAAATCCGGCACTTGTGGAATTCCAACGCTTGCAAATAGGAAGATCATCTTGCTAATTCCGTATGCGGATTTTCCTCAACGATCTTTACCATAGACGATTGATAGGAAGCGCACCTTGATGCACGGCTTACTTTGAAGGCATCATGTTATTTTATTCATGAACACGTCATTTATTGAAGTAAGAAAATTTGATATTAATCCCAGTCACGTATCTAGTCCTAGCTAACAGGAGGCCTGGCAGCACGATCTGCCAAAGCCTGATTCTGAGAGTTTTTCGCCTTAATAAACTTGGTGATATGCTCAGGCACTTCAGTGAGCGTGTTTCCTTGACTAGGAATAGGCTCTCCAAAGGTTTCATAAACAGGAATCACGCCCGTCCAAACGCGTCCCGTAATCTCATCCCTCTCCGTGTCCTTGCGCTCATCAGATGGGGGTCCATCTCGCGTCTTCCCACTACCATCAACGATATTCACCCTCAGAATAACGGTTGATGACATTTCCGCTCGGTCGGGCGGCACACGAGTGTTGTCCCAGCGATCAGCGACCACAGAATTAGTGATGAGCTTCATCGCCCAAAGCTTCTCATCTTCATCCGTGACAAGTTTCGCGTATCCGTGAAGGACCACCGAGCGATAATTGTAGCTGTGGGAATTGGGGGTCAAGGACATGACCAGTCCATCAACCTTGCTGCTAGCAATGCAGATGGGAAGACCTCCAACTTCGTTGCTGCGTGCAAGGTTCATAATTCTGGAGCTGACATACCCGTGAAGGTAGCATTCCAGAGGCTCGTTGATGTCCGCAGAAGGAAATTCGAAGGATCCCATTTGTCCGATCATGGGCAGGATCGTCGGGAATGGATCTTCGGGGCCCGGGTTGAAGGAGACATTTAGCACTTGGGATTCGTTAATGATAGAATGGATTGCGCCCAGATCATATGTCGCTGGTTGGAATCAGGTCAGCTTGGGGAGTCCATTTTTTGTAGCTTGTTTATTTACCTCGATGGTTGTATCGGTTGACCGTGTTTGATGAGCGCTTGGGGTATGCGAGAGTTCGTCCCATTGTGGCTTTTATAGTTGTGGTCTTGTGGATCCAAATGAGATATTGAAGAAGGTTGAAATACAGTAGACTGGAAGATAGACTGAACTTTATAGTCTCGACTGTGATGAGTTGAACCTGGAAGAAGTAGGACCCGTACCTCTGAAGTTCCAAGTTTACATATTGTTTCAAGTCAATGTTTACCTGGTCGGTCTTCTATGAGGCGTTTCATTGGTTCTGGGACGTAATTCCCATACTGAAGCCCGATGAGTCAAGCACTAGGGTGAAGCCCCCGGTAATTTGCTGACCATCCGGTGATACCCCGTACTGAGGGGTGGGAGGGGGAGAAATAGCCTAATGCTGATTGGTTCATGGCGCCGACGCCCTATGACTGCGCCGGAAACTCACGATAAAGCAAATGTCAAATAAGATGTTCTGATAAGTTCTTCGAATATTCAATTAAAGGTCTATGTGTCCGTTGCATAATCCATGGATGTAACTGTGACTTGAGCGCAGGGGTATGAGGAAACATTGAATCATTTTATTGACGCGCTAGCCCCTCCGCGCCACTGTAAGTGAACAGTTTCCATAATCGAGCAGGTGATATAGCGAAAATTGTTTTCGATATTGGTAGTATCCTAAAGCTGATATGTGTATGTGTATTTTGATGTTAAAAGACACTGTGGATATGTCCAGTAGGGTGAGATCAATAGCTCCGAGGCAAATCTAGCACCTTCTCACTAACGTAGTTCAAAATCATCTCTCGACTGACAGGCGCAATTCGAGGGACAAAGCATTCCCGCATGTATCGCTCCACGTCATACTCCACTGCATAACCCATACCACCATGGGCCAAAACCGCCCGTTCGCAAGCCGTAAAAGCTGCTTCAGCGGCCAAATACTTAGCACTGTTACAAGCGACACCAATAGCGTGCAGCGGAACAGAACCGTCGTTTGTATCATAGAGGCGCGCAGCATGGTAGGTCGCAAGCTTCGCTGCCTCCAATTTCATATACGCATCAGCCAATGGATGAGATACACCCTGGTTCTGACCAATTGGCCGACCGAAAACAACACGCTCCTTAGCGTACTGAGCGGCCTTTTCCAGTGCCGCGTATCCAAGACCAAGAGCTTCGCCCGCCAGCAGACAACGCTCGGCATTCATACCGTGCAGAATAATCTTGAACCCATCATTCTCCTTACCGATGAGTGCGTTCGCTGGAATGGCGTAATTATCGAAAAACACTTCATTGGCATCCACGGCGCGACCGCCCATTTTCTTGATCTTGCGAAGATCTAAGCCGGGTTGATCGCGGTTAAGGTCAATGCAAAACATGGACAGGCCTTCTGTGGACTTTTTGACGTCTTCCAGTGGAGTGGTCCGAGCCAAGAGAATCATCTTTGATGCGACTTGGGCGCAGGTGATCCAGATTTTCTGACCGGACACAGAGTATCCATCAGCCGTCTTGGTTGCGAGTGTCTTGAGCTTAAGAGTCTCCAAGCCTGTGTTTGGCTCAGTGACTCCGAAACAAGTTCGCCATGTTCCGTTGATAATGTTCGGAATGGTGGTCTCGAGCTGTTCCTTTGTGCCAAAACGCGCCAATGGCTGCGTGGCATACACATTTGCGTGGATGGCCTGCGCCCCCGCCATACCTGCACCAGACTGCGTGATGGTTTGCATCATCATCGTAGCCTCAGATATACCTGGTGATAATGGCAATAAGAATCGAAACAGACAATTTAGTATTTAAATATTAGGGAGAAGCATACCTAATCCCGCCCCTCCAAGAGACTCCGGCAGCGCGATGCCGAGCCATCCGTCCTTCGCCAGCGCCGCGTGGAATTCTTTGGGGTCTTTTTCTTCTTGATCGCGTTCCTGCCAGTATGTATTGGGGAATTTGGAACAGATATTTGAAATGGCGTCTCGAACAGTGAGTTGTTCCTCGGTGAAACCTGTCATCTCCATGAGCTCACACCGAGCCGTGGTGGAGAATGCGGCGCGCGTCAAGGGTAGACGAGTAGTTGCCTGAACGGGCGCTACAGCGCACCGCGACCGTAGAATATTTTGACAGCGTGATCGAAACATGATTGTGCTTAGTGTGATGTTCTTGAGGAGCTCGAAGCTTGGTATTTAATGCGCCATATCCGGACCCACACCTCCATACAGCCGACTCCACGGTTCTTAATCAGCCCCGGGCGAGGTTGGGGTCACCGCGAGATTGTAGGAGTAAATAACCGAATTGCCGAGCTAGACACCATGAAAAGTCGCCTTTTTGATCAAATTAATCAAATTTTTCCTCACGGTGTGTTATAAAGCAAGCGTTCCGGAGTCTTCACTTTGACGGTGAAAGCAGGGGAAATATTGTGTTCTCCGGCGAATCGTCGCGTTCGTTCTCCAGTGCTCAATATGAATGACGTAACATGATCGACGTTTGAGCTTGGGACTGCAACAGCAACAGTCTGTGTGTTATGCAGTACTTCCATCTGGTGATTTTGACCCCTTGGTGGCTCTTCTCATTATATTAAATCTTGTTTTTTCTTTTATATTAACATTGGAAACGCCATAAGGTTGGTTCGTTCAGTATGAAATTGACAAGAGGGAAGAATAAAGCTTGGAAGCACCAAGACGAAACAAACAACATGACCCAATCAACATGACCCAATATACGCTATGCACTTATTTTCCACGAATATTTGATGACCCCAAAGGACATCTGGAACAGATGGAGCTTCCAACTCAACGGTTCACAATGACTGTTCATCCATTATTGGTATCGTGGCCCATGATGATGATGACTCAACGGGCTCCTCAGAGACACATCGTTCACACTTGCAAGTAAACCTGAATGAGTTTTTGAGATGTTGGCGACGTGTGGCGATGTCGGTATATTGTGTCAAATCAAAGTACGAGATGCAGCATTCCTCATCTTTTTTGATGTCTCGGGCAGCGGTAAACACCATACGGCCGTGATCATCAGGCTTGTGGACGATCTGACACGGTATAATCAGTATATTGTCATCGAAATTAATTCGGCGCGTGATTGACTTACATTTGGCAAACAGGAGTGGTTAGCTATCGCCGCTGTGGGGTATACTGCAGCAGCAAATTGCTCCCCCCTTTCGGTCACGGGGGTTGGAATAGGGAAAACGCCGGTTTCCCTTGGGTACAGACCAAATGAGTTTGCCTCTTCTTGGCAGATCAGGTGTAGGACGCGATCTGTGCTTAGCCCATGTGGCAATATTTGACTGCTCTGAAGATACTTTTTGGCCAGAAGGGTCCAATTTCGCACTCTGTCATGAGCCCAGGTATCGGCAGATCCGCACAGCATTTCTATACCATCCCAACCTTGTTTCCACCGAGGAGAGAAAGATTCGGCGTCAGAGGTGGATGATTGTGGATTCTGTACTTCGCCCTGTCGTGTGGCAAGTAGACGAATAATCAACCACAACATGCCGAATTCATATTCACCTCGTTTTGAACGAATTGGCTTGGCATACCTTTTCAGCCATGTGCATTCAAAAGCATGGCGAATTTGATCCAGGTCTTTGCAGGAGCCGCTGCACCAAGCGACATCTGCTATACAAGCATTGGGACATGAAGATCGTTCTGGACCGAGTGATACCCGACGATTACAAGCAGGGTTATTGCAAATAAGGTTCTTATTGACAGACGGTTCGTCAACAACGGGAATAACTGCATAGGGGCGGTCGACAAGAAGACATGTCCCTTTGGAAATAAAGTCCGTCACTCGAAATTGGCGACCCTTGACGGGATCGATACAATCAATTAAGTGTGGATGGATCCAGGAAGGCTGTGATGGGGTATCTCCAAGGAGAGTGATGGATGCATTAGGTTTAACGCTGGTATATATAATCTCGGACATGGCGCATCGGGGACCCACGAAGGGTGGTATGTATACACGGTGGGTTGTAGGTGTGGTTCTTGGTAGTTCAATTTCTTTTTTTTTTTTCTCTTTCTAATTTTCTTTTATGCGCAGAATCGATCCCAGAGAAATTTGCTTGGTTCCGGTGGGAGAGTGGGGCGGAATCGCCATCGCGAGATGGATCCAACCAATAGCGAGGCCGTATTGGCCCCCGAGGTGAGGTTATTCCAAGCGATTCCGGGTGATTGGCGGCAATACATTCAGCTGTTCATTCTCGCTTTTCATTGGTGCATCCGACTTTTTCGCCTCAAGTGCTCAGCCTTGGAAACATTCACACGGTGAAGAAAACATCCCAATATGGTAAATTCAAATGTTAGCATTGTTCGCAAATAACGACACTTCTAGTACATGAGTTCTGCCCGACAAACACCGACTGGACTTCAATCTTCATTTAAACGTAACTATTCAATCAATTTAATGTTGAACTTTCAATATTAAGGATAGGGCATCACGACATCTGGTCCTGGACAGCATTGAAAGAATCGCTGACCTTCTCAACGAAAGCCTCGATATCCTCCACAAATTCTTCTACTTCTTCTAAGCAGGGAAAGTGACCCCCCTGAATAATTCAATTAGCGTTCCCATTGGCACTCTTAATGACTCAAAAAGAACTTACGTTGCTATGGCTTTTGTAGCAAACCATCTTGGGATAAATCTCTTGAGCCCAAGACCGAGGAAACACCACGAGGTCGTATGGAAACCATGAGTATCCAAGAGGCTTCTCTTTGGAAATTGGGAAAGCAGTATTTCCGAGGTACCTCATTGCGGCTGTGGCGTGGTACAAACTTGTAGAAAAGGTGCCAGTAAACCAGTATAAGGTGACTGTGGCCAAAATCTGATCCAGTGAAAAGGGTTTCCGCGGGTCTGTCCATTCCATCAATTTTTCGCCAATCCTGTATGATTGTCAGAAAGACCTCGGGCAAGAAGTTTGAAAAATAATCAATTACCAAGCTAGCAGTGCAAGCGGGCTAGATGAGATGGCCAATCCAGCCGTCGAGGGACGAGTTCCATGCTCCAAGGCATATGCCATCCCGGTCAGACGCCATTCTTCTGTTCGCTTGAGGTGATGTCTTTCTTCAGAAGTAAGAGAGTCGGAAGAAGGGACTGCTTGACCCGGATCCAGCACAAGCATGTTAACTGTATTTTGTTAGCCACTGTCCAAGCAAAGATTTTCTGATCGACGGGCTTGTTGAATGTAGATATACATACGGTGGAAAGCTTTGCATTGCTCGTATTCGGCAGACATTATACGAGCAAGTAAGCTTCCTAGATCACCTCCTTGGGCAATATAACCGCTGCCAAATCCAAGGTCAATCATCAATTGATTCATGATGCGTGCGGATCGTTCCAAAGTCATCTCCGTATTTTGGGCACGAGTACCCGATAGTCCGTAATCGGGCAACGATGGCACAATGATATGGTAAGGCAAAGTTTCAGGAGTGTATTTGTCGGCGAGTAGATCCATCATTGGTAAAAAGTCGGCAAACGAGGATGGAAAACCGTGCATGAAGATGATAGGAATGGCATCATGTTTTGCTGAAAAGAGCGCAGCAAAATGAATATCCATCTCGCCAATATCAAGATCTTGAACAGCAATTTTGAAATTTGGGAACTTGTTGATATAGTCCTCGTGATTGCGCCAATCGAAACTCGTGAGCCATGTTTCTTTCGCCTTGATTAACCACTCACGAGAAACTCCGAACTGGGAGTTGTTTTGTTGATTCCACCAAGTCGCTGGGCCAATCTTCGAGAGCTTCAGAAGGGTTTTAAATCCAACTGCCTCACTTTCCGGGATATGGAATTCGAAAGGTCGAAGATTAGCTGGATTTTTGGGAGGAAGGTTGAACTTAGCAGCCATGGTGAGAATGATCTTTAATGAAACCGTGAAAGTGAATATTCCAGATGTCTTGAGATATTGTAGGATTTTGCAAGATATACGTCAACTGGTAGAATGATAGATCATAGACTATTGTTATGGATATTAAATTGATTCAGGATAATCAAGCTCATTTATATGCTTACACGCCTAGAAACCAGTATCAATATTCGTCCTCCGAGAGTATGGACAAATACAGAATCCCTTATTTTGTTTACTCTGTTTTACGGCGGACGAACAGGATCCAATCAGATGTTGAACACCCGACTACGTAGAGGACAATGAAATGCTTGGCAGAAACGTGATTAATCGCATCACGCCGACGCGTCAGAAACCAGTTAACAAACAACGTATTTACTTTCTCTTCCACGAGACCTGAATTAGTACCACGCGGGCGGTCAAAATTGCCCCAAACGTTTGTAAGGATATGCGCAACTTTTCAACAAAAAACAGGGGTGCGAGGTTTGCCCGTGCGAATAAGCCCTTGGTTTTACGTGTTATTAATGCACCACTAAAAATATAAGTTCGTCCACCGAGCTTCCGGTCGAACCGCTTTCTACGTCTTCCATATTCTTACCATGTCTATGGCAGGGGAAACATTCCGGAATAATGCCCGTTTTATTCATTGATTCTATTTTCTTTTTCTCCCTATCTTTCGCCAAATGAGCGTAACAGACGTAATGTCTCCCTCTCGGTCAGCATTGCATCCGCAATCTTCAGCCAATGGTCGTGATGCAGTCGACGATATGCCCGAGTCGAAACGAAGGAAAATAAGGAAAGGAACGCATAGCTGTTGGGAATGCAGACAGAGAAAAATGAAGTGCATCTTCGCCTCACCTACGGACCATACATGTGTTCGTTGTCATCGACGTGGTGTGAATTGTGTTGGCCAAGAATACCCAGAGGAAATAACTGCGTCTTTGGACCGGAGCCTTCAAATAAGCGACCGTATGGCGCGGGTCGAAAATTTACTCGAAGACCTTCTCAAGAGAGACTCCATGGGAGGAAGTACCGTCGGCCATGCGGAGCAAATTCAGAAAGCAGTCACTCATGGCGTGAACTCTGGCCCTGTACAAGATGCGGCCCCATCCAAGTCCCTCAAAACGCCTTACTTTGAAGCAACGGAACCCCTGAAGAAACCAGAAACAGCAGGTTTCGATATTCTAGATTGTGGCATTGACGCCCCAAGCTCAGAATCACTTCAACAATTTTCTGGTAAACATGGCAAGCACGACAAACTATCTCAAACACTGTACGCATCCTTGCCATCGGCAGATGATATGAGAATAATAGTTGAAGCATGTGGCAACACCTCTTCTTTGTTCTATCAGATGCAAATCGTACCTTATAGCGAGCTGGACAGGACAACTTCTCTCGAGAGCATGTTTGCGAGGCCAAGTCCCGGTGCGCATCCTGTTCTAATAGCAAGAAATATGCTTCATGTCGCGACAGCTTTGCAACATCTTCATCCCGATTTCAATAAAAATGTGCGACAGTTATCGGAGCCCCCTAGGGAGATGATGAGGAGGCTATCAGCGATTGCTACCAATATCGTTACAACAAACGATGACCTTATGTACTGCATTGAAGGGGTTGACAGCCTGTTAGTAGAAAGTTGGTTTCATACCAATGGCGGAAACCTGCGAAAAGGGTTGGTCACTACTCGGAGAGCTTTGACTATTGCGCAATTGATGGGCTTCCATCGACCCGGAAAGGCAAAATGCAAAATGGTTGATACCAAAACGAAGGCTTATCCAGAGTTCATCTGGCACAGAATTACTGCTCTTGAGCGGTATCTCTGTCTAACGCTGGGGCTTCCTGAATCAACAAACGATAACAGTATGGTCTCCGAAGAAATACTTCTGAATGATACGCCAATGGGACGGCTTGACCGTATACATTCCGTGGTGACATCACGAATACTACTGCTTAATCAATCGAAATTAAGTCCCAGTGATCTCTCCTCAGTACAGGAGCTTGACGAAGAGTTGCAAAAGGCTTCAAAAAACTTCCCAGATAAGTGGTGGCTCATCCCAAACCTAGCCACTGTTGCAGCTCAACCAGAGGCGCTGTTCTGGGATATGCGCCGACTTTTCCACCATTTGTATCATTATAACCTCCTCATCCAACTTCATTTGCCATATATGCTCAGCTCTGCAGCTGCTGAAAAGCGATACGGGCCTTCACAGATTATCTGCGTCAATTCTGCACGCGAAATCCTCTCACGTTTCACCATGTTCCATAGCTTCAACCGCATTGCCTTCAGCTGTCGCACTATCGACTTTTTTGGCTTAATGGCAGCTATTACCTTACTCATTGTACACATCGATGGACACCAACATGAGTCAGCTTCTATTAACCCTGTGCACTGGCAACAGAGCCTTGCAATGCCAACAAATAACCTATTTGCGCATCAAAGATCGAGCGACCGCGCGTTGATAGAAAACATTCTAGATATTATGGACGAAGTCAGCCGAGTGGAGAAAGAGACCATGACTCTTCAGATATCCAGCATTTTGCGGCGTTTGATGACTATCGAGGCTAAAGCCGCGGAAGGACCCATTCAGCCTACTGCCCAGCTTCCAGCAACAGGAGAGATCCCATGTACTCGAAATAGTAATGAGACTGTCAGGGTGTCAATTCCCCATTTCGGGGTCATCGAAATCACCCAGCACGGCATTCTTTTCAAAGACTCCCCTCACATGCAGCAAAGTATGGCAGACGCTTCACAGCCAAGACTTCAAGGCCCCGTTGGAACCAGTATACAGAATACTTACGTGCGAACTGGCGATAATATGTCTTGCTCTGAGTTACTCCCAGCGGAGAAAAATTTCCAGCAGCACGAACCACTCTTCCTCTTTGAAAGCCGGGTCTCTAGTGCTGCCCCCTTTTCCCCAACAGGGCAGACTAGAAGTTCCCTTCCTGATGCCGTTGACCAACGGACCAATGCATTTCCAACAACTGCTGGGGATGACCACAGCGCCGGGCAGAACACCGATCTCGCATTCTTTGACTCCCTCATTAGAGAAATCGGGATAGATGAGGAGAATAGCATTGATTGGCTGGCTTGGCTAAATGTGCCTTGACTTCAAACAATCATCGGTCCTATATTATCTCAGAGCACTGTGTATTGACAAACGCTGCGTTGCAGAAAGCACGCGAGATTATCGAGGCCCAGTTGGTGATGACTAACGGTGCTACGTAACTAGTTAGGTGTAACTAAAACAACTACTAGTTACTAGTAGTTAGCTCGCCCTGTCAAGATCCGGATGGAAAGGTGACCGTTTCTGGCGTCGATTGAATTTCACGGGTCCTTGCCTCCTTGGTGATATTCTAGGTATATGTAATATTGAACATTGAATCTTGATACATTGGAATTTTGAGAACATTGATAGGTTTGGCTTATATGGATCATAATCAAAATAATCCTGAAATCTTGGCCTCGGGAGTTTTCCCCTTCACTACTTGGGTACTTCAATGTACACGGGTTGTGATTACCTCGTAGGTGGGATACTACTTAAGCAGGGCTTTTATTCTTTACACATGATCATTTTACTATCCTCAGCGGTCCTTGCAGCAATTGATGTTCATGAATTTCATATGATTAACATTGGGGGTACCCATTTCCCCACCAAACAATCACCTTAAAAGCGGCGTTCTTTTTCGTTCACCTTGATAGTTCTTTTCCTGGGGGGGCAATACCATGCAAACAGAACAAACAAAATCTTATCTGCTGCGAAATTAATTTCTTGCTCGAAACAATAAACTGCAAGACATCGCAATGTCTCTTTATTTTGATGCGGTCAATATACTGACCGAGCCAGCGTCAGGCGGCTCCTTCAAATCTCGGATCTACAGTGCCCGCGACCTTCGCGCCAAACCAGCGCAGATCTACGCTCTGATTATCGAGGCCTCAAAATGGGATACTGTTCTGGCCGACGTTATCGACCGCGCCGGTCTCTTGGACGCTGAGCGAAAGGTAAGACCCAATTAGGCATTCCAAAAGATATGCCTACTGACTGGTTCAGCTCTGATTGAAGTTCTTTCTATAGCTTTCTCCCCTCCTTGCCCTCCTCCTGGTCCATGACCACCTCATTGCGAAAAACGGCATCGCGGCCCCGGCTGCGCATACGATTCGACAGGCGGTTGAGCGGCACAAGGTTCGATTAAGAGCAGAGTTCGTGAAGGCGCGCGTACGCCGGGGTTGTGCCTCAGTTCAAGACTTTAAGGCTGCAATTTTGCGTGAGAAACGAGAGGCTGCAGGACCCAACGATTTCATTTACCCACGCTGGGTCCGCGTCAACAATATCCGTTCTTCCCTAGAGGATCAGATGCGCACAACCTTCTCTTCCTATCGCCACGTCGAGACCTTAGCAGAGCTAGCACCGGAGGGAGACGATCGCCAATCCCAGCATCTTTTATACGTGGATCCTCACATTCCGGACCTGGTGGCCGTGCCATATGGGGCCGATTTCACATCATCTGCTGCTTACAAGAACGGCGAGATTATCTTGCAGGACAAAGCGTCATGCTTCCCTGCATACCTCCTGCTCGGTGATCGTGGACCAAATGATCCGTGGCAAGGCGATCTTGTCGACGGATGCGCCGCGCCGGGCAATAAAACTACCCACCTGGCATCACTACTTGCAAAGCAACACAAGAAGGACAAGAAACCCCAGAAGCAAATTATTTCCATGGATGCCTCCAGAATGCGATCTAAAACACTGCAGAAAATGGTAGCTATGGCCGGAGCGGATCCAACCGTCACCGTTCTACAGGGTCAGGATTTCTTGGCACTCGATCCAATGGACTCTCGCTTTGAGCAGGTTTCGGGCCTCTTGCTGGATCCGAGTTGCTCGGGCAGTGGAATTATCGGCCGCGATGACGTTCCGCAACTTACACTTCCAAAAGATGCTGTGTCCAAGGCCCCCAACCCCAAGGGCCATGGCAAGAGCCAGGGCAAGAAACGCAAACGCGCCGATGATAAGAACGAACCAGAGGAGCAGGAGAAAAAGCCCAAAGTGACGTCGAGCCCTTTGAACACCTCACCATCAGACGAAAATGATATTGCCACTGATAGTGTTGACGAAGAGCGTCTCATCAAGTTGTCGAATCTTCAAGCGCGGATCGTGGAGCATGCGTTAAGTTTTCCCACTGCGACACACGTTACTTACAGCACCTGTTCGATCCACTTGATCGAGAATGAAGTTGTTGTGGAGCGTGTTTTGGCCTCTGATATCGCCAAACAAGGCGGCTGGCGGCTGTTGCGACGGGACGAGCAACCGAGTGGACTGCGAAAATGGAAGCATCGCGGTGTACGGTGTGATCGGCAACCAGAAGAAACGGTTGAACTAGACGCCACACCTGATAAAGTTAATCTATCGGATGATGACCTAGACGCTTGTCTGCGTTGCTGGTCTGGCGATGCTGAAGGTCTGGGAGGCTTCTTTGTCGCTGGGTTTGTTCGTGATCCTAAGCTTGCTGTCGTAACTACCACGGGCTCAAAGGCCAAAACCGTCCTTGCACAAGACAAAAAGGTTACACGTGCAGACAAGAAACCTATTACTACTAGCCGGGAAGAAAATAACGCAGAAGAAGAGGACGAGGAAGATGATGATGATTGGGATGGGTTCTCGGACTAGATAAAAAAAACCCAATCAATGGCTCCTCAGACGAGATCGAAATAATCAATACATAACTCTCTCTTAAAAAAAAAAAAGAAAACAAACAATGGCTCCTCAGATCAGATCGAAATAATCAATACAAAACTTTAACCTAACTCCTTGAGACTCCATGGAATTCTTACCATCCGGGGTTAATGATGGAGACTCGTAGGTGAACTACTTTTGGGACTCAGAGGAAATCCCGATCGACGTTGCAAGCACGGGTGTCAGTGTAAATCTGCAGCTTCACTGGGGTCAGGAGGATTTCCCAGGGACGATCGGCGCCCAGCGTGTGTTGTACGAGCAATCGCCATTGTCCCTTTCCGACCACCCACCGCAATTCAGTATCATCCGGATCCTCTACGCACGGGCGGCTGGGTTGGCTGGGTGGAAGGCTGCTGGGAAAGCGATCTGAATCAGTGTCCTCGTCAATCTGAGGCTTGACATTTCTGTCAGTATTGACGTCTCCATGTGGCAGCTCAACATCATCCGGCTCTCCTACACGCCGACGTTTGCGTAGAGGGCCCGGGTTCCCATATTCGTTAACGGACACCAGATGGCAAAGAGCCTGAGGATCCCGTTTCCCGTCAATTATTATGTCTGCATCACGCGTCCATCGGATTTTGAGAGGAAGACCCGTGAAAAGACTCCGATCAACGTCCAATTTTTCCGCGGTAACCTTGATGAGACTTTCCATGCGAAGCCTGGCATCCCCTTGGAAGTCGAGATGATCACGCGCCGCAGTGATAAATGAGAAATTTTCTCTAAATTCAACCACCAAATCACGGAACATTTCTTGGTCCGCGTGGGGACGAGAGTAAACGAAGTTTGCTCTCTGCGCATCAATAATATGAGAAGTGGTTTGGTCGAATGATATGCCGGACGGCCGGATATCCTCGAGACGAAGGGTGATCTCCTCATGTTCACTGACAGAGTTGTAGGTCAGCTTATGCGCGATCAACTTCTGCTCCACGCCGGCGAAATGATAATAACGACAGTCACTAAGAAGCTCTTGTCGGTGCTCCTCGTTCTTGATTTCAATCGCATATCCCCTCAGCCCGTGTAGGAGCTGAGCAAACACATCAGCGGATCGGCCTGGGACACTTGGGGGCAGAATCGAGGGAGGGCGGAGAAGTCCTGCACGATTCAGACCAGGAAAAACATGACTTGGCGAGGCAAAGAAAGCAGAGAAGCCAAGTGTGAAGTAATTCTTGTCATTACCGGGGTTCGTCAGGACAGCACGTGGAATCTGGAAGTCGCGATCGCCGATTTTGACGAAGATATCGCAATCGAATAGCTGGGCCATCAATCGGGGCACTGTTAGTTTGTTAGCATGTGTTTTTTCATGAGTCACGGGAATGCAGAGCCTGACGGTTGTAGAATTGCGCATCAGCGAATAGCCTGACAAACTCCTCGCCATTTTTGGGCTGAATAAAGTATCCTGCCCCATGTCAGTAATGTTCTCTCATGTCATTTAGCCATCAAACAGTCACCTTGCAGATGGTTGGCAATCAGCTTGAAAGTTTCAGGATCACGGTCGATATAAAGGGTCCGAAGCTGAGTGGCATTTGCATTGCTTCCTGCAGCCTGCACCTGGCTCTCAAAGAACCGGGAGAAGTAAGAGGGAGCTATGAGTGAATTAGCTTTGCGACCACAACACCACAACGGGACTATTCCACCCACCATCTGAGGCGATTGAAGCCCCCGAGAGTCGAAAAAGACCACTACCGATCTTGATAGGGAAGACTCTCCCTGGTGGTAGAGTACATTGTTCAGACATGTCCAACGGCTGGAAGCGTTGGCCCGGAACAGGCTGAGAGAGAACACCGGGTGCCATCACGTGGGCGGTCAGAAAGGCGGTCAGGAAAAAAGAAAGGAGAGATTGAAACAATGACGTAGTGCCGCTTTTAAGTTGGGTAATGATCACATGATCAAGCTTTCACCGCGTCTTTGTGAACCCGCAAGGAATCCACAGTGGCAGAATTCACAACAATCGTTCCCAAGTCCTTCAAGGCTGACGACACTGCCATGTGTACTACATAGTCGTACTAGGAATTGATATTTTTTCTCTCTTTTAGGTGAACGCCTGGCTGAAATATGCTCAACCTACAGATCTCTCTGGGTGTGTTATGGTCCTATCTAGTTGGTTATGAGCCATTCCTCATGTGTTAAACTTGGCCATTTGAACTCTTTAGTACTGGTAACTAGTAGTGAACAAAAGATGCTTATAAATTCAAAGGGTATGTTTGCACTCGGAGCCTGTGGGCTATTGTAGAGAGTCAAGTAGTTCTTCAACAATTGAATCCCAATTTGATGTCCTGCATATTGTGCTTCACCAAAACGCCGATCGGATTATTTCTGTGTACCGTTTGAAAGTGCACTGGCCACCCAAGAACACCAGAACACCATCTCCTCGTGGGCTCGTCCCAACAACTTCCATAACGGAGTAGTGCGATCAGCAATATTGAAGACCCCTACTTCGTGCGTACCATCAAATCGCCTATTTTTGCCGGGGACTTCTTACCCTTTTTATGGACCTCGGGTCACATGGAGTGGAGACTCGGCTATTATGTCTTCGGTCCTCGCCGAATGATCTTCTAGATCCACACTTTGTGAGTGGTGTAGCGCAGCTCTAGGCCCACTCTATGGTCAATACACATCAAGCCATGCTCCTCAGCCTCGGCCCCACTCGTACAGCTGGCCCCAGATGGCTTTGAACACACTAACTGTTCTGATCTTACCTGACTCCATCTCTTCCCTGACAACACGTACTTGGCGGAGAAACAATTCCAGCTGGCTGGTTGTATATCCGTGCTGTCTCCAGAAAATTTATTTCGTTCTCAAATCACCAGAAGAAAAGGTCTAAGATTCCTTAATACACACCAACAACTTCCTTTTGAGGCAGCACTCGAGCGTGCAGTTTTTGAAACTCTTCCTGGATCATGGCCTCTCAGTCTTTCATAGGCTACTTGCCGCTGGATGTGCCCCTTCCCCCAGCTCCGGATACCTCTTTCTGGTCTGAACTGCAGTGGAAGACTCTCTTTGCGATCTCGGACGCGATCATCCCATCCGTTCGAACTGCCCCTCAGTCAGCAAATGATAAAGTCATCTCGACCGCTGAATACGATGCGGCTGTATCGAAGCTCACCTCCGTAATCACAGGCCCTGATGCGAGGGACCTCGCGATTCAGTACCTCGAAGAGGATGTTTCTTCAAATCCCGTGTTTCGCGCTATCGTGGAGCGCACCGTGGGTCACTACATCCACGATGAAGGCAGGAATGGTCTTGGTTTGATTTTGAACGCACTGAAGTATGGATTGTGATATCGACCAACAGATCCAGTCACTAACGAATTAAATAGTACTCGAGCGGGGTCACTGATTTTGACTGGCTCAACTACTCCGTTGCATCAGCAACCCCTTGCCTACCGGGAAAAAGTATTCCGTGGATGGGATTCTTCTCGCCTACCCCCCTTGCGTGGCGTTTACCGGGGATTGACCGCTATCGTAAAGAAGTCATGGGTGCTAGCCAGCCCAACCATTGAGAAAGTCCTAGGCTTTCCACGTGTCCCTGTTCATGGCAAACCTACCGATGGATTTTGTTACGAGTTCTTGCAGATTCCACCCGGTGAGGGCCCCGAAATAATTGAAACCGATGTCGTTATCGTAGGTAGTGGTTGCGGTGGAGCGGTGACTGCCAAGAACCTAGCCGAGGCCGGGCTTCGAGTACTTGTGGTGGAAAAGTCATACTGTTACACATCTAAGTCGTTCCCAATGGCACCCAATGAAGCCTATGTGAGCATGTTTGAAAACTCAGGTGCCGTTGTCAGCGATGACGGCGCGATGGTTGTTATTGGAGGTTCCACATGGGGTGGCGGTGGCACCGTTAACTGGTCTGCCGCCCTGCAGACTCAAGCTTATGTGCGTCAGGAATGGGCAGATGGAGGTCTACCCCTATTCACCTCTTGGGACTACCAGAGAAGTCTTGATCGTGTATGCGAGCGAATGGGTGTGAATACCGAGCATGTCAAGCATAACCGTCAAAATAATGTGATCCTGGAAGGTGCCCGCAAGCTGGGATATGCGGCCAGTACGGTTCCCCAGAATACTGGAAACGCTCCACATTACTGCGGACACTGCACTATGGGTTGCGCAGCGGCAGGAAAGAAGGGCCCCACTGAAACCTTCCTTGCTGATGCTTCAAACGCAGGCGCTACCTTTATCGAGGGCTTGCGCGTCGATAAGGTCATTTTTGGGGACAAGAAGGGCGGGAAGCAGGTTGCAATTGGTGTGGAAGGAACCTGGACATCTCGAGATCAGTATCTTGGCCTCGGTGACAGTGGTACCACCAAGAGAAAGGTGATTATCAAGGCTAAAAAGGTTGTCGTCTCGTCTGGCACTTTAAACAGCCCTCTTTTACTGCTTAGAAGTGGCATCAAGAACTCTCAAATTGGCCGGAACCTTCATTTGCACCCGGTCATGGGTGCCGCTGCTGTCTTTGACGAAGATACCCACCCATGGGAAGGTTCATCGTTGACGACGGTGGTCACTGAATTTGAAGATATGGATGGCCATGGCCATGGTGTAAAACTTGAATCTGCGTCCATGATTCCATCAATCTTCATTCCCGTGTTTCCCTGGGAGGGAGGCTTGGAATATAAGCTTGCTTCTGCCAACTTCCGTCGGAGCACAAGCTTTATTACTCTGACCAAAGACCGAGATGGCGGACGTGTATACCCAGACCCAACTGATGGGCGTGTGCGGATTGAGTACCAGGTCTCCGCCTTTGACAGAAGGCATATCGTGGAGGGCTTGATTGCCGCTGCGAAGATTGCTTATATCTCAGGAGCGAAGGAGTTCGTCACCACCTATCGTGATATGCCCCCATTTGTGCGGGACGATTCGTCTGATGCTGATTCCCCCGAGGGAACGAACAATGCTGCCCTGCAGAATTGGATCGCCGAGTTGCGCCGCAAATCTCCTCTGGATGTTGAGAAGGCAATGTTTGCCAGTGCTCACCAGATGGGCACTTGCAGGATGGGCAAATCAGCTAAGACGAGCGTTGTGGACTCCAATTGCCAAGTTTGGGGTACCGATGGCTTGTATGTCGTGGATGCATCTGTTTTCCCCAGTGCCAGTGGTGTGAACCCGATGGTTACCAACATGGCCATCGCTGACTGGGCAAGTCAAAACCTTGCTCAAGCCATGAACCAACCACTGGGCGAAAACACCCGGATGGCGCGTCTCTAGGCGTCTTTCATACACTTTTGCCAACCACGTGCAAATATTTGACGCCTTTTAATGATTATCAATAGCCAAATTTGTATTTATTCTTCTTTTTTATTTTCTTAGTCATGAACTATCTCGGAACTTTGAAATCGGCAGAGCAAAGCACACATCCTATTGATACCCTAAACACAAAACTATGTAGTAGTTGACCCTAGCCTAAAATCCCCCGGCCCATCTAATAGCCACCGGGTCTATCAGTATAACACAGTCCCTGAACTAGATCCGGCTTGCTATATCCGCCCTGGATTACCGTGTCAGCCTGAAGCTGCAGTTCGGCCAGCCGGAAAGGCTTTATCTCCATAGACCAAATCATTAAAGCCAGATCGTTGGGCCCATTGTAGTTCAGAATATCCTACGGAATGGGGAATCGTTTTTGTGGACTTATATTATTCACTTTGGTATGGGTCAGTCCTTGGTCAGCCACAGTTCATATGAAAGCAAGCATACCTTATTTTCCAAATTGCCAACCGTTCACAAACAGTTCTGACCGAAATTTGGCAATTGGAGAGTTTTTCGCGGTAGTGTTGGTAAACTGAGCTTGACTGAGCGGAATATCATAGCTAGCGGGGAGATCAAGGTCAAAAGAAGTGGCCCAAAATCCGACTCCAGGTTGTGTGATCTCGATAAAGCACTGGTGACTGGGACTTCCATTCATTGACAGATGCACCTGGAAGATCATAACCCTGACGTTCAGCACATGTACAACCCGCCCTCATTAAAGGGATCTCGTCTGTGATCTCTTCTCCACCAAGGTTCCCGGTAATCTTCCACGAAATAGCCTCCTTGTCGCGTCCACTTATAGTCAATTAGGCCACAGGGATCTTTCATAAGCTCAACCTTTGCAGGAAAGTTCTAATCGTTGTCAAGATGATCGATCAAAATTGTGAAGACATATTTCTCGCCTGCTTGTAAGCCGTTCAAAGGAAGCTTTTTATTGTAGAACATAAAAGGGCCGCTTCCAGTCCACCAGTCAAGATATGCTGAGTTTAGCCAGACCGAGGTTGCTTAGCCGTATCCTCCTTCCGCGAGGAGGTAGATGGTGGTCTCTAATGTATTTGCTGTAAATGCTCAGCGCACGCCCAGAGCTTGAGTATGGCCAGTATTATATGGCTTTCTCTCTTCAAAACCACTGACTAGAACAATTATCAGCCTAGATTAGCTTTTTACTAGGCCATGGTTTTGACTATGAAAGTTTTCCACGTCCACTCCATAATATATAAGCAAGATTTTTGGCTTATAGCTTCCTTACTATAACCAGCGTACCTGCCTAATATTTCGAGCAAAAAGAAATACTACGCAGTATGGCGACCGATAGAGGCCACCCAAGGGTCACATCGCAATTCCAATTTCAAACTTCACCGCCCTCCCGCCCGTACTGTACATGTATTTATCACATACAGGAATATCTTAACTTTTAAGGGATTTGATCTAAATTCGGGTCACATTCAGAATAGACTTGAGAATAGACTTGAGAATAGACATGAGAATAGACATGAGAATAGACTTGAGAATAGACTTGAAAAAGGACTTGAGAATTGATGGATTACATGACTAGAATCTCTGCCTCTCTTTCTTGCCAGTTGCTGTGAGAATTTACTAATGTTGGAGAAAGAGAAGTAATATAATATAGCACTATATATAATACAGTTCAAGGATTCAACGTATAATGGAGTTGAAGGTATCAAAATATAATGCAGCGCTGCATATAATGGAGTTTAAAAACAAATACGAATTTCAAATTACTCGTAATTTACTTTCTGCCGGTCGGAAAGTTGAAATTGGGATGTGACCCTTGGGTGGCCTCTATCGGCTGCCAACGCAGCTCTCCACAGACCCCACCCGAAGCAAGCCCCACCACATACTACTAGTATGCAGTTGGCCATGCGCAGAGGGTCATCAAGCCCTAGCTCGGGCGAATCCTCCGGAACTACGAAAATGAAGATGGCACAGCTATATGGAAGTACCTGCTGGGCATGCGGCGCTTTCCCATCAGAATGCTGCTATGTTGTCGGGTTGGAAGACTCACATGTACGTTCTGCTCTTACGATGAAAGTAGCATGTTACTAACTCCGCTGGGTAGACCGCACTATGGGCGCATCTTGGCCTGGCGGCATTCTCACTACGCTCACCTTCCAACCTTATCCTACTTTGCCCAAATTGCCATTTCCATTTCCATCGGGACAATGACCCGGGACTAGTGATTGTCCCGCAGGACCTGAAATACTTTGTGGATTTTGAGAAAGCCGACCGAGTACGGCGGATGAGTGGACATGGGCCCCCCGGAAGAATTGTTCCAAGTCGCTCAATGTACGAAAACCACTTACTCAATACCAACCAAGGCAATGCGGGGTACCGAGCGCTTTTTCTTCATACATACTCCTACTCAGGAATTGATCAGCCCCCTAAATTCTGGCAAGGCCTATGAGAACATGGATAAGCGCGTAGTACTCGTGTTGTTCGTCAGTCAACACGCAGTTAACATGCCTGGATAACCAACATGCCATCTACGTCCACTTTGTACGCATTCTTCAGCTTTGACATGACATTTTCTTTCTTCTCCAATGAATATTCTTACTATTGATTGATTACTTCTATCCGATCCTGTTCTTCGAATGATTCTGCATACAAAAAAAATCAGCCTAAGTCTTGCCCTGGTAAACCTGGCGCTTCTCGATGAACTTGAGTTCTCCCATCGCCTTCCCAACCCCATCTACAGCCATGACACGCTCAAACCATGCCGTGACCAACGGGTACTTGGCCCGCATCTCCGCGTCAATAATCAACATGAATCCAATATGCAAAGGCGCCGCAACAGTAATATCCCCCAAGCTCAATTTCCCATTCTCGCCCAGCCAGGTCCGACCTTTGAGGTGACCCTCCATATATCCAAGACCCCTCTCGAATAGTGCAAGTTGTGTGGTCTCTCTCTCCTCGTCATAATCCCACTTTCCAAACCGCCACATCACCAGCTCCCGAACAACCCGCAAGAACGCATGATCTGAGAAGCTGATCCAGGACCGAATCGATGCTCGCTCCAAGGGCGTAGCACCAAGAAGTTGGTCAGCTAGTGGTCCACTTTCGGCGACATACTGTGCGATGGCGTCGGATTCAACTAGGCGGGTTCCATCTGCGCCTTCGAAACCTGGCACTTTGCCCAGTGGGAATTTGGAGAGGTATTCTTCTGTGACGTTGTCTTTGTATAGCTCGAAGCCCGATGGGATTTCTAACTCTAGCCCGCTCAGGTTGGCTACTGCTTCGATCTGGACGATGTTTAGTTGGCTGACTTGGTGGATTTGCTACGCTTGAATGGGACTTGGTACCTTGCTGACCCGAGCACTGGGCATGTAAGACCAGACAGTACCGAAGGGAGCCATCTTTATTCTCAGCTCTATGTGGATTGGAATATAATCTTGAATAGTGAGGATTTTGGCGCCTGCTTTATAATGGAGTATTGAGGGGCCAAAAAGGTCAGTTGACTCACGGGGCAGAGCAGAGCTCCACCTTCGAATCAGGACGCAGGAAAGCTTCAAAGGAGTGGATTCCATGATTCGCAGCCTTGCGGATTCTGAGACACGAAGGAAAAGATCCTCAACGAGCGATGGCTAATATTGAGAATGAAATACATACTGGTAGTTTGCAATACTTAATTCTGCATCGCTGTGAATTGAATTGTTATGTAGAGCTAGAGCCGCCCTGCCCCGCTTAGATGATTCTGAATTCATAGAGAGAGTCGAGACCCAACAACGCGAGTGGACCCCGCTCCCGTAGCTTCAAGCTCATCTTCCTTAATGTTACCCACCCCATGCGTCACTTCCTCAATCTCCCACCTGAGCTACTTGTATTGATAACTGAATTCCTACCGATTCACGATGTCCTCAAGCTGAGATTAACCTGCGGGTATCTTTTCGACCAGCTCCCTCCTCCTTCCCACGAGCAGCTCCTACGAGCCGAAACAACCGAATGGGCTCGCCACCAGGATATCTACGCCTGCCGCTACTGCCTACGCCTGCGACCGGCGAATAAATTTGCCGATCGCATGCTAAGACGCCGACGAAGCCGATCGGGTGCCGACAGCGACAAGCGATTCTGCCTTGAGTGTGGGTTGAAGCCGCGCGAGGGTATGGCCCGGTATGGCCCTGGTGCTCAGGTCGCGATTCAGGGACAACTGTTTGTTATATGTCTTTCATGTCGGCGATTTCTACCGGGCGCCTATGATCGCCATGGACACAATACCTCGTTATGCTTGTCGTGTTGGCAGGAACACTGTCTGCGACGGCATATGCCCACCCCGAAATACTCCGCGTTGGACGAGAGTCATTTGAGGCGCGTGTGATTTGTGGCATTTATTTTCAATTGTGCTACTTGAGAAGAAAACCGGGATCTCAAATTAAGTCGAAGTCGCTCTTCGCCTTGACGCAGGGGAAAGGTGTATAAGTACAGAAAGAGGTGGTAAAAGCACACTGCATCATGCCAGTGGAGAGTCGTTGAGGCGCATATAATTTCGACAGACTGATCTTGTTTAGCCACTGCGATCACTTGTCACGATTTGGAAAGGGCATGTATGTAGTACTTACTACTGTTGGCCATGTCTTTCCCAAACATGACATCCATGAGGTCTTCTCCATATTTGGTGCCTTCATCTACACTGTAGGTTGCACACTTCTTGCCAAGAGCCAATCCAATTACGTTTGGGAAGGGGCTCAAGGTCATGTAAGCAGGTTTCTCGCCTGTGCATTCGGCCAACATGTGCTGGTGGATGTTGTTGGCTGCATACTGGCCCATGTGCATCGCGCCGCCACAGCGCTTGATACCCGACCACGCTGCAAGATCGCCGACCGCGAGATGATGCTCTGCATTAGGAATATCTCCTGAAAATTGAAGGCTGCCAGCTTGTTAGATGATTTACTAGAAGAAAGACATGGGGAACTCACGATGGATGAATCTTGATTAGCCCCTTATCATTCAGTGCTTCCGGCGCCAGATATGTCGATGTAGCTACCGGTTGTGAGACGGCACTCAGCACAAGCCCAGTCGTAAGTTGCTGGCCATCTGCCAAAGTCAAGCGCCAAACGCGCTTCACGCCCGAGTCCACGGCAGTTGTTTCAATGACGCGGTGTCCTAAAATCACGTCTACATTCTCCTCCCGAAGAATCGAGAGCGCGCGCTCGGCGAAGTCGTCGGGCAGGTCCTCAGACGATAGCAATCGAGCTCGGGAATGAATGAGTGTGATTTTCTGCTCTGGATACAGGATCTTCAACTCGGCTGCCATCTCGATCCCGACCGCACCTAATTTGCGAATCAGCGAACCGTACCCAAAATTGCGTACGGTCTTTGGAATGCATACCTCCACCGATAACCACAATGCCCTGACTAGCATTGCGTACATTCTCTACATGCTTCTTCGCCTCTGCCAGGAACTCATCCCTCTGCAGAGACTGAGGCGCAACGGGGAAGATCCTGCGCAAACCCGATGCGGCGATCAAATAATCATACTTTTCTGTTCGACTTTGCTTGGTCTCTGAATCCACGATGTGAGCAACCTTGGCTGCGCTATCAACCTTGCTGACACTGCCCTGGATAAACCTGAAATCCGGGGATTTCAGCGCCGGGATATCCTTAAAGCGGGTCCACGACTCTGCGGCGAATTTCTCACACGCAAGAGACTTGGGCGATCCAATTAAATGGACTAGATTATTCCGTCAGAACAGTTACCACCAGGTATATTGGACCAAAATGCTGGGTGACACATACAATATCCATCTCGCTCATCCACGATAGTAATCTTGAGAGGGATCCGGTGTGAAGGAGGCTTAGCATCCGGGTTGGAGTCGAAGCGACATACTCGACCCCGCGCCAAGTCACTCAGGTTCAACGCAGCAGCAAGACCACCATAGGAGCCACCGATGACGAGCACCCGAAAAGACCGAGCAACAGCCCGCACGCCATCATTAGAAGGCATTTTAGGTTATTTATATGGAGCTGAATAAAGGGGCAGACGAAATATGGGAGATGACCGCCGAAGCAAAGGGGGAAAGGCAAAAGAGAAAGGAGAAAAATACGGAGTTGGATCCATTGGGGAGATCCTTGGCTAATAATATACTGGATTATTATTGCGGAGTCCGGAATTTCTGGTACGGTAAATGAGTTTAGGAATCTTATCAGATTGCGACATCGGTGGGTGAAAATTATCAGATCCGATCCGGATTCCGGACCCGCAAAATACGTAATTGGGGACCGAGCACTCAAACATTCGTATCGGTTGAAGTTGGAAGGCTAATCAAGTTGCGACATTTCAATACCGCAGGAAGACTGAGTTCACTGTGTATGGAGTACATGACATGTTGAAAAAATTTCAGTTTATTCAAGAGTTGGGTCAAAAGACAACATTCAGAGGCCTTTACATACGACTAGCACCTGTGGTCGAGTGGTAAACCCACTCCCTCTTTCCAAACGACCAAAAGAAGTTCTTCAGTCCATTTGCTTGGTATTCTTGGTATGAGCGCGTTCTCATGAGTCACATTCAAAAAACCAAACAAATCGGCCTAGCAGCCAAGGGGGGCAGAGCTGCCCCACTGAGCCGATATATCCCGGATCGGGTGGGTTCAACATGACAATGTTCTTTTTTTTTGGCACTAGGCAGGTCCCTGCATGCGAATTTTTCTCATGGATATTAAGTTTCGAATCACCACTTAGTTACTAACTAGTGTGGAGTTCCAGGGTTTGTATTTGACGGGCGGCGAGTCTTATCAGCCCAATATTCGAGATCGCCAAATTCGAACCCATATATGCAGATTCCGATTTGAGTACCAGTTGACCTGTTCCGCCCATGCTCTCACTCAAGTGCTGCTCAGACAGGGGTAAATCTTTCGTTTGCAAAGATAAATATCCCCTATCAGAGACTTCATTAACGCATATCGCGACTGCGCCTCCACTCCGTTCTGATAGATATTCCTCCTAGTTTATTGCGGAATTCAAATGTTGTGTTTTCAATGTCGAATGTACCTGCCTAAGAGACTAGGTTCCGAATCCATTACAATACCGCAACTTTTTACTATATCAGAATGAGAAACAGAAATCGGACACATGAAACACGACTACCCTGGTTTTCATCACTAAGTACCTGATCATCATAAATGTAGGTGACATACATACAAAGTCTATTCAGCTTTGCAACGCACCTTGAACATGATCATGTATTCGTGCTCGGACCGGTAGTAGTCGGTTGAATTGAGGGACCAAAAGAAATATCCCGAAACCGGTAAGTAGATGGAAAGTAGCGCAATCCTAGAAAGATACATGCGGTCAAGGCTGCAACACAGCCGCGGTTCTTGTCCACCCATGGTGCAGTCTTGGCGACACATATCTTTGCAAGCCATCCACCAGTGCTAAGTAGCCCTGGAAATTTTCACTGAAGCACAAATATCCCAGTCTCCTCGCTGGTAGATGAAGCTGTAGAGCTCTGGGCTCAGTACAGCGGCGTCACGGAGTTCCACTCCTCACGGCCCATCGAAACGGCTCTCAGCTTGTAGCCCCTAAACCACTGCTCAAACTTCTGGCGGGTGTAAAGATGAGTTGGCGTAGGTCCCTCACCAAACCAGTCGAGGATGTAGTCACAGTACATCCAGATCGCCTCGTAATGCTCCGGTGAGAGATCCTTCTTGTCTTTGCGGGCAATGATCACAGTGCCGATGCCCGACTGCCACTTCGGGGGTGCAAACCCCGAATCTGCCTCAATGTTGATGTAAGTGATGGGCTGGTTATCGAGGTAGTTGTGTTGTCCATTTGAACGCGATCCGACGCGGTGAATAACAACGGGTAAATCGAGTAAGGCGGGCACGGGAGGCACTTCATTTTGGAAGATGGGGTGGTCAGAGGGAATGGTAATCGCAGACCATCCGGGGCCGCCTTCACCAGTACACTTGGCAGTTACAGCCTTGACTGTCTTTTTGTCGGAGGGGGACGCGGCTGGGGTAGCTTGAGCTGGGGCGGGAGCTGGCTTATTGGCTGGTTTGGGGGCTGGCTTTGGTGCCTGAGGCGGGGGGAATTCCGGTTCGGAATCGGTATCGATATTGTCCCATTTCGAGTAGTCGATCGGAGGCATTTTTGCGTTTCAGCTTGATTCAACCTTGGAATTATTTCCTGGGTTTCTCTTCGGAAACGGAAAAGAAGAACGAGAGAAGATTTGACATGAGGGGATTGGCGCGCCGTGGGTCACGATGTGTCGCGCGTGCCGCGTGCGTGGTGAATCTGATAACATTTTCAGTTACTACTAGTAGTACTTTTCATCCATTTGCTCTGCCTATTTGTAGAGTTGTTTGATGACAAAATTTTCAAACTGTCATTGCGACTTCTCAAAAGACAAGACTCGTAGGTAGACTGTCCTACATCCAATAGACAAAATTACAATTGTAGCGGAAATAACTAACATACGAACGATGGAATTTTATATAATTTCATACACTTTGAAGGAAGATACATTCGAAGTCTAGTTGAAGTCGAAACCAAAGTAGGTAAAATTAACAGAAACATAGAAGAATGAACCATCATCTTGTCCAGCCAAAACAGGAAATTACTACGCAAGATTATGCGCTCCAGGTTCCTGCCTTGAGTGTGGAAAATGGGAAATTGAAAGCTAGGACCCGGATGGTCCAATTCCAGGTTCTGACCTGCGCAAACGGAACCAGGCCATGTCGATGTCTGAAAACAGCCATATGGTCCCCGATAACGAAGTACCCAAGCATTACTACTCTTGCAATCCAACGAGCTTGAAGGAGTCCTTCCAGACACGACTCTCTTCCGTCGGGTCGTAGGTTTGCTTGACCCATCCAACACCAAAAGTCTGACCATCGTCCTCGCCACGGTTCGCTTCTTTGACATCTTCGAGATACTTTCCACCCTTGTTCTCCCATTCCTTACCCACGGCCGCCAATACAGTCGTTGCAGCACCCTGAGCGGGAGACTTGAGAATCTTAAGGACGTAGGGGTTGGTCATGATCGCGTCCAGAGCCTCCTTGGGTAAGTTGCGAGAAATATCGGTGTTAATGGCTCCCGGATGAAGACTGGTTGCATGGAGCCCCTGGCTTCCATATAGATGCTCAATTCTGTTGGCCAGATACACTGCTGCTAGTTTGGCGTTGTTATAAGCAGCCTCTTTGTTGTATTCACTCTCCTCAAAGTTGTAATCCTCGCTTGCCGGGAGACTTGCAGCTCTGTGGGCCGATGAAGATACAATAACAACCCGGGAGCTAAATTCGGAAGTCGCACTGGCTAGCAGACTCTGCTTTAAGAGCTGGAAAAGAAGGAAAAAGCCCAGGTAGTTACCCGAGAAGTGGGCTTCGATTCCATCCTCCGTGAGCTTACGCTCCGGGATACCCATAATTCCGGCACTGTTGACCAAGAGATTAACCTGTCCCTTCGAGGCAGAGAGGACCTGTTCAGCTCCAGCGCGGATACTTTTGAATGAGTCGAGATCCAGGGGAACCAGTGAGACTCTTCCAGGCTCCAGAATCCCAGCCAGATTCTTTTTGGCCTTCTCTAGATTGCGAGCTGGAAGGAAAAGGGTGGCTCCGGTCGCTGACAAGGCACGGGCGGTTTCGATACCAATACCCGACGAGGCACCAGTAATGACGATGACTTTGCCAGCCAGCTTACCTTCAACGCCCTCATCCTTGATTATTTGGAGAGCAGTTGGACGTGCATCACCGGCGCCTTGGGGGTCCGTATGCGCATCTGCGTAACGACTTGCTGAAGGCATGTTGAGTGTTTCGATCTTGAAACCGATATCCTTGAGTTGATTCCACAAGCTATTATGATGATCGGCGCTGTTGGAATGTTTGTTGTGGGATGAATTCTTTGAACCGTCATGGCGAGTTTTAGCAGTGTCTATTTATCTATTAAATTTTGCCTGCTCAAATTTTGCTCTGAATTACGATCTCTCAAACAATCACGGCAAATCTGTAGGATGGTGGTAAACGATCGCGTGAATTTTTGATATTTGTCATCTCGGGGGTTTGATTACAGCGAGAATGCCGACGTGTTTATGGCCCGGCCCAATATACTTCATCCGCTTGCTTATACGACCGTAAAGATGGCCGCATTTTCTCCGACTTTTATTCTGTAGGTTGATACCTAGTAAGTACTCTCCTCAGAATTCACATCTGTCAGGTACATCACCCTCACCCCTTTATTTTTGACATTTTCAGGGTCCGAATATTCTCAAAATACTACCCGGGACTGTTCTCCAGTCTGCTACAACCTCAATCGCAGGCTGATTCAATTTGCCCAGCACATATGCTTTGCGTATCGAAAATGCCCTTTAAAAATTAGGAGAAAGTCAACTGATAAGATCTTTCAGAATGTCACCTACATATAAGACAAGAGGCTCGTTGATGTTTGGCTTTGACTGGAACGAATTAAGGTCAGTGGAAAAGATGATGGGGAAATTACTGGGACATACTTCATCGCTCCGACAACATACAAACTACCAATCACTCCGGAGTCTTTGGTTTTTTCAAGCACCATCGGGTCTTGTAGCAACCCGGGGAAATTTTGGCTTGTTGGAAGAAATCGGTTGCTATCGACTGTCGCCCAAACCCCACGAACCTCGTTCCTTGACAGATAGATATTAGCTCTGAATTATTGTTGTTGGATTGCAGCTTACATTTTTTCACCTTGGAGAGAAAAGTTTTGCCATTCAATAAAAATAAATCCCCGTGGATCGAAGTTCAAGGGTGAAGGTGGTTCGTAAACCACATTGATGCACCATGCATGTACACCCGGGCTGAATACGCTGCAAGGGGTGCCTATATCGTCAATAGACAGCTCCCTCATTTGAAGATTGGACAGGCCATGTTGTTTGCCCGTGCTGGCCCGGTCTAGTAGATCGTTGACAAGATAGACCAGAGACTTGCTGGCAGCATGTGACTTTGTCAGGTTTTCACGGGTTTCCGTATCAAGAGCTTCGCAACCCAATGCAATTTCAAGATTGTTGATGATTGAATCCAGAGGTGTACGAACCTCATGGGCAGCGTCGGCCAGCAGCAGATAACTTTGCATTGAATGGTCTTTTTGGCGCCTTGCTTTGATGAATCTACCGTAAACGAAGCACAATACGGCCGCTGTTTCCATATCGGGCTCAGACCAGTCGCGAGATTTACCCAGAACCATCTCTCGCCATGCTGCGAAGCTGGTACGGGGCTCCAGATACCGTGTGTTCTCCTTGCTTTTAGTGGAGTGCGGATCGCCACCCCATTTGATCTCCAACAATTGGCCTTTACGGAAGAACACAAGAGAGTCGCGGCCATCGGTAGATAACGGCATATAGAGGAACCCAGATATGGCCTTTAGGCCGGGAGGGTAATGTAGGTCAGGAAAGTCCTCAATGATGTTGTGAGATGCAAGTACAGAGCTTAATCGGCGTATACGGAGGAATCCCACTAGTGCAAGTATCTCATGCGAATCACTGTCATTGATATCGCCAAAGATCTTTGTTTCTTCGTGAATCGAGAGAGCTCCGTACTGTGCATCGAAAGAACGTAGTAAGGACTCTGAAGAGGCCAATATAGAACTAGATATATTGGGTTGGGTGGGAAATGATTCGATCCATCTCCGTGCACGAAGTTGAGATGCAGAAGAAAGACGTTTGATATTTCGTGAAACCACATCGCCTAGTAGGCAACACATCTTCCGAATTGGAAATGAGACGCGCATCCCCTCATTTCCATACGAATGGCATGATATCAGGCCCCATAGATCTTTAGAACCATAAATGCTAATCGACATTGACGACCGGACTTGCATATTAGAAAGGTATTGGAGGTGAATGGGTGACATGGCACGTAGGTATACATGTGTCATATCTAAAGGTCTTCGTGAGTCTTCTGTGCTTCGACATACAAGCCGTGAGGTAACTTTGTCACGATCATAAAGTAGCCGAACTTTGTTGATCTTGTATAGCTCGCGGGCTTGAGCGGGAATGTCGGACGCCGGGAAGTGGAAGTCTTGGTATAGATCAACAGAGAGTCGCATTTGGGGGTCAACCAGTTCAGTAACAACCCGGCCGTTCCAGCTGCTATCAAACTGGTAAATCAGGACTTTGTGAAAGCCAGTCAGATTTTTGATCAGCCTCGCAGAAGCATGAAGTAAGGTATCTAGGTCATCAGCTAAGCCGAATTGCTCTTGGATCCGTGGCAAGGAACCGAACATCTCCAGTGCTGCCGCTTCGCCCCTACCTCGGCGGGCATTGCGAAAAGTCCGGAGTATCTGACTAAGATCGATATTGCTGCCCATAGGCCCCTCAGTACCTCTGGAGTCATTAGAAGCGCTGACGGGGCTTGTCTGGGTTCCACTGATATTTAGCGGATTGATATTATCGTCTTCAAGTTCAAGCTCGCAGATAATTAGGTCTGTTTGGGTTTGGCTGATGTGTACAGCGCACCAAAACCGACAAATTCCCCCGCATCCTGTGATAACAGACAGGGAGAAAACCTCCGGACCATCCACGGATGGGTCATGTATATCCTCTCGAATGGAATTGATGTGATACAAAAGCGTTTCTTCTTGGTCCACTTGTAGGATATCACAAAAGCTATGCAGCTCAAACATTTGAGTGGGAGAGTAACCCATAAGTTCGCTGGAATTTTCACTGACCACACGAACTATAAGCTGGTCTGGAGGTTTTTCTTGTAATGCGATGATAACACCGAAGCTCTGAATAGCACCCGGGACTCGGATCGGCTCATCCTCGCAGGATTGGAGTGAAGACCCATCTGTTCCTGTGATAATGGCGTGTCCGTTTTCGACAAGGATGTGTTTGAATCTCGTTGTAACGTGCGATTGAGCTTCATCAGGCGGGGGCCCCGGATGGATGGCTCCCTGAGCTGCAGCATCCCTTGGAGGTTGGTTCTCAGTCCTCATTGCATCCCCGATAGTTGGATTGTGGGTATTTGTCACCATGTCTGGCACAATGACCTCCCTGTGCAATGATTTCGATAGTCAGTAGGTGGAAGAATCCGTGGTGTCAAAACGAGATCGTCACAATCTGTACTCTTATCCTCTGGACACGCGACATGAGCTCATGGTATTACACTCACCCATGGAATGTAGCGGGATAAGTTCAAAAGCTGCACTGGTAGCACACCACAATGAATACGGCCAAACGACAGTCATGATGTCAACTTAACTTATAAGAGACCACTTCTCTATAGCAGCAGAAAGCTAGCGTGGTTCAACCATCGAAATAGAAATTCTGAATGTTCTTGAACCAAAGGGAAGCATCTGCCAACCAAAAGGTTATTTCCCTTGGGCGGGATTGAATTTGCCACCTCCTGCGCACAGCACCAAAGTCATTCTAGAAGTTTACCACTCTTGATCTATCGAATGGCGCCAATTTTCTGTGTTGAAGGAAAATTTGATGACTATTAGTAATATCATCGATCCATTCAATTTTCAGATCAGTTCAAAAGGTAAAAATTCCTATATGAAAATTAAATAGATGGGCTATGGTAAATTAACAAATACCTTCGTGACTTGACTTTGAAAGCGAATTTGTCCACACTCCATAGCTGTACGAGCATCTGCATCAGTAATATTTCGGCTCTTTCGCTGATCAAATAGCGGACTATATCCACTTTGCCGAGTCCAGCCGCTTTCCAATGTTGTGTTACTTGTGTATGGAACCAAAATTCCCCGCAAATTAGTAACCAGGCATGATAGATACGTTCTGCCACCGCTTTCGACCTAGTGTAAAACCCATACATGATCTCCGTAAACATACAGGTATAATTTTGATTAATAACGAGAACCGGACCGTAACAGAAATACCCAACTGTTTCGTGTTCCTGAAGATTTCCCATGTGGGGGTTTGGCGCGGAATTTCCGATTTCTCCCCACGTGGGCCATGATCGACATTTTCGCTTACTTTTCATCCATCCGCTGCTGCCTGTTTAGAAAATCGCTTGATGAGACCTGATTTTCATGCCGTCGCGACTTCTCAAAAGAGAAGACTTCCAAGATTGTACTTATTCCAAATTTTTCAACTCTAGGTTGGTACCAAGCTCAGCCTTGGCCCTGTATGAGGCAATCGACGATCGCTACTCCGTAATTCAAGACATAGTTTAATGCCAATTAAAGCGAGCCCTTAACAGAGTAGAAGCCAATGATATCGTCTCCTTCCCGGTGGTACGGAGTAGCACAAGGGCTTGTTGGGGGCGAGAGGCGCCCAGGCTTGGCGATTGGACGAAAGTTCCTTCTTAAAAGATCAACAAGCTAAGCCCCACTGAGCGTTGGTCCAGGGCACAATCGTAAGAAGCGTCGTCATCACCTACAACACTTCACGCCCGCATTCCCGACGCTGGTGTCCAATGTTCCCTTTGTCAAAGACTCAGCCATGGAGGCCTTCGCGAAATCTCGCATCTCCAGGCGAGCTGTAGTCTTTGTTCTTACTGTTGTTTTGCTTGTCAACTTTTATCTTTTTTGGTATGGCTGGCCAAGCAATTTGAATCCCGGCTTGGAGAGCCATTCGGAACCACAGGCTTCGCCCTCGGAATCTTCAATTGAGGAGATTTGGACAAATTCAACCGCTAATGGATCCGACTTGACAATTTCTGTACCGGAATATCACGCGCCAAATTCAACACCTCTCGCCGATCGCCAGGCGGACTTCATACAGCATCTTTTCAAACAACTCAACGAGAACAACCCGCAATGTCGCAATGTACGCGTAGATGAAGACACTGGAGGCATTGAGTTTGATGCCGTGAATGATACCCCTCGACCAAATTACATCGTGCGTGAAGATGAGATGCGAGAGCCGCTCGCCAAGGCCCACCGGGATTTCGTGGCTGCCATTCAGGATTTCGACGTCTCTAAGCTACCCTACAACAGCGGCACTCGAGGAATCATTTCATCTGCTGGTGGCGATTACTTCCCCACCTTCGTCACATCTTTACGAATGATCCGCCGAACGGGCTGCACATTACCCGTCGAGGTTTTTCTCATCGATTGGTCTGAATTCGAACCTTACATTTGCGAGGTGGTCCTGCCAAAACTCAATGCAAAATGTATTGTTCTGGCAGAAATGATAGAAAAGGCACATTTCCCAAAGAAAAACATACCACAGTTGAAGGGCTACCAGATTAAGCCATTTGCAATGTTGCTTTCATCATTCGAAACCTTCATTTGGATGGATTCGGACTGTGTTCCACTTCACGAACCGGGGACTCTTTTGGATTCTGAACCCTTCACATCAACTGGCCTCGTCACCTGGCCGGACTACTGGGCCAACACAGTTGCGCCTCTGTATTTCAATATCAGTCTTCAGCCTGAACCTCCTATGACAGCGAGACAATCCACCGAGTCGGGGATAATGCTGGTTTCTAAACAACAACATTTCTTAACACTTTCCCTATCAACATACTACAACTATTATGGTCCGGATTACTACTGGGCTCTACTGGGTCAGGGAGCATATGGCCAGGGAGACAAGGACACATTTATCCAGGCAGCCGCCGCTGTCAATGCGCCATTCTACGCTGTCAGCGAGCCCGTGGCGACCGTGGAGCGACCTGTCCGTACTGGAAAAATGGGCTTCGCCGCCATGGTGCAAACAGACCCTGTCCAAGACTACAACCTCACAAGCCAAGGCCTATGGAGAGTCAAGAATTCTTCCGTGGCACCGGCGCCAAGAGCCTTCTTCGTGCATGCCTCCAATCCCAAGTTCAATGCCGCAGGAAACATCCTAGAAGAATCTTCGAGAAAGGATGGCAAACCTGGTCGACTATGGGCATGGCCTGAAGATGTGACTAGACGATTTGGCTACGATGCCGAAAGAGCTTACTGGGATGAGCTCAAGACTGTGACTTGCACTCTGGAACACGCGTTCTTCTCGTGGCAGCAGAAATCTGGACTTTGTGAGGGTGTCCAACGCATTTGGGAGATCGCCATCAACAATCCCGATGCCCCCATACCCGGATTTACGGGTGAAGCCCCCGTTGATTTCAATACTAGTACCTACGCCTCGATCTTGACGTCAGTCTTGAACAAAGACGAGCAGTTGTCATCTCACCATCTTCCTGGATTCAAACGGGATCTGGGTTTGTAAATATTATGAATGCATCAAGGACTCAATGTTCACCCATTATTATATGTACATTAAACTTCTCAATTGCTGTTGCTGGCGCCTTCTGAATGCCAGGGACCAACTTTCTTTCATTTTAACACACGGACAGTCTCAACCGATTGAATATTGTTACGTGATCAATGCTGGATGAATGACGAGTCTTACTCCTAAGTTCTAACCATCGGGGACCGAATGAGGCAATTGTGCCGAATCAGCCTCATCCGTGCACGGTCGCACAGGCCGCCTGGAATCAAATAAAACCGCACGAACATCCATAGATCAAAGGCCTCAATTGATCTTGTTGAACAGAAGCACCCAGCAAAATGACCTTCTTCCGTTACATCTATCTCCGACTCGCACTCTTCATTTTGCGAGGCCTGGTCAAATTGCGAGCAAACATCAACCCGTCTCCAGATTCCATCCAGCACATTCCATCTCGAGAGCCCCGGCGGAGCATCAAAGCCCATGTGTATCAGTCAAAAAGAGACAGCGGAGCCGAGGGCTCAAAGCCACGCCCCGTCTTGATCAATTTCTTCGGCTGTGGCTACATCCTGCCTCTCCACGGAAGCAGCGAACAATTCTGTCGCCAGATAAGTGAACAAACAGACCGCATCGTCTTGGACGTTTCCTATCAACTCGCGCCCGAGAATCCCTTCCCAGCCCAACTCCATGATGCAGAGGATGTGGTGAAATGGGTCCTTAGCCAGCCATCCATGTTTGATTCTTCGCGAATCTCTCTCTCCGGCTTTAGCTCCGGAGGAAACCTTGCCTTGTCGACTGTATCCTCGTCGTTTGCACCCGAGACTTTCCACTCCGTTCTTGCATTCTACCCTGGCACAGAGAGCTATCGGGATCCGGCAACTTTGGTGCCGCCGCAGGTTGGTGGGAAGCAGATGCCGACATTCTTTCTGCGGGTTATATACGGGTGCTGGATTCCCGAGGGCGTCGATATGATGGATCCGCGGATCTCGCCTGGTCTTGCGGAGGCGGAGAGATTTCCTGCAAAGGTGTTGATGATCACGGCCGGGTACGACTCGATGGCTGAGGAGAGCGAGAGGTTAGCGGAGAAGCTGAAGCAGGATCCTGAAAGACGTGTTGTCTGTGAGCGGATGGACCGGTGTAATCATGGGTGGGATTTGAAGGCCGAGCCTGGGACAAGGGAATGGGAGTTGCGGTGCAAGGCCTATAGTATGGCTGTGCAGATGCTCCAGTCATAGTACTAGTTTTACAATTCACTCCGCGCCAGTCTCTTGATTCCAGTATTGACAGCATTATGGTATGATAATAATCGATACAGTAGTAGCGAACACCTTGAGATTTCTTAAAGCCATAGTGAGCTCAACTCATGGAAACATAATTACATGCTATTATTGAGGTTCTGTGTCATTGTGGAGAGGGAATCATCGTGTTGGTGAAGTCGCGTCCTTCAATCCAAAATCTCCTGTTTGGGCCAACTCTCTTTCTCTCACTTCCCTCCGGTATAAATACCTCGTCTTTCCCTCCTTTCCTCTCTTCTTCTCTTCTTCCTCTTTTCTCCCAACGACTGTTTGTTTTTCGCTTCCCCCCCCCCCCCCCCCTCACCCCCCACAGCCCCCCTTCCCCCCTGCTATACATATATTTATATATTTATATAGTTATATAGTTATATAGTTATATAGTTACGTAGTTGGTCTCTGTTTGGGGTTTCACATGATGACCACTCAAGTCTGCGAAGGGCAACGACCTTCGGGTCCGTACACCCAGGCAGCATCGGGTCTGAGATGCCTCACCAGAAGCCACTTGTCCCCGTCCCCCGTCTCCCATATATACGGTTGTAGACATTCATGAAATCTAAGGCCACTTTGTAGTGATCGCGTTCAATCACAATCTTTCATATTGCTTCAGTGTAGGAAATCTGGAGCCATTGCAAAGTTTCTTACATCTCTTGTTTTCAAAGTAGTTTGTGTCCTTGTTTCCCACTCTTTACGACGAGTCTACTCACTTCTAGTTCATTCTCGTTTTATTCAATTTGCCTTGTCACTGCTTTCACAAGTAAGATGGACTTCATTTACCAATAATCCTCGCTCCATTTCATTTACAGGCCCTTGGTATCCCGGGATATAACATCAATATGTACAACTTTAACCAAGCATCAACCGAAAGTAATGTAAGTAAAAGATCAAACTAGTGAGCAAGCTCCACAAGCCACGACTTGATCTTCTTCCCCTGCTCCGTCTCCGAATTATCATGCAACATAAAATTATAAACCGGCGCAACATGACACTCGCGATGGCCGACAAACATTTCCACATCCCCAAACCCGGCCTTGAACTTCTTCGAAAACTCCAAAATAATCGGCAACATAATCTCATTACCACCCCCCGTAATAAGCACACTCTTAACAGGGAACGTAGAGAACCAATCCGCTGGAGCATGGAAGAGATCCGTATAATTGTCTCGTGGCGCACGGCCCAAGACAGCCGTAGCCCAAGGCCCAGCAACATGTGGTGTAAGCAAGTCCCCACCCGAATAAATATCTTGGTCCGGGAACTCGGCGTCCAGGAGAGTCCATGGCGCGATCATGATAGCGCCACCGAGCTTACTATCGAGGGGCAAGGCCTCGATTTGGGGGTGGGGGTGGGCGAGATGCGACAAGACGCCGCAGGCCAGGTTTCCACCGGCCGAGTCGCCGCCTAAGAAGACAGTTGCAGGGTCACGGTTTGGCTGGGCGAGGATGTAGCGCGCACATGAGACGGCCTGTTTCAGCTGCGTCGGGTACGTGGCCGTAGGTGCGAGAGTGTATGTGAGCGCGAACACGGCTAGACTCTTCCCAGTTGCCTCGAGATGGCGGACGAGTTGGGCGTAGAAATTGATGTAGCCACGATTGGAGGGTAGGCAGAATCCACCGCCTGCGACAAGATATCCAGTGTAAGTTCATGATAAATCTTTGGGTAGACATCACGGGGGAAGCGATTGGGGGGACTTTATTTACCGTGATACCAGATCAGAACGTTTGTCGCATTGGGGTCTCCGATCCAGTGGCCGGTAGCGCCATGGCTCAATTCCACGGTGTGCGGCTCATAGCCTGCCTTCTTTGCAAAGCGATCGTAGATCTTGGTGGAGCCTGGTAGAATGAACTGCATCTGGGTTGCCGTCAAGCGTTGGGTGGATTTGCGCATGATGGCATAGCCAAAATGTAGGAGGAGGGACTTGGCCTGGCGCTCGGTGCGCCAGAAGCCCGTCAGGAGAGCATAAAAGGCGGCGACGATGATGCTGGCGACGGCCGGCAAGATGTCCAGCTTCTCGCAGAGTGTCAATTTCACCTGGGTGGTTAGTGACATGGTGGACACCGTGGAATAAGCATTGTGGAAACTAGCGCAGGGTCGCGGCCTTGATAAGTTGACGATAGGGATCGACTTTTGGACCTCGGTGGGGGAACGTGTTGACGATCGTTTCGCAATGCTATCCTATTTGGGGAATGATGGGGGCTGATCCACACTGGGGATTTGGCCCATTTCTGGTGGATTCTGTTGGGGCCGAGGTGAACTTTTGCTTTTTGCTTTTCTTTCAAGTTTGTCGTTTGCATGGGATTTGACCACTTGCAGAATATGGAAAGGGCCATGCGGAGTTTATCGAGAGGGATTGGACTTTTTGTGTCCCAACATGACTGTTTAGTAAGTTTCAATATGAACTAAATAGTAGTACAAGATGCATCATATTCTACAGATCCGTTACCCGATCGGCCAATTTCATTGGTGTAACTAACTCAATGATCCAAAGACCTCGGTTTTCGTGGTTACAAACCAAGAACTCATATTCTAATTAGTAATACCTACTGTGTTTCCATTCGTCCCCCCGCAAACGCCCAAGAGGGGAAAACAGGAACGAACATCACCCGAAAGGAGTCAAGCGCACGGTCCACGGACTTTGGAGGTACCGAAATCTGCGTGAAAGCGAAAGTGTGAAAGTCGATCATTGATCGGCACAGGGGGAAAAAGAAAAACCGAGGCATGTGAGCTCTTGCTCTATAATAAACGTCAGCCTCCCACAACCTCCCACAACTTCCAACATTTGCTCTGTATTTCACATTCAATATGAACGGACACGCGCAATCCGAGACGCGTTTTGACGTGGTCATCGTTGGTGCCGGCATGTCCGGTGTCAACGCCGCTTACCGCCTCCAAGATGAGCTCCCAGGCTACAGCTATACCATTCTGGAGGCTCGGGATGACCTGGGTGGTACCTGGGACCTGTTCAAGTACCCTGGAATTCGATCGGACTCGGACTTATTCACCTTCGGCTTTTCCTTCAACCCCTGGAGCAGTAGAAACCCCATCGCCGACGGCAAATTGATCAAAAATTACATCGGTGACACTGCCAAAAAGTACGGTATCGACAAGAACATTCAGTACCGTCACCGTCTGTCGGCTGCAAATTGGTCCAGTGAGGATAATTACTGGTCCCTGAATGTCGACCATGATGGTACTGCCAAGACCATCAATGCCCGGTTCATCCTGTTTGGTTCCGGCTACTACAACTATCATGAGCCGCTGCAGACCACTATCCCTGGAATTGAAAACTTCCAGGGCCAAATAATTCACCCACAATTTTGGCCCGAGGATCTGGATTACGCCGGCAAGAAGGTTGTCATCATTGGCAGTGGTGCCACGGCCATCACTCTACTCCCTAATCTGGCCGCAAAGGCCGAGCGCGTCACCATGGTTCAACGCAGTCCCACGTATATCCTCTCTCTCCCGAACCGCGGCGGCAATTGGCTTCTTCGTTGGATCCTCCCCTCAAAAACATACCACAGCCTCCTACGCCAGATGTGGATCATTCAGACCCGAATTTTCTTCCTTTTTTGCCAAGGTTTCCCCAATGTCGCTCGCTGGATCCTCAAGCGCAGAGCCAGCGCCCAACTGCCCAATCATATCCCCCATAACCCACACTTCCAACCTCGCTACAACCCCTGGGATCAACGGCTCTGTGTCTCGCCAGACGGTGACTTTTACGCCAGTTTGCGTAGCGGCAAAGGCGACATTCGCACCGACACCATCAAGACAGTCACCAAAAAGGGCCTCACCCTCAACTCAGGCGAGACTCTCCATGCAGATATTATCGTCACCGCGACAGGTCTCAAGCTTCAGATCGCCGGTGGTGCTTCTCTAAGCGTCGACGGCAAGAAGATTGACCCTGGCTCCAAATACATGTGGCATGGAGTCATGCTCCAGGATCTGCCAAATGCCTCTTTTATCATTGGGTACACCAATGCCTCATGGACTCTCGGTTCGGACGCAACTGCCCAGTTCGTGGTTCGCATGATCAAGTCTTTGGAGGCTCGGAAGCTTGTGGCTGCTACGCCACGTGTGAAGGCAGAGGACATTGCGACACTTCAACAACGGCCGCTAATGAAATTGAGCTCCACTTATATCTCCGCTTCGAACAATGTCTTGCCAAGGGCGGCTGATCGGGGTCCGTGGCAGCCGCGTGACCATTACTTCAAGGATGTCAAGTTCGCTACCAAAGGTAACTTTGACGACAGCATGGAGTACGTGCAAGGACCGAGCGTGCATCTTCGTGCCAAGATGGCCTGAGTGTTTCATGTCATGATGGACTAGATAATGATTGTCGTTTTGTTTTGTTTTTGTAAAGATTTACTCCTGGCGCATATATTGGTGGTAGTAGTATATACATAACGGTTGTTTTCGTTTTTGATCTAAACATTTGAATGAAATATATATCAGATTCATTGTGCACAATTGGGTAGACCAAACTAGGTAGCTACAAATGATACTCATGATTGTCAATGGGAAAGGGGAATGTTGTTTTCTTGTAAGGCATCTCAGACTCGATGCTGCCTGGGTGTACAGACCAGAAGGTCGTTGCCCTTCGCAGACTTGGGTGGTCATCATGTGAATACCAAAAGAGAAACCAACGATCACCCACGCGAAACACCAGCCCACAGCCCACAGCCCACCAAAGCACCCAGCACCAAATTCCCCTAATATCCTAGCACGGACCCTGGCGTATAATTGTCGAGAAACCCAGCACCAAACAACCGCCTAATGGCAGGGACCCTGGCGTGTGATTGTCGGGGATAATATATGAGCGCATGCGGAAGCGGAGGGAGGGAGAACGGCGGTAGATGGCGTAATCGTATAGTCGGGGCGAGGGATGACAGCGATATATTCGCATGTCTAGTAAGGGGGGGAGGGAGGACGGCGGCGGATTGGTGGCGGAATATAATAAAGTTGTCGTTTGGGAAGAAAGAAGAAGAAGAGAAGAAAGGAAGAAAGGGAGGAAAGACAAAGTATTTATACCGGAGGGAAGTGAGAGAGAGTGAGTGAATTGACCCAAATAGGAAATGCTAATTGAATAACTGGAGTCAGTGAATACTAGGGCGCTAACCATGCATGAACTACAGAGTTTGCTTGATAAACAAAGAATAACAAAGACATTGAATTAAAGCTACACTCGGATCAACATCTACTCAGATACTTGACGTGCTATATTTGAATTGCTTCCACCTGGGCAAGACCATGAAATGATATTATTCCAGACTAACAACTTGTTACCTCTACTAGTAGTACTTAGAAGTCTATCAAATCTCATTATGAAGCTTCTCATCCTTCGCCTCCAACATTCCCAATACTCGCTGCCAAGATTGACTAGCCCGAGCAGCATGTTCCTTGGGGACCGATGGGCTATTTTCCCCAAGAGTCCGCGAGAAGACTTCCATACTAACCCACCCAGAATACCCGAGACCATTTAAACAAGCATCAGTAACTTCGCGGATTGGTAGGTATCCTCCACGCTCCTCCTCACAAGGAAACAGACGAGCATTCCTCGACCAAGCAAGCAAAGGGTGCAAGCCTGGAGCCTGAAGGAACGGCTCAGTCGGATCAACCCGCTCCCCATCAGCCAGCTGAACCATCATAACACGATCAGGATCAACCTCGTTAACCAGCCTCTGCATAGACACCCGCAAATCCTCATCCGCACACGGCGGCAACCTCCCGTCCAGACTCAACGGATCCGCCCAAACCCTAGCCGCAATATTAAACGTATCCAAACAGATGCCCAAATTCGACCGATCAGCCCTACAAACCACATCCCAGCAATCCTCCCACGTGCTCACATGCGTGCCCCACGCCAGGGCCTCGTACGCAATTCGAACGGGGAATGCCAGATCTGCTGCCTGCGCCAGATCAGTGGCGATTTGGTCCCGATCGCCCGTTGTCTCTGAAGCGTCCAGGAACGAGGATGGAATCAGGATGAAGAGCGAGTCGCCCAGGATGTTGCAGAGCGATACCCAGTGCTGGAGCTCGTCGAGCCGTCGCGCGTGTTGCTGTCGATCGAGGAGACCCTCGTAGTGGCGGAAGGGTTGGAGGGCGAGGATGTGAAGGCCCCGCTCGACGCAGAGATCGTGGATCGCATGCGCGGCGTCAATCTCGTACTCGCGGTCGGTGCGGGCTGCTACGGCTGCAGGTGCTTGGCTGCGGAGAGTCTTGGCGAGCTGGGCAAGATCATCGTGGAAGAGTTCTATGCCTTCTTGTCCGGTTTGAGCGGCGGCTTCAATCTTGGAAGAGATTGAATGCAGATTGGCGGCGCCTAGGCTGATTGTTGCGATGGCTTGTTTCCATCTTAGTTCCGAGCCGGACTTAGGTGGAGTGGGAAGGGAGTGCATTGCCGGTGCTAATGGTTTGACCTGAAGGAATGAATCAGGGATCAGAGATCAGGTATTGAAGTAGCTGGTTTTTTGTGAAGGCCTGGACTGTGGATTAAGTATGATTTTCTTTTGCCTCTGCCTGCCCCTGAACCGGAATACTCCACCTCTAGTTGCTTACACGGGACTTCATGTTCACCTGATTCCGCTTCAGCTGCTTCCGTGTCGATCGGGATGGCTCAGGGGCGTCGAATGAACTGGACCGACGGCTGTCGCAGACCGAAATCCAATTCGGTGGGCCATTGTATCACCCACTTTTCAAGCTTCTGTGGGATCCACTGGTGCTAAGTGGACGAAAGATTGCTTGCAATCCCTTATTTGATCCGAGATTGATAGACTATTGAACAATTGATGTCTTCCGATGAAAATGTAAGCAAGGAGTTGCAATATCACCGAAGCATAACTATGAAAGCAGAATAAAAACGACACATATAAGCATCGTCTGTACCGCTGTACCCGCTGTCATGAACGGCTCCACTATCACCGAAGATACATTGGCACCTCTCGACCAGACAAAGATCTTCCAAGGCCCTTGTTTGTCCTACGTACTATTTTGTTGACCTGCAATGCTACGGAAAGGGAGTTTGAAAACACGACACTTTGACATTCGACGGAGAAATGGTGTCAAACGATCGCGTGACTTCAACATTACTGAGCTGTGTAACCCGCGCTCTTCCTCTATTCCTCTAATTCACTAGTAAACATCCGAAGATCCTCCTTGGCGAGATACTATGCCCACCTCGGGGGTCTTGATACCGCATTTCCAGTCCAAGTATTGTACCCACCCGTTGATATGTTCTTTCCAAAACGAATTTCTTCTATCTCTTAATTGAGCTGCGAGCATTACCATTCTAGATATATCCCCGTCCCTACTAAGCAAATTCCTTCAGACTCAGCTCAGCTCAGCTCACCGAGCTTCCAATCAAATAATCGACTGATTGTTTTCACCCCCTGCAATCCAGATCGTCATTCCATTATCAACATGGTTTTTGCTGTTGGGGAACATCGGCTCACTATTGGTTACAATGACCCCACCGAGCCATGATCCGCGATCGATCTACTATGGCGGCCGATAGAGGCCACCCACATTCCAATTTCAACTTTCCGACCGGCGAAAAGTAAATTACGAGTAATTTGAAATTCATATTTGTTTTTGAGCTCCATTATATGCAGCGCTGCACTATATATAGTGCTATAGTAAATTACTTATCTTTCTCCAAGTAAATTATCACAACAATTGGCAGAGATCCTCCTGAGTCACATTTGCATATTATAGATAATCCAGATGTCCATTCAATCTTCTCAAGTCCCTTCCCAAGTCTACTCTCAAGTCTACTCTCAAGTCTACTCTCAAGTCTACTCTCAAGTCTATTCTCAAGTCCATTCTCAAGTCTAGTATTCTAAAAGTGACCCGTATTTAGATCAAATCCCTCAAGATATACCTGCATGTGATAAATACAACATTTACGGGCGGGAAACAGGGCGGTGAAGTTAGAAATTGGGATTGGGATTTGATCCTTGGGTGGCCTCTATCGGCCGCCATACATAGCCACGGTGAGCGAGTCTTTCCCTCAGCACCGCCCCTACTAGTCAAGGAATTTGGAAGCTTTATCGAACATTAGCTACGAAAGCGCACGGTTTTATGGTCGCTGGATTTTTCATAAATAGTTCTCAATAATCATCCGAGTTGGATGTGTATTTGCAGCTTCCAGATTCATACCTCATATGTACACGTTCTAAGTGACAGATAACTTAGTATATACAGTACTGTGCAGACATTTCGATACGTTTGCGTTGCCATTTCATTGACTCATCATGCATAAACTGGTCTGAGGTCAAAGGAAGAGTCTAGTGTGGTCGCCGCAAATTCCTTTTCGTCATAGAATTTAGCACGGATCTCCAAGTTCTCAGGGCCATTCTCAAAGAACTTTTGTTCCGAAGCAGGCAAATGACACATCATGCTAGCGTTCGGGAAAATACGATTCTGGAACCCAGCATCAGTAAGCATAATGACACTGAGTTAAAGGATCTCAGACACGACCACTTACCTGATATCCCAGCCCAAGCATAATCCGATGAGTGTCCGTCTCATTTGGCATACCCGCATGCCATAGTCTGATATCTCGAATCATGATATCCCCCGCCGAGCAAGTTGCCTGGATCGGGGGGCGAATGGCTCGTCGTAGTTCCTGTGCTTCCTGAGTGACAGCCGGGAGCGGCTCGCCGAGTCGGTAATGGGCAGTGATTTCCTCTGGCTTTGTGGCGATCTTTTGGTCGTGATTCGATGTGTGGGCGTGCGATCCGAGCCAGAACTCGGTGGCGCCGTTTTCCACGCTGGTGGAGCATAGCGGGATATTGGCGATGAAATAGTATGGATATTGGGGGTGAATGAAGGCGTTGTCCTTGTGGACGGCTTGGCGCATGCCTCCTGTGTTGGCGAGTGCTGTGTTGGCTGTGAGCCAGTTCCAGATTGGTTTGTGTCCGAGATATCTGGCGTGTGGGTGGTCAGTAAGAGATGGTTGTTCCCCCCTTCCTCTCAAGGGGTTTGTCCCCAGGTTGAGTACAGATATGCATGTGGGGATATTTACGCATTGGCCAATTGTAAAACGAAGGGGTTGTAATAGATATCCTCGTACAGAAGACTCGGGTCAGTGACAGGCGGTCTTTGTAGAAAATTGGCTGTTTACAACTATGTCAACAGTAGTTGCATCATTAGAAATCGCCACTTTTTTGGAAACTTACATTTCACAGAGTGATTATACACTTGATTGGGATCATCTCTCTTCTTTTCGGCATCGGCACTCATCTGCCGATTTAAAGCCTCGATGTGATCTATATCGACAACTCCTTTGAGGACGACTAAGCCATCCTGGTGCATGGCCTCCAGGGCGCGTTGAATGGACAAATCGGAGTATTTTCCATAGCGGCGTTCTTCGTCGGTTAGAATGACGGTTCGAGGCTCGGGCTGCGCGTGGATCGTCATGGCGCAGGGATTTAGCGATTCAAGGCTTTTAGGGTGGCAATAGATTAAAGATAGAAAAAAGGTGCGAAATTTCACGTGGATGAGGGAAGAGGGGAAAAGAGGAGGCTTATCTATTACACTTTATTGGAGAAAAAGTCTTGGATTCTTTACTCCATTTTCTAACTCGATTTGACTCCATTTCGCAGAAAGAGCGGGGAAAGGTAACAGTGAGAATAAGCCAGATCAAAGCTACTACTAGTATTTACTCCAATTTTCAGACACATTTTACAGCATGTGCCTTTAAAGATCACAGTACAAGGGTGCTAGTCATGCACATATTTTAATATATTTTATTGAATCTCATTCTTATCTCGTCCACCTCTTATCTAAGTTATCTCTGCTGATTCCTATCTCTGCGATTCTCTTCCAGTCATGGCTGGGACGCACGGACTGTGCATCCCGGCAAAAGTAACGTAATTGGAGGCAAATTGATCTTTTAAGGATTCTCTCTAGTAATTATACCTGACAAGGGTTGATGGCCTGCAGCGACGATAAGCCACTCGCTTCCATCTTCCCATTCAAATGTTATATGTTGTGCCAGCTTCCCCCTTCTCGTGTGTCTCCTTAAAAAGGATCTCACCCCTCGCTAGTAGTCAAGGCTAGGACCAGGGCAACATCGAGCCTAGAAAAGGTCTGCGCATGCAATCGTAGTTTTCAATATGTCGACAGCTAGTTTCCTTTCGAGGTTTCTTCCATCATCGCAAACTTTCCAAAGTAAAAGCGCGTTCCTAGATACTCTTCGCGTTGAAGATACTCTTGTCCCCAGCGATCATAAATATGTCGATGCCGATGCGAAATGGATGAATCAAGGTTCGTATCCATCACTTCAATGTTCAGTTTGAATGTTACCTGTTGTTCTTCAATGCTCATTTGCTAATTCCATACCAGATCTGGAGCCTACTCCACCCGAAAAAAGAAGTAAGTTGATTCATCACGCATGCACATGCGTTCTTCATCTGACATACATGCGTCAATCACAGCATGGGACAGTTGGACATATATCTTGCTGTATACCGGCATTTCATTCGGAAATTGGAACCTTGGATCAGTGAGTTTTCCACATGTGCACCTCCTGGACTAGGACCTCGGGGAAAAAGACGCGAACTAAAATATTCAATCTTGGAAATGAACAGACTATGGTTGGCATCGGTCTCAACTGGTGGCAGGCCATTGTTGTCATCTTCGTTTCCCAGGTCATCTCGTCCATCGCAATGGCCTTCAACTCCCGCGCAGCGACAATGTACCATATCGGATACCCCGCAGTAGCCCGCGCTGTCTTTGGCATGTATGGTAGCTATTACTTTGTCGCTGCCAGAGCTGCTCTGGCAATCATTTGGTTTGGAGTCCAACGTACGCGTCCTCCTTTGAACTGGAGTTCACACTCGTGTATTCCTCTTTGCTGACATCTATTTCATAGTATATACTGGTTCGTCCTACCTGTCCAATATGATGCGCGCCATCTTTGGAAGCCATTTCGAAAATATCCCCAATCATATCCCCGAGTCCATGGGTATTACGACCAAGGGGATGCTATGCTTTTTCCTTTTCTGGCTCATCCATTTCTTCTTCTGTTTCTTCCGCCCGTATCAGCTGAAGAAGTTTTTCTGGTTCAAGGGATTTGTCATGGTTCCGGGCATCGTGGGTGTCTTTATTTACTGCATGATCGCGTGCCATGGTAATGTTAGTGGAGCACTCCCCACTTCGACAAGTGGATCTCTTGGGTGGTTCATCATGCATGCAATCAACAGTGGAATGGGGTATGTTACACAATGCTCTTTCTAGCTTATCCCGCTACCTAACTAACAGAAAATTGCCCACGCCAGAAATACTGCGACGCTCATCACAAATCAACCCGACATTGCCCGTTGGAGCACCAGCAAGAATGCAGCCATTACATCTCAGCTGGTTAGTGCCTCAATCACCTTCCAGGAAATGCTTCGTGGTCTAATCTGTGACAGTTCGTTCAACCCATCGCCGTGACGCTCTCCGCTACCTTTGGTATTCTAGCCACTGCCGGTATTAACAGACAATGGGGCTTGGAACTATGGTAAGCATGTGTGTGTGTTGAGGCGATTTACAAACATCGTTAACAACAATGTCTCATAGGAATCCCTGGGACTTGCTCGATGAGATCCAGACGCGGAACAATCACCCGGGCGCGCGATTCGCAATCTTCCTTGCGGCCTTTTGCTGGATGATCGGCGTCCTCGGAACGAACATCGCCTGCAACATGATCCCATTCGGATCCGACTCGGCTCTTCTTGTTCCACGTTTTATCGACATGCGCCGTGGGTTTTTCATCGTCGAATTTCTCGCGTACGCAATTGTTCCCTGGAAGATCATGGCGTCTGCGGCAACCTTCACAACATTCTTGTCTGGATACGGTCTTTTCATGGCTAGCGTTGTAGCCATTATGATTGCAGAGTGTGAGTTACAGACATCGCCCCAAGCACTCAAACATATATTGATTTGCCCATTATACTGACTTTCTTGCGAAATGCAGATTTTATTTTGTCAAGAGGCAACGTTTTCGTTGCCCACCTCTTCAACCCCACAAAATCAAACCCGCACTACCGGTACACTGGAGGCTTCAATATCCAAGCCGTCATTGCTTATTTAGTTGGTATCGCATTGCCTTTTCCAGGATTCGCTGTGTCCTTGGGAGCGACCGGGCTGAGTCAGTCAGCTGAGAACATGTTTGACCTGGGCTGGCTTTTGTCTTTTTTCACCTCCTTGATTCTGTACCCACTTATCTGCTGGATTTGGCCAACAGAGAATCAGAAGATGATTCGAGCGCAGGGGTTGGCTTTTGAGCAGCAGGCCAAAGTATATACGGGATCGGACCCTTCGGAAAATGGAGTCGAGGAGATACAGGTTGTCGAGGAGAAAGCACATGAGAGGGAGAAATTTTAGTTATGGGCATGGAGTGCGGCGGCCGATAGAGGCCACCCAAGGGTCACATCCCAATTTCAACTTTCAGACCGGCAGAAAGTAAATTCCGCATGTGTAGTTCCAAATTCATGTTTGTTTTTGAACTGTATTATATGCAGCCAAGTAAATTATCACAACAACTGGAAAGAAAGAGAGACAGAAATCCTATCATATAATCCATTCTCAAGTCCCTTCCCAAGTCTACTCTCAACATTTGAAGTCTATTCTCAAGTCTATTTTCAAGTTTATTTCTAAAAGTGACCTGTATTTAGATCAAATCCCTCAAGATATTCCTGTATGTGATAAATACAACACGGGCGGCAAACAGGGCGGTGAGGTTAGAGGTTGGAATTTGGATGTGTCGTTGGGGTGAGGGCTATCGGCCGCCGTACATGGAGTCTTGTCGACTTTGCATTTTTGGAATCTCAAACTTTTCCATTACCAAACTTTGAACCTGAATTACATGTATGTACGATTCGTCCTACTATTCTAACTGCAGAGGTCATCCATGCCCACTACGTTCACACATGTATGCAAATGTGCATATATATTTGTGCATGTGGGGAGACTCTATGACACGCGTGTAAGCAGATCTGTGACACTAAAGAATAACCATCGCGTGAGATCATCAGACGCAAAATAAGTCTTTTTCTAAGTCCCACATTAAAGAGATACATTCCCAGACGCGTTGGAGCTTTCAAAATTCACGAGTGTCAATGTTCATCCAGAGATGACGGAAGGGAAGTTGTTGATGGTGGTTGGAGAAAGCTCCACCACATCGCTTGGCACTACGTCGGTGCCTACAACGTCAATTGGAAAACCACAAGTTTTCTCACATCAAAGTCTCTTTGAAACTCTAGAGACTTAATCCGAAGCTTTGCATTGATCACCATTTTTCATGAGCCTTTTCTTATCATTGAATCCGAACTCCAGCCCCTGTCAGACTGGCGGCACGGATTATTGACGTTGTTTACACCCCGCGTGACATTCCCGGTAGTGGAGATGACTGGCCTCGCAACGAGCAATTGCTGACACCCAACAGTATACACGCCCTGCATTCCCGGCAAACACACCACGCACTCAAATCCCCGCTACCAAAGCCATCTACGTGCCCAAGCCGCTTTGTTTGTGCGATTGAGTTCCATGAAGATCTGCGGTCCCGGAATTCTTTCTGCAGGCTACTAACAACAATCCCTGTGTCCGATTCGAAGTATCTGGTGGAATTATCTGTACTTGTAAGTACTATGCCGCACTGCGCAATGAGATTCCTTATCCTCCCCCTTCCTTTATTCGACCTGCACCTTGACGCCCAGCAAACGCCACCAATTACTCGCTGGAATTGGCCATCCAGACTGGTTGAGCCTAGAGACCAGAGCTATTATACATCTACTCTACCTATTTCGGCTATCCTAGTATTGGTGTTGGCTTTGCAGCAGCATGGGATTATCTTCAACATGGAAGGCAACAGCCTTGCTAATTTGGCTGGCTGCTACAGATAGTGTATACGGTTTGCCAGGCTCTGGTGTTGGTACTGCTGCAGAGATAGTTCTTCAACAAACAGCGACTCAGCCCGCCAGAACTTTTGAAACACAGTATCCTCCATCGAACGAGAGAATCCTTATCCCAGAAGCTTCACCAGTAAGAATTGAACACCTAATATTATTTGCAAAAAATCGTGTATACTGACATGATATGGCTAGATTTACCGTGTGGCGCTGGAGAAGCAAGGTCATCCATCGCAGTTTCCTTTTCCCGGAGTCGACATTAACCGTTTCCTTGAGACTGTCAATGGATTGTTGACTCCAACCAAGCCAAACAAACCAACCAAACCGATTAAGCCAATCAAACCGACCCACAAGCACCAGAAATCACATCAAATTACTACTACAACTGTGCCAAAAACTGTCGCGAAAGCACCCAAGGAAACACAGCCTGCAACATCTGCCAACGGTTCGTTCACCTCTTTCAGATTTCTAAAGGCGAGCCAGAGAATTGACTATGTCCAGTACCAGTTCCGACTACTCTTTTGCCTGGTCCTGCCAGCATGGACAACCAAGACATTTTCTTGCCGGTCGCGACAGAAGCACCACCGGCTAACATCAAAAGCCGCAATGACCACCCTGTGCCTAACAAACATGTAGGAAAAAGAAATTTGATCAAATGAACCGGAGCCATACTGACCACTCGCAATAGGCCAACACTACTGATCCAATTGAGACGAACAAGTTTTACGCTGGCTTGTACTTGGGATCGCAGACCAATGCTAGCTTCACACAGCCTTACTCCCTTGGATGGTCAAAGGGCGCTGGGACTCTGAAGAGCTGGGGCATGTCGGCCTCCCACATCGAAATGAATGTGATGGCATTTGGCCCCAAGAACGACAAGATCCCTGGATCCCCTGTCGATTACTACATCAACCCTGTTGGGCTTCAGCATGTGATCCTTTCGGCAACGGAGCTCGATGCAGCCAGTGTCCTCAGCGTTGAAGAGCCTAAGGCATTCTCCGCTCACGCAGTTCTAAGACGTTCCGCTGGCTCCGACCAATCTATTACCTTCCCGATTGTTCAGGGCATGGGCTATATTACTGGCGTTTACAATAATCTGCAACCGCTGATCGAAAGTGGCATTTTCTTCCGCAAAGTGGTGAATGCGGGATCCCCCAAATCAGGTATATTCAAGTATCAGGTTACTTTGGAAGACGACACCCATTGGGTTCTTTATGCTGCCCCGGAGGATGGCCAGGACCCGAAACTCAAGTTGGCCTCGCAGTCTAGCATTACTGGTCCAAAAGGATTTGTGGGAAGCATTCAGGTCGCCAAGAATCCTGCAGGAAAGAACGGCGAAAAATTCTACGATAACTCGGCTGGTGTTTATGCAGTAGATGGTCACATCGATGGCACCGTCACAGGCGATGTTGGCACATACAGCCTTTCGTGGACCAAGGCTGGAAAACACGCACATAAGAGTCCGCTCATCACCTTCGCCTTACCACACCACGTTCAGTCCTTCGATAAGAACACCCAGGGCCGTATCACTGATATTCACTTGCGAACCACCACCAAGGGCAACGCAACTGCTGTTATCGGCGAGACTTGGACCATGACCGAAAGCAATTTGCCCATTGACATTGGCTTTGCTCCTTGGTCAACCACGGATGGAACTGCCAACAGCCTTTCCCCGGGCGCTCAGCAGGCTATCCTCAAGGTCGCGCCTGCAGAATTGCAGCAAGATATTGAGGCACAGAGTGATCTGAACAGCATGTACTACAGCGGTAAGGCTTTGAGTAAATTTGCTACGTTGATTTACACCGTGAGCCAGCTTGGCAACAACGCTGAATTGGCCAATGGAGCGTTCCAAAACCTGACAAAGAGCTTCGCCCGCTTCGTCAATAATGAGCAGCAATTCCCCTTGGCCTATGATGCAGTCTGGAAGGGTGCCGTCTCCACTGCTGGTTATGCTGGAGATTTGAACTCTGATTTTGGAAACACGGCGTACAACGACCATCACTTCCACTATGGCTACTTCATCCAAGCCGCCGCAATCATCGGAGCTCTCGACCCTACCTGGCTCGCTGAGAACAAGGACTGGGTTAATATGCTGGTTCGTGATGCGGGCAACTCCGTTCAGAATGATGCTTATTTCCCATTCTCGCGTGGCTTTGACTGGTACAATGGCCACTCCTGGGCCAAGGGTCTGTTCGAGTCTTATGATGGCAAAGATCAGGAATCGACCTCGGAAGATACTTTGTTTGCATATGCGGTGAAGATGTGGGGACGTACGACTGGCGATGCTAGCATGGAGGCTCGTGGGAATATGATGCTGGGCATCATGCGACGAAGCCTGGATAGCTATTTCTTGATGCAGGATAACAACACCAACCAACCTGCCAACTTCATCGCCAACAGGGTGACTGGTATTGTAAGTCTCGACCCTAACCCTGCTTTTGGTCTACACCAGATGCTTACAATTCCTCGCAGCTGTTTGAGAACAAGGTTGACCACACCACATATTTTGGTAACAACCTCGAGTTTGTGCAAGGGTATGATTTCTCGATTCAGACATTGTCAAATTTACGTACTAACCCCATGCTTTAGAATCCACATGTTGCCTCTTCTCCCGCACTCCGGCTACATTCGCCAACGTAGCTTTGTGACCCAGGAGTGGAATGACATGTTTGCCGCCACTGCTTCAACTCCAGCCTCAAATGTGGAAGGAGGCTGGAAAGGTGTTTTGTACGCCAACCTGGCTCTCATCGATCCGCATGCCGCCTGGGACTTCTTCGCACAGGACAACTTCGACTACAGCTGGATTGATGGTGGCGCATCTCGAACCTGGTATCTTGCTTACGCTGCAGGTTTGTCTCTACTTGAATCCAGAACTTTGATCACGCACTTGCTAACAATGACAGGCCTTGGCGGAAGCCCGTAGATGACTTTATTTTGATGTTATTGGGTTGATATTATTCTTGGCTATGATTGTTTTGCTTGATGATGGTCGCACATTTGCTTTAATTTCGACCAATTCTTGTATATACTACTTTCTTAATGCCCTGGACCCTTTTCTCTTCTTTGGGTTCTTCTAATTTCATCAAATTACACTACCCTGTATGATGCTTTAATTTGTGATGCGATTCAGAGCCCGCACGTGTGCGCCGCAAAGTTCGAACAAATACTGGACAAAAATGATGCAAGTGAGCCCTTTTAATTCTTTCTTGGTCTCTGTCTCCTAATTTTATATGTGCATGAAATGTTGTCTAAGATTAAAATAAGTTATACATGATATGTACTATGTACTAGGCAACATCTCTGCCTGTTATCGCTAATGATTGATGATTGTGTGATGCACAGATACGTGACTCTTTAGATGCGTTATCAAGACTAGAACCAAGGCTTCCTGGAATGCTTACTGTAAGCGACCCCGGCGTGCTTGAATCTGAAGTGTTAAACCAGACATGCCCTTTGGGCAGCCATGAGAACAGCTTATCTCATACTACCCAGCGATCCGTAGTACGAAAGGTGGTTTCCTCATGCCAATTCCCAAATGAGTTCCGGTGCGGCGCAAGTACCACCTCTGCAAAGTAATTGGCCTCGTAATGGTCAAACATCAATTCTCCACAGAAAAACAACTGGTCTTCAAGGTCATCAAAGGGGTCAAACTGATTGAAAACCGGAGCTTTCAACGTGAAGTCCGACAGCCATTTTGAGAAAAGCGCAGCTCGCCTATTGTAAGCGTTAGGATCGCGCTGAAAACGTTCGACATTATCTATGATCCACTGGGTGATGTCAGCGGAATCTGATGGCACAGATTCCGCGCTCGTACGAACCAAGGCCTCGAAGAACGCCTGGTTCAAATGGGGCTTGTCCCGACCCACGCGGGTGACATGCTCGAAATGCTTTGAGGGAATCGTGTAGAAGACCGGTTCGCCGTTATTGGCGTATTTCCAGCGAAAGATGAACTCGTCTAATTTGAGCAGCGAGATCATGGCATTGTAATTTTGCGTCTGGATGGCTTTTGTCACGCCCTCCATCAGAGTGCTCCGGTCCATGTTTGTCAGGGTGCAAGGAGCGCACTTTGTGTTCGAGCGTTTGAAGTTCGCAGACGATATGCGCAGCATCTCGAGGAAGGCGACGTCTTTGGGCGTAAAGCCTGTTTTGCTGCCGCGGAGCAATTTCTTTGGGAAGTAGCACACGTTGAGCGCGGGCCAGTTCAAGACTATGCCGGATCGGGTATGGGTGATCTCGACATCGGCCATGGGGGTTATGAGGAGCTTGTAGCTGTTCTTGGGCATGTTCGGGTGGTGATTGTAGGCTTGCGTGAAGAGCGAATAGGACATGCCGGTGCGCTCGAGGATTTGGGTGGTGGTGGGTCCGGAGCCGTTGAACTCGAGTTTGGAATCTTGCTTGCGGTCCATGAAGCGCTGTAGTTCCTCCCGCTCGACGGGGTCCATCTTGACACCCTCATCGAGCCACTGGCGTTGAATAGTCAGGTTAATCAGGGTTGGGACCTGGTTTAATATGCGATCCATGGTACACCATATGCAGGAGAAGACGAGACGTTGCAGGTTTTCGCGCTGGGACCAATTAAGCTTGACATAATCCAAGGGTTTGAAGGCATTCCTAATGGTGGGGCTGCCTCTGTATGAAGAGCCAGGGTGGTCTTGTGGATAGTCCGTTTGGTCGGTGGTGGGGTCTTCCCAGAAGGCGTAGAGGATGAGGAGGCGGTAGACTCGTTCGCTTGAGAGTGCTGCAGCTAGGACCGGGGATGCACGTGGAAGGTTGATGTTGACATCGGGTGAGGCCAAAAAGATCTTTTCAATGAGTTCAACCGGTAGGGCTTCGAGCATGGACAATCGACGTGGTGGAGGGGACTCGGAGGAGCATGGTGGTTCGGCCGCCACTGGCATCCCAGATCGTCCGGTAGCCCGCTTGCGTTTAAGTTTGGCTTTGCGATTCGGGGTGGAGAGTGATTTGAGAATAATTTCGGCGGGTATTAAGCGTGTCTGCCTTGAGGGGGTTCTGGATATTTCTGTCCTCGACAGTGTCATGGCAGGTTGTTGCAGGGGAAAAGTATGCAGAACGCGATCGATTCAACCATGCAAAGTTTCCGGGTGGCGACGTTGATGATTGGTTGCTCCACTTCTGCCCCTTGATTTCTTAACTTCAAGTGTACAATGAATACTAGCTCTTTTTGGTAATTTTGTGTATTTTTGTAAGGCTAGGTTTTTATTTATTATTAGGTATTTGGACTTGGTCTCATAGACACAAAGATCTGAGCCTTCTCAGCAATTCAGGTTGTGTAGTGTAATGGTTCATCACTCCAGATTCTGATTCTGGCGATCCCGGTTCGATCCCGGGCACGACCTTTCTTTTTTGCACTTTCTTGTAAGTGTATACAGACTCACCGCCATAGACACGTTATTCTGGGATTTTGTTATGGGCAAAGGCCTAAATGGATTCATGTCAATTGAGCGTTTTCATATTCGAAAGATTAAAGATACATAGATGTTAGCTCAGCTTCGGGATCTTTTCACACGTCTAAAAGTTACATATTTCCCAAAAGTCGTAAGATACCAGCAATCCTTCCACCGATAGTCAAATGATATCCAGTCTCAACGACACCTTTACACAGCTCCCATGCGGCAGTACCATCTTTAGTACCAGCAGTGCCCTCTATCTTTTGAATTGGATAATCCACACGCGGTGGAATAGCAGTACCGATCAGAGTCGGAAATCTGTCCACGCAAATGGCCTTGGTATTGCAAAGACCGCGCAGACCTTCGTCGCCTGCAAATCGACCATATCCAGATCCCTTGACACCACCGAAGGGTAACTGAACAGCGTAATAGGCTCCAAAATCGTTGACGGACACCATACCAGCCTCGATACTGGAGACACAAGCCTGAACGTCAGCGGAATTGTGCCCAAAGACACTAGCACCGAGGGCGTAAGCAGTGGAATTGGCAATAGAAATTGCATCCTGAACGGATTCAGCACGCATAACAAGGAAAATAGGCGCAAACAGCTCTTCTTGGGCGATGCGCATATCACGGGTTACATCGACGAGGAGTGTAGGTGTGAAATAGTGGCCATGTTGGTGGCGCGGGTGTGCGTGTCGTGATCCGCCAGCTAGCAGCCGGGCGCCTTGTTTGACGGCCTCGGCGATCAGCGCTTCAACTTTATCAAAGCAGGCCGGGGAGATCATAGCGCCCATGTCTGGTGTGGTAACGTCGGATGTGGCGGGGGAGGGGGTATCGAGGAGGATGGATCCGAGACGGAGTCCTTGAATTCGAGGTGTTACCATTTCAACCAGCTTGTTGTAGGTACCGGGTAGAGCGATGATGCGCTCCACACCAATGCAATTTTGGCCAGCTGACTGGAAGACGCCGCGCATGAGAATGGAGGCGATGGTTGGCAGGTTGCGAATGGTACGGGAATCGTCAAGTATGACGGCAGGGTCTTTGCCGCCTAGTTCCACGGTGACTGGGGTCAGCGATTTGGCAGCAGACTCGCATACCTTGAATGCGACGGGACGGGAGCCGATAAAAGTGAGGTGGGCGATATCAGGGTGAGAGGTCAGCTTGTCCGCCACGGTAGGGAGGCACACAATGGTTTGTACAAGGTCGCGGGAGTGTCCGCAGCTGGAAAGAGCGCCGCGCACAATATCAAGAAAATACGCCGTACACCAGGCAGTTTGTTCTGACGGCTTGACGACGACACTGTTGCCGGAGAACAGAGCGCTGATCACGGGTCCGATAAAATTGTGAAAGGGGTAGTTCCAGGACACACAGGCTGACACTACACCCAAAGGCTCGTAGGTGACAATGTTCTTTTTGTACATCATCAAGAAGTTGGTCGGTCTGCGCGAAGGCAAGAGAGCTTTCTCACCGTGGTCGATGGTCCACTTGAGCTTTTCGGCCGTGACCAGAATTTCTCCGAACGAGGCGTCCACTTTGGTCTTTCCAGAATCGAGGCAGCAAGCTGTTACTATGTCATCTTGGTGCTCAAGCACGTATTGGAGGAGCGTTCGCAGGACCTTTCTGCGCTCTGGAAATGTAGTCTTCGCCCACTCGCGTTGTGCTTTCTTGGCCGCTCGTACCGCTTCATCAACATCCTCCGCTGTGGCAGGGCGGATTCCGTTTCCCAGGACTCGACCGTCGGCGGGACAGTAGCTCATGATTAATTTATCATTCCATTTCTAGTCCACATGGCCATGGTTAGCTGCGGCTTAAGCCCAGAAGCACAACGGTGAACACTTACTCCGCGGACTTGATCCTCAAGCACCTGCTTCTGCTGACCTGAAACATCCTCCCATTTCTTGCCTGTTTGGCTTTTGCGAACTTCTAGTGGCACGGGAACATTGAACGTAACGGCGGCTTCTCTCTGGCACTGCACGCAGAGCAATCCCGCGTAGATGGCGACAAAGGAGGCGAACGCGACACCAATCCACAGTGATTTTTCTTCGTAGAGAGGAGCATAATGCTCCACAATCTCACGCACCGATTGCGGGAGGTATGAAAGAACACAGGCCATGTTGCCGAAAGAATTGGTGGAACTGGTCTGCCAGCGTGCCGCGTGACCCCTGGAGCTGTGGGAAAGAAGGCGGCAACTTTTCTTTCGGCAGATCATCATCATCACACCACAACACCGCGCATAACCAACCAACCATATCTGAGTGGGGCCCCATCATATAATATTATATCCCCACATAATAAAATGATGTACATTTTTATGCGGGTAATTCAATCTGGGACATCATTCCTTGGGGCTCAGCCCATCCCGGAATACCTGCCAAGTCTTGACAAAAAATCGTTTGATCTTGTTTTTTTTCTTGATCTTCGGCGTTGGGAAGCTAAAGTAAATGTCCGGGTCCCGGCTCGTATCCACTGGACCCGTTGTCGCATTTGCTGATGCTTTGCCCGCTGTTTTGCCTAGTTTTTTGGGTTGTCCTAGTGCTGGTAGCGGGGTTGGCCGTAGTTGCTGCTGCTTCGCCGTCCGGCGAAGAGTGCGCTTTGGAGGTGTATTGAGGGCACTAGACGTCTCAAGGGCGCTCGGCGTCTGAATCTGGCCCAGATTCTCCAGGATATCTGGCGTCTCTACTTTCTGTAGTGGGGATCTCACTTCTAGTATCTCAAGGGCGCTCAGTGTCTCAAGGCTGCTCGACGTCTCCATTGGATTCGACGTCTCAATAGGACTTGTTGTGTCAAGGGCGCTTTGCGTCTGAATCTGGCCCAGATTCTCTAAAATATCTGGCGTCTCCACTTTCTGTAGTGGCGATCTTGTTGCTGGTATCTCAAGGACGCTCGATGTCTCAAGGATGCTCGCCATTTCAATCTGCCCCAACTTCTCCAGGATATCTGGTGTCTCCACTTTCTGCAGTGGCGATGTCGTTGCTGGTAGCTCAAGGACGCTCGATGTCTCGAGGCTGCTCGACGTCTCAATTGAATTCAACGTCTCAATAGGACTTGCTGTTTCAAGGGCACTCCACGTCTCAAAGGGGCCTGGTGTCTGAAGGGGACTCAGCGTCTCCACTTTCTGTAGTGGGGATCTCGTTTCTGGTATCCAGTCCCTCCTCTTGATGTAAACCCGCCCGGCAGCTTCACTTTCTTCCAAGGGGGCCCAGCGGCTATTGGTAGCTGTATCTGCATTTATCTTTCTGTCCCTCTCTAAACGGCAAATATACCCCTTGCGAGAACGAGCGTAGCCGTTTTCAAGGAAGCCGTTAATGACTTTTACCCCAGGGCTCAGGTTGAGGGTCATTTCTGCGAAATCGGGAGCATTCAGCTCATTTTCGTCTTCACCATCAAAGCGCCATGAACCGTACTCGCTGTAGGCCCTCCAAACCCGGCCCTTCGCGGCATGCTGAAGGGCAGATCCCCTCAGTGTCATCAGGTCGTTGTAGGCCTTCTTGTCGACGCGGTCGACTACCACGGGGTCTAGCCCCCTCTGGGCGTTTTTGAGCAATACCCACTTTGTTAAATCATCGTCATCGTCGAATGATTTCGGGGTTGCGTGTAGTACAGCAAGGGATTCCTCCGGTAGACTTGGACTACGATGAAACACAGGTTGACCCCACCAATTGAAATGGTGCACACCAGGCCAATAATGGTAATTTTGATCTTGCCACTTGAGCTCTGCGTCGTAGGCGGATGGAATATACCGCTGTACCTCTTGGCGATAATTGGGTGATTTGTGGCGGGGGGGATAGGGTTCTTCGTGATAAGCATCATTTGACCCAAGTGAATCTGGCAATGACTGAGTGTCTTCATCGGCATCGTCATCGTCACAAGGCTCATCTTTTGACAACTCAACATTGACCCTGCTGTGATCGTGATTATCATCACCAAGGAATCCTTCGTCCTGCTTGTAAATCTCATATGCAACGAGTACTTCGTCCTCATTTTCACTGTCATAAGCATCGGCTGCTTCGTCATCCTCGTAACTATCATAAGCATTTGCTGCTAGATTCATGTATCCATAGGATTTGACGAGGCGCTTTCGGCATGCTGTTAGAACGCTTTGCGCATCAGCCTTCAGTCGGCTGTCATGGTAACTTTCATCGGTATTGGCTGATTTGTCCTCGTAACTTTTGTAGGTATCAGTCTGTTCGTCGATGTAGCTAGAAGAGTCCAGGAAATTCCGTGGGTTTGTAGTTGAGATGCTTTGTGCATCAACATTCAGTCGGCTCTCATCGTAGCTCTGGTTGAAATCCTCATAACCTTCAAATTCTTCGTCCATGTAGCTAGAAGATTTGAGGAAATGATTTGGGCTTGTTGTTAAGATGCTTTGCGCATCAACATTGAGTCGGCTCTCGTCGGAGCTCTCGTCAAGACCCTCATAACCTTCAAACTCTTCGCTCATGTAGCGAGACGATCGAAGGAAATGCTGCGGGGATGATGCTGGGACGCTTTGCACATCAGTACTCAGTTGGCTAGCATCGTAACCATCAAAGAAATTGGTTGATTCGTCCATATAGCTGGACGACGTGCAGATAATGTTGTTGGACTTCATTGACTCGTCAGTTTCATTCTCTGTAGTATCAGACCAATTGAAGGCATCTTGAGACCGGAGACTTGCACTTAAGAGGGAGATTTGAGGGAGGAAAACAGGCGAAGGAAGACGAGGAGGAGATGGAGGTGGAGTGGGAGACGAAGATTTATCGGAGTCGTAGGACTGGGTGCTAGCGAGCTCTCCCTCAATGTCCTCATCCGAATCGAGGTCCTGCAGCTCCCAGAAGCATGGGTCATTGAGGTCGAACGCGTCTTCGGTGATAATGGGAGGGGAAAAGGTTGGCGACTCGAGTTCCTCGGACTCATCCGCCCAATCGAAGGTCGAGGGCTTCAAGAAGCCGGCGAGAGCAGCGGCGTGAGCAGCAACGTCAGTCATCGTGTGAGAGATGATAATTGATGAGATGGAGTTATTGACACAGAAATGTCAAAAGAAATCGGTTGGAAAATTGGTTGATAGAAGCAGAGGTAGCTAAAGGTGGGTACGAGGAGAAGATGTTATTCACGAGATCAAAAACATTGAGATAGGAGAAGACTCACCTTTTAAATGTCAACAAATTTGGGAAAATGGTGGGGGTGCAATGGGAAAGAAATGGGTGGAAGAGGAGGAAGTAAACAAAGAAGATCGCGTGTTTTATGTCGATGTGTGAGTTGCCATGGAGTTTCGAATCAACACATTCGCCACGCTCTTATCAAGAATCTTTCCCAGAAGCTTCCTAACAGTTTACTTTATGCTAAATCATGTCTCGAGGTAAATAATGGGCGGAAACATTGTCTTTTATGGCTAGAGCACTTGAATGTTAACAATATCTATCGTTCTTAAATTATAACAATGACACACCACAATGATCTTAGATCCATTCTTTGTCCCGACAGCAAGATCTGAACGTCAATAAACATAAACAAAGGCCTGCATTGTTCTTTGTTGTTTTGTTAAATGCGCAGAAGGAAACAAAGACATTGCAGGGCTACTAATTTGGGACTATATTGATGAGTCTACGAGCTCAAAGAAGCTGTCCATATGACGCTGACTGCATTGCGAATACTCGTACATGCCCAGGTGTTTACTAATTATCTGATCAACTCAAATAAACCTGTGTAGGGGAGTTTGGAAAGAGAACAGCACTTGGAAAAAGGGCTTGATATTTTATAGAGGCTACTTGCAAGCCACTCTAACTTTGGAGGTATGGCGGTCCACGGGTAGCATACGTGCGCTTGCATACTAGTATGCGTGTACTAATCTAAGGTTTCCATTAAATGTTTAAGCATAAATATGAGATCTGCCCGTCGGCATTAAAGGAGAAAAAATTCAATGTTATAACATTTGGCATTTGAAATGTTGTATTCGGGTCAAGTATCCTAATGTTGAAACCCTAGTTAATTGGCTATTTTTGAAAGTTATTACTAAGCCTTCCAAGGATCATCTACAGATCTCAAACAATGAGGTCGATCCATGGATGTAGTAGAAGATTTTTAAAGTTACACTAGTGCTTGCAAAGCTCCAGATCGAGGCCTTGCCTAGGTGTGAGCTGCAATGGACCAGTTTTCATAAGCACTAAAGTGTATCCTTGCAAGAAACCTTGAACAAAACATTCAATGTTGATTTGAATCGCCTGAAGTGCTCTTTTGACCTTGGAAGTTTCAAGGCCTCCTGCACTTGTGGTTCAAGAAAGCACTGTTTAATGTTTTTCCAGGCTAATAATGTAAAAGCTTCGGTATACATGATAGACGTACTAGAATTGATAGGTCTAAGGATGGATAATTCAATGTTTATTCGATTGCCGGTACTACGAACTGTACATGATCCCTGGAGGTGTTCCGTGCTTAATAGTAGTTTATCCATGTCAGAACAACCTTGATAACAACTGAATGCAGGTCAGAAATGGGGCTATCTACCATGGAATATATGCTTGGCAGACGAGGGTGAATATGAAAAATTATAATTTTCAACGTTGCAGTTTAACATGTGAATCCCTATTGTTTTCGGTCGAATAACCAGATGCAGTAAAATTCCAAGACCAATTGAAAGCCCAAGAAGGTGACACATCCGAATGAACTAAACGCCACTCTTTTCCCCCAATATATTTAATATATTTGACTTTGGCCCGAAAACCCTTGGACGCTTCCCCGGGGCCTTGGCGAGCGCCCCGTGGCAGCTAGTTTCACCCACAGCCAATCACAACAACGCTTGACATCTAGTCAGTGCAACGGTACAAGGGAGTCACGCACAGTAATCTCCTGCGCAATTTCTTTCATATTTATATTTCACTAATATTTCAAGCGTTCAAAGATTCCCGCCTCTTTTATCTTGAAACATTGCCTCGGTTTTCCCCCCCTTTTTGTTGTTCTTGGGATCTCTATATACCAGTTGACAAGTCGGACAAGATTCAATCTGAAACATCCGCTGCTATCGGTCTTGTCGGGAGATCAGTCGATCCACATGCACCCACATGCACCTAATTCAGGAACATCCCCGCAAATCGGGCACCTGGGGAATCCGGAGACCCCAGGGGGAAAGGGAAAGAGAGAATAAAAAAGGGTTACTAAACGAGATCTATACGCAATGTCAAAAATCAAAAGAACAGATCAAAAATAAATCAAAACTCTGGCTGTCATTTCCACAAGCCGCTAACTCGAGAATATCAATCCTGCGTGCGTCCGCCACAATTCTTGCATTTGGTCGCTAAGAGGCGGTTTTTAAGTTGACATGTGAAGATTAATCTCACTTCGATCCTGGTCGGATTTTGGCAAATCAAAAGTTACTAGTCATGACCCGGCGCTTTCCGCCATATAAACTATCTTGTCCTCGCAGTCCCGTGGCACACTGCCAATGTACTAAGGCTGCCTTACTTTTAGTCACTCGTTACTGCAGTTCTTGGCCCATGCCATTTTTTCTTCTTTTCTTTTCTTCTTTTCTTTTCTTTGGCCTTGACGACACCTACCCTGAAATCCCTTTCATATAATATTTATCTCACAGTTGAGGCTCCAAAGGTTTCTGTCTCAAGGATCATTCTCCTAAGCTTTGAAATTCGGTATCATGTCTATCAATAAATCCGAAGCCGTGGAGACTACCACCGCCTCTCCGCCGGTGAAACGGTCATTTGGGTCACGAACCGCCACTCATTTCAAGAAGTGGTGGTGGGTACACTTGATTATCTTCATCATCGTGCTCCTTGTCATCCTGTTGCCAGTGTAAGTGATATGACTCTTCTGTTAAATAATCTACCTGCGCGCGCTTGGGCCTTTGAAGGATTGAAGATCTAATTGACACAGAGTCTATGTCGCATACCCCAAGATTGCCCAGAATGACATCAATAGCTCCACTCTCAACATCACAAGCATGGTTATCAGCGACCCAGCGCCCAAGTCCTTTTTCCTCGATCAAACCCAAGTCATTGGCTCTGATAGTTCTTACCACCCTGAAATCTTCTCCTTTGATGCCGCTGTATCGTTGGTGGGAGCCGCATCCGCGTTTGCGACTGTCAATGTTCCCGCAGTGAAGTCCAAAGATGGGGCAGAAGTCGATGTGTCGCAGACCCTCGATCTGAGTGATGCCGACGCCTTTGCCGACTACTGCACCGCCGTTATGATGAACGAAGAAGTCTCGTTGAATATTTATGGAAAGCCAAAGTTGCAACAAGGATCATTGCCAAAAGTGACTGTGACATATAACAAGACTGTTACCATGAAAGGTAAGTTTTGGTCTCTGAAACTTGGCATCTAGCGTTTTCTTTCTCGACACACCCCCGTACTGACCCGAGTATGGTTCAGGTCTTAACAAACTCAGCGGATTTGATGTCACCGAGTTCCATATCTTGACTACAGCCGTGAATGGGCGCAACATGAACGGCACAGTCTACATTCCCAATCCCTCCGTGATGACATTGAGCATGGTACGGCAAAGTTTCCTTTTCAATATGCTCTGCGGCAATCCAAAATACTAACACTTTTTTTTCCCTGCAGGGAAATGTGACCCTCAACCTTCTCGTGGCAAATGAAACCTTGGGTTATTCCTATCTCGAAAACCTTGTCCTCAAGCCAGGAAACAACACCGTTCCAATGACCGCGACCGTGGATGAAGTTGCGATTGTCAACATGCTTATCTCGTCTAGCAACCCCTATACCGACGGCGTTGTGCCATTCACTATTACTGGAAACTCCAGTGTTTATAACGGCAACGAGTTGCCTTACTTCACCGATGCATTGAGCGCAAACAACCTTACCGTGCAACTGAATGTCACCAAGGCGCTTGCGGAGATTGGCGTCAAGCTCTAATCTGGCAACAGATGAGGAATGGATAATTGGATTTTGGAACTCCGTCGATCAATAATTTGTATCCTATACCACCATTTACGATTGAAAACCTTCAATATTAAATTTAATTACAACATCCTTCTCTTCAAATGTTCTCGCGTGAGATAATTTTCTTCTCCGCATGCTCCAGCTTGAATGGACTTATTATGGGTAGTTTGACTTCGGAACGTTTTCCCACTGACAATCAAACATTTGATTAGGATCCTTGTCCTCATCAGGCGAGTGAGGAACCCAGATCTATCATTGCAGAAAAGGGCTATCCCAAGATATCCACGAGATGGCAAATATGCATCAATGTCTAATGGTATCTCCAATGGCGCCCCCGATGTTGTATAAACCTCACTCAATGGGGTGGCTCTAGTTCCGGATTTGACACGCACACGTTCAATAGGATAGTGCCTACTTCAGGAATCTCCTCTCCATTGAAAATTCCAGCAGAGAACATATCTATGTCATCGACTGTGGTCACCTCGCTGAACATTGTGTCGAAAAGTCTCATGTTTTCGACCATTGAGTGTTCTTCCCAAGTGGTGCCTTCAGCAGATTCAAGAATTCCATATAGCTCGACTCGGCGTTTGAGATCCTCGGTATAGAAGGTGCTAGGCTGTTGTTCGGCTTCACGGATAAGAGCATGTGTCAGGAAAAAGTCGAGGGTTGATAGACAGCCTGGTAATCCGCAACAAGACTTGGCGCTGCGCGAACCGGCCGGCGGTAGGGTCCATGAAACCTTCTAGGGAGATGGTCAACTGGTAGCATCATTGGAATCACCTGAGTCCTGACTAAGATCGACTCTAGGAGTCTAGGGCCATCCAGAGACAAAGACTGTTTGGTCCCACCTTGGCCTCTCAGCCAATCGGGTGCTGCAAAAAAACACAGGTTCCCGCGTATTAGCGGGCGGGAAGAGGGCGGGATAATACAGGCGCGTGTGGCGTGCGACCGTTAATGCCATACGGGGCTCCCGATAGGCGATTTCATGATAGGTCTCTGGCTCGGCAATATTAGGGTACCAAATGCAGTATGGAACTTCCTGAGAGAACGCGTTGTCGTAAGGCTTCCGGTGAGGTTGAGGGGCAGGAGAAATTTCAGACGCCGGCCTTGAAGGAATACGCGATAAGTTGTTGCTGTTGATAAAGCGTGCAGTGATCGCACGTTTTAAACGCTTGTTCTTGCTCTTATCTTCTAATAGTAGTTGTGTTGACGACCATTCAACGAAGAATGTGTCGTCTTGATTTAAAATATACGTATCTTTAAATTTTGGGGACTTGAAATCAAAAATCAAAAACTGCGTTATAAAGGGGCGGAAGTTCTAGTAGACAAAGCGTAAAAACTGCAGATCCACATAAGTATAAAAGTCAAGTGCTTCCTTTTCAAAGAACATTTGAAGGGTTTCATCAGTGGCTAAAGTTTCGATGCAAACTTTTCCCCAAAATCCAAATTGACCTTTGCATTCCCTGCAAAACTCGGACTGTCATCAATGATACCATCCCACCTGTCCGGAGACAGCATTGGAGCTGTACAGTAGGGTTCAACATCCAGGCTATCCAAGTATTCCCCTAGTCGCGGCAGAATTGCATTAAGCGCTTTGCACTCCATCTCGAACTGAGTCGTACGACTGAGACCCATTTTCTCCACAAACCAACTGGAATCGGCTTTTATAGCACCAGCCTCGTAAAGTGCCAATAGGGCGGGGTCAATACCGGCAGCGGTAGAAGCCTCGTATGCCATGCGTTGGCCAATAGCCAGAATCATCGATCGACAGTGAGGCAAAATGTAGTTATTATAGTCGGCACTTCGGTGGTCTTTGATATTCGCCTGAAGCTCCTGAAGCTCAGCTCTGATTCCTGATTCGTGTTGTGCCAAGAAACAATTCGGGTTCGTAGCTTCGGGGATCTTATAGCGGTCGATCAGAAGCTCTGTAGCAAGGCCTATGGAAAGTCACTTAGAGAGGTGTAAGTGAACATAACAGACGGTACATACGGATAGACAAAACCTGAATTTCCCCTTCCGCAATTCCAGTGGCACGGGTCAATGACTATACTAGTCAGCCATGAACATGATAAATACCAGAGGTTGATCATACCTCGAACGCTGCCATCTGATTATGTGGATACACCCCTTGGGCACCACTTCTCTCAATCAGATTAGCCAAGCTTCCCTGGCCATTCTGGAGGAAGACGCTTTAGAGAATGACCCCAAGTCCATCTTTAGCTGCAGGATGAAGGGATACATCAGTGCTATAAAGGTCAGTAATCCAATCCGCGAAAGCCTCCATGACAGCAATTTGCGCCAAGGCATGCAGAATAGGCAGTTGTTGGGTGCGGAATGAGATGATTGGAACACGTCCGCCCCGCATTCCTTGCTGGACTGTTCGACTCTGGCTATACTTGCCCACAACAAACGTGGCACACTTGAGAAACGGAATTATCCATAGACTAAGTGCCAACGCTCCATTTCCCAGGCGGTTGATAGCTGAAAGATATTGATCACGCATATTGGAGGGCATTGCAAGATCTCCAAGCATTGCCTCGGCCGGAAGTCGAACGTGTTGGAATGACGTCAAAGAGTGGTCTAACATCTTTCCTCCAGTAATAGAAGGTAGGAGCCTTGAGGAACATCATTTATCAATATTGAACCTACAGATTGTCTTCTGGGAACGTACCAAGACCGAACGCCTTCACACATCTCCTTTCCATCGTTGAGTGGAACGATAAATGGTCGAATACCTCTATCTTCACCTTTCACCACCAAGGGCAAAGACAATTGCAATACGACGGGTATCACCAATTGGCATAGATGGGGGCATGAATCTATAGTAAAGTCAACACCCCGACGGCCCATCAAGCAGAAAATTGACAATACTTCATTGCAGCAGAACTTGGTGTGTGAAGGATGAAACTCCCATCCGACTGCCAAGTCGACGTAGTCTCCAGATTTCTGGCGTCGCATCCGTGGCCAACTTCATTCAGCATGAAGGGGGTTCTATCAAATTTTCAATCAGCATTTATCAGCAGGCATCTTGGACTCAGGGGGATCTTACGAAATATCGAAATTCAAGATTGATTTCATAAGAGGCTCCAGATCAGGCCTTTTGAGCACAAATGGAGCTAGTGTTCCAGCTACGAGGTTCAACTGAATCGTGACCAAGATCTGAGCAGTGGTGTCTCGAAGAATAATCATATCTTGATGAGCATCCCAAAATTTTGGAGTAAGATGGAAGACATCCTTTAGACTCAAATCTATTGACTTTTAGATCGAATTTAGATCAGTGATTCAAGATAGTGACTGACTGTGAAATCTTTCAATTTCCCTAGCACGGCGGTATGAGCACTCTAGTTCGTCAACGCGCCCTAGATCCTCGTAGTGATGCTCAAAAATTGGATTAGAAAGGAGTTTCAAGGAAGAGGACATCGTCATGGCAAATATCAAATATATGATGGGATTTTCGAAATGGACATTGACCTTCGAATATCCAGAATAAGAGACCATTGAATAAGAGCTTCTCTTTCAGTCAATTTATAGAGCCTTTGCAATTGATGAGTTTCTGAGCGCACTCATGTTGAAAACCGGTTATTTCTCACTGTCGCAATAGATATTCGAAAAGCTCATTCGGATGCATCATGCGGCGCTCGAATCCAATAGAATATAACCACCTGTGCAACCATCCTTATTCGAATAGGATCGCATTTCCTTTTATAGAGGACAGATATGTGCATCGCTTTAAAAAGCATATACTTTGGCTGTAGTAAATTCTAATAACATGCAGAGTGGGTTGAAGATTTTGCTTTGACTGGCAGCGGCAGCATGAACACCCACGTTCCATGACCGCAATATGTAAGTGGCAAATGATGCAGTATGTGAAATGGCGATGTCTATGTTTGAAAATCTAGTAGCGTTTGGCAGTTAGCATTTTAGACCTACAGATCGAGTGGGCCAAAGCCCTAAGTGAATACATGAATTAAGGTTTGTTAATATTACGGTTTCGGTCAAGGCGCAGAACGTATCACATTTCACGTTCAACAGGCATAAAGCCTCGAACTTTGGCTAGGGCATTTTCTGAGGTTATTGAAAATCTAGTCTTTACTTACAGCTGATGTGACAAAACCCCAGAGCAAGAATATTTTGTATGAACATGATCAAGCACTTGAGGGTCATTAGCATTCCCTTCTAGATTTTCCTACCAATTTCCTCCATCGGGATTCGGGACCACAAAATTAGCGAAGGATGAGCTATGTATAGTCTCGTAACATTAAGCAATTTAACTCAACATTTGAAGATAAAGCTATTCGATCAAATTGCCAGATATAAATGGATGTAGATTTCTTTTTGCATTATAATTATGTCTGTATTACAGTAAGAATCCCAATATGAAGAAGCTCAGCCCCGACCATCCTCCACACCCAGTTGGTTTGGTCGCAGTATTGTACATCGAGGAGGTGGTAGCCGAAGTAGAGATAGATATGGAGGACGACGACGACGCAGCGGAGGCCCTATCACTGCTAGACGATACCGGAGTTGGCAACGGAGCAAAGGAGCCTTCAGTGTTAGAGGACGTGGTCACCACGCTAGACGGAGAGGACGCCTTGACAGGCGAGCTAGTCTCCGAATTTGAAGAAGTGGACTCGGAAGTCACCGACACCGTGGTGGTGGTATCAGTGGTTGAAACTGTGCTGGAAGTAGTCTCTGGCTGCGTCATCGCAACCGTCGTAGTCGCCGGCACCAGACCTCCAGTGAGCGGAGCCACAGCATATGGTGGATCGAACAGCCCGAAATTACCACATGCGTTGCAGGGTGAAGCCCAAGATTTGACGGTCTCCGGGGCCACGAGGATAGGGTCACACCGACCGTTGGGCGCTGCCGTCGCGATCACCGAAGGATCTTCTGACTGAGGACAGTCGGTACCGAGGTCATTCAATGTGAGTTGTCGCGTAGCTGAGTTGACGGTATCTATGGTCGAGACTTGATTCAGGTCGAGGGGGAACACTACACTTGTACCGGATGGCCCAGTGCGACCAGCAGTGTTGTAGCCATAGATTGTGTTGATGACCATGTAGACCGATGGTGAGGTGCTGTATGTGACGACAATTGTTAGTTCAATGAAAAGAGACAAGTATGGAATAGAGAAATTTCTCACAAGGTATAATCGAGATGCGAGTCAACATAAGTGGACGGATAAATGCGGTCTGGCTGATTTGTTGGCCAGTAGAAGAGGTTCACAGTTCCCACAGACCTTTTCAAACAGCATTAGCAAAATATTCCAAATAAGCTCGTTCGTGAGACCCGAAAACGTACATGCTGCAAGTGGTCGGGCATGGGTTTGGAGCTGCTGTGATGGTTGTTGGCACGATAATCGTATCAAAATTCGTATCTGTTGTCGTGACAGTAGCTGTATCCGTGACAGAATCCGTAGTAATATCCGTCGTAGTATTCGTGACAGTATCCGTGATTATCTTTGTGATTGTGTCTGTGATTGTGTCTGTGACAGTATCCATGATTATTTCTGTAGTCGTCGTAGTGTCTGTGATGGTGGAAACCTCCGTTGAGACTATTGACATTATGATGGTAGTGGTGACAGTGCTGTTGAAGCATCCAGTGGATACTGGTGTTGAGGTATTCATCGGCGAGTGCGTTGGAATACCAATAGTGCTGTCGATTGCAGTGTCACTATAATAGATGGAAGGAGTTGAAAAAGAGTTGATGTGTTCCGAAGTGCAGGTCGTCATCTGGCTGCTTGAAGGATGGTAGCTAGGGAAATATGGAGTTTGAATAGCTTCACTATGTCAGTCGCGACCCAATGGCTTTCTTTTTTTGGATAACTAACCAGGGTTTCGAATGCCTTCCGCCCAAGTGGCTAGCAAGCCGAGCGCTGCCCATAGTCGCAAAGTAGTAAACAACATGGCGACAGAATTTCCCACAAGCACAGAAAATAGGGCTGATACTATGCAGACATGCAACTGAAATTGAGCAACAAGCAGCAAAAAAGCAACAGCCAGACGCTTCTAAAGGTGATAAAGCAGCAAAATGCATTACGGAAGCGACGTAAACATTGATCATAGCAAGAACGACACTAACAACCTTGGCAGCTCGTCGTGTCAATGAGCTTTTAATATTTGATGCAGTCATTGTACCCAACACGATCGGCGTATTAACCTAGAGAGGTGAAGAGATGCGGTCTACTGGCCAAAAAGGGCAATGATTTGGAAAAACACCGGCCATTAATGTCTAAATCACAACCGAGAACGAGGATATACGAGAACGCCGGTTCCTGGATTAGGGTGGAGCAGGTTTTGGCAGATGCTTAAGCCGGTTTTTAACGTCACCGTCCGTGCGTGGGCCCTGCGACCCCTGCCGTTCGGCCCTGTCCGTGCGGTGGATTCCACTTGGCAGGGTGGCCCGTTGGTCTTTTGAGCTCCAATTGACAATGTCGATCTCATTGAATTAATGGACTCATTGGCTCGGACGGATTGAGCATGGCAGTGATGTGGCAGTTCAGACAAGAGCCTGCCGGTTTTTGTCGCCACACCAGCCACGTGGGATGTGATTTCTATTATTGCCCTACCCCAGGTAGCAGCTGGAGACTACATTTCATTTCTTCAAGGCCAATTTGATGCCTCAACTTGTACAGATACATTCGGTCGGTCTGCTCTTGAAGCTAATTGTCATGATCTCTTGGTCATTAAAATGTTCCGCGATTCGCAAAGCTGAACGTTCCTCGTCCGCCCTTGTTATATCGCCCAGTGAATATTTGTGACTCTCTACCGAAACCCATTGGATTGATGCTATGCCGAATGCTGATTGTGGAGTTTAGTGAGGGTAATGACGGTCCTTGGAGCAGCTTCTATCTCCAAGTTGGTACTCCGGAACAGTCCGTCCGAGTGCTTGTCTCGACAGCTTCCCCAGAGTCAATGGTTGTTTTGTCCGACTATGGTTGTTCGGATTCAGTGTTTTCCAATGCACCATCTGACTGCGCAGTCTCCAGAGGTACCTTGTTTAATGTGAACCAATCATCTTCCTGGGACGGATTGGGTCTCTTCGGTATCAACCAGAATGGTGTAGGTCTCGAGGCCAATCTTGGTTATTACCAAAGAGGAGAATTCGCCCTAGATACGATAGGGATCGGTCTCACTGGACCTACTTTGAAGAATCAGACTGTGGCCGGAATTGCAACACCCGAACCTTTTTATCTGTAAAGACCGCAATGATCTCCCTGTTTTGTCCATAGTTTACTGACCTAAGGACCAACAGTGGAATATTTGGCTTGAACTCTCAACCCGTGAACTTTACATCCCTGGGAAACTTCTCTTCATCCTCATTCATCACGACTCTTAAGGATGAAGGCACTATCCCAAGTCTGAGCTGGAGCTACACGGCTGGTGCCAAGTATCGTAAGCTTCCTCATCAGAACAAAACACTCACAGCGGACGATTTCTCTAATCTCAGGTTCGTGCCGAGGTAGGCTTGAAAGAAGTATATGGCCAACTTGTCTTCTCCGGTTATGACACATCCCGGTTCACTGCGAACTCGGTGTCGTTCACCATGGCCGATGACGTGACCCGCGACCTGGTTGTGTATCTACAGTCCATCAGCTATAGCGGATCAAGTTCTGCCACATTACTCTCCGAGCCAATTTTGATCTTCATTGACTCGACTGACCCCAACCTCTGGCTCCCGGAGAGTGTTTGTGAGGCGTTCGAAAATGCCTTTGGTCTCAGCCTCGACAGCGAGAGCGATCTATATCTTGTGAACGATACTCACCACACCGAATTGTTGAACTCGGACGCGCAGGTGACATTTCGGCTGTCCGATGTGGATAACGGTGGAGATGCAGTGACAATCACCCTTCCATATGATGCTTTTGCACTGACTGCCGAGGCTCCGCTGGTCGACAATAGCAGCTACTATTTCCCACTGAAACGCGCGGCCAACTCTACCCAGTATACATTGGGCCGAGCTTTCTTGCAAGAAGCGTGAGTGAAACATTTCCAATTCGAATGTATATGCTGACCTTCTCAGGTACCTCTCGGCTGATTACGAGCGAGGTGTCTTCAATGTGTCGGCATGCGCTTGGAATGAAAATGCTGAAGAAGACATCATCACAATCACGTCTAAAGATTCGGACTCCTCCACTTGCTCTGGAAACGCATGTACTTCCAGTGCTAGTGGCTCTAATAGCTCAGATAACTCTTCGTCACTCAGCCGCGGCGCTGTGGCTGGCATCGCGATTGCGGCGCTGGTCGGTGTAGCCATTCTTGCAGCTGTTCTCTTCTTTTTCATTCGCCGTCAGCACCAAAAGACAGCATACAGAGCGACATCACCGAGGCCCGGTATGTCTGAATACTTCGGTCCGATACACAATGACGCTTCTCTCGGCCCATCGCAGCCATCCGACCCATCAGACCCGTCTGCCCCACCAGCAACATTTTGGTCACCGGATGTGATATTTGGCGATGTAAGTGACAGTCATAATGGCGCGAGTAGCAGCAGTGGTGGGAATCACGAGCAAAGTGTTGAAGAGAATCATATGGAGCTAGACGCTCATGGTACACAAATTCAGCCAGTCTATCATGAGTTGGCCGGCAGTGAAGTTGAGAAAGCAACGCCAGGGCTACCACAGCAAGCGTCGAGTACGCCTTACGCATGAATATGAACACATTAATGTACTATTTCCAACTCATGTACACTTGTGAAGTCCGATCTAGGCATTCGGTATCCAAAGACCCGGTATTAAGCCTCCTTGAAAAACCGGGCCATTGAGGCGATATCCTCGCCAGGGTTGCTATAATCCACAAATCCATATTTGGCATACAAGGGCGCGCCATCCTTGCTAGCATCACCGTACGCACTGACCCCCTCAGAATCAGCCAAATCACACCCCCACTTGACCAGCATGGAGCCGCATCCTCGTCTTTGGTAGTCAGGATGTGTGGCGACAGTGTCCAGATCTAAGGTAAACCTTGTGGTCAGTGCAACTCATCGCATAAGATTTAGACGGGTGAGACATACAGTAATGCTTTCGACCGCCCATCACACGCCTCCGGTTCTCCTCTTCCATGAGGAAAAACGCTTCACACATTTCCCCTGGCATCTCTGCATGCCACGGCGGGTAACGTCGTCCCCGTTCCTCTGGCATTGACAAATCCCACTTTGCGTAAGCGGCTATCCGAGGTCGCCCATTCTCGTCTTTGTTCTCCGTGTCCACAACTTTGATGTATTTCTGAAATGGCTTATTGAGGATGTCATGCTGGTTGGCATTTTCCAGCCACTGCCGCACACCCGGGGGTGTTTGGGAAGACTTTTTGAAGCTCAGGGGCAGTGAATGCCGCGAACCACAGGCTGGTGAGAGCGACGTTGTCTTCCAGGGTCAATGATTCGAGCTTGAGTGAATTAGGGGAGGCCATTTTAAGAATTACTATGCTTGGCAGCTCTGTTGTTTGTGGGTGGACTTTAAAAAGAAGTACTGGTTGGTCCTGGCAAATGAGGCTCTATTTAAGTATTATGCGCCCACAAAAGTCCATCCTTTCAATGTAACCATACTCTGGATATGCCGCTGCTTATCATAAGCACAGCCTTCGAATTACGCGGCTGGGAGGCTTAAATTAGCAAGTTGATCTGATTGGTCATACATTAGTGCGGTATTCACTACATTCAATACGGAACTCTCACTGCCTCCACGATTTCTGGCCAATCAGTGACCGCCAATTCACTAATCTGTGCTGTTTAATTGTATAAATCTCTGCAATTAAGTAGGTGCGCCGCTCAATGACCAGCTGCCACTCTCTGCTGATAGTGGCATAGGGAGCAGGGTCGATGCCTGAGTCAATGAGATATGAAATCACTTTTGTAGTGAGCTCTATGGGGAGTCTATATTCTCTTACAGTGACTTCGGGTTTCTACCCGTCTCCAGTTGGTTAATCTCCTAGTCCTATCGATAAGGATTCACCTGATTGGCTACAGCCCATAAACTTCTGCCTAGATTATTGGGCTTCAAAGCTTGGCTTGTTCTTATCGGCCTTATCGGTGGTCGCAGGTCAAACTGCTTCTCTCCAGGCTGGATTCTGAGCAGACGCGACGCGATTATCATCTTAACATTTAACATTTACGCATGCAAGCATCTCGTCGTCGGGTCTTGCGTTGGGCTTCCTTTCGCCCAGCATGGAATCGAATTCCTGCAGCAGGCCTGCATGATCCTCTATGCTATCGCATGGAAATTCGACCATCTCTAGTTGAGCAGCAAGGCCTAAGGCTCAGCCGAAGCTTTACTTCCTCCTCGCCCAGCAAGTTTATGCTTGATGCCGACTCTACAATCTATGCTCTATCCACAGCCCCAGGTCGAGCTGCAATTGCAGTTGTTCGGGTCTCCGGCCCAGCATCTGTCTCGGTAGGGAAGCTATCCATCAGAGTAGCCAACCCGTTATACTGACCACAACTGTTCACGCACAGATATACAACGCATTATGTCCGGAAACATCCCTCCCGAAGCCGCGTCGCGCAGCCCTACGTACTCTCTACGATCCATCCCAACCACCGTCCACAAACACGGTCCTGGATGCCGGCGCTCTCGTCCTCTATTTCCCCGCGCCGAAAACCGTCACAGGGGAGGAAATCATGGAATTTCACATCCACGGAGGTCCGGCAATTGTCAAGGCGGTTCTTGCAGCCATTGCACGTACCAACAAGACAGATGCTGTTGTGCGGTATGCCGAACCGGGCGAGTTCACACGTCGCGCATTCATGAACGACCGACTCGGTCTGCCACAGATCGAAGCTTTAGGTGACACCCTATCGGCGGATACAGAGCAACAGCGACGGCTGGCAGTACGGGGCTCTAGTGATGCACTGCTGAAGCGATACGAACTCTGGCGACAGCAGTTGCTATATGCGCGCGGTGAGCTAGAGGCTCTAATCGACTTTTCAGAGGATCAACATTTTGATGAGTCGACGGAAGAATTAGTCTCCTCTGTGGCTACGCAAATCCAGGCTCTACAAGTTCAGATTGGCTTTCACATTCAGAATGCCTCAAAGGGTGAGCTGCTCCGCAATGGCATCCGAGTCGCCCTTTTGGGTGCGCCAAATGCGGGCAAGAGCTCGCTTTTGAACCGCGTTGTTGGAAAAGAGGCAGCGATCGTCAGCACCGAGGAGGGTACGACTCGCGATATTGTGGATGTCGGTGTGGATCTAGGCGGCTGGTATTGTAAGCTCGGGGATATGGCCGGCATTCGTGCTGAGACAAAAGGATCTGGATCTAGCGGATCCATTTTCATTGGTTCGGTTGAAAAAGAAGGCATCCGGCGGGCAAGGGCAAGAGCGTTAGAGTCGGATGTTGTCATTGTGGTTCTCTCGCTCGAAGATACCGCAAATGGTGCCCATCTATCCGTAGAACCCGAGGTTCTTGCGGCGGTGAATGACTGCGTAGAGGCCGAGAAATGCCTCATCGTCGTCGTCAACAAGTGTGACAAGCTTTCCTCTTGGAGAAGCGATGGTATTCTACCGCGCGAATTGTCGGATATTATTCATGACATCTTCCCAGCCGTTCCAACAAATCGCATCTTCTCTATGTCTTGCGATGAGGCACAGAACGCATCCTCTTCTCTGACTCAGGTCGATCCTGGCCGGCTCCAAGGATTCTTGAAAGGTCTGATCTCGACTTTTGAACAGATCGCTTCCCCATTGGGCAGTGAAGAAGGCAGTCCTCAATACGACATCTCCTACTGGGAAGATTCATTGGGTGTTACTCATCGACAGAGCTCTAATCTACAGAAATGCCGTGAGCACCTTGACGACTTCCTCTCGCAGGCTTCTCCCACTCCCACTGAGGCCGACCCTTGTTTTGGCATCATTCCTGACTCTGTCGAAGTCGACATCGACATAGTTACAGCTGCTGAACATCTACGCTCTGCGGCGGACATGTTAGCCAGGATCACTGGAAAGGGCGAGAGCGGCGATGTAGAAGATGTTTTGGGTGTGGTTTTTGAGAAGTGAGTCTTGATACCGGTTTCTGCAATTTTTATCAGCGAATTACTAACGCGTTTTAGGTTCTGTGTCGGTAAGTAGGTCGACTTGGTCCGTCTCTTCAATGTTGATCTTGGCGAACTACTTGTACAATAAACAAATACATACTAATATCAAGAGAAAATAACAATTCGATTCAAATTCAAGAAGCCAAGTGCACTACACCATCCGGCTAAATTTTCGCCTGAAGGCCTGCCGCCTGTGCAATGCCTCTCGGGAAATCCGGGGGTTTCTGCATATTCTTGCATAAAATCCGGCATGTGGACGCAATGCTACACAAATGGCCATCGACTACGTATGATTAGACAAGACATTTAGGCGAGCCGCATAACTGGAAGATAAAACATTTGAAGAACAGGTTACAATGGTGATGATTACTAGTGAGTGTAGCGGCATGGTGTTTTAGTATGCGGGTTTCACTTTCCAAAGCTCTTCAGTCCAGGAGTCCTCTCTACTGTCACACACATAACCCCACAATAGGACCCCACACGGTCAATATCCCATTTAACCGATTCCCAATTAAAATCTTTAAAAATTGTAGCTCTTCAAGTCGGTACTCCCCCCGGTGAGGCCTATGGTTAAGGCTTTTGCCGTATAGCAAATCAGATGACGCGATAAGATAAGTTCGCCCCACAGCTTTTGGCTCGCGGTTGTAACTTTGTGCCTCATCCGGCATCCGGGGAAAAAAGAGTCCTGCTTTCTCCAGATTGCGTTTTTCTCCGATTTCTATTTCCTTTCGCCTTTATTTCAGCTTGTCAGAACTTACTGGATTCATTGCTGGACCTTGATGCGACACCCACTCTGTATACGTCGTGCTCGATCATGGCCCTCGCGCCCTCGGCCTAGCTAAGTAATTTCTATCCGCCCTCGCTACTTGGCCCATCCGCCGCTTCCCCTCGATATCCGATTGCCCACCATGTTAGACTGGCAAACCCGTATCCGTGACCCCGTCGAGCCCGAATCCCCTTCAACTCCCTCGGAATCGACCCGAGCGTCTTCCGCCCACCCTATGCATCCCCCCGAGACCACCGCCGCACCCCGCACTTTCGATTCCGATGCATCCTTGGTGTTGGTGGGCATTCGCGGCTGTGGAAAGCGGTCCCTCGGCTTTGTCGCAGCCACTGCTCTCAAGCGACGCTTTATAACCGAAGACCATTACTTCAAGGAAGTAACAGGAGTCACGCGACACGAGTATCTCAAGAGCAATGGCAGTCAGGAGTTTCAGCGTCGAGACATTGAGGTGTTGAAAAAAATGCTGGATAATCACAAGACTGGATGTGTCGTAGAGTGTGGATTAGGAAGTCTTACTCGTCCGGTCCAGGACCATTTGCGTCGCATTTCTCAGATCTGTCCAGTGGTGCATATTCTGCGGGATATCGACTGCATACAGCAGCTTCTGGGGCTGGAAGATCAATCTATACGACTACTACGAGAAGGAGACCCATCACATCGCACGTGCTCCAACTTCGAATTCTACAACCTGGAAGACCGCACACGCTTTGTTGCTGACGATGGAAGCCCTGACCCCCGATCTGCTGCTTATTCTTTCAAACTGCAAGAAGTCAAGGAAGATCTGACCCGCTTTGTCCGCTTTGTCACCGGAGTTGATGTGAATCAATCCAGCTACGACTCGCCGTTTGTTTTGCTAGAGACTCCTCCGGAGCTTCGCTCCTTCACCCACGCTATCCTTGTTCGATCCTCCGACTTAACTGACGACAATGTCAATCTTCAAGAACTGGAGTCTGGGGGAGATGCAATTGAGCTGTCTGTCGATCGCTGGGGCCCTGATATGGCCGCTGTGATCAGTCAACAAGTGGCAGTTTTACGTCGCAATTCCCGAACACCCATTATCCTCTCCGTCGATATGACATCAGCTGGGCTTGGTCGACGAGACCAATCTACCACATCTTATTTCGACATTTTGGAACAGGGCTTGCGCTTGGCAGTGGAATATTTGGTTGTGGACCTTGGACAAAATCGAGCCCAGCTCGCGCAGGTCGTTCGCGCTCGGGGAAACACCAAGATCATCGGTCAACATATCTTTGAAGCGACCTCCCGTGTCAAATGGACGGACGATGGCTGCGTGACTCTATACAATGAAGCTGAGAAACTCGGTTGTCAAATCGTCCGCCTACTTCGTGTCGCAACAAACCGTGATGACAATACGACTGTTTTGGAGTTCACTACCAAAGTCCGCGCCTTGCCGGGAGATCATGCGCCCTTGATCGCGTATAATATTGGACGACTTGGACGGACATCTCAGGTGTTCAATTCGATTCTGACCAATGTCACTCATCCGGCCATCACCCGTACAACTGAAAATGAGCGCGATCCTATCATCACATCTCGCGACGCTGTCAAGGCTCTCTTCCAGAGCTACGTCCTTGATCCATTGAAGTTTTGCATTCTCGGCTCCAGCGTATCCTACAGCCTGTCCCCCTTCATGCACAACGGAGCCCACCAACATTCGGGTATGAGCCATACTTACCGCATTCCCGATTCTCCTTCTCTTGAAATCCTGGATGAACTGCGCCGCGATCCTGATTTCGGAGGATCCAGTGTTGTTCAACCATGGCGTGTGGAACTTTACCATAAACTTGCAGCCAAGAGTCGACATGCTGAGGCAATTGGTGCCATCAACACCATCATGCCCCTGCGTGGTCCTTCAGAAGGAGGGATGTACTCACTTCAGGAGCAAGCCAGCCGACGCAACCAGGCAGGTCCGGTGCTCGGTTGGTACGGTGAGAATACGGATTGGGTAGGCATTATGACCTGTATCAACCGTCACCTTTCACCACGCAATGCTATCAGCGCGAAGACAACGGGTCTGGTAATTGGTGCTGGTGGTATGGCCCGTTCCGCCATCTATGCTATGCTCCGTATGGGCTGTCGCAAAATCTTCATCTACAACCGAACCCTGTCCCGAGCAGAAGAGGTGGCTCGTCACTTCAATTCATGGGCATCCTCTCAGGTGGACTCAGTAGAGGTGGTGCGAGTCTTGCGGTCAACACAGGACGATTGGCCCGACGATTCCAACCCGCCAAGTCTCATCGCATCCTGTGTACCGGCCGACCCAGATCAGGATGAGGCTCCTGCCAACTTTGAGATGCCCCTGCAGTGGCTTGGCAGTCCCACTGGGGGTGTAGTTGTAGAGGTGAGTTCTCTTATCCACTCTTATTTTCCCTTTCTCCCATACTGACTCGTTGTTAGCTTGCCTATAAACCTCTAGATACACCATTGTTGAAACAGATACGTCGGATCCGAACAGACACGGGCCGGTCCTGGGTCTTATCCGATGGACTAGAGAATGTCATTGAACAGGGTATTGCGCAGTGGGAGTTGATGACCGGCCGCAAAGCCCCTCGACGGTTAATGACCCTGGAGGTCCTCCGAAACTACGAGGGAGAGAGCGGCAAATTTGACGAGAAGACGATTCAGGCCCGGCTGGACGGCGTTTGTTCGTAGACTGGCCCAGGAAAATGCGATTATTTCGGGTTGCATATAACCTTGGGAACAACCCTTTTTGGTTAACGATTTGTATTTAATACTAGCTCCAATGGCAACAATTTTGGAACATTACACATGATAGAGTCACTGGTTGTAGCCTCTAGTACCTACTTGGAATCGTACACAGTGGAGTATTGCAAATTGTTCACGTTTTCAGACCTAATGTCGTTTCCGTTCTCGGCATTGTGTATAGATTTACAGTTGACGTCAATCCCCACATTCCTGAGCCATGTGTAGTAGATTTGCTTACTTTGCGTAATGCACTACTTCTCCTATATCAAGGCACGTCATGCCACAATTGGACTCGGAATTGCAATTAAAGTTGATGGATCCACGGTCAAGGCCCGCATCCATCCTTGGTGATCGGCGCGTAACAACTAGACTTATCCAGGTACATTCCACAGCCATGACGGCATAAACACTGAAAACTTTCTTTTTCATGTCGGATCCAGTCAAGATGACTTAGGGATTCCATCTGAGAGACTTACTACATCTCTCTTGAATCTCCCATACCAAGATTATACCTGGTATATCTTCAATATCATCATCGCTTTCATCCATACTCATTCGTTAGGTAACTCGCCAACATGGATGAAGCAAACATACACCTAAGCCGATATGGAGCTTTCCCCTCCATGACTCCGAAATTTGACTCACCGGATGTGTTCAACACTCCAGAGGTGCCAGCCGTGCCAGTTTTGAGCAAGCCGTTTGAGCCAAAACAACAAATTCACTCGTGGTATGATCCTAGGGGTTGGTCTAGATTTAAGAGAACGTTGGTGCTTTCTGGGGTTGGTATCATTGTACTCATTATCGCTGTTATTGTCGGTACTATCTATGGCATCAAGGCAAACCGATACCCCAAATATACGCCGTTGAACTACCGGCTAGTGGATAAATACGAAGGCGAATCCTTCTTCGACAATTTCCGTTATTTCACCGATGAAGATCCGACGCATGGATTTGTGGTGTAAGTTGTCAGACTCTTCCTCTTTTAGTACTTTTGAATTTTACTAACAAACGTCACTAGATACGTGAACCAGCAAACAGCACAAGACCTCAACCTCACGTACGCGACAGAGACATCCGCAGTCCTGCGCGTCGACTCATTAACACCAAACGCTCTTGCAGGCCGTAACTCCGTGCGGGTAGAGTCCACATCAACATACGACAACGGGCTCTTTATCTTCGACATCATTCACACCCCATATGGCTGCGGAACATGGCCCGCCCTCTGGCTAACGGACGGATACAACTGGCCCAACAACGGTGAGATCGACATCTTAGAAACAACCAATGAAGGCTCTCACGGCAACGATATCACCCTGCACACGACAGGCGGCTGCAGCATGGATGTCAAGCGCAAACACACCGGATACTCTGTCTTTTCTAACTGCGACACCTCTAACGGGAATGCTGGATGTGGTGTGGTCGGAGATCCGATCACCTACGGCGAAGCCTTCAATGCGATTGGGGGCGGAGTATATGCTCTTGAACTCCGAGATGATGGCGTCCGTGCCTGGTTCTTTCCCCGGAATTCCATCCCAGGGGATATCGCGGATCCTTTGCAGATGCCTGATCCGTCGACGTGGGGAACTGCGTTGGCAGACTTCCCTGGAACGGAGTGCAATATTGCGTCGCATTTCCGGAATCAGAGTATTATTGCCAATATTGATCTTTGTGGGGAGCTGGGAGCTCAGCCTCAGTTTTATGAGAAGATGTATAAATGTCCTGGGACTTGCCCAGATTTTGTTGCTAATAACCCATCTAGCTTTGAGGAGGCTTATTGGGAGTTTGCTAGTTTTTCAGTTTACCAAGCTTGAGTTGAGATTTTGGCTTTATGCTAGTCATTGCTTTTTGATATGTTATAAATTTGCTTTGACGATGATGTTTGGATCTACTGCTGGGTACACGTTACACGTACCTGTTGGTTTAAATAGCCACAAATGGCAAGGGTGCACAATCCCAATATTGTATTCCTAATTTCGAATATCAATACCTCTTTATTCAATACCAATCGTCCTCCCAATGGCAAGGCACCTGTTAAGCTGGCATCAAATATTGATCTGAGAAAGATGACGAAGGTCGAATTGAAACAACCGCAGCAGATAATTGAGTAGATAATCAAAGACCGAAAAGGGCATGGTTCGAAAGAGAAACATCCTAATACCGACAAAGGTTCGCCATAATGCGAAAGATGTTCAATCCACGTTCGGGCCCCACGGCGTGAAGCCTTGCTACCAGAGATAACAGGCAGCAAACGCATCCGCAGGAGTCAGGACCGCAGGTTAGAGCGCCAAGACAAACAGGATTTGCACCGTAAGCTTTTCTTCTCAAAGGGTCATTCGAATTAATCAGTGGATCTGCGCCTAGGCCCAGTAAAAGCTAACTAAAATGGTTGAAAACAGCAAACCCCAACAAATTCCGTGCTTCACATGAACGATCTGCAGATCTCGGCGCTTTAACCTTATCCAAGAACTACCGCGGTATGGGCCAGGGTCAAGTCTTTTTTTACTCGCCGCCTTTCATACCGCCCAGTAAAATAATGTCCCAATCGCGTACCGTATACATTAGTAGCTCTTAAGCTCAAAGTACTATTTTCACTTATTGCTAGGCTGCGGTCCAAAAAAAATATAGCGGGCGTGTATAAGCTTCTACAAGATGGGCATGCGTGGTACTAGGAATGGCTTTGGGGATGGTGACTCGATGTATGTAATGTAGTATCGCAGTCTACTTTTGAAACAAAACATGGAATTTACCGGTAACTTATTTCCTGCCAGTCTAAACCTGATAAGCGGCCCCAGCAACGTATCGCACGTATCGCTGCAGAAAACGTGCCTCGGCCATTGACATCATTCACTCCAACTTGCAAGAAAAAGGATATAAGTCCGACAAACACCCACTTTTTCCCGTTATCAACACCCATCATTGTGATCGGCCATTAACGATAACTGTTCGAAAAAAATAATTATCGCATTTCCCGTCAAAATGGCAGACAACAACCAAGGCTGCAAAATCACCCTATACTGGTAAGCTATACCATACCGCCACAAGCTTCACAACAGAACCCGAACTAATACAAGAATCCATCGCACAGGCTCGAACAATCCCGAAGCCACCGCATTCTCTGGCTGCTAGAGGAACTGGGGCTAAAGTACGACCTCAAGACCTTCAAGCGCCGCGCCGATAAGCTCGCGCCCGCCGAGCTGAAGAAGGTCCACCCACTAGGCAAATCGCCCGTCATCACAATCGAGACACCCGGATCTGAGAAGCCCATGGTCCTAGCCGAATCGGGCCCCATCGCAGAATATCTATGCGACCACTTCGGCAAGGCCAAGCCTTCCCTGGTTCCTGCGCGCTATGCTGCCGGCAAGGAGGGACAAGTCGGTGGTGAGACGGAGGAGTTCATGCGCTACCGCTATTTCATGCACTACGTCGAGGGAAGTCTGATGCCGTTCCTGGTCATGAGCCTTGTGAATGATAGTAAGTGTCCCCTGTCAAGAGGGAATCGATGGGCGGATGTATCATGTATCACATGTATACATCGTGCGCCACCCCCTCCCGCACAGCCCCTGAAATACAAACAAAGTAAAGAGCTTGTGTAAACGGAACAAAAAACTAACTCCGTCAGCCATCCGCAAATCGCCGCCATTCTTCGTCCGCCCGATTACCGGCCTCGTCGCTTCGCAGGTTGAGGCATCTTTCTTGAACCGCAATATCGAAGGAAATCTTGATTTCTTGGAGGATCAGCTGAAGACTGCGCCTGAGGGCGGTCCGTGGATTTGTGGAAAGGATCTGACTACTGCGGATATTTTGCTGAGTTTCCCGGCTATCGCTGCCAATGGGCGCGTGCTGCAGGATAAGGAGAAGCGGGAGAAGTACCCTCTCCTTGCTTCTTATGCGCAGCGCTTGCAGGAGGTTGAGGGGTATAAGAGGGCTGTGAAGAAGATTGAGGAGGTCGAGGGCAAGTTCTCTGCCTCTATGTGATTTTGTGATTTATGATACCTTTTTATATGGGTTGGGAATTCTTTTTGGCACTTTATGAATGCTTGTGTTAATGCTGATGATGTATTTTGGTCTTTTTTCTATTCCAATCTACATCTCGAATAATGAATATTGACAGATATCTGTAAAGTGTATATACATGGTAATGATAACAAAAAGCTCAACAAAAAGATATCGTTGATAATCATTCATAATCGTTCAAGTATGGTAACCGTGGCCATGCTCAATTAGCAAGGCGGTAAACCGTCAGCCTTCAAACTCTCAATTATTCCCGGGCCGGTCTCCTCAATGGCAGAGATAAGGGAGTCAACCGTCTCCTTGCTGGTCATGACGTTCACGACACAGCGGAAGAACTTGCCATTTCCTACTGCATCCTCATCTCCACTGGGTGGTGCGAAATCGACCATGAAGCCCTTAGGAACGATAGCATGGGTGATTTTCTCGGTGACCTTGCTATTATCCTTGCCACGCTGGGTCTCGTTTGACACAGAACCACGCGGGTGCACGAATTGCTTGCCAGGGGCATAGTAGAAGCAGACTTGCAAGCAGGGAGGCGCATTTTCGCTCACCAGGATAAAGTTCGGGTTTTTCTCCACAAGCGTGGCGAGGTAAGCAGCCACCTCACATGCAGAATCAATTTGTTGCGCGTATCCCTCACTACCATAGTACGTCCAACCCAGGAACAGTTTCAATGAATCAGCACGGCGACCACATTGGAGCGTCAGGTCAGCGAGATCCCACACTTCCGGTGAGTCAACCTCGATCTCTGATTCGTGGACATCGCCATTCGTCTTCTCTTCTGTATCTTCGTTGTGGAAAAGATAGCCCGCAGGGAGGGTGTTGGCACGGTGGAACTGGCGCATATCCGAAGCCAGCAGGAACGAGCAAGTGACCGGGGCGCCGAGCATCTTGTGTGGGTTGATGGCAATACTATCCGCCTTCTCTGAACCAGCAAGCTTGTGAATCTGTCGCTGAGAGAAGACAAAAGAACCACCCCAGGATCCGTCAATGTGGAACCACAGGTTGTACTTTTTGCAAATGGCCGCAATCTCGTTAAAAGGGTCGAAGGAGCCCATCACCGTTGTTCCGGCGGTGGCGTTCACATAGAACGGCGTGCGGCCCTCACCGTGGGCTTTCTGAACCAGCTTTTCCAACTCCGATGGGATCATCCGCCCCTGCTTGTCAATGGGGACTGGCCAAACAGCACTGCTACCAAAGCCCAGCATCTGCGCCGCCTTCTCAACACTGTAATGACCGTGTGCGCTTGTGAACAGCACAAATCGGTACCCGCCGTTACCCTCCTTCTTTGTCTCAGGGTACAGGTTGTTACGCGCAATGACAATGGAAGTGGTGTTTGAAGCCGAACCACCCTGCACCGAGATTCCGCCTGCTCGCGGGCCATTGAGGCCAAAGAGGTTCGCTAGCCGCTGACCTGTGTACTTCTCGATGACGGTCAAGGCAGGCGAGACCTGATAGACATGGACATTGGTGTTCAAAGTTGCGAGAATGAGCTCCGCGGCCACACCGGGAGCATTGGTGGACGCATACAGCTTGTCCAGGAAGCCCTGGTGCCAGGTGTTGACTGAGTACTGGAGGACCTTTTGCAAGACCTCAATGAGGCCCTCTTGACGCCTGCCTTGCTCTGGGATCTCCAACTGCAGGATATCGCGTAGTACCTCGGGCTTCTTGTATTCTACTAGCGAGCTTCCCGTCGCTCCATTGGCTCCGATGTTTTGGTCTGCGGATCTGATAAACGGGATCAAGAGGTCTTCGACGGCTTTGAGAAGCTGTATTTGAGCACAGTCAGCATATGAAACACTCTCATATTCTACCAAATCTATACTCAGGGACACGCGAAGATATGCAGCAACTATATCGAGTGACTCACGTTTTGCACCTCATCAGCGCGGGAGAATGGCGGGAGGTCCGACATCGCAATATGCTCCAGTCGATAAATATCAACAAAGAAAGTTGTGTGAGCAGAAATGCATGGAAATCACGAAAATCGCTAACAAACGCGAAAAGCAATGACAATTAGTGGCGCAACGATCACGCCTTTTTTTTCTCCACGCCAAAATAAAAAGAAAAAAAAAGACAAAAAAAGGTTCCTCATCGTATACCGCTTCCGCAAATGGCGAAATCGCAGGCTGACGTCATCCGAGGAAACCCCTGGTCCCCTCCAAAGCGCTGATCACCATTCATCATCTACTATCTACTAGCGAGATGATTTATAGGTGTGAGATGACTGAAATTGGGCTGTTTGACTGAAGGAATTGGCATTCACAGTTTATAACAGTTGATTTCAAATCCGAGTAAGTTAAACCTTGCAGTTGTACAGCCAATAGCCCCGCGGTTGATTCCTTATCTTATCGAAAGGAAGAGGCGCCTGCAGGGCCGGGAAGCTAAAACTTGCTAATTTCCTATTGGACAATTGAATCAGTATTGATAATGTCAACAAGTTAGGGAATTGGGACAGAAAAAGCCTGCATAAAGTACTAGATACAACTTGAAAGTTTTGGTCTTTACTGCCGCTGACATGATTTAGGGGATTCAATATTCAATGTTGCTCGAATGCCTGCAAGACTTGGTTATGCAGCCCTGCCTTTTCCATGCATTAGTCATGATAACGATCAAAAGTCCCCTGCATTTAAATCTTGTACGTTCATTGGTGTATCGCAGTAAACTACTACATAATGCCTGTGCGGGGGTGATCTTGTTATCAAAGGCAAGAGCCAGCGAACCCGATAACCCCCGCACGAGGGGAAAATATACTACGCATAACTATAAAATCCCCTGGCAGAAAAACAACATGGCATTGAATTGAACTCAAGGGACATTTTAAAAGCTGATCATTCGAAAATGAAAGTCTCTCAATCCTTACTACCATTCCTCCCCATCGTCTCGGCCTTGAACGTGGGAGATTATGGACATCCTATTGAAGGTATCTACTAACACCCCAACGGCTCCATCTGAACACCATTCATGAATACCGACTAAGCCTCAACCCCACAGACCTCAACAAGGATCTCCCATTCTCTCAACCCGTAACATTCGCCCATCTAGAATGGCAAAGATGCCTAGCAGCCGACCATGAAGAAGTTCGTCCTCCATGAACATTGGTAACCACACCTTATTTCACACTAACACAAAACCCCCACCTCCAGCCCCTCGACATCGCAATCCTAGGCTTCCCCTACGACACAAGCACCTCCTACCGACCCGGCGCCCGCTTCGGACCACGCGGCATCCGCGCCGGCTCCTCACGCGAAAAGAAAGGCCGAAGCTACAACCCAGTATGGGGCATCGACCCCTTCGAAGAAGGCCTCTCCATCCTCGACTGCGGCGACATCCCCATCACCCCCTTCGACGCAGCCCACGCCTTCAAGCAGATGGAGCAAGGCTACCGACAAGTGCTCTACCACCCGACCACGGCGACAAGCGCAAGCGGGTGGGCACATCCGCGCATCATCAGCCTGGGCGGAGACCATTCCATCGTGCTGCCGATCCTGCGCTCGCTGAAGAGTGTTTATGGGCCTGTTTCTGTCATCCATTTGGACTCGCATTTGGATACGTGGGATCCCTACGAGGGGTATACGGGGATTGCGTCGGAGCAGTCTGCTATTACGCATGGCACGTTCTTTTGGCATGCGAGTCGGGAGGGGTGTGTTAATAAGGGGGCTAGTGTGCATGCGGGGTTGAGGACGAAGTTGTTTGGGGTTAGGGATTATGAGATTGATAGTGAGGTTGTGGGATTTCATCGGATTGAGGCGAGGGAGATTGATGAGATTGGGGTGCAGGGGGTTATTCGAAGGACGTTGGATGTTGTTGGGGATAATCCGGTTTATCTCTCTATTGATATTGATGGTACGTTGGGGGTTTTTGTGTTTTTGTTTTCTGCGATTGATTGGAACAATACTGATGGGATTTCTTTCAATAGTCTTAGACCCGAGTATTGCGCCCGCGACTGGAACGCCAGAGTCGGGTGGTTGGACGACTCGAGAACTTAAGCGGTATATTAGTGGCTTGGAGGGACTGAATCTGGTTGGTGCTGATGTGGTTGAGGTCAGTCCGCCTTATGATTCGGCTGCGGAGACAACGTCTGTCGCGGCCGCGGATTTGATCATCGATATATTGGCGGCAATGGTCAAGAAGACAGCTCCTACTTTTGGTCAAGTTAAAGTGAGTGATAAGGACGAGCTATGACCGCACCAGAATAAATTGGAAGGCGAGGCTAGCACTAGGATGTTAGATTTTGCAGTGTTGACAGGACATCTGGAAGATAGTTAGGTACTACATACTAGTGCATTTAGTCATTGGCGATCTGCTTACTTTACGAGTAATCAAGATATCTCAGATCAATAAATGGTATTTAAAACTGGATAACGCCGTATCATCTAAATGAAATAAATCGCCATTGCGAATTTCTAGCCGAACGAAAAGAGCTTATTTTACGTGCAAGAAAATAAATGTCCCCCAGATAACTCCTAAAACTTGAAAATCTCAATCCAGGAATCCATTAAAACAGGATTCTATACGACAAGAGCAAGACCGAGCGCAGCAGCCATCACTGGGTATTGTATGGGAAGTCTTTCAGCAGCGCCAGTGAAGACAGGGCTTGTTGCCGAGGGCGAGAGACCCGGGAAAACGTGACGAGAGCTAGTGGACGCTGCGGAACCACCCGAGGGCTTGGGAATGACAGCCTTCGAACTGTGCGGCGTTGACGAGGGCTTCACAGCACCAGATTCCCTCGCAGGGCCAGTCGACGGCTTGTGAGGCAAAGAAGAAGGTGTGGCCAGGTTAGGAGGTGGTCGGTGGCTAGCTGGTTTGATTGAAACAGCATCTGCTCCACTTGGTGCTTGCGCATGTGGAGACTGGACCTGCGGAGTCTTAGATGGCGTGGATGAGTGGCTTGAATGTGCGTGAGGGGGAGAAGTAGTCTTGGCATCTGCGCCGCTTGGCTCCCGTGCAGGGGTAGATTGGATCTGTGGGACTTGAGACGGTGTGGATGAGTGACCAGAAGAAGTGTGAGAGTTAGAAGTGGTGAAATGACCATCTGATCCCTTGGTCAATGCAGCCCATCCAGCTGGGGTTTCGATCTCATAGGATGGTGAAGTGGGGGTGACATCCGGTGCCTGGGGGGCATGTGTGGCATGTGAGGCATGAGATGAAACTGCGATATTGGCGGAGGGTAGATTGGAAGAAGTTTCGGTTTCGGCTGAAGCGCAAAGTGTCGTTGTTCCGGTGACAAACTCAGTCACGTATCGGGTGACAGCGGGTTTGGCATGAGTAGTAGGAACAGGCGATTGCTCCTCTAAGAGGGAGGTGGGGATTTTGGATGCTGCAAACATGGGACTGGTGACGGCCACTGGGGTGACAGTCAGAAAAATCTCTGTTGCATGACTAGCACTCTCAACTGAATGAGGAGCTCCCCCCGCGGGGTGAACAGTCGGGGAAACCGAAGCATGAGTAGCGCTCTCAACTACGTGGGTGGCTTCCTCTGTGGAGTGGCTAGCCACCGAAGCGGAGGAATGAACTTGCGGAACGACATGTGTCTCAGTGGCGGTCTTGGTCGCCAGGGTATGCGTAACGGGTGCTTGAGATGCCGCGTGGGTAAGGGAACCATGTTGAGCTGGGGCTGCGTTCTTCGCCTCCGTCTGGTACACCTTGACCGAGTTGATTTCCCAGTATGTGTCCTTGAACTTGTCAGGGTTCTGTGCAACATAGTTTGTACAGCTTTGGAAGGAGTCTGGATTGGTCATTGGGCAGCCAGACTCTCCAAACACACCACCAGCCCAGTCGCCGCAGAATGTCACATCGAAAACGAACGATTGCTCCTTGAAGCTGTTCGCGACATCACAGCCTTCTTGCACTAGAGCCATTGGGATGCCAAATTCGGTGACATCGGGCTCACCGCTGCTGAGGGAGGGTGGAATGGAGTGACGGGGGAAGAACCAGATCTTGAGGAACTCTTCGGTCCACTCCATGGCGTAAATGCCTCCTCCCTGGTTGTTGAATGAATCTCCGTAGCTGCCCTCGTGTCCTTCAATAACGCAGCCCACGGTTCCTAGCGCTTCACCACATCCCGTTGCGTTTACAATCCCAGACATTCCCTGATCGGTCAAGGCGCAAGTGCCTCCGGTATGCATCACGATCTCGTTGTGGTTCTGAAGGTTGACACCCTCGATGATATCAATTTCACCATCCTGCGGCCATACTTTACCAACGGTCCAGAATGCAGGCCAAGAGCCGCACACACTTCCGGGCATGTGCGCAATATCCGCGACCACCAGTGAGTGTTCGTAGTATTTGTTGGTGCCGACGCGCACCGAATCACGTCCCTTGCCAGTTGTGCTGAGAGTTGTCTGGTGGTCTACACCAATATAAACCGTCCCGCGGTCGGTGACTTTAACCAGCCCAGAGCTCTCTGCACTGGCCTGGTCAAGGTACGTGACCCATCCATTTGTTGGGTCGGCACCAGTGTAGAAGTGGAAGTAGTCAAAAAACTCCTGGCCTTGCCATGTCTCGACCAATTCGTATTCAGAGGCAACCCCTGTGGACGCGAGCGATAGAAGAAATAGCGAACCGGCGCTGAGCGAAAGTGAAGATGCCTTCATCTTGCTCGAATAATTGTATCACGGCAACACAATCGGACTGGAGCTTGTTCGGTCTTCAGAACGAACGAGATTATGGTCACAACAGCCGATGTGAAGTAAAAGAAGGGATGTAAATGGCTTAAACCATTCACAGGGGATCAAAGAGCGACAAAAGAAGGTTAAAAGGAAGAATGAGGGACGATAGTGGGATGTCAACAAAAGTCAACAAAGGGAGAAGAAGGAATGTGGACAAAATCCTCACTGGGGAGCCTTGATGAATCAATGCCATTTTAGGTATTCTGACTGGCCACTCATACTCTTTCCCATACCTACTAGTGAGTATAGCACTTATCCCCTTTAGGCAAACTGAAGCCCTGGACCCTGGAGGCTACTAGCTACCCCCTGGGAAGTGGCATATTCAGGACCTCAATGGTCTGGCCCGAGATGATAGATCCACTCAATCGGAAGCGATCGTCCATTCTTCACTGGATAAGATGTGTTCTACAATGGAGAAACTCGTGTGGTGAAGCAACGAAGTGGTGCCTATAGTCAACTTGAAACGCGATAGCTCGGCAAAGTCAAATCCCAGACAAGGTGAAACAAGAAACCTCACCCCAGGCAGCTGGGCATAATTGGCGATATCATTGTTCTGCGCGTTTTTGCGTACTATATTCTCGACGCTTTATCGTCTTGGGCTATTTGTGGCTATGCGCCCCTGGTTCTAGTTGTGCATGGATAGTCTGTGTCGCATACCGAGTTGATCGTGTCATCTCACATTCTTGTGTTGCGTAGCGCGACCGTGTGTCGTTGATCCGGGTAACGAAGATCTATTTGGTCCAGAATTGTTCAAGTGATCGATAAATTCCATTCCCATTGCAGATGAGAATAGTCATCGTGATTCAAGTACACTGAGCTCGATTTGTTACAAATGATGTGATAGAGAAGAGAAGGGAGTTGGAGCGGGAGGCGGTTGCCCACAGTTGTTATGCGGGACGCGCCGAGAGCCAAGCTCCAGCACTGTGTACTGGCGATTTTAGCGGCCAAAGCGGAAAATGGAAAAAATGACATTTTCCAACACCGCCTAACACACCACCCTCTCCAAACGTATTGTAATTTTTGAATTACAATCCCAACAAAGTGTAACCCCCTTTTTATTTTTCTAGTCATGCCACCAAAGATTGATCTAGAAACTTATAAAGAGTATATTCTAAGTTGTTTATAGTAAGGAAGAATATAAGATAAAGTCTATAATCTCCTTTTTATTACTTACTAGATCAAAGCTATAACTTATATATTTTAAACCTTCTTAAAAGTATAGGGATCCTAATAAAAACCTAGTACTAATAATCCTTTCCTTAAAAATTATATTAAAAAGCTTATCCTTAAGATTAGCCTTTTAGATAGTAAGATTATAGATATTCTTTATTATAATTAAATAAGTAATTATCTATCTATTTCTAGGTAGACTCTTTAAAAGATTAGAGTATAGCTTAAAATTCCTTATTAGATAGACTATCTTATTTAGTAAGAGTAATAATTAGTATAAATTACCTAAATCCTTATCTATAAAATTAGAGTTAGAAAAATTAAGGAATATAGGAGAAATCTATTATATACTTATTTTTAAATAAATAGATATAATTTCCTAATAAAATAAATATTTAATATATATTATATTTTATATCCTAATACTCTAAAAACCTAAACTTATAATCTCTAATATATATATAAGATATATATCTTACTAAGTCTAAATTTTATATAATATATTAATAATTATATAAAATTAATAAACTTTAGGATTAAGATCTATATTATAATTAATAGTTTCTCTTAATATATTATTTAGATCTATATTAAATATAATATTTATATAATAATAAATATTATCTCTTAATATCTTATTATATTTATTATTTAATACTATTAATCTAAGATTATTTAATTAGATTTAGGATTAAAGATAATATTAATTAATAATATATATTATACTCTTTATTAAGTAAAAGATCCTAAAATAGAATTTAATTAATATTATTAGTTTAGATAAAGTATAGATAATTAGAGGATTAAAGTCTTTTAGTCTTAGCTTTTAAAATCTTATACTTTTATCTATTATATAAAAAAATATTAAAGTTTATTCTAAGTAGTTTTTTATAACTAACTCTTTAGTATTACTTCTAAAAACTATAAAAAAATTATAAATATATTTATATAAATATACCTAATTAAGTTATATTCCTTATAATCTATATATTAATTATTAGATTAATAATTAACTTATATATTAATATCTAGAATAAATATTTAATCTAAATATAAAAAAAAAATACTTATAGATATTATAGAAAGCTATAAAAGCTTTATTATAATCTTTTATAAAATAAATAAGATTATATTATCTTAATTAACCTATTCTAAATCTATAAGCTTAAAAAATAATATATTAGAAATTAAGATTAAGATAAATATCTCTTATATAAAATATTAAAATAATATTATTTATAATTATAATAAATAGAATTTAATCTAGATTAATTATCTTATTATAAATTTATTTCTTATAGCTTTTTAAGATTATATTATAAAGAATATCTAGAATTTTAATATTATATATATCTATATTATAAATCTAGGTAAGAGCTAAAGTTCTTTATTTATAAAAGATCTTAATTTAATATCTAGATCTATATACTTAATATATATTAAATATATTAGATAATTAGATAAAGACTTAAAAATATTATATAATATTATATAAGGAAAGTTAAAAATAGTATTTATTATTAAAAAAGAGAGATATTTTAAAATTATCTAATTAAAAATATAAATTACTATTTTTCTCTTTTCTTTTTTATTTATTCTTTCTCTTTTATTTATCCCTTTTTTTTATCTTATATTTTAAAATATTAAATTTTAATAATTATATTAATCTAATTATATTAAAAAGATTAAACTTATAGAGTATTATATTAAATCTAAGAAGCTAGATTATAAATATTATATTAAATCTAAGAAACTAGATTATATCTTAATAATTCTAGTTTAATTACTAAGATTTATCTTTTAGATCTTATAAATATAATAATTATAATAATTATAATAAATTTTTTATTTTATAGAATACTAAAAAAAGCTTTTAATCTAGATTAATAAACTATATTTAATAAGAATATATTTATAGGATTATATCTAGATTAGTTTATTAAGATATTATTTTAGCTTTTTAATATTTAAATAGGGTAATATAAGTAAAATAGCTAATTTAACTAAATACTCCTTAGTATTTTTAGATTATTTTATTCTTCTACTTTTAAAAAGTCTTTTTAGATAGTTAGAAGAGCCTTAGGGAATTTAGTATATACCTTTTAGTTATATTATAAAAAATAAAGCCTAATATTAAGCCTAATATTTAAATTCTTAGTAACTATCTTCTATTCCTTTTAAAATTAAATAATTAATAATTTTAAAGATTTTATTAAAAAAGATCTTTTTTTAGTAATCTTAGCTAACTTCCTATATAAATATTATAAGCTAATTAATAAATTATAACTTATAATTAGAGTTTAGGGAAATCCTAAAAAACCCTTATTTATCTTAAATTTAAAGAATAATAAATATAAACTTATTAATCTTCTTAAATTTAGTTTTATTAAGCTAAAGAATAAATATAATATTTTTATAATCTTTATTTAATATAAGATATTAGAAGTAGATAAAAGTAATAAGAATATTAAGATAGAGATTAAGATAGAGATTAAGATAGAGATTAAGATAGAGATTAAGATAAAGATTAAAGATAAAGAGCTAAAGCTTAATTCTTATATTTCTTATATTATAGAACTTCTTAGTTCTCTTAATAATAATCTTTTATCTCTTTTTCTTTTATTAATAATATTAATAGGCCCTTTATTATTTATAATAAGAGAAAGGGTAATTAAAGATAGTTAGCTTATCCTAAATAGATTTATTTAGTCTCTTAGAATAAAATATATCTAAGATAAGTTTAAAAGAATATAGACTAAAAAAGCTTAGCTAGAGATTAGATTAAAAAAAACCTAAATATAAACTTTATAAATAAGACTTTAGTAGATTCTTTATTAACTTAATCTAATCTTTTTAAGTAAGATTAATTATAAGATTAATTCTTATAATCCTAAGTAGCTAAAACTATTATTAAAGCTTAAGAAGTATAAGAAGCTATATAAAGCTAAGTGTTACGTAACACTCTGTGGTCATAGTGAGTATTGTTCGTTAGGGCTTCTACTTACTAAGTAGATACTTAATCCTTGAGTCGCCGATTCGCAACTGTACTGTTGCTAATTGATGTTAGGCCTTATACGGGCTTGGGTCTATAGAATAGACTTAAAGGGGGCTATGTCCAAGAGGGTGTTACCTAGTTAAGCTATACTTGGTTTCTAAGTTAAGAGACTAAAGACTAAGGATACCTCTTTCTAGTAGGGTTTATCTTATATGAAACTGATAGGTAAATGAACTGTTAGGTTCTAAGTAATAATATATAGATTAATTGTGAAGAACTAAGTATATATGGGTAATAACTATCTTTATATACTAAGTCCTTCCTATTTGTTACCTAGGTCCTATCCTACTACTAGGATAAGATCCTATCCTATTACTAGGGTGGATTAATACCTGATTACTAAGGGTTATATCTTATGTGATTATATTAAATATGCTATATTATTATAGTAGAGTAATAGCTAATGTGCTGAGGTAGCCCTAACTGGCTCCTTATATATTAGGTTTATTTTACTTGGGTAGTGACTGAATATGGTATAGTTAGAGGGAGTGGAGGTTTATTATATAGAGTAACCTAGGTATTAGATTTTTTGTCCTAATTTGTTCTGCTAACTACTTGCTTAGTCCTGGCTTAGTAAGCCTTAACTAGTTATATATCCTATAGCTTATTTTATACTTCCTAAGAATGGTTAGTTCCTATCTCTTTTCTAAGGTTTTGATTAAGTAGGTCTATAATATTACCCCCTCCTTTCTTAGTCTTT